GTAAATAGAATAATTGAATTCAAACTGCCTAAAAAAACACGAAAAACGACAGACCTACAACGAATTTTAACAAAGAGACTCGGACAATTGGTATGACAACACATTTGGCGGCAAAAGTTTTCGTCTCAATCAATAATTGTGTCAATATACAACAAAAAAAAAGTTTTTTATCCAAATTTCTGACTCACTTTAATACCAACAATAAAATGAAATAATTATATGTAAAAATTATCATAAATTAGTCTACAAGAATATCAAATATACGTGAAAATTTACAAGCACAATTTAAGCTTGACCAAGTATGCCACCATCTTGGATTTTATTACGATGACGCAATAAAGTGGTCGCCACTATAATCAGACAGCTTAATTCAATTGATTAAATCAAACTATCGATACATTTTAAATAATCGATAGATTATTTCCTCAAAAAATATATGAAGTGTATCATTTATGGACTATACACTTATTTTAGTGAAATAATTTTATAACTTGTGATTAATAAATTATTTATAAAATAAACAGTAAATAAATTGAAAATATTGATCATTCAGCAAGAAATTTATGATAAAATTCAGAAATAATTTTATTGAAAATGGAACCCACATGACTTTTTTGTTCTCATTCATCACTATGTATCGAACGTATCTTTGTATCCTTTATCGTACAATTTAAAAGTTGCTGCATGCACTACTTTAATTACTGGACTTCAGTCCGAATAACTGGGGACGAATACTAAAATCACAACTAAGTGGAGAGTACCAAGTACTATACAGGGAGAAAAACAGGAAGGAAAGACGACCAGAGAGCTGGCAAGAGAATAAACGTGACTAGGAGTAAAAGGAGAATTTCGAGAGTTCATTTCCATGTGCCTTTTGATGAACAGTCCACGATAACGATGGTAAGAGCCAAGAGTCATATAATACTGGACTAAACGTCGGACTCTTTGAAGTACACCCAGCGTAAATAATTTTCTATCCAGATTCGAAATAAGCTATTGCATTCGACCTGATGACTTCAACTAAAACCGTCCGTAAACATTAGTGGTCTCTAATTAGGGGATTTTGGTACCCAATCACGCTGCTTGCAATGTGCAGCTAGTTGAATTAGTTATTACATCAATGTGAAGCCTTTGATCACTTCCCAACTATCTGTTAATTAAGTAACTTTCTTTTATATTCTTTTATGTAAATAAGAAGCTGAACTAGAACGAGTTCTTCGCTTTTTCATTATTTTATTTTTGACGAAGCTCCAAAGTATGTTAAATCTTCATTAAAAAATTTCCAACCACTCGCTGCTTTTTTCAAACTTTTTTTACTCATCATTATCATTTATTAGACTTATTCTCATGAAATATTACTCCAATGTTTACCTCAGATGCTAAAAAATAAGATCTCCATTATGACGTTCATCGATAGATCTTTTCTTTGGTTTACTGAATATAAATGGAACAGTTCAATACTGCCAAAATCTAATTAGTATCGAGAATGTCCCTCGAGTGTCCTAAGATTTATATCAAATTTTCCGGATAATCGGTAGAGTCCACGTAGTGCTTGGATGTTGGCAATCTTCGTAATTAAGGGATTCCATACGTACCAAAGCGAATAGAAGAGACTGGAGTAGGTAGACATTGCACTCGCCTGCGAATCCGAATAGCCGAACTCTCGCGCCGAATGCAGAATGGCAATGCAAACCGTGCGGATCGATCGTGCAAATTTACACGGTGCACACGCGACCTTCCTCTCTCTCCCTCTATAGTTCTCTCATGTCCATTTCTCGATGAAAACACGCTATGCTTCAACACTGAGTATATACGCATTTGTTGGCTTGTAAACGAGACCTATTATTGGTCAATCTTGTTTGTGCGATCAACCGTTCACCCTTGATCGCGTATCCAGTCGCGTGAATGATAACTAGTACTGCTCTCAAGCTTGTCATCAATTCAACTAAAGTCAAGCTTTTTTCACGTCATGGATTCCAATTTTATTCTCCATTATTAATTCAGAAATGTCACTCATAATATCGATGTAAGAATTTAATTAATGTTGACTTTTACTAATCTACAAATGAGATAAAATTCAATTTAGTGGTAAAATCTTTTTTAATCATAAAAATTAATGTAATTCATCAATAGAGAAACAATTGTTACAACAAAATAAAAGTGAAAAAATTGATAATTATTCAATTTATTACAATTATTAATTGTAAAAAGTAGTTTCAAATATCAACTCAATAAGTTATCCATTATTTTGCATAGTGGGTAGAATTTCCTTGCTAATAAATTAACACGACAATTGCATTAAAATTTTTAGGCTAAGTTTAGTTAAAATAAAAAATGAAAAAAATAAATAATATTAAATAATGTGGGGAAAAAAATGATCCTCTTCGCCAAGATGATGATTTAACCGATGAGAATACTTCGTGTTACTCAAAGTACTTGGTCGCAGTGGATTTAATTGCAGATATGCGAGGGCATTCCACATCACAACTCAACACTGCTCGTTCATGCCAAAGTGAAACTTGTCTAATTAGTTTACAAACTCACCTTACAATTGGCTTCGTTAAAACTACTTTACCAGACGATTCTCCGATAATTTTCATTTGATAATTGGAACAAGAATGTTTCATTTACTCTCGACTAACTCTACTTGGGAGCATCTAAAGCAGAAATATCTTGAAAGATTATTTATAAATTTCTTAACAAGCCAAACTCAATGATTCGATTTTAACAGCTTGCATATTTTTTTATTCGCTATAATCTCTTTCCAACAAACAGCTATGGTAATTAGTTGAAAAAAATAGGTAAATTACAATAAAAAAATAATCACATCAAAGTAGAAATAAAAATACATTTACCTATTTTTCAGAAAATTATGAAAATTCTCATATTTCTTTATATTTCGTCTATTATATTTTACACCCTCTTTTCTCATCTGTTTTCCCTTATTTCTTGGATGTTTTCCTGCGGCTTTTTGACGATCTCAAATGAATGAGGTTTAAGGATCTCGTTAAATTTGAAAAGTGGCTTTTCGTTCCCTCGCTCTCTCTATGTCGCACACTTGTACTCATGGTCTTCATATCGTTCGTAAGTCTGCTCCTCTTTTAAAAAAATCTCTACGCAATCCGCTCCTCATCAAATAAACTACATCCTCTTCAAATTTCCTTTCTTTAATAATAATAAAGTAGTGAATTAAAAAAACAAAAAAATTAATGATTAATAATCCCCTCAACAAGCAGCTATTCTGATTTCTGTGAAGTAAATAAGAGGTCAACTTAAATAAATAAGGGTTCGAAAATGATTTCTATTTATTCTTGAGTAAGAATAATCTTTTAACCATTAGTGAATATGTACCCTTTAATTTCATACCATATAATATATAAAATGAAAATATTTATTTGTTCAATTATATTTTTTAGTTATAAAAATAAACAACTTAAAAAATTTCATTTCATACCATCAATTTACTCAAAAATTTCTAAGTAAAAACTACTCTTATTTGTGGACAGTCACAAGTGTCGCAAAAACTATACAACTTGATATAAAAATAGTTCTGAATAAAATATAAATTACTCCAAGTTGATTTAATTTTATTCTTTTTACAATAATTTTTGCGTCTCCTTGAGTGGTTTTTATCTCTTCTGATATATCTTAATTGGTCCAAAATATTACAATGATTTTTATTACCCAGAAATTTTTATAATGTATGAAACATTAAATAATTTGAAAAATTATGAAAATTTGTCTAAAATACTTTGATAAAATTCAATAAAACCATTGGAACATAAACAAATTATTCACCTTTTAATCCATAATTCAGAGACATTTAGAAATAGCTAACAGAATAAACAGAAAATTTTGCAAAATTTACATCGAAATAATATACATATATTATAACTAAAAGCATGGAAACAATATTAATTTTACTAGTATTAACGATGACTTGAATGGAACATTCAATGCAATTTTTATTCACAAAAAATAATATATTTTTTACATTTAGGACATGTAATTTTTTGAATAGTTTACTCTATTTTTTCAATAAAAAATTTCAGCTTCAATTTTTTTGAATGTCTGTATAAAATATGTAAACCGCTTTCATTCAAGTTTAATTAAAAAGATATCTTTTTTACGTTTTTTAAAATAAAAATTAATTTAGTTTCAGCATTTAATTCAGTTAAATTGACAGTTTTATCAATTCATAATATGTAAAGCATAATAAACTGAATACAGGAAATGTGTGGCGACTTTATGATGAGTGATGATTCTAGCGATTGGAGGGAATGATGTAAATTCTCTTGAATCAAAACTAGCAGCAATAAATGTCCCAGTGGATTCGCATCAGTTGGTTTTATGTAAATATCTTTGCAAGAGGTATGTTGTGAGGGTGGTGACGTGTATCGATTTGTCGTCCGAACATTTCTCTCTCACTCTCTCTTCTTCTCTGTTTATGATGCGTAGCCGTAATTTTCGTAGCACCGGAACTTGGTTGTGCTTGGAAGTGTGGTATGCACGCTACTAATTCACGTTCCTGTACTCGGTTTCATGTATTGGTCACCAAATAGATACTCGACTGATGCAGGCGTACATTCACCCTGTGCTGTTATTTGTATCAACAAGAATTGTAGCGCCCCAACTACAGCAGCAACAACAACAACAACAACAACAACAACAACAGTAGAGAGACCATACTGCTGAAAACGCATCAGATTTCATGCAGACGCACGAACAATTTGCGTGGCCACTCTTCGTCAGGCACGTGATTACATTATGCTGTGTTGAGTAAACTCAATTATCATGCTAAATCACTCATCAATGAGCCCTGGTTACAAATAAACATTATTGTTACAAATTTTGGAAAAAAATCCTTCAAGAGAAATTTTTACGAACATGGAATCTTGAGTACCTTCATCTTCGGTACCTTATCTTAATATAAATCCTGAATTACGTGGTAAAGTGTAGAGATGTGGATCATGAGCGTTACACAGTGCAATATTGATTTCTTGATAGTCCAACATGGCGACGAGGGTGGCACACGCGCTGAGTCTTTCCTTGGTGCTGTTGATTCTCCATGGAAATCCGGGTTATTCAACCAAGACCTTTACTTTCCCTGAATATCCATACAAGGAAACTAGTAAAAATGTGAGTTAATAAAGTTAAAGTTCTTCTTCAACATATTTCCTGTCACTGGAGTTCGCCATATTGTTTTGGCGGTACAAGTGTTTAAATACGTTCATTAACTTGAAGTTTGATGACTTTTTAGATTAACTGGTTGAAAAATTAGACACTAACAGTGTCGAAGAGTGTTATATTGTACTAATTGAGGTCAATCATGATTAGACTGTAGTCAATTGTTGTCAAGCTTCTTTATACTTGAAATAAAAACAACTCTCACAAATATTTGTTTTCTTGTTTCTGTAGTCGTGAAGATTTACATAAATTCTGCTTATCTTTGTATATTCTAGTGATATAATCAACTATTATTAAGTTGATATTATTGTCTAGGAACTGCTATTTCGTGAATTTGAGCAAGCATGTGAAGAAAGTGGTGCTTGCAAAACGTTATCCCAACCAAGAAGCAGTGTAGCGAAGACTCGATGTATCCGGGAATGTGTGTCGCCCTCTTGTTATAAAGAAATCTACCTCTTTGATCAGGTAATATTGAGCACTATTCTTCAATGATCAAGAACTTATTGACTTTTTTTGTAGCTTGAAGAGGGTGAAATAGACGTGAGGCTGAACTCCTTTAAGGGTTGCTTTATGCAACGAAATGGAAGACCAAAGAAGTAGCCCGAAGAAAATAAAAACAACTTTCGCTCAAGAAATCAAAGGTCCATCAGAACAGAAGAACGACTATTCCTGTAAAAATAAAATTCAATGTCAGGGTCCAATTAATCATAGCCAGCACATTCTTCATACTTTTTACTTATTGTTAATGAACGCACAAATGTTAAGGATAACGTTGTTATAAAGGTAATAATTCTAATCCTTAATTTGCCAAACATTCATATATTACTTATTTTTGCAATTAAATGTCTTTTTTATACATTTTGCATGAGCATAAAAAAGGTGAAGATTTTATTAATAATTTCATTTTTTTAATGAAATTTTTTCATACGAAATATTGAATAGCACTATTCGAATCAATGTTTATTGTACAGTAGAGCAAATATTTCATGCACAAATGTTCAAAATGGTCCTTGTTGTTTTGCTAAAATTTTAACATAAATTTACGTTACAATGCAAACCATTTTAACAATGTGAAAATTTTTTGTACGCAAGACCAAATTAAGGATTAATAATAATACTCACTCAAATCTTTTTCCACTTTGGAGTTAAACCAAAATATCAACTCTTTTTGAAGTGTTCGTCTATTGGCGGAGTTATTTAAATAAGAAGAAAATGTTTGTCACTTCTAGTTAATATACGAGGGCTTATTGTATCTTGTCCTCGCATCTTTCTCTATTTATCTAAATGTATATGTCTACATTCGCGAAATCCGTAGCTCGCATACGTCGAGGCAGAGAACGCGAGATAAAACGCACTAATCCTATTTGAAGAATAATCCAATAATCCGGAAGAAATTCACAGGCATGCGATGTTGAATAATAATGCACAATTTCCAACACGTAGAAATTTTTATATATAATAAATATTTATCAATTAAATTTTATAAGATCAACAAAACTATTTTTCCTCTACAATTAATTAATCTTTATTCATTAATTTACCAACCAAAATAATCATAATCAATTATTAATGAACTATTAATTAACTAAATACGAAACAAATGTAATAATGGATAATCATAAAATTTACAATCAGCTATCAATAAATAAACTGTTATCTAAATCTTAAATTATTCTCGAAATCTGAAAAAAATTCAATTATTAAAAGATAGTCATAACTAAAAATTATGATACCTAATTCTTAAGACTAAAATTATCATTAATATAATTAATGCCAATTTATTAATAATAAATGAAAGTTTTCAATGGCTGTAACATCTTATACACATTTCAATCAATTGTTATTAGTCAATTAATAAAATTAAAAACTGATAAAATTATATTGCCACTGTTCTATACTTACAATCTGAATTAAGCCTTCCACATTTTCCTTCTCAATTGTATTTGTGTTGATTAAATCATAAATATATTCATTCAAACTTTGTACTGTCGTCTGAAATAATGAAGGAGTATTTCTAATAGAGGTATATCCAACTTGGCGTATTTGTTTATCATAAAGAGCTTGTTCTATGCATCCACTATTACAATACAATGCATTTCGAAGCCAAGTTTCTGCGAATTCGAAGAATTTTTGCTGATCGTATTTGCATTTGATCACTGAATTAATCCTTCTAATAGTCCAAGGATAATCGCAACAGCATCTTAATACTTCAGAACAATTTTTACGACAAAAATGGAAGAAGTTTGTTAAAGAAATGAACATAAATTCCCACTCAAATGGTGACATCTAGAAAATGATGAATTTGCAACATTAATTCAGTAAATATATTAAACAAAAAAAAAATGTAAGGAATATTTTTGTTACCCTTCCAAAAAGTTCTAACATTTCTCGGTATATAGCTGGTAAAATAGTTTTTGTTTCATTTTCTTCAATATTAATATTTATAGACTGACAGCCTGTCATATTACTACTCCAAACTGCGTCCCAAAATTTTAAAGCAGCAAGACTAACTGATGATTTTCGCAAAAGTGCTTCAAATAGATCGTTTACATCAATTGAAAAAATAGTTTTACTAGTTATAGCAAATTTCATTTGATTTTTTATCACTAAAGCCAAACAGATAAAACTTGCAACAGAAATCTCATCATAATGTTGATTACTTGTTTTTTTATAAAGATTTTGCATAAAACTTTTACTTTCAATGAGTAACAGAACAACTGGAAAGTTAAATGATATGTTAACATATAAAAAAAATCTTATTATTGGAATTTTTGACAATAAAAATAAATCGAATAATAAAAAATGTTCCTTTACACTTTTCATTTGCTTCTGAATCAAGAGCAAGAATTTTTGAGATAAGAATAATTATGAAACATTCAATGAACTTGTTGATTTTAATATCATCACGTTCTAAAGTTTCCAATAATTTTGAAAAACATTCAATTGCCATATTATTTGTGAGTTTGTCATTGGAAGATTCACATAATAATTTCAGATATTTTTCAACATTTTCTTCTATAAAACAATTTAATTAACACATGAATTAAAAATGAATATTGAGTTCTACAATAATTTCTCACATATTAAAAAATAAATAAAATATCTGATTGAAAATATGATGATAAATGGAAAAATTTCATTATTTACCACAGTCTTGTTCATAGTGAGATAATAATTGAGGAAGTTCCTTCCACAATAGCGTTGTGATGAAAAAATCAATTGAGTTATGTTCAAGTATTATTTTATTAAGTTCTTCAGACGCCCTTTCCACGACTTTTCCTTTACCTGATAGAAGAGAATTCTATAAAGAAATTGAAAAAACTTTTATTGCTTCAGTCGACTTTCAATCATAAATAAAAAATATATATTTATCTATAATTGAGAAAAGGTTTCTTTGATTCTACTAATTTTTATAAACATTAATAAAAATAAGGTTCATGAGTGATCATAATCAAGATTATGTTACGCCGTACCATTAATGAGGCAACAACAATATTCTTGTTCTCTACTCCCACTGTTTCATAAATGTTAGTAATAGGTGGCTCGGCTTCCAGAGATAATTTAACAACTTGATAACGAATTTCATTAGGAAATATAGTAGTTTGAAATACACTCATAAGTATTATTGGATGATGAACGTAGCAAGATTCTACTCCTAGTTTATTCAAAAGCAAAATAATTTGATGTATTGCATCATCTATATGTTTGTTCGATTTTATAGTGTCATATTCCAATAACAAAACCTAGAAATACAAAAATGAATTGAAAACATTATCGTAAATTAATAATGTACGAAAATGAATAAAATAAAAAAAATTCAATACTAACTGAAAGAAAAAACCATGTTATTTGAATGATGAGTATTTGAGGAGGATTATCTGGAGAAAAGTTGACTATTTTTTCTATTAGTGGAATCTCACGCAAACTACTTCTAACATTTTCACTGAAAAAATAAACAAATACATTAAAAATGAATGAAATTGTTGTTAAGAAGATGTTTTTCATTTTACTTACTCCAAATTATAGATATAATGAAGAAACAAGCATAAAAGAAGAGCATCCATGCTAGATGAATCACAAGTAGATACGGAATTTGTTGCAAGAAGTGAAAGTCCATCATTAATATATAAATGAAAACCAGTGGATCCATCACTCCATTTATCTACTGATAAAAAATTTTTTGCTTGAATTAATATTATGTGAGCCATAAACTCACGAATATAACTTTTGTTTTCTGATGGCAGTGCAGGATCTTGAATTTGCCGAAGAAAGTATTTCAAATATTTTTCAATTATTAACTGGTAAGATAATTTTTTAAGATCAACAAGAGGCTCCAATGTAAATAATAAAGTTAAACACTTGACAAAGCTTTTGCTTAATGCAGAAAGCGTTACTTGAAATTCATCTATTTTCTGTTATCCCATGAAATAAATAGTATACTTTTGTTAAAGTCAAAAAAATTATTTCTATTTCTGTCAGAACGAAGAAAAATAAGAGTTGAAATAAATACTTGAAAGTTAGGAATAATGACATCAATAACTATGTCAAAAGAGAATTGAATAATCTCGCGTAACAGCTTAGATCCTTTCGTTTTTTCGACATTTTGACTATTTAGTGTTTCAGAATCAAAACTAAAATTTTCATCAAAGCTTTCATTTAGTCTGAAAAATCAACAATATTTTATGAGGAAAATAATTACTATGGAAATTACTATAACAATATTTAATAACTATTTTAGATAGAGCATAGGAACAGATACACTTACCGTAACCCTTCTATACAAATTCTTAAAGCAAAATAAACAGCTTTGGAAATTGGTAGTAAATCTTCACCAACGTTTTCAGAAATAATTTTACTTAAACCTTTCAAACAATCTTCATATAACTTTTGTATATCATGAAGTTGTGATTTCGTTATGCGATCATCATTTATATACTGCATTACAACAGATAAAAGATGACTACCATTTATTATTTCGACTGGATGTTGTGTATAATTAATATTCAGATTTTTTATTAAAGATAATAATTGATCGATGTAACTGCTTATAATGAATGGAGTGCGAATAATTCTTGCTCTAATAATAAAAAAATTCATTATATTTTCGGTTAATGTTGTCGTATTAAGTAATTAGTAAATTTATTTTCTCAATTTATTACTGACAAAAAGAGCATAAGAATACATACCGATCTGAACAGCTTGCAATAAAGCCTGCCATAAATTTAAGAAGATTATAATCAGAGGTTGAATTTAGAATGATAAAAAATGCAAGCTGTAGAATTTTAGCTGTGGCAAAAACAGCTAAACTACCCGTAAAAAAAATTTCATGTTTTGAAACGTGTTCGAGAAAGTTTAATATTTCACTAAAAAACAATTTCAAAACAATGTAAATACGAATAAATTAGATTGAAGTTCACTAAAGTACATTTGTTTACTGCGAAAACAATAGATTCATTTAAATAATTACAGAAAATATTCTTTGTTATGAATTGATAAACTATCACAAATAATTTTTCCAATGCCGGTATAAAGTAAATTTTCAATGTAGCTTCCTAATTGTTCTCCGGAAAAACTTCTTAGCCGATTGTTTATTTCTTTAATAGCATCAATCTATCGAAAGAAAATTTTCAAAAATAACCAATTGAATAGGAGCTTTCTTTAAGAAAAGTTACTTTTAGTTATTCTTACACATACTTGCAAAAATATTTCTGGACATAGCAAATTTTTTTTTATTGATTCCATTATTTATTCACAGAATTAAATATTAATACTAATATAAATAAAGATTTTTAGAGCAAACAAAAATCGGTTTGTAATCAAATCGTAATTTTCAAGAATAACCGTTATTAATTTTATAGAAGTTTCTTCTCTGAATTTTAACAGATGGCACTATATGTTACGTCCCGTAAAATTTAAATTTAATTACTGATCTTTTTTTTCTTACAATAATTTTTTAATCAAGTAACAGTGTAAACATTATTCTGTGGTAAATAATACAGAATCAAAAATTATAAATTAAGTCGATTTACTATATAATTTTATGTGTATATACAATCTACTATTTGTATCAATAAGATTATGTATCATAACCATAAAAAGATGCTTCAGCTAAAGCTACATCCATATCCTCCCGACGTTTTATTCTTCTACCAATTGGTTCCATATCGTTATAACACTTATCAAAGACTCTTTCTACAGCAGCCAAAGCTTCCTCTTCAGTTGTTTTACGTGAAGCTAATACCGAAATTGCTGCACGTCTTTTAACACATTCTCTATGTTTTTTCCGAAAATCTCGAAGTGATGCGTCCCCTTCGAACCATCCACTGAGAAAACTACAGTATGTAAAATTAGCAGCACGAATTTCAGTACATGCTACGTGATCAATATTCTTGAAATCTAAATTATTTTTACAGTAATCAAACATATGTATCATTTCATGTACTAATACACTTGCAATCATTCCTTTCGATTTTGATGAGTTTTGACAAATTACTATTTGATTCATTTCGGGGTCATAGCCTCCTGTAACCGAAGGATCACATTCTTCACATGAAAAATGTCTTCTTAAATCCATTGAACTGTAAAAACCATTTGAAAGTTAACACTGATTGAAGTAATAAATAATTAGCATGCCATGGCTTGTATAATAATGAATTAAGAAACCAATAAAATAATTCTGTAAAAGATTTTTAAATTTCCAAATACTTACCATCCAGAACTTTTTAATGCACCCATCATCAATTTCACTAATGGATCTATAAACAAAAAATTAAATGAGTTTTTTGCAGTGCTAAAAAATTTTTAACAATAAGAACATAAATAATTTATTCACTCACGTGTTTTAATACAATCGTATAGTTTTTTTTCACAATTAAATTTTTTAAGATCCTCTTTACCTTCTTGCATTAAAATAGTCTTAGAAAAAGTTGTTTGTTTATTTTTTCGTCTATCTGGATAAAGATCTAAACCATATATTGCACCACTATCATCAGGAATAGTTTTTTTTACAGGTGGTTTAAAAATTTCTTCTGATGGTTTGTTATTATCTTTATTATCAGACATATTGAAATACTTATTGAATCAATATTTTTAATTATCTAAAATAAAAACAGTTAACCAATTTCAAAGATTAATTAATTTTTTCCGGCTTTTGTGTTTTCTTTGAGGTTATGTTCTTTTGAAATTCAAAAGGCATGTACACTCAAAAAATTTCCATGACTCCCATCATAAAGTACATGTGCACTCAGCTTTATTAATCCCTGGCTTGTATTTACCCGACGAGCAATTGGCGACCGCGGGAATAATTTTTATTTATATTGAGATTCCAATCTTGAATGTCATAAGTTCAGGGTGAATTGAAAAAACTATAAATTTTAAGATTATATTAAAAATATGATGTTTTAGCATATGAAAGGATTTTTTTTAACATTTAAAAGGTAAAAAGTTCTGTCATGAATAACAACAATTAATAGCAATTTTTTAAAAAAAAGGTAATTGATTATTTATTTTCTGCGTCTCGGAATCAAGATGGCCGTTCAAACATAACACTAGAAAGTTATAATTTATTAATTTCTTAAGTAATTTTTGTTGATGATTGTTAATTGCGGCTGACTTTTTTACTTTTTGATAAAAAAAAAAATTATTTTATATCCTAAACTATTATACTTTCAATATAATTTTAAATTTCATGATTTTTTCAGTCTCGCCTAATAAGCTTCAAAAATTCAAGATGGAAAACCCAAATATAAAAACATCATTACGCGCAATAATTGCTCTTATGGTATAGGGAAGGCATTAATGAAGCCGAACATACTTGAATTTTGACTCAAGAAAAATTTTTCTCTACAGATTACTTTGTGAAAAATAAGTACTTTTCAACGATTAAGGTCAAATCTCGAAAGGCGAGACGGATTCTAGAAACGATTGAAATTAATAAAAAACACAAAAAAAATATTTTTTCACTAATTGTCATGGCTGACCCAATTTTTATCAGCCGTTCATTCTAAAATCAGTATTTTAATTTTATCACTGCGTTTTTTTTTTACAAAATTTTGTATACAATTCTGTATACCATTCTTTAGATCATTTATAATTATTTTTTATATGAAAGAAACCAATAAATAAATCTTATATTGTGAAGAAAAATTTGAGGTGATAATCCCCTAAACAGCCCAGCCATAATGAAGTCGAGTATACATGTGTTTATATACAATTGCAGAGAAAATATAATATAATAGACCTGCATAGAAGTTCAATGTTGTGTTCTGTTTAAAGATTACCCCAAGCCACTCCAACCGAGTTGAACTCCTACCTGGCTCCATAAGAACCCATACTAAATTTTTGGAACACTCTTTTCTCTGACAATTGCAATGGAAAAAACTATTTCTTTTATTGCTTTATTATCGATGAGATGAGATTACAACTACATAAAAACAATTGGACGCGGTATGTCAATTTTCAAAGTTCGCGTTGATAACCTTCATTTTAAAATCATTATTTTTTTAATTCTAAATTATTGTTTGTTCATGGATTTGTCATCAATTTTTTTAGTTATACTCTTTGTTTATTAACGAATAAATTATGAAGAAAATTAATTGCTATTCAATCGTAACATTACAATCAAAATTGAACTATGTCGAAAATGAAATATGGAAGAGCTCCAAAAATCGATTTACATACAGAAATAATCAGTTTAAAAAAACAATTATCGATGACTCTAGGTGAAAATCATCTTCTTAAAGTTAAAATTCGTAGGCTTGAGTATGAATTAAAGAAAAAAGATAAATACATGAATTATTTTTTGATTAATTCTGAAAAGGTATTAATTAGAATTATTTGAAAAATGAAAATCAGTAGCTCACTCATTATTATTTTATTTATAAATTTAAATTACATAATAATTTGATTATCATAGCATTAGTATTTTCCTATTATTATTAAATAAGTAACAAAAATTTTTAGCATCTGGAAAGTCAAAATTTAGCGTACAAAAAAACGTCAAACACAATTATGAAATTGAGGAAAGAGAATGAAGACTTAAAAGAGCTGTTGTTTAAAAAAGAATTACATGATCAAAAAGGTCCATATAGAACAAAAATGACGACTATTTCTTGTGATCAAGTTGACAATAAAGTAATTACATAATAGTGCAAATCTACTTATTTTAAAAAATAGCATAAATTGGTAAATTTTTACATATTTTAGTTCAAGAATCTATTGGGAAGACCTCGGTCTAATTTTTCATCTAGATTAGAAAGTCTTTCAGATTCGCATACACTTCATAAAAATAATAAGAAACATCAAAGAATATTTTCTACAAATTCTCGAAGTGTTGAAACCACCGAGGATTTTTTAAGTAATTATTTTGTCACTCGAGCTGATGCTGATAAACTTATGGAGATGATAAATGTGTTAAAAAAACAACAGGACGTTGATAAAGAGATCATTCATGCTAGAAAGTAAGTTATATATTACCATATCTATTTTCTTTATTGTAAAAGAAAATTAAAACTTTTCATCATTTGTCTTCATTATAGTTCAGAAATCACTCAGCTTGCATCTGAGTTAAAAAATTTAAAAAGCCAATTTAGTGCTGAAAACATTTTGACAAAACGATCAAATGTTTCTGATAAGTTGTTATCACCGAAAAATGTAAATAATAGTCTTGAACAAGATGAACAAACAAAAAGCTCTGAATTCATTCGACCAAAAACTCCTTTAAAGTAAGAAAAAAATACTTGTTCTATTATTAATGATAAAAAGTAATAATTAAAATGCAATATAGGGTACTCGAACCAGTTCAAGAATTAAATGAAAATGAGTCAAGTGATACAAGTAATAAGTCTGATTTGAATTTACATAAACGAACATTCAATTCACATAGAAAAACTATCATAGAATATGCGATAGACTCAGAAGTAAGTTCAGATGAAGAAATTTACTTGTTGAATGCTTAATACTGTGATTATAACTATTATTTATGGAAAATATTATATTTTTGATAAAAAGACATGATAATTGTGTCATGAATGAAAGAATTTATTGCATCGATATATCCAATATTAATAATTTTCTACAGAATATACAAATATATATCTTGCTAAGCTAGAATATATCAATAAATAAATTATATCAAAATTAATGACAAAAAGTTTGTTTATATTCAATTAATGTAAAATTTTTGGTCGTACATGTTATAATGGCTTCATAATTGTTAGTCAATAAAATGATTTTAGCTGCTTAGAAAAACTTTCAATGAAAAACCAAAAATTTTTGTCATCCATTTGAAAATTCTACATGTTTAACTACGACAAACTAAATGATGAATAGATATAATATCTTGTTACTACTAAGAAGGTGAAGTATGAATTTCTTGCTACGCAAAAATTTATCAGTCTGTTAGAAAATTATGGCTTACAATTATATCTTAATTATTTGATTTATACAAGTATGTCTCAAATCTTTCGTTAAAAATATTCATTCAAAACGTATCTTAATATATTTTAAAATAACATTGATTATTTATCATTAAATTAAGATATAAAGTTATAGTTAAATAAAAAAATAAAATTGTAAATAAAGTTCATTTTTTTATCCATTCATTTAAAATGTATCTTCAAATTTCATAAAGAAAATAAAAAATATAACCTTATCTCCACAAACAATATTTGTCATGGTCAAGAAAATTAAATAAAAAATAATGATTAACTTAATTTTTGTAGTTATTCACATTAAAAAGTGACAATTAATTAATCAAACTTTATGAAAGCTCTTAAAATCTCAAATCATGATTATAACTGTAAGTACGTACAGAAAATAATTCTTTAGAAAACTTGCAAATATTATTACGCTTGTTTGTGATGAATTAAACAATTGTACACCCATTTTATGGCAGATTGTGCTCGTCCTTGGTGTCGAAGTCCTGGCAATAACAGAGTCACCATAACTAGATAATAAAAACATTAAAATAAATCAATGCATAGAATCATATTCACAACGATTTTATAAAATAAATAGAATACTTACGCATTAAATAAATAAGGAGTAAATTATTAACAATATTTCCTAACCATGCTAGAAGACTCAAACAAACAGTAGTTAAACCGTAATACTGGAAATAAATATAACCAAACTTAATAAAAATTAATATCACAAATTAACAAATATTATTTAAATTATACTAACAACATTAGGGCGATTATTGCGTGCACTGAGAATCGATTTCCAGATGCTCTTTATCTGTAAAATAGTTTCGCTGACTTTTTGACAAATTTCATCAAACTTGCGTTCTTTTTGACCATTCCATGAATTTGATGGAATAAATGTAGATATCAATATAGGAACTAGATAGTCTGTTAAAGCCAACACCAGTAGTGATATTGAAATAATTGTTAGAAACGCCGGCTCCGTCAACCAAATTAATCTATGAGTAAACAATGGAAATTAAGAGTTGGTATAATGTATGTCTGTGTTCTACTTATTGATCATTATCAGTATTTTTCTTTGACAGCAATTACTTTAATAATCAATATAAAACGTAAATAATAAAAGACTTACAAAAATATAATTGATATACTTCCAAAAATGAGACCAGGATACCAAGGTTTTTCCCATAAAAGTATCGAGTTCAATGGTAAAATAATTTCTCTCCAACATTCCATTTTCTTTTTGAGTTGCTTCATGTATTTTTCCTTTATAGAATCATAATAACAATTTCTTAACCTCTATTTTCATAAAGTAAACTATTGAAAATATAAAAATCCATGAAAATATTATTACCTTTTCAAAGTCAAGCATGTTGTTACGTCTAATTTTCAAATCTTAAAAAAACTTTGGCGTCTCTTCTCTTTGTTCAGAACAGAATAAAAATTATATGAAGTAAGATAGTAAATTACTAGAATGTAAAATCGTGTAATAATTTGATCATGTTAATAACAGGCGTCGATAAATGTTATTTTTTCAATTAATCAAAACCCAAAAGTACCAAAAGGGCAATAAACGTCGATACTTAGGAACTTTGTGAGAGAAAGATAGGCAGAGAAGTGAGACGAAAGTTAAATCCAGTAGTGGGAGAGAAAGCAGTGAGTAGAGGGTGAGAAGTGATCGCTGGGTTTGAGATTATAAAGTAAAATAACGTTGATTGGTTAGCTGTTCAAAATGTTGGTTATTGCGGGCGATGCCGTGCCGATGTTGTGACGTTAAAGATTTTTATCGTTTCCGTACTGTTGAGAAACACATCCTAAGGTGGCTTTTTACATCGGAGACTAACCTAAGGGTGAAGAAAAATCACTAACAATGAGTTCGGTAAGTTTCTAGACATGTATTGGCCTTTAATTTGATGATTCGTGGTCATGATGGTTGATTGTTTACCTCAGACAAATTGGCTGGCGTTCAGAACCATGAAATTCGCGGGAGAAAACTTTTCTAATATCTTTCAAGTCTTGTAACTGACTTATTTGAATTCCAGATATCAAATGTTGAAAATTTATCACCACAAATCATACGTAGGGTAGCTAAGGAGATGACGGAGCTTGCTAGTCATCCACCTGAAGGAATTCGAGTCATTATCAATGATGAAGATGTCACTGACATTCAGGCTGTCATCGAGGGCCCTGGTATGTACTCACGTTTTCTAGTTTTTTCTTAAAAAATTATCCTAATATTATTTCCTTTATGGTTTGTGGTCTAGATTTCAGTTCATTTTAGTTTTATTGTTTCTTACTGAACATAATTATAACTTACACAAAGTTTTATTGTGACGTACACATTCGTAAAAAAAATTTTAAACAAGATAATAATTTAAACTTATGATGTTGATATTTACTCACAGCTGGTACTCCCTACGCAGACGGTCACTTCAGAGTTAAGCTTGCTCTGGGTAAGGATTTTCCCCAAGGACCACCAAAAGCTTTCTTCCTTACTAAAATCTTCCATCCCAATGTTGCTAAAAATGGTGAGATTTGTGTTAATACTTTGAAGAAAGATTGGAAGTCTGATCTTGGAATCAAACACATACTATTAGTAAGTTATAAATAAATCATACAACTATTAAATTTATTTTTTATTTTTAAATGTTTCGTTAAGTTACTAAACTTAATTGATATTTCTAGACTGTGAAGTGCCTACTCATAGTACCTAATGCCGAGTCTGCCTTGAATGAAGAGGCAGGAAAAATGCTCCTAGAGAAGTATGATGATTACTCTGCACGAGCAAGAATGATGACAGAAATCCATGCACAGGTAAGTTACATTCTAAAACAATGTTTCTATTACTTCAACCTATTTATTGATTATAAATTATTATTTTCTATACATTAGGGAGGTGGAAAAGGCAGTAAAGCTGGACTAGAAAGCTGTACCTCCTCCGAAGTTGGTGGTCCTCTTCCGAAAAAGCATGCAAGTGATAAAAAAATGACAGCTGAAAAGAAGAAGATGTTAAGAGACAAAAAAAGAACGCTCAAGCGATTATAAATAAATAATAAGTTATTGTACCTTTTCCCCATCCCTATTCCTTCAGAGATCTTTTAACTAAAAAACAAAATGCTTGGTGTGGTCGAATTATCTCATCTTTATTGTATACTTTAACTTTATAGAGAAAAATAACAAGAAAAAACCAAAAAAATCCATCATATGACTGACATTATCTAGATTTCAACATGTTTAAAAATACGAATTTAAATAGAATAAGTAATATTTGGGTGTATTAATGAAGAGAACATAAATTTTAGGCATAAGTTTTCTTTTGTGGTTTATTTAATGTTGTCAAAATTTACGGATCAAGAATAATTTAAATTGTAGTTTCATTTGATTCTTTTAAGTAGCAAATATTTTTACATGTACAGAATTATATATAATTAGGTGAAGTAGATAAATAAAATGTTTTCTGATAATTGAATGTGTTCAAAAATTATTTGAAACATTCGAAATCAATTTTTTTTATTAAAATTACTTTATGTTCTTGAACATTTTAATTCATAATTTTCCTTTTTTTAATTAAAAAACATTTTTGTCGATTAAAATTATTTTTAAAGGGACCAAGGTAATGAAAAAATCCAATTAAATACTATTAAATCTTCTTTATTTTTTCTCCGTGTTGAAATAGTTTGGTTTCAGTCTTCAACCACGATTGTGATTTGAGTTGTTTTTAATTTTAATAATTGATTGTTTCTCTCTGTAATAATCAAATATATTTTATTTATATTGACTGAATATTCGTCGCATAGAATTTGTGAGCGACATTAGAATTTATTTAAGCACTTAGATTTTTTGACAAAAATAAGAAAAGATTGTTAAAATTGTAATTGTCACAGCCTTATCCAACTACAAAATACTACATGAGATCATGTGTATAGTTTCGAGTATTAAAATTTAAAAAGAAACACAAATAAATAAAAAATATTGTTAATCCAGATTTGAATTATCTTCAGTTAGAAATAATTGGGAAATCAATTTTTATTCGATAATTAAGTTTTTAAAAAAAATCTTATTCTACAAGTTATTAAATGTACATATGTTTTTGTGATCATTCTGTTAATTTTCTCACACTCACGAGTTGATAACATACTAGTTTCAATAATTTCATATTTTGGTCTATAATTCATTAATTTATTAATTATTATTATTATAATTATTTTTGTATTATTAAATTAGTTTATCTCCATTCTTTGTATTACTCTCTAAACTTTTTTATTCAAATAGTTAAAAATTTTACCAAGGAAAAAAGAAAAAAAACGCATTGTCTTATAATTTCGTCAGTTATTAATTATTAGTTAGAGAATAATCTTTGTACCTTTATAAATGATACATTAACATTATCTTGATATAATGCAACTGCAAATTCAAATAATGCAAAAAAAAATTCCTTATGGAATTAAAAATCTGTTCTCTTAAAAAAAAAGTTTGTTAAACATTAATTTTCTTTGCACATCTAAACTATGCCTCATCGATGATAATCAGTAATAAACACATTTTCCAAGTGTTTAATAGGAAAAATGAGCGATCATAAAAGAAAAACTTATTTAAATCACGATAAGAATCTTCACCACGCTACTTCACTTCCTTAACATAAGCCTCCAATTCGGCGTCTAGTTCTTCAGCTGTTGGTGTTTTTGCAGGTGTTCTAGCACCTCCACGACCTCCACGTCTTCCTCCTGCAGCACGACCTAAAAAATATATTAACATAAAATGAGAAAAATGATAAAATTATATTTTTATAGATAAATCATTGAATATTGATCTGCAACTATAACCAATTAAGTATTTAACTTGACATCGTTGACATTTAAAATGATAAATGATTTTCTTTTATTTTCATAATGAAATATATTTTTTTATATTGAATAATTTAAAAAAATGTTTTTCATCCAACTCCAATTAATTAAATAAATATTGGCTTATTTTGTTAAATAATATTCAAAAAGTAAACGTTTAACAGAAATTAAAAAAAAAACAACAAAAAACAGACTCATGTATCAATGTATTAAATAAATATTTTACCTCTAGCAGCCGTATTAGTACCACGTGATCCTCTGAATCGACTTGTTGGTGATCTTTGTGAAAAGTTGCCGGTTGCAAGTCTTGATGCACGTACGGATGAGGTGACAGGTAATTCTGATGTTGCCACTTGGATTTTCATTTCACGACCTATTGTTACAGAAAATACGGGTCGAATGGTTATATGCTATAAAAGAATTGAGTAATGGGAACCAAATCTACCTGCTCCGAAGTAAAAGGTACATCGGATTCAATAGACAGAATATAATACACTGTAAATATAATAAACAATAAAACTAAAGTAACTGAATTTAGTATAGTTACCATCAAGAGGGACACCATTGTATTGTTTCATTGCCTTAATTGCATCAGCCCTTCGTTCGAAAATCACATCAGCCGATCCCAATGACCTGCCAGACCTATCATAATGGACTGCTGCTGATTTTAAAGGCCCAAACTCACTAAATAGTTCCTGCGAAAAAAAAAATTTTGAAAGTTATAATCTTGTAATTTACAATCATAACAATGAATAACTTGTGGAATTTCCAATTACCTGAATATCTGAGTCTGAAACTCCAAAATCCAGGTTGGAGACAAGCAACTTGGTACTTTCTACACCACCAATTGCACCTCTACCTACTTTTTTGACACCTTCGAACATATCGTGCTTCCAAGCACTGTTCACATCACCCTGTGGATAAGAAATTCTCACTAATAATATGTTTGAAAATGGAAAATGTATAATGGAGTTCAATAACACTCGAAATATTTGTATAAATGGAAGATTGTATTTATGAATAACGATTCGTTTCTTGAAGCTTAATTGTTTTAGAATAAAATTATATCATTTTTGAAAATTAAGATGCTAAATTTTACTAAATGAATGAAGGAAATGTTGGAAAGTTCAAGAAAATGCAAAAACCGACGCTTCGATTGAGTGAGGTTAAGACAAAATATAAATCTGAATTAAAACAAAATAAAAACTCACTCTAGTATAAGGTGCTGATGCTCTTGCAATTCCTCCACGATTACGACCTCTCATAACTCCTCCTCTTCGTTGTGTTCCACGAGCACCTCTTCTAGGCAGGGTACCGCCGGTTCCTCGTCCTCGTCGATTTGTGCCACGCGTCCTTCCTCCTTTATTATGTTTGATAATATCGTCCAAACTCATTTCGATTTTGTCTACCATTTTCATTTTCAAGTTTTAAATAATTTAACTAACTGAGAAGTTAACACGTTAACGTTTAATGTTAATCTGAGCCAAACCTGAACTATCCAACCTCATACACCACCCGGAACGACTAAGCTGTGAAAATGGCGGTATAGTCGACTGAGAAGAGAGTTCCTCAGTTGCTTCAATGCTTTTGGGCTCCCCACCACTGATTTCTTACCCCTTCTACCATGGTTTTCGGTACTGCGCAAGCGTACAAGAGCACATGAGGAACTCTCTTTTCAGTCCGACTATACCCGCATAGGAAATTCGATCAGAGTGGGGAGAGAGCGTCGCGTCAGTCTAGCTTTCCAAAATGGCGGCCTTTTGTCATACACAAATATTTTTTTTTGATCCTTAGTATAAGGATCCATTTTATTTAAAAATAAGTTATAATAAATAACATTATTTTATTTATATAATTTCGATTATATTTTATAGAGATTTTATGCATTTAATTATTATCAGCGATCAAAATTTTTTGAATTTTGAAAAACCCTCGGAAAAGTTTGCACTAACATGTTTGCTAGATGACGCTATGGATACTATTCCCAGAATACCATGCTCTCTCATCGAAATTGGTTGAAATATAATTGGCGGATTTTCATCAATCTGTTGAATAAGTATAGGTTATAATCTTTTTGAACAACACGTGTATTGTGTGTGTGCTTCTATCACAAACAATAGATGTTTTCATTCCAATTATGATAGTAATTGATTCATTTTATGAAATAGTTTAATTTTTTTCGATTTCGTTAGTGTGAATAATTATAATATTTAAAAATGCATGATAAAAGTACCAAAAACTTAACAAAAGATGTTAAAACTATTGGTGAAGTTGATAATTTAGTAGTTAAAAGGATAGGTGGTGGAAGTATAATTGATCATCGTCCTCTTTTTTCTACTGATGGAGAGTAAGTATTAAATATTATTTACATTATGAGATAATTATATCACTGAAATGAAATCATATAAATTGAACGAATTACTTTTAAAGGATATTGTATGTAGTGTGGAAACAAGTCATCAGAGCTTACAGCACTAGAACAGGTGATTTTGTAAGAGAATTTGAACCTACAGACAATAAAATAGCTGGAATAGTATTTCATCCTGATAATTCAGATCATATAGTGGGATGTACAGAAACTGGTCATCTCGTGTATTGGAATTCTGAAAATGGACTGATAATAAAAAATCTAGTAAGTCTTAAAATCAGATATTAATTATTTTTTCATTAATCTTTTCAATATTTTACTTCTGTTGATTCTGTTGATACTTATGCCTGTAAATTGATAACATTTCTTAAATATTATAGGACCTTCAAATTCATCCAGTCGATAAAATAAGGAGTTTTCATATAATCCATTACAAAAATTATAAAGGAAAAAACATACGACAGACTCTTATTTCTTTTAATATTAAAGCCAATAAAACTATTCAACTTATTTTATTTGATATTGACACTGGAGAAAACATAAAATCAACATGTATTGAGTACGTAAATATTTATAGTTACCAACATGTTATTTAAAGAAAAATTTATAACATTGAATATAATTTATTTAATTTAAATCTCATGATGTTTATTTTCAGACAAATTTCACCAAATTATCATATAGACATAATTGGTAATCATGGAGATAACTTGATAGCCCTTGTTCAAGATGTTGATCTCCATATTTTTTCACCAGCTCGGAATTTATTTAATAAAATGTAAGTTGCTTTTCAACGTAAACGATTGGCTCAAAGTTTCTTTCAATATTTATAATTTAAGTAAATAATTGAATTACTGAAGAAAAATCATGATATTTTCAGCCATAAAATTGGATTTGGTGGCCGAAAATTTACTTGTGTAACAGGACATCCCGAAGAAGAATGTGTAGCAACAGGTGATTCAAGCGGAAGAGTTGCAGTATGGAAAAATTTATTTCATAATCATCCTGTGTACGGGTCTTATCATTGGCACACGCTGCCGGTAACAGAAATTGCATTCAGTAGATCTGGTAAATAGTAATCAACAATATCATTGCACAATATTGTGCTAAACATTATGTTACACAGTATTACAGTATTATACTGTCACTTCTTGTTGATAATCTTATTGATTGCATATAGGTGGTCAGATGTACACTGGTGGCAACGAGTGTGTACTTGTTAAGTGGGTTCTAGCAAATCCTCACAATAAATCTTTTTTGCCGCGGCTACCAGCTCCAATCAAATATTTAACATTAGCTCCAGATAATCTGTACGTTGCTGTTTCTACTTTGGACAACGGCATTATTGTTGTTGATCCTCAAAAGAAATTAACAGCTGTCATTCAGAATTTTACTTGGGGTGTCAGCACGGCGCAAAAAGATCTTTTTCCTGCTGGGTTAACTTTGGATCCTCGTACAGGATCTTTAGTTCTCAATAGTCGTACTGGACATGTTCAATTTTTTGATGTTCGAACCAAAAGTCTTCTTTATAATGTAAGTTACAATTTGATAGATTATTTATAAATAAAAATTCTGACTTATTTATTGGTTACAGATTCATATCACAGCTCAAAATTTATTAACACAAGTACCTAATGCTGTCATTGTAAATACAGAGGTTACTAAAATAGCATTAAATAATGATGGCTCATGGATGGCAACTGTTGAAGAACGAGATGATAAAATATCCAGTCCAGAAATACGACTGAAATATTGGAAATTTGATGCCAAAAATCAAAAGTAATTATTTATCAAGTAATCAAGTCTTTTTTTTGTTTATATTTACACAAATTATTTATTTTAGATTTACTTTAAATACTGCAATAGAGCTTCCTCATGACGTTGGTGTTAATGCGTTGGTATTTCAACCAACTGTGACTCTTGATGGCGAACATCCTTTGGCTGTTACTGTGGGAAAAGATAAAAAATTCAAAGTGTGGAATTTAGCTGAAACTAATTCTATCGAACGTAGGATATTTTATTTATTATAATGATTTTGTTTTTTATTGGTATAAAAATAATCATTTAACTTTTAGAACCTGTTAAACATTGGCAATGTTATGCATTGGGAATGTATCGAGACTTACCTGCTTGTGATGCTGGCTTTTCTATTGATGGTTCAATTTTAGGAGTCAGCTTTGGTTCTAGTCTTACCATTTGGACAGCAGAAACTATTAATTTGAAAAATAGTCTGACTCATAGTCGCTATTCTCAAAACATTACGTAAGATAAAATAAAAATTTTCATTAAATAATTTTATAATTCATTGAATAAAACAAAACTATATTGTTATTTTTTAGGCGTGTAGAATTTGGAAAACATGAAATCTGTCATCTCGTGGTTGTAGCGTCATCAGAACATATTGCTGTATGGAATTTGTTGACGCTAAATATGACTTGGAGTGTACCTTTGAAATTATCAACCCTGACAGCAGATCCAAATTCTACGTACATGGCAGCTTTTACAACAAATAACACCCTCTTCATTTTTACACCTCAATCTTCAAAACCAGTTTATATTAGAAAAAATATCCTGGATGCAGGTAGTGTTGTTTTAGCTGCAAGTTTTGTACCCAATATTCAAGAAAAACGGATTTCGGAAAGCAAAAATTGGTTGCGGAAATCTCAATTATTTTTCCTGGATTCAAATCAAGAACTTTTGACTTTGGAACCAGAATCTGAAACATCAGTGTTGTTGGAAAATTTAACTACTAGTGGAAGTTTACCGGCAACAGCATTTAGCAGTATGATATCAGTGAAGACAATTACGAATGTTGAGCGGAAAACCTCATTTTTCCATGAACAATTTAATGCTGCTAAAAAGAGTGTAGTTGAAGAGGTAAGGACTTTAAAAAATAATATATCCAAGTACTTCATCATTTATTTGATACTCTCTTAAATAATAAACAAAATAGGACAGCTAGATGACTATAGTGGTTAGTAATGGAGCTTTAGTAATGTTTTTTTTTTTCGAGTGGGTAATCGTTTAGACATTAAGTAGATATTCGGCAAATAGCTGGAGTAGTCCAGCTGGGTTCTCATGGGTCAGTGTTTCCTTGCAAGTCGATAATTCCTGCAGCGACGTACGAGGTCAAATTTCCTGTAGCGTAAACAATGCCATTGAGGTATTTGTCTCATGTTATCAAATGCCTGCATTAAGAATAAGTGAGAAAAATTAATAGAAGCTATAGAGAGTTGAAGGATTAGAGATGAACAATAATAAACCACTACTTACTGCATCTGGGTCACTCACGGGGTATCCGTTGACTGATCCAATGAGGAAGAACGCCAGGAAAAAGAAGAAAATTGAAATAATACTGAACTTCATTCGCATTAGAAAACTTCAATAAATTCTTGAAAAGAAGAGATTTAAGTAATACAAATCTCCAAGATTATTAAGTATTCCAACTGAATTTTGTTATTAGTTATGATAATTAGAAATATTAGAATTGTATTTCTCGACTGTTTTAGCACTACTGGACCTTCAGAAGTCGCGGCATCATTTAATATAGACCCTTGTCTCCCCTCTTTTTCTCATCATCTCCCTTTTCCAAGCTATTTTCCCTCCTCTTCGGACTCTCCCTCATTTTCTCTTTCTCCTTTCAATTCATTATTAATTTACAATAGCTTCTGAACATTTTTTTTTCGTTAATTGAACAACTAAATTAACTATTCTTAAGAAACGTTAAACTTTAATAATAAGTGACCATTCGATTGATGAACTAATATTTAATATCAGATTTAGTAGTATTTTGCAGTGTTATATTATTGAATAGATGTATAGGAGTTTTTGTATTCTCTTTTAAGTCATGGTCATGCTCATAATGTTTTTAATTAGCCAGTAATTTAGACGAGGGTAGAAGAACACAAAATATTAAATAACCAATTCATTAGATCACGTGGAATTTTATTAGTTTATTAACAATTGTTTGTTTCAATGTTCAGGGTTGGTCGTTCTAAGCTGTATAATATTAATGTTTTTGATTTATATGATTCTCATAAAAACAGGTGAAACAACAACACCTATTATCATTAACTAATTTTTCAATGATAAAATTATCATATCGTGTAAATATACATTTTATAGTCATTCTAAACATGATCGGAATGATTTATATAGTGAATGATTCAAATAGATGAGATGATTTCAAAAATAACCATATCTAAATACTATGATGAAGTGTTCTAGTTTCACTTCTTTCAAAAGAGTTTTCATGGTTAAAGATATTATCAATTAATAACATAGTATGTCGTGATATTCTTTGGATTCGCCTACAAGTATTTTAACTACTAAGTATTGTGATTGACGATCGAGAGCAGTGACCTGGGGATCACTGCTCCCGCAATTGATCTGACATAATCTGGTCTCAGTGAGTGGGGAAGGCGTTAGTAGCTTGAAAGTCAGTTGACTTTTTAAGTACTCATTTAATCAACATCATTGACAATAACACCACGAGACAAATCTGAATTGCCAGAAAATTTATTTTATGCTTGACTAACCAGATATAATGAATGGGAAGCAACAGGCATTCAGAGGCAGGAAATACAGTATGATATTGAAACAATAAGGGGAAGTTTGCTTCTCACTAACTTGGTCTTATTGACGTAGGTATTCAAGGTAGTCGTGTCCACTCTAGTTGAAATATTTTTGTATGAAAAGTATAATGCGTCAACGATAGCGCCAGAGGAAATACGTGGGTTTAATAAAGATGAATCAACTGAGATATCGTGCAAATTGCGGAAAATTAAAATTTAGGTCGCGACTTCTTTATTGAGAATCAGCTCTTATCACTTTCCTGGCCTTAGCCCATATTGTGTTCATTGGTCACAGAAATCATTTTCAATCCGTTATTTACTTATTAGAATATGTTTTAAAATGAATTTGTTATAAAATTTCAGGTCTTCATTCAGTTTATTAGTATATTTCGAATGAAAAATTTTGAAATGTTGAAGAAATTTTCAAAGTATTGATGATCGAAACATATTAATAAAATAATAATTTTTTCAAAGCACAGCAGTTTTGTGCATTTTTTAATTTTTATGAATGTTGATTGAAATCTTGTCCTTTCAGCTCCTTACAGTCTCAGCACACACATTACCACCTATGAGGATGCTTTGTGGACCTTTTATCTTGTCACTCAGAGCTCAGAATGTACCGAAGGCCAAAGTTCAAGAAGAAAAGCTTTCAAGGTATGTATAGAACATGCTAGTACAATAAAACGATATTTATTGTGTACATAATTATTTTTACTTGTTTTATTCATCATTATTCGTTGTCATTAATTCTTCTCTGTTTATCTATTTTATTGTTTTGTCTAAAATACTATATTGAAAACTACAAAAAAGTGTTATAACGTTAAAAAACAACAATATATATTTTTTTTGTCTAGCCCAATTAATGAAATTCAACATTCTGAAGATGACAGTGACGATGAAGATAAAAGTCCGCCTTTATTCAAAAACGTTTTAGAGGATGAAGTTCAAGAAACTAAAGAAGATGACGAAAACGAAATGAATCCAAACCTTGTCAGTTATGACTGGAACTTTTTAGCTAGTGTTATTCCTACCATTGAGATTTCTTAATGTTACTTATTTGTTTTATATTGATGTAATATATTTGATTTAAACGATTTTTTTAGATCATAGTTATTACCTGAGTATAGTGTAATAATAGTTAAACATTTTAAGAAATTTACAGAAAGATTTCTAATTAATAATTTGATTTCAATGATCATTTGATAAGAACCAATTGTTCGATATAATGAAATTATGTTTAACATAATAAAAAAATTGGAAATACATAAGTTCAGACAATTACTTTTATTTACAATTAGTTAATAACATATCTTTGTTTTGAAAAACCAGTATAGTTATTATCTATTTACTTTTAAAGAAGATATTATAATTTATAAACTCAAACTTGTGTTTAAAGAACTTGAAAACATTTTATTCATAGCTATGTGATGTGGATATTTATATTAGTTGAACATTGATAAAAAAAACAATAATTATAAATCAAGTAGAGAATAAGTAAATGAGGCATTTATTTTAAAATAAAATTCAACCATGAATTCTAGATTCATAACAGCTTATCCCAAAAAATTAGACGTACTCGTTTACGATTAAGAAAACAATCGATATTCTTTTTAAATTAAAACAAAGAACACGTTTATTGAGAAAATGAATTTTTAATAAAATTGAAAAGCCTTCGTAAAATAATTTGCAATCAATCTGTGCCAGGATTACCAATAACATAATGTTCTTGCTTGTCGGATTATTAATTTTTTCAATGAGTATGCTGAACAACATTATAAATAGAAGACAATAAGATTTATATATATATTTAAACTGATGCAATACACATTTCTGGAGACAACAATGACGATGAAAATAAAAATACGTATCTATTCATAGCAATTCTAAAGAATGAGATTCGTAGAACTTAGGAAGATGACGAATCCCAAATGTATAACAACAACTATCCCAAAGTGTCTCAATTGAAGTAAAACATTAAACATTTTTATTATCTTAAATTCTGATTTATTTAATGAGTTAAATTAATTAAATTAGAGACATTACAATAATCGTTTGTTAATATAAGATTTTTTATGTTTATTATTAAAACTTTTCTTATAATTATATCTTCTTCATTTAAGAAATATTATGACGGTCGAGGAAGTGAGTCAAGCTTTAATGAAAGCTCTACTAATTCTTCAATGATTTCTCTCATTCGTAAATTATAAAGCGAATCTTTTTCCATATTCTCTAAAACAATATCTCTTCTATCTTTATATCTATAATTTACATATAGCTCAGGAGTATTCATAATTTGGGCACCAAGTTTGCCATCAAGAAGAACAGTGGGAAAATAAAGTACTGCTGTTACAACAGCTCCCACTTTTTGTTCTTCGTAACTTTGAAGAAGTTCATTCCAAGAAGGTATAGTAATTTTAACATTCAAGTTAAAGTTCAAACAATTTTTCAATTCATTATGATAGTACTTAATTAACTCTAGTCCTTTAGTGTCACGTATTTGTCTTGAAGAGCAAAGGTATAAAAACTGTGCAATATCATGACCAAAAGGTGCATACCTGAGAAGTTGAAAATCAACAAGACGACAGTTTGGTGGTGAACTGTTATCAAATAGTAGATTATTGGACCATAAATCACCATGACTAATGACATTCTGTTTAGTTTTTGATGGTTTGATAGCTTCGTAGACTTGATCACATATTGAAGAAATAAAATTTGTACTCAAACCCATGATTTCTGCTACTTTAATAGCCACATCTACGCCTGCACGATACCAACAGTATTGATTTCCAGTAGTAGCAAAGTAATTCTGTGCAAAAACGTCAGGATAAATTTGATTCAGTGGTTGTCCAAGATGTTTTTCAAGAACCAAAGAAGCTGCATGAAGATTAGCTAGAGCTTTCAAACCAGATTTTAAAAGCTCTTCATTTAAAACTTTTGGGCGCATACTGAATCCGAGACTGCTCAAATCTTCCAACACTAGAACATCATCCTTTGCCAAGTAACATTGAGGACCCCAAACATCCCCAAAGTATTTTTCAGTCATTTGGGGTACAAGCTTTTTAAAGAATCCGGTTTCTTGATAGAAAATTTGACAATCTTTTATGTAAGAAGCTTGATCTGGTTGATCATAAGGAATAATTTTAACGAAGAAACTAAGATTAGTAATAGTTTCATTAAAATTTCTTATTTTAATCTCTAGACGTTTATGAGAAGCCAAAAATCCGATTTGTTCTTCACAGTAAGGCCGAATTGAATAATCTAAAATAACTATTTTTTTTTCTTTTAACATTTGTTCTGCAATTGATTGAACATCTTTTGCCGACAAAATTGTTTTAAAGTCGAAAGGAGACGGTGCCTGTTTGCTTGTTAACATTGTAACTACTTAACTAATGTTTTAATTGATAGTAAGATGAATTTCTATCAAGATAAGACAGATAAAAAATTTAATATTAAGTGAAAAGTAATGAATTTATTCATTACTCCTTACAGATAACTGTGCTATATAAACATTGATAAAGAATTCTTCGTTATAAATTAATAAGAAGGTGCTCTCGTGGAACATTTATAATAAATGTGAAAATATTAAAGACAGCCAAAGTACTGATAATTCAGTAATATTTTTCATGACTATTTCTGAAAAGTAACCAACATAGTATTTTCACAAAGGTGAAGACACTGGCACCAATGAAGAAACCCAATGTACTTGCTACTTTAACTGAAAATAAATGAATTAATCAATTAGAAACCTTTTCAGTATATTAATTTAATTATATCAATATAACTTACTAATGACATCCAATAAAGAAACCAAGGTGTATCGATAGTATCGAATTGTTGGTCCAGGTAACATATTAAATTCTAATTGAGAACTAGCCCATTCTGGAATATCGGTTTTAATATTGTTTTCAAAAAGCTTAATTTTTGTTTCTTCACAACTCGGTAAACAAATGTTATCATCAATATCAACTAATTCATCCATCAATCCATTTGAGCAATAACTCAATTCAGTTTGATTACAGGTTCTATATTTGTTAGAAGCTGGAAAGACATGACCAACGCAACCACAACGTTCATAAAATTTGGCCATTTGCGCCTCCATTATACACCCAGGATAACTATAATATTTAGAAAAAAATAAACCTTCTGTTTCATTAGTCAATCTGCATTTACGTTGGTTTATCATTGCAGAAATAGCTTCTCCATTGTTATATGTTGGTAGTTGAGTTATATCCCAAATTTTAGATTTTGGATGATTCCATTGAGCTGATAAGTAATTATTATGACCAGTAGTTTGTGTTGGATATTCTAGAGGATCCGTAAGTAAAGCCTATCAAAAATTACTTCTATTTATTATATTATTTATAACTATGAAATAAAGATATGAATAAATAAAATAAATTACTGCTAAGAAGCTTCGAGACGAAAGCCAAAAACTTGTTTTATTCAAAAATAAAGTAAATTTCGCAGATGGTTGATGATGACTCATAAAAAATTCTTGCAGATTCGGATCTGTTGGTTTTCCCGCATGTATGCTATTGAATGATAGACACCCTCCAAGGTTGGAATGAAGAGGAAAAAAAATTTTGCAACAATCTATAGGTTCGTCGTTCCATTTGCACACACCAAAAATATCCGAACATTCAGGAATTAACTGTAATTTTTTTTAAAATATTATTTTAAATAAATCTAATCCTTACAATTAATATAATAAGATAAAGATATTTTATTTTACACTTTCTCTTAAATTAATAAATTCTTGTGAACTCATAGGATACTTCATACTATTGTCGTAGCCTAATTTAACCCAATGACTGAGTCGAGACAATGTTCCCGTTTTTTGAGGAGAGGTACGAGTGATCCTAAAAAATATATTATTTACAAATACAAAGGAATTAGCACGTCAAGATGTCATGATTTAGTAGGAAACTATTTAATTTTTACCCGATAGCATAGTCTTTAGCTTTAAGAGTGAAACTAAAACAAAGGTGTAATGCAGGAAAATCTATTTTCCAATCCAAGTAGTTTGTATCCATCATAATTGCAGTTTTTCTTGTACGAAAATCATTAATAGTTGTCATGGTGCTTGTTCCAAAACTATACCAACTCACAATACACGCTATTATCCATATAAATCTAAAATATAATATTTTCTAGTTAATAAATGCTTTCAATTTTTATCAGCGGTTCTTTCAGAATTAGTAAAGAATTGTAATACTTACGTATCAGCCCTATGTCGATGATTCTTAACAAAAAATGGGATTTCATAGAATCTTTTTGCACATTGTTTTAACGGTTCCCAATTTTTTTTTTGTTCTATCTCTTTCACTTCTTTATTCAAGGGATCCATTTTTGTTATACTGTGATATTACTTTTCAAGACATAAACTGATTCTATTAAAGTGGTTTATATTTTTTAATAGCTTTGACATTTGTTTGTTATTAAAAAAACCAACGGTTACATGCTATTACATGATCCTTGAGATCTGATGTATTACATGCAAAGTTCGAATGTATTTATTTATTTTATCAATATCCATTAAATATAAATACCAAGTACTTTCAACATGAATGTATGCTATTAATTATAGAAATTCATTTCAATTGACAATATTTTTTTTGTTTTATTGAATTAAATTTATCAACACTATATATATATATTCTATTTATTTTCTAATTTAGAAGAAAGTGTGGCAAACATTTAAAAAATTGTATTAAGTGCCGTGCAAACAATGTTATAATTTAAGATTGAATTAATCATCATCATTGCGAAGGAAGAACCAATAAGGAATTTCGACAAGACTGAGGACACTTGCACCTACGAAAAGACCCAAAGTACCTCCAACCGTAACTGCAAATCAGTATCAAACTATCAATTAAAAAGACGATTATTGATTAATGAACTTTTGTGTTCATATAAATCAATATTTTTGCTTACCAATAACATCTAACAATGAAACTACAGTATATCGATAATACCGAACCGTAGGCCCTGGTAACAAGTTAAATTCTAATTTAACAACAGCCCATTCTGGAGTATCAAAATCTTCGATACTATTTTCAAAAGATAAAATTCTTGTTTGTTCACAATCAGGTAAACATTCGCTATTTTTAGCATTCACTATATCTTCTCTTACACCAGTTATACAATTAGTTAATTCTGTTTGATTACACGTTCGATATTTATTGGAAGCTGGATAAACATGACCAACGCAACCACAAAATTCATAAAATTTGTCCATTTGAGCTTCCATCATGCATCCTTGATAATTGTAATGTTTCAGAAGGAACAGTCCCTCAGTTTCTTTAGACAGTCTACATCTTCGTTCACTCATCAAAGCTGAAATTACTCCATCATCGTTAAATGTAGGTATTTGAGTTATATCCCAAACTCTAGGTTTTGGATGATTCCACTGAGCTGATAAGAATGTTTCTCGGCCTCCAGTTTGAGTTGGATATTCTAATGGATCCGTAAGTAAAGTCTAAAATTTTTTTATTTTAATAAATATAAAGACAAATATTCAAACAATTCAAGTTACTCACATTTAGAAAGCTGCGTGATGGAACCCAAAAATTAGTATTATTTAGAAAAATCGTTAATCTTCCATACGGTTGTTGATGAGTCATAATAAATTTTGGAAGATTTGGATCTGTTGGTTTTCCTGCATGTATGCTATTAAATGAAAGACATCCTCCCAGATTGGAATGTAGGGGAAAAAATATTTTGCAACAATCAATAGGTTCACCATTCCATTTACATACACCAAAAATATCATCACAATTAGGAACATACTGTAATTTGCATTTAAATCATCTATTAATAAATAAGCAAATAATTGAAGAATATTAATTTAGAATACAATTTAGTAAAACTCACGTTTTTTCTAATGTTCACATAATCTTCTGAACTTACTGGATACTGAATGCTTTCATCATATCCTAATTTAACCCATTGACTCAGTCGAGACATTGTTCCTGCTTTTCGGACAGGAGTATTTGTAACTCTGAAATATTTAACAATAAATTAAATCATGAAATAAAATTTAAAAAAAATACTTACTTTGCACTGTATTCCTTTGCCCTAACAGTAAATCCAAAGCAAAAATGTATTGCAGGAAAAGTTGCTTCCCAGTTTAAATAATTAGTATCCATCGTAATTGCAGTTTTTCTTGTAAGAAAGTCAGTTATTGTGTCAGCAACAGTTGTTCCACAACCGTACCAACTCAAAGCACATGCTACTAACCAAAAAAGTCTACAAATTTACATAATTAATTATGAAAAAATCTAAATACGACTATGTTTCAAAATAAAGCATATTCGTACATACATTTCAGTCCAATGTCGACCATCTTCAACGAGGAATGGAACACCGTGAAGACTTGAATTTGCCATGTATCTTTTTAAGGGATTCCAACATTTCTTTGCTTTTTTTTTAATTGTTTTTAACTTATCATCTGAAGTAACCATTTTCTCCCACGCTATATTATTATTTTCCACTTTGTTAGTTGTTTTCATATTATTTCTACAAAAAAACTATCCTGACATCTTTCAATTATTCAACTGTGAACTCTTACTCAATGTTACATGATTTTTTTCAATCTGATTTAAAACATGCAAAATTATTTATTATTTATTAATATATATAGAAATCAATATCCATGCAAAGTTAATTTTCAAATTCATATATAAACAATAATTATAATTTAATTGAATAAAAAATTCATTAAAAATGCATTTTTAAAAATTCCTGTTTCGAGGAAGATTATTCACATTGAATAAATTTACTTTATTTTTTATAATATAAAGTAACAAGTAGGTATTAAAAAATACTGATAATATCATTAACAAGTCTAATCAAACTAAAATTTAGAAATAAAATATAAACGATCGCGGTAAATTTAAAATAATTTTGCAGGTAGCGTAAGTGATGAATGCCAAAAATGGCGGAGGGGATTCCTTTTTTTGGACATAGCAGAGAGGGGAAGGTCGTCTATCGGATAATCGTTTGTTGAAATCGAAAATTTTATTCACTAAATTATTAGTTAGTGTTTTTATTTTTTTTTATCGGTTCCAATAAAAATAGCACTTTTTAACGGATGTACGTGTATAATAATTAATTTATCTTGTTAATTGTATCAAATAATATAACTTGTACAACAAATAACAACGTGATAATGGCGTACAATCCATCATATGAAGCGATCGGCAAAGACTTTGTTCACCAATATTATGCACTTTTTGATGATCCTCATCAAAGACCATCATTATCTAATTTATATAATGTAAGAATTAACATCTATGTTTTGATATTCGTTCCAATTCTCATTATTTTTGTCACTAGTACAATTATAACCTATCTTTTTCCTTTTTTGATAGGCTGAATCATCATTCATGACTTTCGAAGGTGTAGGGTTCCAAGGAAGCCAAAAAATAATGGAAAAATTCAATGTAATACTATAAACAATATTAGATTGAACACTGAGAATCATATTACACCAGAAAGTAATAACAAAATATTTGTTACAGAGCTTAACGTTTCAGAAGATCAATAGAATAATCACAGCGATTGATTCCCAACCAATGTTTGATGGTGGAGTACTTATTAACGTCCTTGGTCAATTAAAGGTAAGCAAAAGTTGAAAGACAATGGAGTATATTATTAATACAATGTAGAAACTATGAAATTAGGACAATTGAGTCTAATGCAATAACAAAACGTTGATCCAATAAAATAACTGATTATTCAATGGTTGGGTAGACCGATGAAGATCAACCCCATACGTATGTCCAGACGTTTGTCTTGACACCTATCGGCACCAGCTTTTTCGTGCAGCACGACATCTTCAGACTCGGGTTGCATAACAGTGTCTAGGCAAAAAGCTATTGATCAACTTGAGATCTTAAAAACCGTGGTAAAATAAAGCCCAAGGATCTTTATATCCTTTCGACTTACATTTTGCACTTTTTTATTCTACAATTTTATATTTTCAGTGTTATTTGATGCTTTTTATAATTTCCTAGCCCATAAGCCACAAATTTCAGTTCTTCATTCAGAGATAGCATGATCTAGTCAATTTGGCCAAATTAAAATACGAATCTAATAAATCACATTTGAAGCGAGTGATGTAAACCATGATTTTCGTTATTATTTGAATGATGATCAATTTAGCGCAACTAATTAAATTTTTTTGCAAAAAATTTTCTCCGAAGACTTCCATTCATTTTCTAATCCACTCTGTTTATTACATCAAATTAAATACAAAACTAATAGATTAGCCCATGAATCCAAAGTATTCAAATTTTCAATAACAACCATGTTTTAACAATGATTAATTCATTAATCGAATGTTTATCATCTCTTTTTTTGTAGTTATTAATTATTCGTTAAATACTTCAGCTACAGATTTAACTATTAATAATACTTCAAAAATACTTCTTGTCATAAGAATATATTGTAATTAATTATTTTTATTGTTATTTTAGACAGATGATGATCCACCACATATGTACGTTCAGACTTTTGTTCTGAAACCATTGGGAACGTCGTTCTTCTGCCAGCATGATATTTTCCGCCTTGGTATTCATGATGTTGCATAGAGAAGCAGTAAAAAAACTTTAAAAAACATAAAATTGATTTTTTAAAAAAAATCTAACTCATTCAACATAATAAAGTTCGTCTGTTTTCATCAATATGAAGTCAGCGTCCAAGTTTCAATCAGCTGAGCTGATTTCCTAAATGAAAAAGAACTCAAAAAAACAACGGTCTTGTTCTCCCGTCGTTTTATTCTTCTTCTCTTGATATACTTTAATTTTGCTTTATCGTTATATTTTTTCCTCATTAATTCGTTTCATATCTCTTTAGATAAAGTTTTTATACGAATAAAATAATAATAATAATAATAATAAAATAATGCTTATAAAGTTTACGAATAAAGCGCAATTAAAAAATAGCTTGCAACCTTTATCAATTAAAATATAATTTTAATTGAAAATTAAAATTCCTTTTGGAAGAAAGGATTAACAATATTTGTTAAAAAAAAAACCAACCAAAACTTTAGAATGCCTTTCTGTTCAGATTAAACTAAATTTATGAAATGTTTTACAATTTATTCCAAATTTTTATAAGTAAACTGTTTTACAACTCACTTGATGCTATGTATTTTTGTAATTTAATGGTTAGATGTTAAATATAAGGCATGCAAATTATTTGTTTGCATTATGCTTCGTATTAATTATTAGTAATAACGATAAAAAAGTTCATAGGAGCAATGATTATTCTTAATCATGTTGTAACGTACAATATTGATTAAATTTATAAATTTCCGCGTTTTGCTTGCTCCATTTCAATAGCTTCGAATAATGCTTGGAAATTTCCAGCACCAAATCCCTGAAAAAGTGATATTTTTAATGAAGAACATATTTTCATGTACAAATTAGGAAAATAATAATTTTAATTAAAACTTTTATTAATTAGTTAATAAAATAGAAATTTTCATGTGTAACTCACATTGTGATTCCTACGTTGAATAACTTCAATAAAAAGTGTAGGTCTATCTTCAACGTTTTTTGTAAAAATTTGAAGAAGATATCCATTTTCATCATAATCAATGAGAATTTTAAGCTTTTGAAGAATAGCCATGTCTTCAATCACTTTGGTATTACTAGATTGCAGCTTTTTTCTCAACATATCATAATAACTATCAGGAACTTGGAGAAATTCAACACCTCTACTTCGAAGATTTTCAACAGAGGTGATTATATCAGTTGTATTTAAAGCAATATGTTGAATTCCAGGTCCACCGTAATATTCAACGAATTCTTGAATTTGTGAACGTTTTTTTGCAGGTGCTGGTTCATTAATTGGAATCTTTACGGTTTCTTCCCAGTTGGTCATCACAATTGAACGAAGTGCGGAAAATTCAGTGTGTAGCTGAGTGTCATCAACAGACCAGAATCTGTGAAATTGAAGAGATTGTTCATACCTGGAAATAATAACAAAAATAATAATCACATATCTATTGATTTATTATTATTATTAATATTTTTACCATTTTGCTACTGGTTCCATTTGCTGATCAGGTTGATTGCCAACGCAATGATCTACGAAATCTAGTTTAGTTGGAGGTCTAAAAAAAAATTAGCATCAATGTTATCACATTAATTAATACTTAATAAATCAAACAATCAGTTTATTTAAAGTCGAATTATACATACAATAATTTGGAAAGAGGATCTGGAGGAACGTCAATAAACCCTGGAAGAAATGCTCCATTATATTTAGTTCTGTCTACGAAAGTATGTAAGGTGTCGCCAAACTAAAAAATTATTTAGATAATTAATATTCGAAAATATTTTCAGAATTATTTTTACTTTTATTGTTTAATCTACCGTTTTGACAGTTGCCATTTTAATGACACCATTGTTGTCTTTTTCTTCCCAAATATCTTTAATAACTTTAGCTCCCTTTTGTCTTGCAATGCGTACTATTGTTTCAATATCTTCTACACTGAAAGCTATATCTCTAACTCCATCCCCATGCTTTCCAAGATGCGTAGCCATTTCCTTATCATCAGGTTCATATGCTGATTCGAATACAAAAATAATTTTATTTTGTTTAACGGCATGAGAAGCTATTTTTCGTGAGCCTGTTTCTAATCCACGATATCCTAGAGGTTCAAAACCAAATCTGGCGCAATAAAAGCTTGCAGCTTGTTTTGCATTCCCTACCCAGAATTTGAGATGATCAAAGGCTAAGAATTTACCTCCTAGAGGCTGCAGAAATAAAACAAAGTTATTTGAAATATCATCTCTTGAAGTTTTAGGAGAAATGTAGTATTTTTTAAAGTCTTACCTTTGGTCCTTTGTCAGTATAAGTTGTCTAAAATTAAAAAAAAAATAATAATAAAATACAAGAAAACCAGTCATTCTTAAATAAAATACTTCGATTATTTAAAAAAATGATTTGTTATTTTTAATTATTGTAAATGTGTATTGTAATAATTGAATTTTTTTTATTACTATTAAATGAACAAAAAGTCAACTTTTTATTGATTTAACAATTTTTTTCATTAGAAAAGTCAACTTACCATAATTATAAAATAAAAATAAAAATATCTACTCAATATTTAGGCAAGTGAATATAATGAAAGACCCTATGTTATTTACTGAGTTTATGCGAAATCAAGAGAACATTTAAATAAGCATTCGAAAGTAGGTAGGGCATAGAAATCGAACGCAATTGGTGGAGACATAGAGGCTTGTTTATCTGAGAAGCTGAGCCAGGTTTTATCATAAATTAATACAATGATAATTAAAAGTCCTGACGTGCTGCTAAAACCGGATTGTCACGAGCACACTGGCTGATTTCTTCTTCCTAAATATCAGCTTTTCACTCATTTGTCGATTCTTGAAATAATTTTGTTCATTGAATAATACTTTAATAATCTAGAAAAATACTCAATTACATTTCAAATAATTTTGTGATTAATTATCTATAGTGTTACATTTAAAATATATTCTTGTTCCGTTATTATTGACAATGATGTTTATTTCTATTGTTCAAGGACAATTACTTGCAATAAGTCTTATTTATTATAATGAAGAGAATGTATATATTAAATTGCGTAAAAGTAATAAATTCCTAAAAATTAAACAACAAAATAATATTGAATAATTTAAAACCAATAAAAAATTTTAATATAAATCGAGAACTGCGTAAAACTTAAGCGTGGAATTTAAATATGCAAATGAAGCAGTTTGACTAGGAATTGATACAAAAATAAAGGAACATAAAAAGTATATCTAAACATTTTCATTTTATGATAATAATTACACAAAAGAATAATTCTTACATTAAAATTGAGTAATTTTTATTTATTATTTATATTTTTTTGCACTAACATTATCAGTTTGTCAAGCTCCACTATGTGGACAATACTGGATCAGTCTGACAATAATCGTCAAATAATTCAAATTCTTTTAAATCACACTGGAATTTTGTCGTTTAACGGTTGAAGTATCTTCTTTAAAAAAATCTATCTACGTTAGTACGTAAAGTATACGTTTGCTAACAATATAACAATTTTTTCATAATATATTCTATAAATAATAATTTCACATAATTTTCTATGCACATATAATATATATAAATTTTTCTAAAAATCGATAATTATTACTAGTATTATTTTGCTGATAATTATTATTATCATTATCGAGTAAGCAAATGGAATGGCTTCGAAATGGACAGTAAAGCTTTTTAATAGCGACGGATTAGTAAAATATTTAAATTATAACCGAAAGAATTTACAATTATATCAGGAACAATTTTTGCCAATATAACTATCATCTAATAAAGAAATACTTTACAGTATTTATTAAATATTAATGAATAAAAATTATTTACTATGTCACAGTAAATTGACAGCTATAATATAAGGATAATATATCACACGTTTCTCACTTACTTTCTCACATTGATAGATAAATAATTTCATAAGAAATAGCGTAGTAAAAAATTTTGCATCATGATATTTCTTATTACAAAAATACCCATAGAAAATAGTTCAGGAATTGACCTGATAGTAAAGTGCAAACGGCGAGGCAAGTATTTTTAAATCGTTGGCATCGTATTGAAGATAATAAGCAAATAATTTGCATCAAATTATCACAAAAATCCCAATTATGTTTCTTCGCATAATACTTCACTTTGAAACTAATTGATTAATTGTAAACAATATATTAATTTTAAAAGATAATTTCGACGGATTTGATTATTTTTAAAGCTAAAAAAAGTTTGATAAATTCCATTGAAATATTCAATTGAAATCTGCTGCCATAAAATTATACATAAACTCCTATAGCAATTTAATTATCATAAATAAACCTTGGCTTTTTATAAAATAATTATTCCATGATCTCTTTCGAGTCTTCGTTTTGCTTTGAGAGGAACAACGCCCATGAGATCTGCAGGAGTTGGTAATCCGCCAGAAGCGTTTGGAGCCATGGCTTGTTGATAAAAAACTTCAGTTCTACCACATTGACTTCCATAAATAACTGTATCTTCAGTTCTCACTATAATGTCTGTTAAGTTGCTACATTTAGTAAAGCGGTTGTGAAGTGTTGATACAATTTCCAAATCGGTGACACCCCAAAGACCTGAACGATGAAGAGTATCCCACTGTGGATCAATATTGAGAACGCTGTATAATTCTTTATGCTCACTAGAGGGTAATGGATCTAAACAATGCTGAAGACGTGATTCTAGACGTCCAAGAACGTTCATGCAAGTCTTCCACTGTAAACAAATTATTCAAGTAGTATCGGGATTATTAGTTATCAAATCAACACAATAAATGTTAATAAAATTATTCATACACTTACAAGATTATGTATCAATTCAGGATTATTAGCAGTACCATCTTCCATCAAAAGCATTAAAACCATGCTATTCTGTCCACATATAAATAGTTCAGCTTTCTCTAAAGCCACATCTTTATTCGTAGATTCTTTATCACTTAACCAGAATTCATCTTCATCATCATCCCCCATCCCAGAAGTTCTCCCAGTATTTTCTATTTTATTGGTCCTGGTTATTTTACTAGAAATAGTAGATAAATCATAGAACTCGCTAGGAGTTGTTTCTTTACTACAAAATCCACTAGTTCGTTCATCTGTAGCAAGTAGACTCAATTTGGACATCAAAGGCGTCAGCGGGAGACCGTCAAGTTTTCGTCTTGGTGGTAGATCAAAAGATACACATTCAGAAGTTGATTTCCTACGATCATCGTCACCTGCTGGTGCATTCAAGCTTTTTAAAGGTAAGCTCATTGATCTTCTATAAGTTTCTTGACGAGTTTTTGGATTTATTCTAACATCCAGAGGATTGGAATGCGACTCTGGAAGTTCTGTATTTATCACACTATTGAATCCTTCGATATGGCTACTATTATCATTTTTTTGAATTTGTTTTGAGGAACAATCATCCATATTTATATACTTTGGCAATCTAGGCGAATTTACATTTTGATCTTGCACTAGTTCATGAAAATGCCAAATATAATAATCGTAAAGTGTCTGAGATATTAACGAACCATCAGCTTTAAATACTGGATAACATGGATCTGTTATAGTGTTAAAAGCTCGTTTTTTAATAAGCTTTTTTGTATTATCCGTGTCTGGTGACTCAAAAGCAGGTTTTGATGAATTAAAACTATAAGTCAAACCAACAGAAAATCTTCCTGATGCGTCCTGGATCTCATCTAAATCACTCAGACTAGAACTTCGTTGTTTCCATGTTTTCCGACGATTTTTTTCTAATTTTTCTTTAGCAACACTTCTTAATTTATTCAAACGTTTGCATCTCAGAGCCTCTTTCACTACATCAGGAATATCGTCTATAGCATCGTTTTGGATTTTCGTTTGTTTTTCTGGTTTTTCAATTTCATCATTTCCACTACAAATTGACAGAGCATTGCCAAGAAGAATTCTATTAACATCTTTTAACGGTGTAGAGCAAACACTTGGAGTCAGTGGATTTGAATACTTTGGTTTAAATTCTTGTTTTTTTTCAAAATTCACTGAAGAAGCTGTTGATGATGTCGGTAATATAGGGCATTTAAGAGGCTGAGAAAATTCAATATTCGTTGAATGCTCAGGTTCTCCTTCTTCAGGGACAGTAAAGATTCTAGACGTGTCTCTGGTTAATCCAGAAACAGGAAGGGAAGACTTTTTATATTTTTTTCCAAGCAAATCCAAGTGACTCATGTTATTCACTTTAACATTGGGTTCTTCAGGTAACTCAAAAGAATGTTTACGTTGAATATAAACACGTAACAGTTGAACACCTACAGGCAGGTGAAAATCAGTTGAGATTCTATCTGCTGGTGCTTTTATTCTATATGGGTCAGTTATCACTAATTGCTTTGTTAATTCAGGACTCAACTGAGTCGCTATCACTTTGTTACTGTAGAACATTGTACCACCAAGGATACCTGGCATTTCTTGGCAATATTGAAGAATTTGCATGGATTCTAGGAAGACGTTACTCGCCGTACTTGGTAGCTTTATCATTGGCATATTGCAAAATAAACTTGCACTATACTGAAGAATTGGTAAGTAGGTTTCAAGCATTTGGTAAAGCTTCTCGGTAAATTTATTACGATCATTATTTAACGATTGAGAAATAGTCTCTAAATCACAATGGAAAAACTTTAAAACTGATTCCAAATAGTTTGCACGTCTTTCTAAAATCCAATCTTGAATATTTCGATCTGTTCCAACAGCGATGATATAATGGCCAAATTTTTTAATAACAAATTTGCCTCCTTGAAGGGATATAAGTTTTGGAGGTGAGAAACAAGTACTGAGAAAATGATGAACTCCCATTAGCTGTCCAGCCAATGCCAAACGTTGAACTGGAGATACCCATGCTGGATGAAAATACATTACTGCTTCAGCTGGATCATCTTCTTCTTTACGACACCGTGAAGTATCATAAATGAAGACGATCATCATTTCCCTAAAAAATAAAATTTTTAATTAATTCCATAATGATTTTAATTATAATTTGAACTCACACGAGTTTAAAAGTCCCATGTTCTTTAGTAAAAACCAAAGAATTGAACAGAGACATAGAGAAATAAATGATAAAGTGAAGACAATAAAGCCTAGCAATGAACTGGGTCTTTTTTTCAGGCTGTATAATAAGTAAACAATACATTATCTTGCCGGGTGTATGTTTTAATTAGATAAAGAGATGAGATTACGCAACGTACTTTGCCATGGTGATGACTTAAGTTGTGGATGTCAAAGAGGAATGTACTTATGCTAGAAGCCCGTTCTGTCCTTGTCCCTAGTATTTAATAAATTATCGTGGCCACATATGTGATAATGAAATCCACGTAGATAATTTTTCGAAAGGTTTGTTCATTTTTGTTACGTAATAAAAGCTTTATTGTACATGGTTACACAGTAAGGAATGGTATTACACACTATTGATTGAAATTGGAGCTGAGTAGACACTATTTACATTTACTTATTGGAGTAAAATTATCAGCTGTTGATAAAAACTTTCTCTGACACCAAACAAATCTTTAGCTCAACAAAAAAAAAATATATTTCAAACTTAACTTAATTAATATTGTTTTTTTTTGAAAAATTTAACTACAAATAATCATTTCTAAGATAATAGAAGATTAGAAAAATTTTACGTAAAATGAAATGTGGATTATTTAATAATGAGAATAGTGACAACTAATTCATTCTATCTTTATCTTTTTATTTATTACTATTTTTTATTTGAATCTACGATTTCTACAAACTTGATTTACTTTAAATCCCTAATATGTTATGATACGATCAATTATCATTCATTATGTAAGCAAATGGCATAGTTTTGCGCTGTAGTGTATAATAGTCTATTTGGACTTAATCTAATTCTTTATCTATTAAACTAATAATAAAAAATATCAATATACAAAAAGAGCATTAATCATTTTATTGAATGATTAATAAACTCGTTTAATGATAATCAATAAGAATAGTGACCATTGGAATTAATATTCACTAAGAATATATCACTAATTACTAGGAGTAGAAAGCTAAAAAGATAGTAACTAAAGTTTACTATTAGTAAATTGTTATCACAATTTTACAACTAATTAAATAAATTTTCTAACTTTGTAAATAACAAGTCAACTATTTATTTGTTCAGTGGATTAGTCACTAGATTTTGTCTAATAATTAGAGTAATCTAAAACATCGATTAAGCTCTCAGTGACCGATAATAATAGGTAAGCTCGACTGAAATCATTTCCTTGATTCCAAATGTAAATGTAAATACATATATCAAAAAATGTGATTAAAATAATCACTCAAACTATTTTATCATCAAATATAATCAAATAAACACAAAAATCTCTACAAAGTATATACAAATAAACAGTCATCAATCTTGTTTGTGTTTAAAGACCTTTACAATAATTCAATATAAAAAGAGCTTATTTGGCACAAACAAATTGAAATTTTTACGTCTAGAAATTTCTCTTACCATGAATTGCTTTTCTAGGGTTATGATGTGATATAATGATTGTATTAGTATTATACCATTAGAGCTAAATGGCATTTAAGCAATCAAATTTTTAATTTATGAGTTCATGAATTTATCAGTCTCGTAATAATTTATGTTTTAAAAAACGTGATACGCATCGCATATATTAACGTATCTACATTCTAACTTTTAGTATTTTTCAGTTATCGACTGAATCTATCCAGTTATTTTTTCATAAAATAATAGATAAGGGCTGGCACAAAGAACATCTGTTAATTCTGTGTTTTCAACAATAGTATCTGAAGTATATAGCCATTGACCAGCACGGTTCCCTCGTCTATAGCATACAAAATGTCCTGCATCGACTGGTCCACGGTGTTCAACAACAGCTTGAAGTTTATATCGATGTTTTCCTTGGTTTGGTGTCTGATTTGCAATAAGCATCATGGGTAATGTAGTCTAAAATTCAAAAATATTCAATCATGATGATGATTATTCATAAAGTAAAAATTATATATATAATAGTTTAACAAACCTGAGCATTTCGTTTTTTGAATTCAGTAAAAGTAAAAGGATCAAGAACGAAATATTCGGGAAATATAACAGGGTCATCTCGTTTAATGGGTATTCCTGAATTACTCCAAGTTGTTCTTGGAATGTGAAGACACAAACATCTTGGCAATTTTCCTAAAGTTAAAGTTTTCATAGCTGAACATCGAGTTGAACAACCATTACACTCGACATTCTGTATGACTTCACTAGTGACAAATCGAGAAAATAATTCAGCTAATGTATGTCGACGCCATGTTAAGGCTTCACCAGCAGGAGGAAGAGGTAAAGAAATGGTCTCCAATTTATCATACCGAACGGCAGACTTCCAATTGCAGTTTGTACATTTCAACTGACTCGTTAACAATCCAGAAAATGGATGAGTTTCATTAGACAGGACGCAACTGCTTTGTTGAGGGATCGTACAAAGAGAACTCCAAGTTCTTGAAGGACTTTGTTCGTCAATTGGTTCAGCTAAGGCTCGACAAAGAATTTCTGATGATCGCGCGAGAATTATTCCAGGTTTATTACATATAGAAAAGTGTGAAATTGACTTTGTTGATGAATTTAAAGGATGATTGGAATTTTTATCCAAATTATTTATAGTAGTAGAAACTTCTGCTTGAGCTATATCATTGCAAGATACACTCCTTAAAGCTAAAGAATCTCCAGATCCTTTTACATCTGGTGCTATTTCTGGACCTCGATTTATTGGCAAAGCATCAGACAAACATCCTTTCTATAAGAAAATTTAAAAATAATAATAATATCAAATTCTTATAAGCTTTTAGTTTTATGCCTCTTATATTCATTTTTTCAATTTATGTAATATTAATTTTGATTTAATTAGATTTTATAAAATGCGATTAATTTAAAGATTATTTTAAATGTAAAGCTTGAACTTTTTCTATTTTTTGATCAAAAAAAATAAAATTATAACTAACTTTTCATACACTCATAGAACGAAAAAATAATAAATCATAGCGCCATTATTAATAGTTTATAATCACGCTACGAATAGTGAAATGTATACTCACCCTATTCGGTGTTTGAATTTCATTTTGTAAAGCACTTAAAATCACGTGGAATAATTCATGAGCATCTTGATGACCTGGATCAAAATTCCAAAGGGATCCAAGAGACGTAATGACCTCAATAGGTGCTACATCGTCATATAAATCTTCTGAATATCCATTAATTCCTTGAAAAAATCATATATTATAAATAAGAAATATTTAATTAATTGGTTATTAGTAATCAAATTAGTTTAATCTTTTGATCATCTTACTGTCTATTACTGCAATCAAATTACTTATAAAACTACTAGATTTTTTCTTTTTGCCTTGCTCCTTGAGCCAAATAGTAAATGTTGTACAAGCTGCCAGCGCTTGAAGCAAAGAATTTAGGAAACATGTGTAGCCTAAGTTTGAGATTCCATTAACTCTTCCTAGAAAAAAATAAAATCTCATTGTTGTTATAATATTATACTTTGGATAAATTATAAGATAATTATAATAATCAATTTTTAATTATCGAAAATACCTCGTTTTCGAGGTCGCGGTGCCGGTCCCCAAAGTACAAATGCTCCAACAGCTAATGCAACACCAACACCCGCAAAAACAGCTAATCTTTCAACGTCCATTGTTAAATATCGTTTAAACTATGGTAATATTATATTTAAAAAATTGTAACACCGTTTAACAGTCTAAATATTGTAAAAAAAAAATAAAATTTGAGATTGTTTAATAATAGATTAGTACTCGAAAATTCTATACTAATGCTAGAAACAATTCCAGTATTTTGTGACTCTGATTCCTTCTGATTTTTGAATACTTAAATATGAAATCATATTTTAATTGTTAATTTCAATAATTAACACTAGTACTTTATTACAATCATTGACAATAATAGAATTATAAAAACAACAACTGTCCGGACTTATTACATTTCCAATATGTAATCGGACGTTCCATTTTATTTTGCCTTGAAGTTGGCGCTGACAAGACGTAATTTCGGAAAAATCGATAGTCAACTGAATCGAAAATTTAATGAATCGACCAATCGAATTAACTAAGGATGTACATTGACGCCACTGGTGGCCATCTTTCATACTAATATTCTTTTATTTTTCGTTCTCTCGGGTTGGTTTGCAAACAAAACTTTTCACCGTATTTTACGACAAGTGTAAGTGTATTAAATTGATTAACTACGTTTGAAATATTTATAAGAAATCATGCTTTAAAAAGCCGATGATAAAATAACAATTAAAAATTATCAAAGTATAAAATAATCTGAATTTAGATCGTGGAAAAATATTATCCGTGGGAGACACAAAAATGTTCCCACGCTCTTGGGTTACAAGTGTGTGCATTATGTGCGTGTAAATTCCAACGAGAAGATGAGCGCACAGGGACAAGAACACGGTCATGCTGTGGTTGTATGGGAGTGGGAGAATCGTCAGGGTAGATGGAGACCCTACAGCCCTGCAGTATCGCAACATCTAGAAAGAGCACACTTTAAAAAACTTACGAGAGTTTTCCTCAATGATGCTGACCCCACTCTTGACAGGTGGTACATTCTTTTTATTCCTTCAATTATTTCTTTGTCTTTGTTATGAATGGCTCTTTCTCTGTGTTTTATTTTTTCTCCTTTCTTAAGAAGATTTAATGACAAAAAAAAATTTTTTTTAGGTATTATATCAATTTAAAAACAAAAACTCAATGTAGCGATGATGGAGAAGAGATCCATGGAGTACGAAGGAAATTCTATTTACCAAGTTCACCTGCTGGTAAAGGAGCCAAGTGGGAATGGGCAGGTGACACCGATGATTGGCACACTTATGATATGGAAGTTCAATGTCTGATTGAAGAAGCTTGGGCAATGGTAAATTCTTCAATTCAAAGTTTTTTGAATAAAATTGATTATTTAGTTTAATCAATTAATGATTAAAAAATTAGAAAATAAAAACAATTTCATAATTTATAGGGAAGTAAGACAATAGATGTATCGAAAACATATTTGGGATTTCCGTATATCATAAACTTTTGTAATCTTACACAAGTTCGATGTTGTACTGGTTACGTACGACCAATTCGACGCATTCAACAAGCGCCTTATCCTCTAGTCAAAGTTGCTTTAGAAGAAATTCAATTTCCTACTGTTCGACGACCACTTCCTCCGCTTCAACCCAAAAATCCTGGTAATAAAACAGGCCATAAAAAGCAGCCTTGTAGCAGTAGTAAAAAAAGCACCAAAAAAGTATGTATAATTTTATTCTTGACTATTCAATAAATTAGAATTATTTTTTTTATTGGCAAAAATGGGATTAAAACTATTGAATAAATTATTTGTATGTTTTAGAGTAAAAATAGTGACAATGGACCATCAAATATTGCTCGGGTAATTCTGAGTAATTTCAACATTTTTGCAAGTAAACACCACATTGAAAATAACAATTCAGTGACTACCTCGACCCCAGAATCGTCAAACAAACGTAAAACATGGGACACAGTTCTTGATGCTGATTCGAGTAGTACAAAAAGTGGCAGAAGACCTAGTGTGGATACTGTATCAACTTATTTAAGTCATGAGAATCCAGTAGATTTGCTCGACAGCAGTGTCGGAAGTGACGATGTCTTTAAAGATTCAGTAGTGAACGTGGAACGAACAACTGATGTTATTTCTCAATACGTTAAAGTTGTTGAGAGTGATGGAACTGATTCTTGTCCGGTTTGTTTAGGAACACCCGAACCATTAACGGTCGAATTAACTCGATGTAGACATCGACTTCATTTGGCATGTTTAAATGCAATGTTAAGCTCTCAACAACATCCAATGTATATTCAGTGTCCAGTTTGTCGAATGATTTATGGAGAAAAACGTGGCAATCAACCATCCGGAACTATGAATTGGACACGAATTCCACGAGCTTTACCCGGATTTCCTAATACTAATACCATACAGATAACTTATGAGTAAGTTCAACTTTTCATAGCAGAATTTACTTCTCAACTTGACCTATGAACTGATAAATTAATTAATAATTTTTATAGCATTCCATCTGGTATTCAAGGGCCAGAACATCCAAACCCTGGACAAGCATACTATGCAGTAGGTTTTCCTCGAGTTTGTTATCTTCCAGATAATGATTTGGGTCGAAGAGTATTGCGACTGTTACAAATAGCATTTGAACGTCGTTTGATATTTACAGTTGGTCGTTCTGTAACAACAGGACGTGAAGATGTCGTCACATGGAATGAGATTCACCATAAAACTGAATTAGGTCCATCAACTTCCGGTCATGGGTATCCGGATGTAAGTTATTTGGAACGGACATTAGCAGAATTAGCAGCTCAAGGTGTCACTGATGGGCACCCAGGTCATTTTCAAGATATATAAAAATATAATTTATATATTGCTATATAAAATTAATAACAATCATTATAATTAATATCATTTATTAATTAGAAATTATTATTTTTATTATTAAAGTTAATTGCTGAATATTTTTTATATAAAAATTCATACTTGGCAATACTATATTATTAAGCATAACAACGAACTGATAGAATTCTTATATTAGCTCGTAAATTATTGCCATACTCTTTATTAAGTTTTTTAAGTGGTTTATGATATATAAGAGAATGAAAAGGATGAAAAATATTGACAAATCTATTAATTCACGTTAAAAGTTACAAGTTAAATTTATAATTATAGATTTTAGTAGATTTATGTTTAAATTGGTTGTTCGCCAATTCTTTTTTTCCATTGAGTTGATGTTTGAATGCTTTTTTTCTGAATTTTTATATAACATTATAAAGTAATAACATTGTTTTAAATCTATCATATAAAGGTTTTACAATATATTTTGATAAAATGAAAGATTTGCATCAACCCATACAATCCATAAATAGTATTATTTTTTATAAACTTAATATCTAAGTTAATGAAAATATATTTTGAATAAATATATATATATATGTATATTCAATAAATAATTCATAATTATTCAAACAATATGTGTGAAATACCTCAATATTTTTACGGTCTGAAATACATCGATAATACAACAAAACATAAATTTGTAGATGGCGCGCATTTTATCATTCAATATGGCCGAAAATTGATTTTTCCTTACTTTTCGCGTATTTACTGTAATTTTTCTACAAAACATTACATTCGCTAATACAACAATTATTATTGAGTGACTTCAAAAATTAAATATCTATGAATACTTATAAAGTGTAAATTTAGTGCTGTAATACAAAAAATCGACAAATAATAAAGTTTCGTTGATGCAAGGAACATCAATGAAGTATTTCCAGTAGGAGGATATTTATGTTTGGTGAAGTTTGGATGCAATCGGACTACCAAAGTCCGATTAACAAGAACAGCAAAGTGGAGCACAAATGCGTTCTTTGTAATGCTTCATTGGAGAGCAAAGAAGCTCTTCAGGAGCATTTTAGGTAGCATATAAACTATAATTTTATAAGCATATAAATAATCACTTTTTAAATAATATTAACTTTTAAAAATTGTAATAACTTTGAATAATTAACAATGAATTATATTTACGAAATATTTAGAAAACATGCCAATAAAGAAATTGATAGTCGTGGAAAACCTCATGGAAGTAAACCGTCAAAAGCATCAGTTACTAAATGTGACATTTGTAGTAGATGTTTTGATACTATTACCGCCGCAATTAGGCATCGATTTAAAATGCATCCCAATTCTCCGACAAAATTTTATTGCTACCACTGTGGAATGTTATTCCCATTGAAGGTAAAAAAAGCCTAATTTGAATAATTTTGATAATAAATGAGTATTATAATAGAATAAATCAATAATTATAACGATTTTTTTCTAGACAAATAGAGACTCTCATATGACAACACATGATCCTTCAGAGAGTGAAAATACAGCAGAGCATAGAAAATGTGAAGAGTGTGATGTAATATTTTATAATGGTAAAGCTCTGAACTATCACTATAAATCAGTGCATAAAAGGTATTTTTTTATAACTTCCATATTCAGCTATAGTTTATTTGGAGATTCAATTTATATAATAATGTATGATTTCAGACTTGTACACCTTTTTCAACCTATTGCAACCCCTCCACCGAGCAATAAAATCAAGGTAAATTCAATGAATGATGCACTTAGTGTTTACTATTGCCACCTTTGTGGAGTTGAATACATTGTTAAATTCAATTTACAACAACACTTGGAAAAATTCCATTCAAAAGAAGAAAGAGAATCCGTTCCAGAAGATTTAATAAAATGTACTATGTGTTCCGCCCTGTTCTGTAATAAAAAAGCTTATGAGGTACATAATAGTTATCATCAACCAGATGATCTTTATGTTACTTCAGAGCAACAGAGACTGCAAACGATAACAAAGATCGATCAAGATTTTGATATTCGACGTGTAAAACCTCGAGCTGAAAAATATATACCAAAGCCAACTGTACCAAGATTATTAAAACGAAAAAAACCACAAAAATTAAAAATAGACTCAAAGACTTTACCAAGTTTTACTAAAGTAATGATTAAAGAAGAAAAAGGTTTTTATGAGGATGAAAATTCAGATAAACAAGATTTTTCAAGTGATTCTGACAGTGATATTCCTTTAAAAAAAAGACTAGAATCAAGCTAACAAAAATTAAACTAATTATTGGTACAAATTTGATTCATTTTGTAAAATAACAAATTTTGTTATAAAATAACAAACTTTAATTGAAGTGTTTCTCTTTGAAATAGTCATAAAAAATATTTTTTAAGCTATACTATGCAAAAGGAAAACAAAATTGGCACAAATAATGAAAACAAATTTATATTAATTAATAGTTAATAAGTTATTTTAAAAGTTTTAATTATATTTGATTTTTATTTCTTTACATTTTAAATCAAAGTCAATATACATTTACATATATACAATATAAAAGTATTAATTAAATATAGTAAAAATAAATAAAGCATTTTAAACTTTTTAATACGATGTCGTTCTAATTTGAGAAAAAACCCATTTTACCTCAAAGTGTCACAAAATTATGTAAATCTAACTTGGAGAGATACATATTGTATAATATAAAATTTACCGCGGTGGTTACTGCGCATGGCAAGTATCAAGACTTCCGATTTTGAACGGAAATGGAGAGAATCACCATTTTCTATAACTTTTTACGTGGACTACCACTGACACAAGTGTAGTCCGTAAAAAATTTATTAAACTGTTTATTAAATTGTCTAAAAATATAATCATACATTTATTAGTGTTCAATAATAATAGTAAAAATAATTTACAAATTTACAAAAAATGGGAAGAAAAAAGAAGAAGCAATCAAGACCATGGTGCTGGTATCCTTTTTTCAATATCAATCTGATATATCACAAAACTTATTCTTTAGGAGTTTAAATTTACGTAACTATATTTTTAGAACACATCTACGTATTTTTTATTTCATAATTAAGTTGAAAAGACAACCATAATTTTCAATTGATTTTTATTAACATAAATATTATTATTTATCCAATTGTGTATTTATGGTTTCAATTAACATTGCGTCACTTGTGTGTTTACTCTATTGATGATGATATTTCCACATATGGTAAAATGAATATGTAACAATACAAGTTTTGTGAAGATGAGTAAATAACGCGCAAGTGATAATAAAACTGTACTGCACAAATTAATCAATATTGTGCTAATTAAAGTATCTCTGGAAACATTCCATTAATATTCTTATTAGTGATCTCTGGAAATTATTTTTATACTTATATTATAGTATTCATAATACTCCTTTATACAAAAATAAATATGTTCATTATAAAATATTAGTACACATTGAAAAAGTACAAAAAGAAGGTAATATCGGAAATCGATTTTTTCTTAACATTGATTTTTACTTAGGTATTGTAATAGAGAATTCGATGATGAAAAAATTTTAATTCAACATCAAAAGGCTAAACATTTTAAATGTCATATTTGTCATAAGAAACTATATACAGGGCCAGGCCTCAGTATACATTGCATGCAGGTAAGATATCCTAGATACATATAAAGATTATTGATTAAGAACCATGAATAAGTCATGAAGTATAGATATAAAAAGTGCATATTTTCTAAAAACCTAATTTAAATGAATTATATTCTTAATGTGACAATAATAGAACAATTTATTTTGAGTGTATAAGTGATTAAATGTGATTACTAATAAAATTCTTGCTTCAATTTCAGGTGCATAAAGAAGCTATAGATAAAGTACCTAATTCATTGCCAAATCGTAGTAACATTGAAATAGAAATATATGGAATGGAAGGAATACCTCCAAATGACGTAAAAGAACACGAAAAACAAAGGAATGGAGGTAGACCAGGATCTCCGAGTTCTGGAGAAGATGAACCAGCACAAAAAAAATCTAAACCTGAAGGCTTGCTAGGATCCGCGCCTGGAGCAATGTCAACAGGTTCAATGGTGCCTGGAGTAATTCCAGGAATGCCAATGGGTCAATATCCTCCACCAATGCATCCTATGATGGGTCCAATAGGACCTGTAGGGCCTCCATTTATTCAAGGGTGAATAAATTATTCCAATGAACCAAATTTATTAATTACATTTCAAATCAGCGAAAATTAAACTTTTTTTATTTTCTCAGAATGATACCTGGAATGCCGGGTATGCCTCCAGGCATGCAACCACCAGTCTCTGGTGCATCAATGCCTACAAGACCTTTATTCCCTGCAATGGTTTCCACAGCATCGACGTCTGTGTCGAATTCTACGCCTCTAGGAACTGATTTTAAACCTGTTACATCGATAGCTGGTGGATCAATAGGCCCTATTAAACCTACGTTCCCAGCATATAGTACTGATTCTACTTTAACGACAAATAGCACATCTGGTGGTGACCAAAAAGTTAGTTTGATTGCTACCACTGGTGCAGCGAGTAAAATTATTCATCCGCCTGAAGATCTTAGCCTTGTAAGTTATTTTTATAAATTTCCAGTTAACTTTTGAAGAAATTAATATTAAAATTAAAAATAATATTCTATGAATTATATACTAAAAAAATGTTATCCATAGGAGGAAATCCGGGCAAGATTACCAAAGTATCAACGTCGTCAAAATGACGAATCAAATCGTTCTGCGAGTGCAGAAGCAGCTAATCAACAAGCTGCTGCTTTACAACAGCAGCAACAACAACAACAAGCAGCAGCACAGCAACAACAACAAGCGGCAGCAGTCGTGAGCGCAGCGGCAGCGTTTCAGGATCAACAACAAAGACAACAAGCTGCATTATCAGCTCTTCAACAACAACAGCAACGGTTTCAAAGACCACCACAAACGATGATGGTTCCTGCAACCGCTGCTATACCTGTTTCATCCGTTGCGCTCATGGCACCATTAATGCGCCCAACGATGACTCTTGCTGCTCCTGCGCTCATTCACGGAGGTAACATGATGCGACCGCCCCCCATGGGCCTGCCACCAGGTAAGTGTTCACCAAATAATCCTGAAAAATCAGTACGATTCTACGCGCAATCACTTTGTTTGACCGTTGACTGCGAGCGTGTATGTTTCCTATCCATTTTCATAACACTATTGTCAGGATCTGATTTAATTTGGTACGTTCGATAATATCATACTGTTTGATACGCGATTAATAATTATCATACTCAATTATTTCCTTCTTCCATTTTTAATTATAAAATCTTGCATTTCTCATAGAAATTTATTTGAAAATACTTGAAAATTAAAAATTTTACATTTTAAAGTAAACAAAAAAAATTGCTGTGAAGAAATCAAGATTCATTGACTTTTCTTTCGTGCACTTTAATGAACCAAAAATGATTTCCCTGGTAATCGCTGGCTAGGTAAAATGTCGAGTGTACTCGGTCATGAATGAAAGAAAGAAACTGGAACATTTGGAAGTACATTTAAGGGAATATGGCTTTAAATACATCTCAGGAATGAATTTGATCATTTTTACATTGAATTCCTTTACAACAATATTCATTTTAATAATTTAATCTAAATATAAATTAATTATCGATTAATTGTCAAGAAATTCATTAAAAATGAGAGTTTAAGCACAATCAGGATTCACATGTATGCAAAAATTATATTTGAAAATCTTCTCGACAATGGAGCGTATCTTATACGTTTTTTTACGTTTTAACGGTGCGTTTGCAGGACGCCCAGTCACTCCTTGGTGAGTGTTGAACAACCCCAGTCTGGTTACTAAAAACGTGTTTTATTCAAGTACAACAAGGTTGGTCCTTAGCAAATAGCATGCGGTGACATGGCCTATTATATCTCATATTGTTATTTATTATTATTACTATATATAAATCGTCATTAATTCATCATTCATCAAATCACCTATTGTATCTGCAGTTGATTTTCTTAATATTCTTTTTATCTTTTCTTTCTTTTTTTTTTAATTATTGATAACGAAAAAAAATTATTATTGAACAGAAAATTTCTTCAAGAATAAAACAATTATTTTATTAAACATTATTTTTTATCGCTTATATTTTTATATATTTTTTATACATGATATTTGATGAATAATATATAAGATATATATTATTTAAAAAATTCTTTTTAATAAATTGAATTACTCAAAAAATTTCATAAAATGAAAGTAAAATAATTTGCTCTATAATTTCAAATAAAACTAGTTTAATAAAATATTTGTTTTACTTGAAGTGAATAATCTATTTGAGAGAAATGATTTTTTGCTGTTACCAATTCTATTAAATTTCTTTAAATTTAGCTTTATTTGCTATCATATCTAACATTTGCTCATATGATTTTCATATGCTCAAATGATTTTCATTCATTTTATTATTATTCAATCAATTATTATTATTATTATTATAATTATTTTAACGATTAATATTAATTATTTTAATTAGTTATGATCTCTTTAATACTTATAAAATTCACGACTTCTTTTCTATCTGCCAACCGTGTTTATTGCCACAATTATCCTTATGTCTTTGAACAATTTTCTAGCTTGGAATCCTGGTGTTGTGATTAAAGTAGTTGATGAACGCTTTCATTTATTTCTTTATTTATATTATTATAATTATTTTCATATTTTGTTTATTAATGAGCACGGGTAAAAGTCGAAGTTGTCGTAAAAATTCGAAAATTTGATGCATATTTTCTATCACAACAGAGTCATCGTTCGAAGCCTATATATACATATGTATATCTATATATATCCTTCTATATCTTTCGTCTCCGATTTTTGTTATTGGTTGAATAACAACTATTAATTAATTCATTAATTATATAAAAAAAGCTTTGTGAATTATCACTTTTAAAACACACGATACGTGTGACTAAAAAAATATGTTCAAACAATTGTCTTTCATAATCTGCACGCGTCCTGCTTCAGTGTTTCCTCCTTATTCTAAATTTTAAGACAACATTTTTAGCTGTTTAAGGCTTCTATTAGATTGAGATTTGAAATTTAGAATTGTTTATAGAATTGGTCAAAAATAGTCTTCTTCGTTTGATTTATCGAACCGGAACATTTTCATGTTATTTTTATAGTACAAATTATTTATTGAACTCATGCTCATAACTGAAGAACAATTTTTATCAAAATAATCTAAAAATGTTCTCAGGTGAGTAATTATTATTAAAGATACTTTTGACCATGACTATAATGTATTAAATAAAATTATTTGTTGAATGCTTTAATTGGTTTATTAATTGTACGAGATCAAAATTCAAATATAATATCAGAGGAGCAATAATTAAAAGGAGGAAAGGAGCAGAACGTCCAAGAGGACAATGAGGAAAAGGGTTTCTTTTACTTTGCTTAAAAAATTTGTCAGGTATTCGCTGAATGAATGAAGAAGAAGAATGAATGATAGAAGGCAAGGAAGGGAGAGTGTCAGATTTTAAATATACAGTAAATATAATATTTTGAAAAAAATAGAAGGATTTTACGGTACGTCTTTGTTTTAAATATATTTAAAATAATAATAGACCTAAAATAAAATTAAAAATTAAAATTTGCAGTAAATAAACGTAAAGTATAACGTATCTTTCACACTATAGCCTTAGCTTTGTGTCACACAAACAATTTTAGATAAGTCGCTACGACCGACAGTAAGTAAAAGAATTTTCACAGTATCCAAGTAATATTTTTAATATAATATAATAATAATAATGAATATTTTTAATAGATAAACATTAATTCAAACTCTAGTGTTTGACCGTGTGTCGCGGGAATTTTTTAACAATAATTTGAATTTGTTCTTTTTGATAGAAAGCTAGCTGGTAAGCATAAAATTTTGATGTTGATGAAACATAAATAAATATTATTCGGGTGGCAGCCAATGAACTAAAAATAAAATAATCAAATACAAGGAGTTTTAAACTGTTGAAAGATTGAATTTGTTATTTAATTAATTTTGGTGTGGTAGCACTTTTTCTCTATCGGTTTGATGTGAATTATTGTAATGTATATGCGGCACCAACTGCATGCTGAACGTCTCATAAAGCTTTTTTTTCAAACGAAAGTTTTTTACAAAATAATCAAATCGTTGGGTAGAAAGTAGGTGGGAAATTTGGTAGTAAATTTTTCATCATCTACTTGATGAACTACTATTAATCATCTCTTTATAATACATTCCTTCCTGATCATTAATCCCCAAAATTATCAACCAATATTTTAAAAATAACATTTCTTATCAAAAAAAAAATAATAAATACATTTTTTGAAAAGAAATAAATTATTTAAATTTATAATTAAATAATTTATTTTTTTTAACAAAACAAAAAAGAAATATTTTTTTCTGATATGCAAAATATTAAAATCCTCAAATTCCTCTCAATCAAACCTTCACGGCTGTCACCCGAGGCCCCCGCATCACACGGAGACGAGTCAACTCACAAAATAAAAAGTGAACCTTAGAATTTTTTGAATGATTGAGAGATTAAATGAGTCAATATAGAATACATGTATGCGTGTCATTAATAATAGAAAACAAAAAAAAATTCGTGACGTAAGTACTTTTGAAAACTCTGTACACAAAGCGCTAATATTTTACACTTGTAATATCTGGGAGAAGTATAATTTGCCTTGCTAAGGAACAAAAAAAAACCAGCAAGAAATAAGAAAAAATGATAAATGTTTGATAAAAGTTTGTCGATTTGCAGGAATGATCGGGGCACTGCCCCCGGGTGCGATGCATCCAGCATTTGCCACTCCAATGGGATTTCCTGGTGCTCCTGTATTAACACCGATGATGCATCCACGCTTCAGATGATCACCTACAGTGGACGGGCCCAATTCATCGGTGCACTTCGTGCTTTGGGCCCGCCCCTAGCCATGGCTAATTAAATAAATCATCACAGTCATGGCCAAGGACCAAGAGGATCATAAACTGCTTGTTGATCTACAAACGCCTTTTGAAGAGCCGTCGTAACCATTTGATGATCCTCTACTACGAAGTTAACATGAAGTTAGCAAAAGTCTTTGTTTTTTTTTTAATACTATTGTTAGAATAAAAAAACATAAAGAAACAGTGCCTAGAATGGTTTCTTGGTGTATCAAATTTGCATCAAGATTTAAATTCAAGGCCTGTTTAATTAATCCACAGGAAATCCCAGTGGAGAGACGCGATTGCGCATACGGGTGGCGCTTCACGCTGCCGCTAAAATGAAATAACATTCTCACGCTAAATTAGAATTGAAAAAAAAATTTAACCTTTATAAGGAACAATTATTTAAACAGTTGTAAGTCATTTTTTATTTTGTTTTTTTACATGAAGGACAGGCGGGATGATTGTTGCGCGGATTTAGTGGAGAGAAAAATGAAACGAGTCTTTTTGATGCTTCATCGAGATGATGCTTGTGATTGCGTGTTTCTTAGCTGCAGCGTGGAGGTTTCGGTCGCCTCAGGTTAGTCTGTCGAAAAATTTTTATTTTGTCAAGAGACAACTTCCTGTTCATTGATTATTGACAACAATTTTTGAAATATATTTTTTTTCCAATATTTTGTAGTATTTTACATACTCATATTTTATTTGAATTGTTTTCAATTTAATGAATATGGAATAATGCCTCTTTCCTTTCAAGCAACGTGTCTACGACGCATGAGTGAGTGGTAAGTACGGAAAAGTGCTCACAAAAAGTACGGAAACCGATTCTACACTCAACTCGCGCCATTCGAAAATTCTTTATTACGATTTTCTTCATTTATTACTAAGAAATTAATAATTGATATGATTTTTAATATTAAAAAAAAATTCATTTTATTTATTCAATCGTTAAATTTTTCCATTTAATTCGACCGAAAATTTTGTAAGCAATATTTTAAACAATAATTTCAATATCACTATAGTTAGATAAAAATGTTAAAAATCTTTCGAACATTGCCTGTAGATATCACTAAATGGATTCAATCATCAATTTCTAATTCATAATTTCAACATTTCTTCTAAACTTATCTTTTCTCTATAATTCAATAAAACGTCATAATTATTAACAAAAAATTATCTCTCTTTTTCTCTGCTATTTCTTCTTAACGTTTTACTCAATATTCTCTCCTCATTCTAATTAATACTTCCGCTTTATCTCTAAATCTTGAACAAAAATTGTGAAATATTTTCACATTATTATTTTTCTCTTTTTGTAATGAATTTTTAGAAAATACAATGCACACACAACTTCAAAAAAAACATCAAAACCGTGCTGTGAACACGTGTACGTACCAAATTTACGCATTGTTATTAATTATAATATTCTTTGAATAAACAGATTGTCTTTCTGAATATCATTAAAGCATTAAGATTTTAAATTAAAATTCATTTAATTACTAAATCATTTATAAACTTTCGAAATTATATATCAATGAATTTATGTAAAATATTATTGAAAATCGTATTTAGTGTAAATTAAAATATGTATTTAATACATTCAGCAAGACAATCTTAAAATAAAAATATTAATTATGTAGAAAGTTCAATTCAGTGAGTGTCATATTGTCGATTGTTTCAAATAAAGAACGTTTAATGAAAAGATTGAAAGGGTTTGGGCATAGCTTGACGTTTTAGGAAAAATTTCAATAAATATCAATTATAAGAAATAACATTAAATTCAAGGAATTGTTGAAATGTATAGATAAATGAATTAATTTGAATCATTGAAACCAGTAAAACAAATGAATAGATGTACTCATTTGATATGTATGAATATTAGCTAATTATAAAATATGCTCAATTTGTAAAAATATTGTTATTAAATTATTTCCTAAAACGCACGGGCGACAGCCACTTATTGTTTCAACCAATCACAGCTTCCATTGCTGTTGGACCATATTGGTCCCTTGCCTCAAGGCAGGCGATTGTTTGGACCTATCGTTATCACGATGTCGAGCCAGTTGTTTATTCTGAATATTAATTAACAATTTAATGTCGAGAAATTGTCAAGAAAATTAAGATTTTTTTGATGTTACTTGAACGAACTCATTAATTTAATTAATTAAATTGGAATTGAAATATGCTCGACAATGTGTACGAGTGGCTGGACCAAAGAAATAATAATTACTTGGTTATAAACTATGACAATCCGTTATTAACTGATCAATCTTACAATTGTATTAATAATTTAAATAAAAATCATCTCGATTTATTTTTCAATAATTTTATTGCATTCGTAACCTATCAAGTCCTCATAACTTTTATTGAACATTTTTTCACTATTTTATTTAATGTTTTATATTTTCTTTGAATTTCAGATATTATTATTTTCGTTATTTATTCGTATTTTATAGTATTATACCACAGACATAAAATTACTGGTGATTTTTAGTTCAATTAATATACAATTGTTTGGCGAATGCTTAGCTATGTGTGTAATACAAATATTGAATTCTTGATAATTATTTTACGCATAATAAATTCTAATTAAACGCCTGAATAGTTGATTGGTGGTGATTTCAAGAAATCAAGAGAATACGTATTGTGGACACTTTATGTGCTTTTATAGAAAAAAAAGTTGGAAGAAAAAGCTTTGATAAGTTAAAAAATCAACTAATTCCTTTTCTTTTTTTCTTTCATTTCTTTCACTCTATTTATTTGTTAAATTTTTTTTTTTTTTGGTTTGTAGTATAAATTTTTTCTATTTACGGGTGTAATGTTCTATTTAACTGGATTATTCTGGATTTTCTGTTGTATGTATTTGAAAACTGAAAGAAAAAAAGGCTGTCATACAATATTATAGCTGAAGTATTTAAAGAATTGTTATTTTCAGCATGAGGATATATGCGAGCGTAAAAAACTGATACAAAAGAAAATTATACGTCATATGTATCTTACCGCTCGTTAAAATAAACAAATTTTATTAAAACAATTCTTATTTATTTTCTATACCTTTACCTATAATGATAATATTCTAAAATTATAAACTAAATTTCGATTCTTGATTAAACATTTTCATCCAAATTACGATTAATTTTTTTTTCTAGTTTAAAATATTACAAATAATAATTATTCAATTATTATATTAATTCAATTTAATTATGATTGTAGACAATTTGAATAACCAAACAGTAGCACATATCAGAGGTGCCACCTGTTGAGTTTTGACTTTATTTGCAAAGATGTAATCGATAACACAGATTTCGCTGCATACAAATCATATCGAGAATATTATTCTGTCAATCAGAACAAATGTGAATTTTATTTCAACTTTGTGCCTTTATTGTGAAAGTGATATTTAAAATACAGTGATTATGTGAAATCCTAATAAATAATAAAGTTAATTTACCTAGAATTAATATTATAACAAGGTTGGATTTGTTTTTTTAATTATTTTATCAACAATGGTACCTAACCTGTTATCAAATTTCAGTTTTTATTTCGTCCTTTTATTTTAGCATATTAAAATATTTTTCAACCACGAATCTTACACTATTGTAGAATTAAAAAATAATTCTGTTAATATTAACTACTTTTATCAGTTGCTAATTAATTTGTATGCTAATACTTTCTATTTTAAAATCCGTTAAATTGCAACAACTCATCATCATTTATTTTTAAAACATCTTGAAGTTTTGATCAGCATCAATTGAGTAATCACAGTGTAAAAAGAATTAATTTTACGGGAATAACGGTTTTATTTGAAAAAAAAAAATTTCTACATGATTTTTTTTACTCAACATGTTGCTTTTTTGCATTGAAGGTAATAATAAAACTAAAATCTAATATTTCATAACCTTGATTAGTAGTATTCTATGTGTGAAGTGTGATAAAACAAGAATAAAGAAGAAGAAAAATGTCAGATAAAGCATCAGGTTTAAGACTGCCGTCTAAAATCGGCCGGCCTTGCTGTACAGTTCCACCGAAACCAGCAGTACCACCGTCATCACCAAAACCATTAATGAGTAAGTTTTTCCAAACTTTTTCTTGGATAACAGTAATGATCTAAGATATTTATTGTATATTTATGAATTAATATTCAAATTAAAACTCATTCATGTCGAAGGTTTGTAAAATGTTTGTGAAATACATAAATCATCAACCAATTCACTAATAACAACAAAGATCATCTTAACCATAACTATTTTTTTCTACACAAATATTTCAACGTTTATTTCACAATATTCTTAACGTGAATATTAAAATTCGCGATGTTAAAACTTAAGTGCAAAATAAATATTGAAACAACCACACAAATACTTGTCTAATTGTGGTCTTCAAGTGTTGGAGACTAAACTATGCTGGTCCAAATGATCACTGGTGAGTAATGAAATGATTGAGCGTGTCTTCTGTATAAGGAATTGCCCCTTCTCTTAAATCTGGACCTCTACGAGCTCTCTTTGATGCTCGTATGTTGTCTGAGTGGCCGATTAACCGCCTACAAGTGAAGAGCAAGTTCAAATCTTGTCCAGTTCGTACAAGTTGATATTCTGACTTTCGTTGAGAAGCATCCTTCTTCTTATATTGGTAAATATCTTCATCAACAATTCATCTTGAACTTTCTAGAATTCAAAACAAACCTATTGTTTAGATAATTTTTTAATTTATTAGTTACATTTTCATTTGAGTATATTTTTCATTGATTTGATTTGTTCTTGTATCAATGAATATTTTTTTAGAAATTTTGTAAAAGAATTTAAAATAGTGTTGTTATTTCAAGTAATTTTACTCAAATTTTACTACATACTACTTCTTTGAAGGTTTTTTCAAGATAGTTTTCTAGTGCTAGAAAAATTTTTCAGCAATTCATTAAATTTAATCTTTAATTTGAATAAGTAAAATCATCCTTAAGGAATGTTAACTGAAAAAAAAATTATCTGTTAAGTATTTTTAACTTTTTCCAAAAAAAAACTTTTATAAAACATATTTTTAAATGCAAATTAATAATATTATACTAATCTTTTGTTGTTAATAATGTGGATATTCCTATTGAGTGTAATTAATTTTTTAAATACTAAAATAATTGTTCCAATTCATTTAATGGTAAGCCATACCTTTTCAAGTGTTTCTAAAAACAGTTTGATAGCATTCTTATCCTACTGATCTATTTAAAGTTATAAATTACTCTTTAGTCAAACAGCATTTATATTATAGCTAAAAGTAATCAACAATCCTAGATAGTGAAAAAGAATCTTGCCTTATTTGTTAAAGTACCCTTGTTGAAGCTATATATCTACATTAGAAGTGGAGTTAAACAAGTAGAAATGAAAATTAGTACTCCAACAGTACAATTTGCACTTGATGCAATACAATAATCTATGTCTTTATTGTCTCACGTTTATTTATTCTCCTATATGTTGGAGTTTTATTTCAATACGTCTTGAATTTCGTGTTTGTCATCAAAGACGATAATGTGGAACATGAAACTAGATGTTGAGAATAAAAATAGTATTCTTTTGATATTTACATATGATTTACATTAGCTGAATAACTTTTTTATTTTACTTTATTAATGCATTTAGTAGGATTATAGATGTAATTAATCATTTATTGGATAAAACACGGCGACAAAGATAAATTGACATGAAACCATGTTGATAAAATAAATTTATGGCATTTTGATAAGTTAATGCATGAAATATATTTTACTTGCTGTTATCAACAATCATCAATCATTGCAAATAAATGAAAACGAATTATTAATGAGATGAAAAGGATTAGACTCATAAAACTCCAATTTCTCATAATAATAACCATTGTTTTATTTTTCACAAACATGAGATAATTTGTGGTTTACGTACATAATGATTATTCCAAGTTGACGTAATTCTCGATTTCGCAAGCTTGAGAATTCTTTCAGTGAACCCGCGCCTCCCATAAATGGCATTCACATTGAAACGACTAGAATACAAACAAATGAAAATGTTTAAAGAAAAGGGAAAAAGAAGGCCATTAGTTTTTTGGGATCAAAATATAGGTCTTTTAAAACATTTTGTTTTTTTAATATTTTAATGAATGAATATTTTTGTTCATGGCCAGCAATCCATTGATAGAGTTGAGATAAGTTTTCTAAAGAAATCCATAATGGTGTTCTGACAAAAGATTTCCTTACTACTTTAATTTTAAATAAGGTACGAATAATTAGCATGTCTAATCAATTTGCCATAAAGAACATGCATTGAAGATTGCTTTTTTTTTTTAAATTAAATTTGAAATAGTTCTGAGTTATTGGAAATTTATAATAGATTGATAAATCTATTAATTAGCAACAGTAATTAATAATCAATCATTTCTATGAATCTTATTATTATTAAATGATTAATTTTAGCCATCAATAAATTTATTCTCATCTTAATTAATTATTTTGACCTTATCTTAAATATTCTAATTCATTATCGTTCATATTGAGTTATTAATACATAATATTTTTGATGAATACTAACATTTTTTGTTTTTACAAAAAAAAACTTCTGTCAATATAAATCATTTATAGAGTTGATTACTTTTTTGTTATTTCTTAATTCGAATCAGAATAAGAAATATAATGATTATTTTTGACTCATCACTAGATTTCCTTATAAACTATTAAAAATAAATATTTCTCTTTTATTGTATAATTATTCTAAGTGATGTTTACGTATATTTACAATTCAATATTTCCAGTATACATATAACAAAAAAATTCCTACTTGAGCAACAAAATATTTATTGAAACAAATTAATGCTTTTTACCCAACATCTGAGTAATACACTGGTTCCTTTTGGAATTTATCAACAATAAATTCTCATAAATGATATCATATTTAAAGAAAGAAATAATTTATTTAAATTTCATTGATGGATCGAACTTCAATTATAAATTTTAATCCTGACATTGATATTAAAAATTTTATCCATACGTCATCTTTTAGCTTCCTCATTGTTTTTTTAACCAATAATTCAAAACAAACCAATTATATAATTTATTTCTTTAAAATTCTTATTTCATTACAATATAACTATATAATATATTCTCAAAAAAAAATTTATCTTTCTTCATCAAAATATTTAGATGATATAATTTCTTTGTTGGACATTTTAAAAAAGATGATATTTATAAAGTAAATAAATGATGATGTCGTTGCTAAAAAAGATAATCAACCTTAATGATGATGAGCTTTGTTAAAGAAAAACATAATTAAATGTAGAATATTTTCATTTTCCTCTAGAGTCATAGGACAAGGAATTCTTTGTTTAATCTCATGTATTTAATTGAATTCTAGTAGTCGTCTAATCGGCTTTCCATCTCATATACAAGACAAGGTTCTACCCACGCCAAGTAAACCTACTTCTTGGCGGCATTACATTAACCACACCCACGAATAATATTCATTAATTACTAATCACCAAGAGTAAACCAAGAGATCTTATAATAAAGTATATACGGATGTCATGCACATTTTTTTCCCATCAACCCACACAAAGTTTTTGTTTATGACACTCAATCATTTCAGATCATAAAGATTACAATACTCTTTATTTAAATGACAATTACAGCATATACGTTTCATTGAAACATAAAATTATTCGTCCCCGAGGGAACCTAAAGCAGCTGAATCAAAGCATTAATGACATTAATAGTCACTGATTTATGTAACTTAACATTTGAGGCAAGACCAATAATTGTGTTTGACTTCCGGCAAAAGAGATCAGATCAAATCGATAATATAATTATCGAAGAAATAATGCAACTGTCCGCTTCATTTAACACCATCTCGAGAGTATCTAATAGAGAGTTAATTGACAGTCAAGTCCCCACCTAACTCTTGTTTTCATTTTTGTCCGTTGAGTTTGCTTTTAGTAGTTTTCAATACGTTTTTCCCTTGTTATTGCATGCTTTCCAGATTCCATGGAGCCTATTTACGAGAATCCAATTCGCAGACCTGGATCTACATATCGTCATGACGGTAAGTACTTGATTGTATGCTTTACTATTCGTTAATTAACTCAATTTACATAAATTTTCTCTTTGTGATACAACACTTGTTTCCATTTTTTATTCATACTGAAGTATGTTACAAACAATCCTGAATGTATACTAGCATTTTATGTTTGAACTATCATTAAACATAACATAAGGTATAATAGTTTTCAATGTGGTGTAAATATTCATTATTATTTAGTGCTACCTAAGATCTTTAATTTGGGGTAATTCATACTAAAATAATAAGTTAATTTATTACTTTTTAATAATTATTTAAAATTATGTATGGTCAAAATTTTCTTCAAAACGTTGCTTTTAATTTCTTATAATTATAAATATTATAAAAAATTAAATTTTTTAAATTAAAAATAAAATAAATAAACAAATAATAAATTTAACACAATTCTGGAAATTGATAAATCAGGTAGGCTATAATAATTTTTCTAACAAAACCAATCAAAATTTAATAAATAATCAGAATAATGTATCATAATCATAGAAAATAATAATTGGATAAAGAATAAATTATTATTTACAGCATTTATTTTAATATTAAAAAAAAAACAGCCATTTTGCACATTACACTTCATTGTTATTCAGATACTAGTGTCGTACTAACGGAGGATACAGACAGTTTTATTATTGGAGATCGAGTATGGGTTGGCGGAACAAAACCAGGATCTATCGCTTACATTGGCGAAACTCAGTTTGCCCCTGGAGATTGGGCTGGAGTAGTCCTGGATGAACCAATCGGTAATCATTTATTTACAATTTATTTATTTTATAAAATACTTTAATATTTCAACAAAATTTTAATTTAATTATTTTTTATTACACATATTGTAAAATTGAACAATTTATTAACATTATTTTATTTTTTTAGGAAAAAATGATGGTTCAGTAGCAGGCTCTCGTTACTTTCAGTGTGCTCCAAAGCATGGAATTTTCTCTCGCCTTACTCGTCTTACTCGTCAACCACTTCTCGATGTTCAATTTCAATCACCGAATGGTGCAAAAAGTCCCATTAGCCCTGAAGGACGCCTCAATAAATCTCTATCTCCTTCATTAAGTAAGGATCGCTACAAGCACTCTTATCGTCGCCCGTAGAAGAATAGAAAAACTTGCACTGCTTTCTGTAGAATTAGATTTTAATTAATCATTAATGACACTTCAATCTTCCTGATCCTATATTATTTAAACTTCAATTATGCTTGCTATTGTGTTTATTTTATTGTTCTACTAATAAATAAAATACGTAGTAAAAACAATGGAGTGAATTATAAACTCAATTCTACAAGTAAACAACAAGAACTATTTTATATTATTATTTAGATGCTTCAACAACGAGTCTTTCTTCTTCGGCCATTCATCGAGATATCAAGATTGGAGATCGTGTTATTGTTTCCTCAAGCCAAGGAAGTAAAACTGGCATCCTCAGGTTTATGGGTGAAACTGAATTTGCAGCTGGAGAATGGTGTGGAGTTGAATTAGATGATCCTGTTGGTAAAAATGATGGATCGGTTGCTGGCAAAAGGTTTAATATTTTTCTGCTTTCAGGCCAGCAATATTTTAAGTTATAAGAGATTAAATAGGATTGAGTTGATAAATAAACAACTAAGGTTTAAAATTGATTTCTAAGCCAACATTTTTTTAGTTAATAAATAAATTATGTATAAACGAAAATGAAATTTTAGAGCAAACTCTAAATAAGTTGATTATTTGATCAATACAGTATTTAACCTGATTTTTCTGTACTAAGTTTAGTTTGTTTATCTATTTATCTCGTTATTTTGTTTCAATTGTTATTTAAAAAATAATTTAATACAATAGTTTACATAAAAACTTGTGAAATTTACAAAGATTACTGTAAATTCATGTCAATTGTATCACACGAAAGCTTAACGTATTGTTGGTTGACCAAAAATAATTTTTATCATTGCATAGAAAATAAAACAAAGCAAATGACTCCAAAATCCCTTTAGGTACTTTGAATGTAGACCAAAGCATGGTCTGTTTGCTCCGGTACATAAAGTGTCCCGTTCACCATCAAGTAAAAGACCATCAATATGCGTGGTTCACAAGCCATCTGGAGCAGCATTAAATTCATCAATCCGTAAAACAGGATCAAGAGAATCTTTAGCTTCATTATCAAGCATGGCAAGTACTGCAACAAGTATAGCTACCAAAGGAACATCATCCACTGCAAGGGTAAGATTCGTAATGCCGGAGTGAAGCTTCAGATTCATTTATTTATACAAATTATCAAGTATATCAATACTTCGATGATGTATTTACAAATTTATTGTATAGCTGACTACCTAATTGGGTGGATTTTATTATATGCATGTACAATTTAGTTTATTGCTGCATGGCCAAAGTACTATTTTTTTCTTTTTTTTTTAATATCTAATATTGCAGAAAACAGGCTTACGTACTACAACGCCCACTCGTTCAAGCTCATTACAGGTGAGACACTAATCACTTAAATCCATTAAACATTTTTTCCTTCCCTCTTTTAGTATGTATGTAGTTTTGTGTCATCAGTAATTATTTAGCTTTAATATATTTATATAATATGGAAATTGTTAATTTATTGTACAAATTTGTTGTAGTATTATTTATTTTTGCTTGTAAATGAATGTGTAGATTAATTATGTTGATCGTAGAATTACTTATTAAACAAATTAAAAAATGTTATGTACAAAGACAATAAAAATAAGCGTTTCTCATGGCCTATTTCTAAAAAATAAACTATGTATCTATTTTTCTATTTTTTTTTGCTCAATTTAAAATATACATTTCTTACTCCCATTGATTTATATCCGGTGTAGTTTCCTTTTATTCTCTCTTCCATTAATGTTGATAATCTTAAACATCTCAAAATGCTTACAGGAGATGTTAAAAGAAAAACAGCAAGAAATAGAAATGTTAAGAAAAGAAAGAGATCTTGAACGAGAAAGAGTAACTAAAGCTGCTACTCAAGCAGATCAAGCAGAGCAGAAAATTGCTAAGCTTCAAAAGGAATATGATAAGGTAGATATCTTCAATGTAGGGGTTTCTCCAGTAAAAACAATAAAAGTTACTCATTGAAATAATAAATCTGTAAATAAAAATAAATTAATAATTAAATAAATTGAAATTGACATTTAATTGTCAGATATGAAATGATTTATTCGTTATTTTGTTTTAATCCAAATTTTAAAATTGGTTGAAAATTAAAAATAGAATAATGTAGACATTTCTTACGACATTTATTATGATCGACATATTAAGTTATTCATAAATTTTATTGAAGCATTTCGACTGATTACTAACAAATAACTTTTCTACCCTGTTTTAATGTAGTATCGAGAAGAAATGGAAAAAACCGTCCTTGAAGCTCAATCAGCTTTAGAAAAACTCTTAGAAGAAAAAAATCAATTAACAACACAGTTAGATGAAGAGAAACAGAAAACTGAAGATTTACAATTTCGATTTGAGGAGGAATCTTTTACCAAGGAGGATATTCAGGTGCAATAAATTATTTATTTAAATTTTTAATTAAATAATTTCCCAAAATCTATTTATATATTACCCAGAAAAAAATATTTCTTGCTTTCTGGTGATGGTCAATTGATTTAAATCTCGAATTACGTAAAAATAATATATATTTTTTTTAATATCACCAAATGCATATCAGGATATTACGAATAATAAGTATAGGAATATAGGAGCTTAGCTAACGAAATAAACACACACTTTATTCTATTTTTTTGTTCACATTTCAGAAAGAGAGAACCGAGCAAAGTGTAAGTATTTTGAAGAAGAATTTGTTCTCCGGGGGGATGTTGACGCTGTGTTTCTGCACCGCTTGCACTGCCCTTTTACTAATTTTTAACACTAGAAAAATCTGACTGCATTTTATTCTATACACAAATATAAAGAAGCATATCAAACAAAAAATTTTTTTCTAAAAAGGACAAAAATTTGGATTATTTATTGAACATAACATTTAGTAGCTTCCAAATTACTGATAATCAAGGGCTCTAAGCTTTTTGCTGTCAAAAGCTAAAATTGACATGATTTCTTTGAAAAACTAACTAAAAAAATCTATTTAATATTATTAAAAAATGTTTTGTTAATTAAGCGAAAGTTTTAACAAATGACAGATCTTAATAACTAATAACCAATAATCTAATAATGTTAATTGTTTATTCATGTAATACTGTTTGTGTTCAATGGTGTTAACTGTTTTAACTTAAGATTTATTTATCTTTATTATTAATTGATTGTTATTAGTTCATTAATTTATTTTATTATAAACTGTTCATTCATTTTAAAATTTAACATTTTCATTTCAATAATAATATACTTTCAGTATATCAGTTTACTGTGCATTTTGTAATCTTTTTATTGGTTTGGGTTAAATAATAATTTTATATTAATATTATGTTCCAAATGTTCTTCTTTTTGTTAATATTTGATTTTGTGTAATAAACTTTTTATTCATTTATGTGTTTATATCATAGTAATAATCATTTGTAACGTGCTCATATGAGGTGTGTCTATGTTAGAAGTGTCGATAGAAAAATGCCTTTTATCTAGCAGTATTTATATTTATCCTAGGTCATTAACACATTAAATGAAAATAAAATCAAGGAACTAGAGAAGGAATTATCAGAAGAACGTGAACGAGTAATTCAACTCGAACGAGATAGCACTAGATTATTTGAATTGGAAGAAGAATTAACGAAATTAAAAAACGAAAAAACTGAATTTTTAGGTAAGCAATGAAGATAAGTTTATAACAACAAAGAATATATTACAGTTAATCAATTGAAATTAATTATCATTCATTTTTAGAATTACAAAATCGTAATTGGTGTCTTGAAGAAGCCAAAATAACTTTAGAAAAACAAATTCTTGAACGCAATGATCTTTTAGAAGAGTACAAAAATCAAATTAAAGCTTTGGAAGAAAAAATAACTTTTAAAGAACATGAAAGTGTGACTTCTAAAAATCAAGAATCGGATCTGAAAAAAGATTACGAAGAATTAAAAAAAAATCTAGATGAGAAAACATTATTAGTAGATAAAATTGTTAAAGAACGGGATGAAGATGCTGAAATGATGAAAAAAGAGACAGAAAGATTGAAAGAAATGATGGATAAAATTATTCAAGAAAATGAAAAAGAAAAAGAATCAATAATGACGAATTATCAAAAAATAATTGAAGAAAAAAATTCAATAATTCAAGAAAAAATAAAAGAACTTGAAATAGAAACAATGAAGCATACGGAGTCACAGAAGACAATATTAGCGCAATTAAAAACAACAAATGAAGCTCAAATTAGTGAACTTTCATCAAAATTACAGTTACAACTGGGAGAAAAAGATAAAAAAATTCAAGAACTGAGTCATAAATTGGAAGAGAATTCACTGGAAATAGAAAATCTTTTAAAAAAAATTGCAAATCAAGAAAACGCATCTTTGAGTAAAGATGACGCGTTACAAAAAGCTATAGAACAGATAGAAGAATTGAACAAAGAACTTAAGCTCGCTGAAGAAATGAATGAAGAACTAAAAAGGCAAATTGATACCTTAAAAAGTCTTAGTAATAAAGAAACAGCATCAATTTTAGAAGAAAAGCTTAAACTTCAAGAATCGCTTACATCGCTTCAAAATAGTTCAGAAAGTTTCGCTGCTCAGTTAGAAAAGCTCAAAACTGATTTAAAGATGAAAGAAACTGAATTAGTTGAGCTTCAAAATACCATGGATGCAGAAATCAAAGGCCTTATTGAAAGCTTCGAAAGTAAATTAGAAGAAAAAAGTCGATCGATTTTAGAAATTAATGCTGATATTTCTGCTAAATCTACCCGTATAAGTAATTTAGAACAAGAAGTAGTAGAATTGAAAGCTTTGTTGGCAACTAAAGATGAAGAAATAAATAGTTTGCTGGAGAAAACTTCAGAACTGAAGGATGGAATCACTTTATCTGAGCAAACAAAGACAAATCTTGAGAGTGAACTCAGAATGTACGAAGTCAACATTGCAGAATTAAATCAAAAGATAACTCATGCGGAAGAAAAAATTGGGCAACTAACAGAACAAAAAACAAAACTAGAAACAGAAATAGCAAGTGTGATAAGTACATCAACAGATTCATCAGAACAGTTACTTAAATATAACGAAGATTTGAGATTAAAAGAAAAAGAAATAGATTCACTTCGAGAACGGGTTTATGAATTGGAAAATTCAATAACATCATCAGAAGCAAAACTGAACTGTGCTGAAGAAGATTTAAAAGCTGTGAATCTGTTGGTAGAGCAATTAAGATCAGAATCTGGAGATTTACGAGATCAATTAGACGTTCAAACGAAGTGTAAAGAAGAATTAACAGCGGAAATAAATTCTCTAAAAGTGAAAGAACAAGAGTTGATTGAAATCAATAAAACAGCAGAGCTTCTATCTGAACAAATAAAAAATAAAGATCAAACTATTGATGATTTAGTGAAAAAGCTGAAGACTGCTGAAGATAATTTGTCGAGTATCAATGAAAAATATTCTTCATTAACGAGTTCTAGTGAAGAAAAAGTCAGTACACTTCAGAATCACGCTGATAAGGTAGAACAAAAGCTCAATGATCTTTATGAAGAAATGAAAGTATTAAAAGAAAATCATGAAAAATTATTAAATGAAAAACTATCTAGTGAAAAATCTATAGAACAGCTGAACCAGCGATTGTTTTCTGCTGAAGAAGAAAAACAAAAATTAGAAATATTAAACATAGAAAATAAGAGCCATATAACGAGCTTAGAAGTTAAAATTGAAGAAATTAGAAAAGAGAAAGAAGAAAAAAATGTAGAAATCCAAAATATAACTGATAAATACAATGAAAGTCTTGCCCAACTTGCAGCTTCAAATTCAAGCCTTGAAAGTAATAAGTCTGAAGCTTCTATAGAACTTTCTGCAGCTAGAGAACAGCTTATTCATTCAGAAGCAGCTAAGAGACAGTTAATAAATGATTTTGAACATAAGCTAAAAAATCTACAAGAAGAAGTAAAACAATCAGAAATTGAGAAAAATAATTATGAAAAGAAAATCGAAGAGTTTAAAACTCAATGTGAAATCTCAAAAAAGAAGCAAGAAGAAATGGAATTAGAATTGACTAATCTTCAAAAAGAACACATTCAGAACCAAGAACAATTAAGCAAGAGTATGATGGAGGCCAAAAAATTAGAGGAATACAGAATACTAGCCCAATCTTCACATGAAGCATCGATAGAGAAGATTAAAGAACTAGAAAATGAGATAAAAATCAACGAGGAAAGATTGACAGAAAGATTAGCTACTATGAATGCTCGTGAGTCAGATATTAATAATGAACTCACGGCATTAAGAGGTGAATTAAGTAAAAGCAATGATATCATCAATACTATTAATCAGATGATCGAATCAATGAAAAAAGAAAAAGAGATATTAATGAATGAAAAAGCAGCCAGAGAAGAACAATTAGCAGAAGTTGTAAATGAAAATAAAAATTTACACGCTATTAAAACATCTTTAGAAAAATATATTAAAGAAGCTGAAGAAAGAATAGCAGAATTGTTAGGCTCCGTTAAAAAAAATGAAGAAAAAGTTGAAAAAGACAGACAGATACTTGAAGAAGAACTTAATAAAATGAAAAAAGAATCGTGGTTATTACAAGAGAACCAAAATCAGTTGGAAAAAGAAAATAAACAATTGACAGCTAAATTGAATCAAGCATTAGAAGAATCAAAAACGTTGATAGAGAACAACAAAAATACTAATGAAATCAACTCAAAAATTCCTAAGATTGTGAGTGATAATTCTAATAATCAAGTAAACTCTGGAGATGAATCTGAATTTGCTAAAATGATAGAAGATAATGAGATGTTAAAAAGCCAAGTGAACTTTTTAAACTCAGTGATTGTTGATATGCAACAAAAAAATGAGAAATTATTATGTAAAATTGAGGTATTAGAAATGGGAGTGCCAGCTAATGAAGCTGACGATTATAGCAGAAATACTATAGAAAAAAAGGCTGCTCCACCAAGAATGTTCTGTGATATTTGTGATCAATTTGATCTTCATGAAACTGAGGATTGTCCTAAACAAGCTCAAGATTTGGAAGATGAAAAACCTTTAAAAAAATCTAAAAAGCCTCCTGTCGACAGACCTTATTGTGAAAATTGTGAAAGTAAGTATTTTTGAATAATATTGAAATACCCAATAATATATAATTGATTTCAAAAAAATTTATTAATCAAAAAATTTTCTCTTTTCAGTGTTTGGACATGATACTGCAGACTGTGACGACGCTGAAACATTTTAACCGAAGATAAAATTCTTTCAATTTTTTGATTTCAATTATAAGATATATAAGAAAAATAGTTTGTTAAATGTTCAAAGTATATTTTTGTACAGGAAATTCGAAAAATTATCCTTACTACACAAGTCTTCCTTTGTAGTTGAAATTTACATAGATAATTTACAGTCAGAAAGGAATGGAATTTCTTCAAATACTAATTCTTTGTTCTTCTTTCGAAAAATTACTTCTTGACATTAAAGCGTAGATCGCTACATTTTTTTTTATTAAGCCTGATATTATTGCCTTCAAAAAATTATCATATTTAACTCAATATTGCAAATATAGTAAAGAACTGATATATTTATATATATATTGATATATAAATATATATATATAATTGCAAATATCAGCTTGCCTAAAGGTTATAATGACCAGAATGATATATTTAATATTTATTACAATTTAAATGTACATAGGAAATCAATTAGAATTGTTTTTTATTATTACACATAATTAGTTAAATCTGCTCAAAATGGCTCGAAAAAGCACAAAATACATTTTTGCCAATAAATTATTCGATGCAATGAGATTTATGAAAATTTAATATAAATGAAAAGTTTTTTAACTTAATATCTTATTTTATTTACCTATTTACATTATAATTATTCCTTAATCCTGTTTAATCTAATCCTTCTTTCTTTTCTTTTATTGCATCCTAAAAAAATAGAATATAATTTTACAGTATTATTTGTAACAGAATTTAAACAATTCATTTGTTAAAAAGAATTAATAAATAAAAAAATAATTACCTTAAATCTTTCTTCAAAGAGCGACAACTCAGCAATTAAATCCGTAATAGCGTGCATGAAGGCTTCATGAGGTGTATAATCAGATGTTGTCTGAATTCTTATCACAAATTTATGCTCCAAGGGATGAGGAACTTTATAGCCGGCGAATAAAACGTGAGGATCTTTCAATAGTTGACTGAAAAAGTAATTAATCCAATATTAACAGAAGTATTCAAAATAGACTAATAATTTTTTTACAACAAGAACATGTTGTCAATTGAAGCGCATGTGACTCCATGAATTAAATGTCCAAGATTTGATACTGCTTACTTTCTAATCATGTTTCCAAGAGTATGGTCTTCTTTGTTCACTGTAAATATAGCAGCATTAGGAACTTTTGTATCTTGTTCTTTTATAATTCTGAAAATAAAAATTAATTAGACTTGAGGTTAAAAAGTTTCAAAGAATCAGCGGGTAAAATCACAATAATTACTTTTTCTCTCCTTCATAAAGAAGGAATGATTCGAAGGTTGGTGGTGCATTCATTTTCTATCAAATTGATTATTTTATACTACCCAAAATATCAAAAATCAATTTAAAAAATGTTGAAAGCGGTAATTAATGTACACAAAAACAACAAACTGCAACAATCGCACATAACCTGAACGAAATACACTTTTTCAATTAAAAAAACACAGAGAGCGCTAAAAATCTAACGCGCAAAATATGAATTTCTGATATTCGAGCTCTTTTTTAAAAAAAACTCATTTTTTACTGAAGTGATTGTTTACATTATTTTATTGTCAATAACAGTTCGTTATTACACGTCAATATCACATTCAACTTGACAAATACTTTCAAATATTGTACTATCCAATTTTTTTAACAATATTCTTAAGTAATTTAATTCTCATAACAAATTTAATAATTTACCTTAACAAATACATTATTTACAGTTAATAATATTAGAAATAATGAAAATATATGTAAATTGAATTTAGTCAAAAGTAAGTAGTATGTATATTAAATAAACTTTAGCTCTTTGAAAACCAATATCTATGATTATCAATGAAAATTATATAAAAAATACTGCTACGCAATAAATTCTCGATGCTTTCCCAATCATTAAGAGCATCAATAACAATTTAATTCTAATTATACATATATTAAAAATGATATAAATAAAAAATGAATATTTAAACAGGTTCTGAAAAATTTGCTAGTAATAGATTAACTCTAAAAAACATTATCATCATTGTAGTACAGACAGAATTTTGGTTTTAGAGGTATTTTGGGACTTATCAATACTTTGGCTTTTTGCATCTATTGACGACGATGATGATTGTGATGATGATGATGATGATGATGATGATGATGATGATGATGGTAGTGATGGTAGTGATGGTGGTGGTGGTGGTGGTGGCGATGGTGATGGTGATGATGATGGGTCTTTGAGTAAAATTTTGCCTCCTTTTAATTGTGATGTCTCTAACGATTTTACATATGATAAAATTGAAGTCCATGCTAAACTACAAAAACTAACGTAAACAACTCGATTTCGTTCGGGAATGAAGACGAAATTTATTGTCTGTAGCACTGGCCAGACAAACACCCCAATCTGGAACAACAAATAACATTAATTAATTGATGGATAATTGAATAAGTAATAAATATTTTGAATCAAACATCACTTTATTGAAATAAATCATTTTTCAAAATTAATATTTTCAATACTTACTTTCCAAGTAGGATAAAATTTGTTTTTGACCTCATCTATACACACAGACACTGGTTTCATTTCTAAGAGGTTGATACCAAAGAAAAAGCAACAGATTGCAGCAGGACCATAAGATACTTGTTCTACTAGTGCCTAATACATAAACAAAAAGTTCATTCACATATGAATGAATCAAGAAAAAAGTTTCTAATATAATTTTATCTTAAAATAATGAAGAAATTTGTTAAAAAATGTAATAAAAATTTTTTTTACCTTAGTGATGGCAGATCTCAAATTGGCTTTTGGCCATAAATATGTAGCAATTTTGAGCCAAGCATATAGTGTAGGACCTACAAAGAATCCTCCATAAATACTAAACCTCAATGCTTGCATATAATCTAATTTTTCTTTTCCAGCTATTTTTTGTTGCAATAAACAAGCTGTTGGCCAAATGACTGTGTAACTAGCCATTCCACGTACAATAGGATATCGCCGCGAAAATTCGCTCAATCTCACTAAAATAAATCTTGACTTCATTCTTTAGTGTTGCTGAAAAAATAAAATTTTTTATTAGAAAATCGACTTTTTTATCTGATATATTGAAAATGTAATATTTTTCTAACAAAATCAAATCACTCTGTTAAACTTATCAATACATTCTTGTTTTTATCATGTCAACAACAAAATAGTCAATAGTTAATAACTACTTACATTAATTTATTTAATAAATAATATACTTCTTTGTCGTTTCCTGGTTTTACAGTACAAGGAAATTTAAATAATCCTACATAATTATATCAATTTTACCACGTTATCTGATTATAAATTAACGTTATAAGTATAATTATTGGATTTATTGATAAAAATGTTTCTCGAAAACACTATCAGTTAACAATGACACATAAAGTTTCCAAATAAAAATATAATTAACATTTCTTTGTGAGTTTGTTCTGAGAAAAAATTATATTAAATGATAAAGAATACTAAAAATCGTGTATTCTTTCAAAATGTATTGATAAAACGTGGCTGTGATGTAACTAATGTTTTATGACAGTTAACAGCGATAAATTTATATCTTGACTTCTGGTCTTTCCAGCTAAAATATATATTTATATTTCATTTTTCCTCACCTGTACTTTGTACACTTAGTATTTGTTGTTCGATTATTATTGTTGTCGTTTTTTTTTCCTTTTAATCAGCTGATTTTACTTAGTTTCCCACGCGGGACGTTTAAATTTATCCACGATTGTCCCACGCTTTCAAATAATTTGACAGTTGATATTAGAACTTTTATTTTTAATAAAATCATGGGGATATTATTCACAAATACAATGACATTGTGCTCTAATGTGTATTTTGGCAAACAACTAGTGTAGCACACGCGTCACTCTTAGATTGTGACGAAACCGAATGATTCCATTCTTGTCTAACCTTGAATCAGCTAGAACTTCAATGATTTTTTTTACCCTATTGATCATTACACTTTTACGCAACAAATTAACGCACGCGCGTAATGCGAATATTCAAATTCCCCGCGTAAAACTGTACTTTAATTATTTTCAATTATTCAATTTACTGGAGAAATTAATTAAATTAAAAACAGTATTGATGCATTCGAAATTTAATGCAATTTTAATCATTATAATCATACTTCAGATGACAGATAGAATTTTACAAATAAAGCAAAATTAATTATTTAATAACTATCATTAAATTAAATTATCAGTGAGTTTGATTTTAATTATGCATTAGATCCTTACAAAATGGCTTTATTGTTACAATGACAAATTATCATATCTATTAAAAACATCTACAGGTACCTCTATTTATGACAACAAAAACACCGTATACAAATAAATCATTATGATATTCATTTACTCAAGAAATGAATACTTTGTCTCAATAAACGTAATTTCAATCATTATTTTACATAGTCTTTAAAAAGTTTTTTTTTATTCCGTTCTTGTCACTATTAAATTAGTTGATAATTTCTGGAATATTTTTCATTTTTCTACCCAAAAAATGACAAAAATTATAATATTTCTATGATTGATGTTCCCTTGTTCTTGTGAAGAAGTGTTATTTTGTCATTATCATTGAGAAAAAATATAAACACCTTTCACAAGTTTTATAATTTTATATTCAACTTATAATTGTTAATATATCAATTTGGTCACAATTGATAACATAGCGAACCTCAAGATGATATGAAATGTCAATAATAAGTCCAAAAACGATTGAATATTTATTCCTTTCAACGAGACCATTCTCCACTTACAATTCTAACCAATTCTCTTGCATCATATCATTTATGAAATATCAAACACTAAATTTCTTCGTGCAACCAAATTCACTTTTAACCACATTGTAGAATGTCAATAAAATAGCTACGTCAATAGTGTAAATTATTAATTAAATAATTATCTTCGAACAATATTCATTGAGCTGTAATATCAAACAAATCAAGTACTCCTTCGTGATCACTAAGGTTGAAGTGAAAATCTTTTTCACTTGGTGGTGGACTTAAACTTATTAACGGGCCACAGACTGTCAAAAAAAAAAAAAAATAAATTTAAAAAATACATCAAACAATTACAAAATCTAACAGTACTTATTCTATCAAATACTTACAATCTGAATAAAATTCATCGAGCAAACTAGAATCTGATTGAAGTTCTAAAAAAAAAAACAAATTTTATTATGAAATATTGATGATAACATAACATTAATAAATGAATATTCTTACTTGAGGTAAAATCGTTGAGTAATATTTTAGCATCTAATAAATCGGTATCTTCGGTTTCTTCGTCATCTGATAGTGAATCACGCTTTGCACTACTTTTCGATAATCTGCGAAAAGAAAAACACATGATACAAATAACAAATTGTAAAAATTAAGTCAGTAAATTATTACTATTGGTAATTCGATTGAAGTGTAAAAATGTGTATGGTACATTCCAAACTAATGAAGCTATTCATCACGCTCATTTGTCCCCGATAGTATACCAACCATTTATCTATGCTCAATGCAGACGATAAACTTAAACTTACAGTTTATGATGCGATTTGAGCACGTTTAAGACAAATAATTTAAGTAATGTAAAAAAAATTACCTAGACAACTTTCTCTTTGGCTTGGAATCATCTTTATTTTCACTCTCTGAATTCTCCCTTTTGATTCCTTTCACTTCTGATTCTTCTAATCTTTGTTCTAACATCTTTGTATCATACGTTTCAGCTAAAAGTGGCTGAACCATAAATACTTTTATTTCTCCTGACGGACTCTTTAAGAACATTTCATAATTCACATTTCTTGTTTCATTTTCTTCTATTTTTTCAAGGTTTGGTACTTTTAAAACTGTTTCTGGTGGTGCTTGTACAAGCAAAACAAATTCATTTGGATATTGTTCTTTTATATCTTCATATGTTACATAGGCATATCGTCGATTTTTTATATCACTTTCAATATTTTTTATACTCTGTTGTATCCACTGCATGTGGGTATCAAGAAGCTGTTCATGCTCCTCCAATTGCCTCAATTCTTCTTTTAAATCTCCAAGTTTTGCCCCAACTTCTTGACTGTTGCATCCTGGTCCTGCACCCCTTTGAAAATTAAAAATTTTCGATAGGTAAAATTATTCTGTTTATTAATTTCTAATTATTCTGTTTGTTAATTTCTGAAGACCAATTTGAAAGATAGATTTTTTAAAATGACAAAATTCTTGCCAATTGTATGTTTTTCAAATAATTAAATGATATAAAAGATTGTGTTCAGATTCTTTTATTCAGTATCAGATACGTTATTAAATAAAAGTTATTTTAGCAAATATTTCGACTTACTTCCATTGGATACTATTTTTACTTTTCTTTTCAATGAGTCCAATTCCTTCCAAAACATTCGTAATGTCATATATACGTCTTTTTTGACGTACCTCTAATAAATCGGCAGCCTGTAATAATTAATGATAAAAATTTTAAGACGAATTATGGAATGATTTAATAATGAAATAGAAATTTGATTACTGCTTTATATTAATAATATGTGATAAAACATTACAATGTAACTGATGACATCAGCATAGGTTATGTAAAATGTTTTTGTTTTGGTTAGAAGTACTCGAAATTAGGGTTAGAAATTTTTTTTACATCATTTTTCAGTTCCTAAGCATATTTACAAAAAGAAATATGATCTTGTTATTGGTCCTAATTGATACAAATTGCTAAATATTATTTTGTTTCAAAATTCCCGCAAGGAAAATAAATGGCGTGTTCTTTTTTCCATCCCCGCGTAGTAGCTTAACCTATCAAGCTTGATGTTAACAAGTGCTTTAACTTAAATCAATATTAAAATACTTACCACTTTCAGATCTAATACACCATCTTTTGCTTTTTGAAGAAGTGAAACAAACCGTGTAGTCAATAAACCCAAAGATTTCTCAAATCTACTTTGCTGATTGTCTGCCATTATATTTGTAGAACCGTTGTCAAAATTTTGAAAAGCTCTATGATAATCTTCGAAATTGGCGCAACAGCTTGAACGCTATCGCGCGCCACTAAAGGCGGATTTTTATTTAACATCTATTCATGTTTCCGTATTTGAAATTACAATAAAGAATTTAACGAATTTCAAACAAAAATGTTTCAAATTATAATGATTTTAGGCCACTTTATTTACCTTTTTAGGTGGTAAATAAATAATATTTTTTTCTACTATGTTATTGTTAAGAATATTGATTAAAACTTAATAACCGAATTATTAAAAATAATTAAGACAAATGATCAGTATAAAATTATTTTTATTATATTTTTCAATTTTTTCATTTAGGATACTATTTCATTTATCAATGTTTTTTACAGTACAATCAATAGAATTTTAAATTTACAAAATTCCAATAAATATAAAAAAAATTTTTGAAAATATATGTACAATAATAGATTGTTGCCTTTCATAATTCCTTTTCATGAAGCATTAAAATTATTTTGAAAATGGAAAAGGATATAGATATTCATAATTGGAAGTTGATGGTTCAGGACTTGGCGTCGAACTTGTTGATGATAATGTTTCTTCTTTTATTTTAAGATTTGTATTTTCTTTTTCTTTATCCTTATCCTTTTCTTTATCTTTGTCTTTCTCTTTTTCTTTGTCTTTGCATTTTTCTTTATCTTTTTTATCTTTATCTTTCTTCTCTTTATCTTTACCATGTTTATGATCATGCTTATGTTTATGCTTATGCTTATGTTTCTTTTTGTCCTTTTTCTTCTTTTTACCTTTACCAGAAGTATCTCCTTTTTGTTTATGCTCATCTGGTTCCTTCTTAAACATTCCTGGTTCAAATCCAACAGGGCCAGCTGTTCCCATCAACCCTGGCAGTGACGCTGAATTGTCACTGTAATATTCAGTCTTAACTTTACCATCTCCAGTCATTTCTCGATTATCATGATTTTGTTGTTTAATTTTTTTAATGTCCTGGTTATGATCTGGAGTACTTATAGATCCAGGAATTGATTCACGTGTAGGAGAAGCTTTCCTTTTGACTCCACTAGGACCAGGAACTTCTACATCAATCACTTCAGGCTTTAAATGATTTACAGTTTTCACTGGTTTTGGAGACTCTTCTTTGACAGGAGAAGTTGGAGTAACTTTTTTAGGTTTCATAAGACCTGCAAGTTCAGGAATTGGTAAACATAAAGGTCTTTTAATTCCATATAACGTATAATATAAATCAACAAAATCACATCTCAATTTAGAGTCATGAGATAACATTCCATTAATCAAATTCCAGATGCGATCTACTAACTCTGGTTGATCTAATCGATGTTTATTAAACTTTTCAAATGGAGGATTTTCTACCATCAACCTAACTAATCTGTGACGAACTCCAGGATGCGGATCTGTTTCTGCCATATCTAATAAAAATTCCAAATCTTCCCATTTACCATCAATTCTTGTGAAGTCAACCAAAGCTTCTAAAGCAGCTAATCTGACATCAATAAATTGACCATAAGCTGCATAAGCTTTAAATAAATGCGAATTACTCGGAAGATGGCCGAATTTTTGTAAAATTCTAATTACCTTAAGACAAGCTACGCTGACGGTATATTTATAGCAAGGTAAAAGTTTCTCCAAGTTTAAATGTCTTGTAACTTCTTCAAGAATAGCTTTAGTGTCAACTGATAAAGATTCAGCAGTGATAGCAGTACCTTGTTGAACAGTTATTACAGGAGTAACGGTAGCTCCTAAAGCTTCTATTAGAGCAGCTCGGTAATAATTATCAGAATATCTATTTTTGCTGTTATCATTATATTTAAATAAGTCCATTAAAAACGATAAAACTTCAGGAGGACAGATACCGTGGACATTTCTCAAACCAGCCATTGCTACAGGAATTGTTTTTTGTAAAAAATAATGTTGAAAATTAGAAAAATTATTTTGTTTAATAATTCTTCTACATGAAGCTGATCCATAAAGTTTTCTAAATATTGCCAACATTGCAGGAGGCCCGGCCCAAGTTGCCAGCATTGCATTTGCGACTTTCGTAAGACAATGAGCTGCTCTCAACCTCACTTTATAATAACAATGCTCATTTTCGATGGTGTCAGTTAACGCCAAGCGTGTGGCTGGTGTTGGATGATTTTGAAGAGCTTCAATGGCTTCTAGCTGAGCGATTACATCTCTTTCGTGCCTTAACTGATATTGCCATTGATAATCAGGTTGTTCTATTTGTACTGCTCTCATTAAAGTAATATCCGGGTCCAATCTGATCCACAACACTGGAGAATCGTCCATTGCAGAAAGGTCCATATCAACTTCTTCTCCAGTACAAAGTGGAATTTTCTTTTTTTTATTTCTTCGACTTTTACTATGACATGTAATATCTGCCTTTGCTACAGTACCTTCAATTTGTAAAGTGTGTTTAAATGTTCCATCCAATTCTTGAATATTTACCAAAAGTGGTCCGACATATTTTCTGATACCACGCTGATTAGTTGTATCTTGACGGATTTCTAACTCGACTGTATTACGTTTGCGATTGAAAACAAAACTCAAACTAAATTTTGCATGACCTCCAGTACGAACCCATTGATCAATAAATACAGCCATATCTTTTCCAGTCACTGTAAATATTGCTTTAGCAAACACATTTGTACTGATCAACATATGAGACCACAAACCTGAGTCAATTTTTTGTTGAGCAGCATTAGATGCTAAAGATAACTGTTTATTGAATACTTGAAGCAGTAGTTCTTGACCTATTCGATTCTCTAACATTCTGATGACAAGATGAGCTTTTTTTCGGAGTACTTCTATATACTTTGGTGACATTGTGTGAAGATTCCGTATAGGAAAGTAAAATCCAGGGTCTGGAGCTCGAGGTGCTGGTGCTGGAGTATTTGCAGCTATTGGAAGTGGTGCAGGAGGCTGAGAAGGATCTAATATAATACCTCCAAACTGTTCTTCATACTTTACTACTTCTTGTAATTCTGATTGAATCCATTCACGATATTCATTATTTCCAAAACATTTTTTGGCATATAATCCAGTTAAATACGTTGCAATTCCTTTTGGAAGCCAAAAATCTGACCAGTTTTGCATTGATATAAAACATCCAAAAAATTGTTCAGCTACTGCTTGAGCCATAGCTTTTTTAGTAATATAAACTTGATCGATAATTGGAGTAGAATGTAATAAATTTGTATTTAAAATACTCATCGTAGCATAAGCATTGATATCTTCATCAATTTCATCAACGAACACTTGTTTATAACAGGAATATGGATATCTATTAGATAAAGTTTCTTCGTAAAATTCAAATGCTTCATGCATGTATTTTGCGGAAACCTTAAGGGATGGCAGAAGTTGTGGAAGGCAAAAATGCGTAACTTCATGCATATATGGATCAACAAAAATTTCGAATGGTCCAACAGCTAATGCGATATTTGGAGCACAAGCGGGTACATTTAGAACATAATGAAAAGTTTTTCTTCTCATATCTGGAGTATATACAATTTCTACTAAATCACCACAAGACACTGCTGTCATAGAGTCGTCAACAGTAAATTCTAACTTCCATGTACAAGGTTCAGCGAAACTATCAACACATGGAAACCACAGCCTCGATGAATTTTCATAACTATAAGTATACATATGTGCACCTTTCTATAATAAAACATGAGCACAATTCAATAAATAATTTTCAAGATTTTATAATACTAAAACTATACCTCAGCTAAAGTTCCTTCGCAATTAGGCACAACGAAATGAACACCACCTTGAGGCTGTTCAAGCGAAAATTCTATCCCTATTCTCAAGCTTCTTCCTTCTCCAATAAGATGAGCTGCATCAGGAGGTACTTGAATAACCAGTTCACCTGCATTGTTATCAGGATCCACTTTCTGAGCTGCTGCCAAGTGTAAATTGGAGAAAAAATCCAAAGATCTCCTACAATATAATTAATTTATGCAGGCTAAATCTATCATAAAAATTTCCTAATAACAATATTTGTTATTACTCACTGTTTGCCATCTCCTTGGCAAATATCTAAAAATGGGTCAAAGTATTGAAAAGGAACTTCAAAGCTATCGTTCAAGCACACTCGATATATCCTACATTGTCGTGCATTTAATTTAATAATCCTAAGATTATCTCTGAGTGGAACAATAGTTAGTTCTACAAATCCCTACAGAAAGATAATCATTGATAACGTAGAAATAATACATGAAAGTTGATCATTACTAAAAAAATTTCTTCAATAAGTAGCTACTCACAATAATACTTTTTCGTTGAAAACTGATGCCTGTGAGACTAAGTATTTGATGAGCTGTAAATATACGAAATGGAAAAGCAGTTAGCTTATATTTGCTCAAATATCATATAATTGAAAAATTAATTATCTAAATATCTAATACTCCGAAAATTCCAAATGAACTTTAAACTGGATTTTTTGGAATATTAAATGGTTTTATTTATGTTCACAATAATTTTACTACTCATTTATAGAATACTTATAATTTAAAAGGCCGGCAATTATCAGCCGTTCGTTCTTTCTTCATTTTTCATTAATATTTAGATTTAAAAATATTAAATTACAATAATACAATGTAAATAAACTTGACAGGTTAGAAATATTAAGCTCCTTATTCAGCTCTGGCCGCTCTGACTGTTGTTTTCATAACGTAAATCGAGAGTCACATAGAAACCTATATCGATTGTAGTGCATTCATTCGATATATCGATAGAGTTCGCGACGGAGGGAACTTTTAAATTTTCTTTATCTTATATTCTAAGTAAAATGATGTCAATAAAAAATAATATAACTTACTCAATAAATGTAAAGCTAAATCAATTCATTAAAATATAATCGTCTTGATTTTTACAAACAAAAATAACTTATCAATAGGAAAAAAATAACAATGCTATCTGTATCGTTTACATTAGCGTTCAAATAGTAACAAATTATAAAGATGGGATATCAAAAAGGTCAATAGAGTCAAACATAACATGATAACTACAATCCATATTTCTCTGAATATTGTAAACACTATAAATATTTTAGTATAAATTCAAATCTTTGGTAGAACTCATTTTCAAGATGAATGATATTTGGTTTTACTATCTTCTACTGCTAGTAATTGTAGGTTTGAGTGCTGAAGAGTTATCTGATAATCCAAAAATAAAAACTTCATTAGGCGGAATCAGAGGGTTTTATGATTTTTCATCAAATGGAAGAAAATACGAAGCATATGAAGGAATTCCTTTTGCTCAACCACCAATCGGGGACCTTCGATTCAGAGTAATTATTTGTTTTTTATTGTTTTATTTCAAATTAATTTATTACTATTTTTCTGATATCTAGCCACCTCAGAAAATTAAACCATGGCTTGGAGATATAGTTGCAACTAAAACGGGATCTCCATGCATGCAATTCATTCATCATCCTCTTGATGCAAAAGAAAAAATTATTGGATCAGAAGACTGTTTATACTTGAATATTTATAAACCTGTTCTCGAAACTACAAAACTCTTACCAGTTATCATGTGGATTCATGGTGGAGGTTTCCAGTGGAATATGGATTTTAAAAACGGCAAATATGCAGGTCCAGACTTTCTTATGGATCGCGATGTCATCTTTGTTACCTTCAATTATCGTCTTGGACCTCTAGGTTGATATTATTTCTTACAAGTATTTAATTTAAACTTTATTATTTATTCACAATTTTTATATAATAACAATCAATTTTTAGGATTCATGAGTACAGGGGATGACCTTATCTCAGGTAATATGGGTCTGAAAGATCAAAGTATGGCAATCTCTTGGGTGAAAGAAAATATTAAAGATTTTGGTGGCAATCCCGATTTAATTACTCTCTTCGGATTGAGTGCTGGTGGAGTCAGTGTTCATTATCATTATCTTAGTTCTCTTAGTAAAGGTCTCTTCAGACGTAAGTGATTATAACAATAACATCAGTAATAAAAAATGATCTTGATTCATAAAATTCGTTATATTTTAGAGGGATTGTCTTTTAGTGGCACTGCTTTGAGTCCCTGGGCAATTACTGAAGCTGCACCAGAAAAAACAAAAAAAATTGCAACAATTGTGGGTTGTCCATCTTCAAATAATGATGAAATGATAATGTGTCTGAAGAGTCGTCCAGCTCGACACATTGCAAAAGCAGCCATGGATTTTATGCCTTGGTTTTTTAATCCAATGACACCATTTGGTCCGGTCATTGAAAAAGAAACCGCTGAATCACCGTTTATTACTGAAGCACCAGAAAAAATTATCAGCACAGGAGGTGTTTATGATGCACCTTGGATTACTGGTGTTGTACCTGAAGAAGGGCTCTACCCTGGTGCTGGTTAGTAAATTAATTTTTGCATATTATTTTAAACAGTAAACAATTGCGTAAAGTTATATTTTTGTGATTATTAACATAAAATATTATTTTCATAGATTTCTGTGGTGATGATATATTATTGAAAGAACTTGATGCTCGCTGGGATTCTTTGGTACCTCACATTCTGGATTATAATTACACTATTCCTCTTGATAAACAAATTGAAGTAAACAAAAAGATCAGAAAGTATTACATTGGCGACAGTCCAGTAGATAAAACGACAGCATGGTCGATTATCCACATGATTGGTGATCGTTTTTACACAGCAGGCAGTGTCAAAGCTGTCAAATTGATGGCTAAGTCTATAAATAAGCCAGTTTTCTACTATTATTTTACATACAAAGGAGCTGAAAGTTTAGGACCTATTATGATGCGCAAGAATATGAATTTTGGTACTTAATACAGATAGAAACAGAGATATAACAGTAACTGATTATATTTTTCAGGAATTTCACATGGTGATGATGCTGCTTACGTTATTAAGTTTGCGTCTATAAATCCAACAACGACGTCTAATGATCGAATGATGCAAAGAGAATTATTAGATCTTTGGGTGTCTTACGTTACTAATGGGTATCTTGGAATTTAAAATTTTCTCACTTTTTCATGTTTCAAAAGATAATATGTACAAAATGAATTATATTTACATGTAAATTATTACAGAGTTCCTGATGCTGGAATAAATTGGAAATCGATAGATCCATCTGAAGAAAAATTAACTTTTCTACACATTAGGGGTCCTGGTCAGCGACAATTAGATTCTGATGATAACTTTGGAAATATCAAATTTTGGTCAAGCATTGAATTTGATGAATAAATATTCATATCATGTAAAGTAAATGTTAAATTGATAGTTATTTATCATATAAATTAATATTAAAAATTTTGAAGTAATGAAATCAATAAATAAAAATATAACTTTTCCTGAAGTATGTTTAAAAATTCAACGCCATTGTTAAAAATACATTATCGTCTGTAGCAACTATTTACAAAAGTTTGTCCTGATAACAGCAGAAATGAGTTCCTTCTTTGTCAAGGATAAATACAGTTTAATACGAAAAACTGCTATGCCAACAACAGTAAATCTCTTTTAGTTTTGGAGCAGATGACTCTATCAGTCTTCTCTTTCATCATAATAATAAATAGTGGCGTCAATTATGATGAATCAAACAAAATTTTATCTCATTATCTTTAGGGCAATATATTTGACAAATGGAATATTACGCAAAAATTAATACATATTAGAAGATATCTTAAAATCATGTTCTGTATAATTTAAATTCTTGTAACAATTCAAACCAATATGAGGTTATTGTTTGTCAAGTTCAAAATCGATCGGCAAATAATCAATAATTTACTCTTAACTAATCGAAATTTCGTATTATCAAAAATAAAGTAAACAAAACGTTTTCGAAAAAATAAAAAAATAAAGACTTTGATCTTGTTTTATTTTGGGAAATTTGACTGTCTACATAATAATAGGAAGAATTACAGGCTAAATAATGAATGAGAAACGATTGTTAATGATCAATATTTCCACAGTCATAACACGTCAGGTTTAAGTTCATTCTCATATAGTATTTATTTGTGGCCTATATAAAGCATCATGTTTTCATGCTTTCTGTGGTAGTTCGAAATGATTAGTTGCTCAATAAGTTTCTTGCTTAGCATCACTCAAACCGTAACTCACGATTACTTTGTATAAAAAACAAATGCAATATTTAGACTATCATATTGCTTTTTTAAAACTATCGGACATTCAACTAATTTAAACATAAAAAAAATTATTCACAATAGAAGACTAGAAAAATTTTTATTAATTTCAAAACATTTGAGAATCAATTTTTAGGATGGAGACAATAGAAGATGTCCACATACTACAGACACTTGTTACTTATCAAAGTGATGTTAATAGTGTAGATTTTGGTGGGGATTATATTTTAGTTACTGGCTCAGGGTATAAAATTTTAAATATTTATGTTTTAAAAATTTATTTTAATGATTATTTTCACATAACACAAATATGAACGATGATATTGTTGATATAATAAATTGTTTTTTATTAAAGGGATAAAAAAGTTAGAGTGTGGGAATGGCATCAAGGTGTTGGGTATGAAGAAGTATCATATTCTCCTCTTATGGGACATAAATATGGAGTAACTTGTGTAAAAATCAGTCCTCAATCAACAATGCTTGCAAGTGCTAGTATTGATGGAACTACACAGCTATGGAATTTAAGGGTAACAATTTTGTATAACATTTATTAAACTCATTATATAATTTGAAATAATACTTTGCATGATTCATATAGAGCTTTATTTTAATATAATTGACGTTAACTTTGAACTTTTGGTTTGTAGACTGGATCAAAAATCCACACTTTAGTTCAAGTCGGTGGTGAAGCTATTCGAGTTTGTAGATTTTCACCTGATTCAACTCTTTTAGTAACTGCTGGAGATAACGGTCAGATTTGTCTGTGGGATTTGATAAGACGAACGTTAATTAAGTAAGTACTTAAAGATTAGAAAAAAATTTTGGGAACAATAAATTTACAAAAGATAAAAAATAATTATAAAAATATAAAAATTAAACGAAATATTGAAAACTATATTGTATTTTATGTTACATGAATGTTTAAAGAAATATATTTGTAAATTAACTTATCTATCGTGGTAAAATCAATTCACTATGCTACATTGTTTCATTTTTATATCAATAAATATCTCACGCAATAAATTACATATAAAGAACTACAGGAAAAAAATTCAATTAAATATCGATCTGTTTTGATTTTAGACGTTTTCAGCCACATGAAGGAGCAATCCAAGGAATTTGTTTTTCACCAGATTCCAATTGGCTTTTAACTTCATGTACATTTGGTGTTATGAAACTTTTTTCTATTTCTGAAATAGTTGATTCCTGTACGCCAAGTTTGGATCAATCAATAAATATATTTGCTGCAGTTGATGATGCACATGATCTGGGAGTTGTGTGTTGTGATTTTTCTTCTCAACAAATAAATACAAGTATGGCTGTAAAAAAGTTATTTACTCATGTACAATTTTCTATTTTTTTTCGAAAATAATTTTTACTCTGGCTAATTCCATATGAAAAATTGATTTATCCATAATAATGCATAAAATAAAATTATACCATTTATTTATGATAAAATCATATGATAAATCCAATGATGAAATTAGACGTAATGATATTTAGATCAATATTGAGTATTCATAAAATTATATTGGATATTTGAAGTAAAAACTATCTACGTTTATCTACTGTTTCTATCTTTCATAAAGAAAGCCGAAACTAAACATAGATTTATCCCAAATAATAAAATAAATGTTGCAGGTAAAAGTGATCTTGAAAGAACATACCAACTTGTAACGTGTGGAAATGACCATAATGTTAAATTATGGCATGTAAAAACAGTAGAAGGCAAGTCAGAAAGTCAAAAAGTAAGAGCTTCAATATCTCTTGTAAAAGTTTTAGAAAAACATAGTAGTGCTTTAATGTGTGTGAAATTCAGTTCTAATGGAATGTATATTGTAAGCAGTGGACTAGATAAAACAGCAGTAATCTGGGAAACAGTAAGTTATATACATTTATTATATCTAAAAACTTTCAATATATTGACATAGTTTATGATACAACTACCACATATTATATTTAATATGAAATCGATGAAAGGACAAAAGAATTAACTAATTATATAATTAAAATAATTAGAGTACAGGAAGGGTGGTATCAGTATTACGTGGTCATAAGCGATACGTCGCATGCTGTTCTTTTTCAAAAGATGGTAATCTTTTAGCAACTGGATCAAATGACCGCAGTGTTATTGTTTGGGATCTGACAGGAAACCTTACGATCGATTCCAAACTGTTGCGTCACTCTGGTCCATCAATACAAACAATAAATAATGAAAATAAGGAAAATTTAGATGGGGTACAGGAGCAAAGGGTTGTTAATTATGCAGAGTCAATGGGAAATAATGTTGAATTGATATTTACACTTGACGATCATGGGGGAGCTGTTAACAGTGTGGCTTTCTGTGGTGATAATTTAGTAGCTTCTGGATCAGGGTAATAAATTTGAATAAAAAATACGGGTTATTGATTTAAGAATTAATATGATATTTATTAAATTTATCGTAAAAGCTATTTATAAAAATATATACTCTTCTATGTTACTATTATAAACTAATAAAATAAATAATTTTTCATGTTACCTTCAGGGATAAAACAATTAGAGCGTGGGACATAACAAGAGAGCAATTAATAAACGACGGAATGATTGAAAATAAGTACAAATTCAGTGAGAAAAGTTATAGTCCTATTGATGAACATAAGTATAGTGTTAATCATATAGAATTTAGTCCTTGTGGAGAAATGTTGGCGACATGCTCTTTAGATGGAACAACGATGATATGGTCATCGGAAGTAAGTTCCAAATTTAAAAATTTTAATTATTGTCGTTATTTTCAAACATTAATTAATAACAATATCTGTTAATTCATTATAATCAAATAGAGTGGAGAACAAGCTCGAGGATCATTTGTTAACTCTGGCTCAGGGATTCGAGTTTGTCGATGGTCTCCAGACGGTACAAAACTCGCAACTGCTGGCGATGATGAAAAAACAACACTTTGGGATATTAATTCATTGGAAGAACTACAGTAAATATTATACTTTTTTAACAATAATAATAAAATGTTTTTTTTTAGGTTTTCATGAAAATTAAAGAATTTATTAAAAACAATAATTGTGATTTTAGAATTTTTGAAGGTCATTCAGACGCAGTTACATCACTAGCATTTACTTCAGATGCATATTACATCGCAACAACTTGCAGTGAAGGAACATGCCGGATTTTCGATGTATCTGGAGAATCTACTGCTCTTTTAGTTTTTGATGCTCATGATCTTGGAGTTCAAGCGTGTGATTTTAGTCCATTGGCATCAAATTCAAATTCAGGTGAAGATTTTTTCTTTGAAAATTTTTGAACTTCTATATTTTTATTAATGTTATTGTTGAACTTTATAAACGGAATTTTATCATTCGTTTACTGAAAAATATGTATAAAAGAACTAGTTTTTATTGTTTATTAGATTTTCCATTAAAAAAGCAAAGATGAAAATCGAAAGTTTCCGAACTAATAATATATTTCGAAAGAACAGGGGTTGTGGGAAAATATCCACATTGAAATTTATTAAATGTTGTATTGAATATTTTATATTCTTACGTCATTTATAACTATCCTATTAATTTTAGATCTATTAAAAATTTATAGGTACAAAAAATTCAGCAACTGATAAAAATTCGCCAAAATTTTACACACTAGCTACATGTGGAAATGATTCGTATGTTAAATTATGGCAAATTAGTGTCTTGCCAAATAATGAAAAAATGGAAAATTCAGATAATGAAGAAGGAATAAACAGTAGTCCAATATCTCATCGTGAAAAAAGACTGCTAACAGGACATGGAGGAAATGTGATGGATGTTAAATTTGCTCCAGTTCATGGAGAAATACTTGGAAGTGTGGCTACGGATCGTACGGCGCGTTTGTGGAGTGTGGTGAGACACAATTAATTTTACGAATATTTATAGTATAAATATTTGTGATGAAATTTATCATAAAATTAATTCTAAAAATGTTTCAGAATACTGGTGTTTGTTTACATGTGTTGGAATACCACGAAAGCTTAGTGACTTGTTGTGCTTTTTCAAATAATACTGCATTATTTGCTACTGGTTACTATAATTATCATAATTTGATAGTGATATTTTTAATTTCATATGTGGTGAATAATGGAAGATTATGATTTATTAACAGGAGCTCTTGACAAAACCTTGGCAATATGGAGCCTTCCACAACAGTTGGTGTCACAAAGTATTTTAATTGAACGATTACGTAATAATAGCAAAAAAATAATCGATTGGAAAGTTGAAGACGTTGTTAAATGGTTAATAAACAATGACTTGGAAGTTCTTGAAAGTCGTGCAGTCGCAGCTCGTTTAAATGGAAAATGGTTACTTACAGTACCTGAAGAAATTCTTATTGCAAGATTAGGTGTCAATGATCATCAAGATGTAAGAAATTGATATTTTTTAATTCACTCCTGAAATAATTTCTTTTATTATTGTCATTGATTCATCTTTCCAGATATTGAAAGCCTTTAAAAATCAACTATACTGGTTAAAACAAGAAGATAATGTCAATGCCTTAAATAACATTGATGACAGTGAAGTTCCTGACGAATTTTTGTGTCCAATAACTCATGAAATAATGCGTGAACCGGTGAAATGTTCTGGTATATAATTTAATTATAGATTTATTTAATTAATGGTTGTATTCATAATACCCAACTTATTAATTATGTAAAAATTTCTTTGTATTATAGATGGTTTTGTTTATGAAAAAGCTGCTATAGATGAATGGTTCTTGTGTGGGAAGTACACTAGTCCTATGACGAACGAATATTTAAGTAATACATCAATTACACCGGCGATTGCGCTGAGAAACGCCATTTGTGCATTTGTTCATGGCGAAAGATCTGACGATTAAAAAAATACATCAAGAAATTTTTTTGTACACATTGAAGGAAAAGAATTTTATTTTTAAAAATATATTTATTCACTCGTTTGTATTGTAATTTTGAATATTAATTCAAAACATCATTGTGAGATAATAAAGATTTTTTTCATCGTTATTTAAACTACTTAATTACAATTAACTGAGGTAATCTCAGAGTCATAAAATTGAACAGATACATTGGTTCAACTGTTTGTCTACCAGAGTAACAAAGCAGTACGAATGTTTTGATTAAATCAAAGGTGTATAAATTAAGAATCTTAGAGTTTTAGTTAATTAACATGTATTCGAAATTCATGTGTAATCAATCATTTCTCCATTTCTGAATTCTAATCTCGTATTGGTAGTTTTTTACAATTTGAATAGAATTATATTTTAAATGGCACTGATTCATGTTTACGTGTTAAATTTTTAAATGAATAGTGAACAAAATTATAACTTTCGTTGAATTTCTAAAAGTTAATTAATAGCTAATAAACTATAAATAATATTTTTTAAAGAGTATTCTACATATATAAAAAATAATATTCTTCTTACGATCAATAAATTTGTGAAATAATTTGCACGACACTGGCACATTTTATAATTCGTTACGATTGTTTTTTGTTTATTTCTCTAAGTTTTTGATTGTACTAATTTCACATCACTTTCCAATGAATTTAATTCTTCCTTCTTTTCCATACATTATGGGACTCATTTTTTTGACATACTTGGCAAGAATATCAATGTCTCGAAATCCGACTTCGTGGCTTTTGTGTTTTTGTTCAATAATATAGTGACCATCTCCACCACGAATAAGAAATGTAGGTACAATAACACGATACCATTCATTGTCTTTTAAATTTTCATACATTGGTATATCACATTTTCTGCACTTGACTTTAACATCAACCACTCTTGAATATGGCTCTTTAGACATATCATAAACAACTTTAAGGCCAGACCAGATTAAAAATGAATATCCGTTCCACTTTGATTGAGTTGTCAATGCTACACTTATTTCTAAAGTCTGAAAAATGAAATAAAATTTTTTATTTTAAAGATTTTATGACTATGATATATAATTAATAATTCCTGTAATAAATTATGAATATGAGTAAAAATAAAAAAGGTAATAAAGTTTTTATAATTTACTAATTATAAACTATTATTCATAATCATAAAATTTATGTAATAGTGATAACAGTTTGACTTACCTGACGAATATCGCTCCCTTTTAACTCAACAACGTCCCAAGTATTTTCAAAAGGTGTGCTCATGATTAAATCTCCATAAGTAATATTTCCTGATAGATTATCAATAGAACTTCTCACACCACCACCATTCGTTACAGCGATTGCAGCATAAGTCCAAAAACTTTCATTTTCGGGACGATTTACATAAAAATCTACCATCGCATCCGTTATCATGTTTCCAATATTACATTCTCCCACTCGACAATCCCTTTTTAATTCAACTTTTGATCGTCCTATCACTTTTTTACCAATCTCATCAACTTGAGCTTTCCATGGCTCCAAAGCTTTCAGCATTTCGGGATCCTCTTCAATCGATTCATCCAAGAGAATTGGATTTCCCTCCCATTCTTGAACTTCACCTTTTTCATCAAACCAAACTGTCATATTGCCCAAGTATCTGTATAGATTTTTTGTTCATCAATTAATGAGTGAATAGTACTTTATTTGAAAGCTCTCTAAAAAAGCTATTGGCAACGATAGAGAATAGAAATTGACAATAAATTACTTGGAAAATGCAGCTGCTTGAACAACAAGAACTTTTCTATTGCTTTTTTCTTGAGTTACGACAACTGGATACTCGTCTTCAGGATGATCGATAAACGGAGGTTTTCCTTGAATAAAATACATTCAATTGAATTGATGAAACATTTTTTTAACAAAAGAAAGTTAAAATTATCGATAGATTATTGAACAACTTATGTATAATAACCATTGTCTCAGTATTGTTGAATTAATTGATTCATTAAAATATAATGATTATTATTTTTATTGATTTATTTAAATCTTTATTTTGTTTTGATGTTTGTTGTGAATTACTGACTTTGATTATACTAAATTTACAGATATAATTATCCTTTTGTAAATCATATTTATTTGTCTTCAATGCTAGATTTATGATTTTATTTTTATTTTATTTATTCATTTATGTGTCTCACTCTATGTTCAAACACTTGTGCAAGTTTTATCTAGTAGTTATAAAGGTTTCTTTATATTTTTTTGTTCGTAATACTTTGAATGAACACATGTTTGACCTAGAATTTAAATACGATTGCTTCAATTATATCTCAAATCATGTTATCATTCTAGTATTAACGTGTAATGGAAAACAGTCCATAGAGTAAATAATCTCGTACTTATTTTTTTTTATTTGTAGAAACGTAAGTATACTCACCAGAATACAAAAACGTATGAGAATGTCCGCCAACAATGACATCTACTAAAGGACAATGGTTTGCCATTTTTTTATCTATTTCCAGACCACAGTGGCTTAAAACAATTATTATATCAACATTCCCTTCTTTCTTCAATTTTTGAGCCTCTAAGTTCACAGTTTCAATTTCATCTAAAAAAATTAATTTCTCACTTCTTGAAAGTTCCTAAAAAGTATTAAAATCTTTGAAATAATCATTTCGAATAAGTTTCTTCTAACGATTAAAATTTATCATCAAAATTTAATAATTACGCGCCAATAGAATGTTCTAAAAAATAATTATATTTTTTGCTCTAAAAATTTAATTCAATCATTTATAACCAAACAATATAAAATTATTGAAAACGACAAAATTAATAAATCAATAGAGCTTTAAATACTGAATAAAATCCAATAAAAAATTTCAATGCTAAAGAAGGTTAATATTTTAAAAAATTAATGAGTTAATAAGTTAATCAATTTATTAACATTACCGGTGTAGTTTTAATGAGAACGCCAATAATTCCAATTTTCCTTCCTCCCCGAATAATAATAGTACTATTTTTCATTAAGTTCTAAAAATAAAAAATAATTATGATATTGAAAGTATATTAAATAATTATAAGATAAGTAATTGTTTAGTTCAGGTTGCATACGCCCGATGACCTTGAAATTCTACATTTTTTAAAGAAAATTATGCTGATTAATTCAATATACAATTAATTTGATATCGGTTATTATCTAAATTTTCAATCTTAAAAAAGTATGTGAAAATATGTTTTCCACACCTAACATACGTATACATTCTTGTTCAGCATAAAAAAATGTACAACATACTAAAATTTCAAGGTCATGGAGCGTGCACAATTTGAATTATTGCAAACAAATAATTATTACAAGATGAATCACAATAGATTAATCAATTGATATTTTAATACCTGCATGGATGGTTCATGAGTCGTATCAATGTTAGTGACAACAACAGGAGCTTTAGCATTCTTCAAGTATGGTACAAGGCCCGCAATTCCATCATCAAACTCATGATTACCAATAGTCTATTATGTAAAAATAAATTTATTCTGTATTTGTTTAAAAACTATTCGAAACAGAGGAATCGATATTTTTTAGATATTCAAAGAGGATGTAAATAATAAATGGTGATAGAATATCACAAATGAAAAATTAATCATTTGTTACCATGGCATCTTGCGGAAGCATATTTAAGAGCGTAATAGTAGCGTTCCAACGATGAACATTATACCAAAGTGTTCCTTGATAATTGTCCCCAGCATTAAGAAAGATTGAATTGGGACGATCCCGCAGTAATTGTTTAGCCGCTGTAGAAATTCTTGAAAGTCCTCCTACACATATTTTGTCCGAAGATCTATGGCAGGAACTTGCAGTAGGACTTACTTCTTCAAATCTAATTGTCCGAAAAAGAAACAATAAATTATTATTAAATAAATTATTTCATTGAAATTGATCATTAATAAACTATTTTTCATTCTTATTGTGACTGTATATTCTTTTTTAAAATAAAAAATATTAAATCATTGAAACTTCAATGACATATTGATTAAAGCTCTAAAATAATATAATCAGTACGAAACAAACTTATTGACATTAATTAATAAGCCAATAGTTTTCATGCACATTAATCATAGAAGTAAGAATAAAGATGTTTCGTTGTAAGAATGAATTTGTTTTTTTTTTGTTTATTTATAAATTAAATTCACATTTATTTCATAAATAAATTTTTTGATTATAAATAAATTATCATTATTATTATTACATTATCATGATTATACATACTATGCGAATACTTAATTACAATGAAAAAAGCAGTTTATAAATATTCACCTGGCGTGAAAATCATTGAAATGAATAATAGACAGTTCAAAAAAACCTGACTTTGTATTAGTCAGTCCTCGTTCTGATAAAGCATTCGACTGTTTTCCCAATAAAAAAAATATCAAAATATATTGTATCATTTTGAATTATTTATCAATTTTTCAATCTGTAAAGAATATATTTAAAAATCAATTAAAAAATAATCTTAACGCTTTTAATTCACACATGTATAATAAAATAATTAATCATTATAATCGATTTAATACGCTCTCGACAATTGATTATTACAGTGAGAATTGAATACATAAACTTCCGTTCAACACATTTGTATGAAAATAAATCACTAAATTTTTATGATGAGTTTCTTTATATTTTAATAATTGTAATTAAAATGACACTTTATTATCAATTCTTATAAAAATTTAATCCATTTTTGAAGAATGTTCTTATAGAAGTAACGATTTATAATATTAACGCTATCAAATCGTGTAACGCGCAAAAGATGTTCGAAAAATAAAACATCCTTCTAAAGAAGGTTTAATTGTTATGTGAAGACAATGTAAAAGTAACACTACCTAAATGACAAATGCATTGTGCATTAAGTGTACATATTTGCAAGTAACAATGATATATATAACATATGATCATACGTGTGTATTTTACGATTACGAAATCATGATAATTATTGTAAGTATGATAAACTCACTCTAGTGAATAGGGCAATTATTTCATCAAGTCCAACACTACACAAGGATCGACAATAATGAAAAAAATTGGATAGTAGTAGTTACTTTGAAAATACCTCCTTTAGTTGTCAATTTCTATATATAACATTATATTATAAATAATATTTTTGTTAATTAATTTCAAGTAACCGTAAAGTTAGAAATAATAATAATTCATTTGATAAACAATTGACTAGACAGAATAAAAAATTTATTACATCCTTGTGTGTTTAAAGATTAAATAATTTTAATTTTTTTTACCAGTATGTGGTTTCTTTTTATTTATCTTGAAATTAAGTTAGCAAACTGTACTGATTATTCGCACAATTCACTGGTTGCTGTCTAAAGATATATAAATTATTAAAATCTTTATTATCACACGACAATAACTCGATTAAAAGATAATTAAATGAGTGATAAGAGTGAAGTATCCAGGTGAAAAAATATCTTTAAGTTCTGTAAAATTTTGCTTTATTATTGACGTTTGAATTAATTTATCATTATTCTTAGTAAAAAATATTACTTTTGTTAATTATTTTACTATGATCACTACTTTTACGATAGTTTATTCGCCAATCGCTTAAAATAGATTTAACACTTTCTAAGTTAACTACATGATCACTGTAAATATCGTTTAAGAATGATATCAAATAAAACTAATAAAACTCAGTAATTGACGCTATTTTTTTAATTTCTATCATAAAGTTTTAATTGTTTGTACGATAAATCGTACTTTTATAAGTTCATGGATTTAACATTCAAAGAAAATTTTTGAGCAACTTAAAGTCAGAATAATGTGTTTTTTCCGATTAAAAGAAAAAACTATTTTTAATAATAATAATAAAAAAACAAAATAAATAAAATAAATGATTCGAAAGTAACTTTCTTTTAACAAAAAAACAACACAAGTTTGACTGTAGTTGACTCAGTACTGAAGACGTAGTAGTAATAAAACGAACAAAGAGATTTTCTATTCAGGTAAAAATTTTTTCTGTAGTTTAGGGTACCCTATAGATATAAATTGCAAAGTAAATATGGTCCTTAGTCCTTTAGTCCTAATATGTGATTGGTCCTAGAGTAAAATAAAAGTAGCGTTTACTCAATAAGAATTGAAAAGTCAGCATTGACCTATCGGCAGTCAAGCTATATCCAAACGACGTCAGTCGATTCTCGTCGTTCGACTTGTGTGCGACTCGTTACGTTATTTACTCCTGCAAATAATAATAGTTTAATTAATAGAATTTTTTTTTATATAAAAAAAAATTTAAGATAAATAAAATAATTCAATTAATTGTAATTAATTTTATAGTAAAAAATTAATTATTAATTAGTAAATTATTTATTTCTAAAGAAATTCTCGATAGTTCACAAAAATGGTGTTCAAAGGAATTTTCAAGTTGCTAATAATTCTCATCTCTATAACGAATATCTTCGCACAACCCACGACTAATGATGATAGATGGACACTTAGAGTTCTTCATACCAATGACATGCATGCAAGGTAAGAGAAGAATATATTAATTTTTTTTTTTTTCGATTAATAAAAATTAGTTTTAAGAAATGATTAAGTCATTTAAACATTATTGTTAGAGAATTTTTAATTATAGTAATTTAAAGAAAAATGTTTATTTCATTGATTAAAAAAAATCTCATCTTTCGTGATTACTCAATAAAAATGCATTGTTTACAGTTTCTAAGCTAGCATATTCATTTATCATCAAGTGATTTTTTTCTATTAGTAAGATAATGTGTATTATTTAAGTTATTTAACAGAAAAATAACGTAATCGTTGTAGATTCGAACAAACTTCAGCATTATCAACTAAGTGTGTACCAAAAGATGCAAAAGCAGGCAAATGTTACGGAGGATTCGCAAGAATAGCAACCCTCGTAAGACAAGCAAAAAATTCAAGCGTTCCTACGTTATTTTTAAATGCAGGAGATACATATCAGGGAACAGCATGGTTTACTGTGTATAAATGGGAAATCGTATCAAAGTTCCTTAATCTTCTAAAACCGGATGCAATTGTGAGTATTATCGGTTGATAATTATTGAATAATAGTTCTATTTATTTACTTAAATAATAAAATGATAGAATATTTTTATTACTTATTTTAAAAAGAGCACTATGTTCTCATCATTAATAAATAGTTTTATGTTTAATAATTGATTCATAAATCTTTCCCATACTTCAGTCTTTAGGAAATCATGAGTTCGACGATGGACCAAAAGGATTGATTCCATTCATTAAGAATGCCATGTTTCCTATTGTAACTTGTAATTTAAACCTCACTGGAGAACCTCAACTAGCAGCTACAAAAATAAAAAACAGTATAATCTTAGATGTAAAGGGAAAGAAAGTTGGAATAATTGGATATCTTACGCCAGAAACAAAGTCTATCTCAAATGCTGGGAATGTAATTTTCTTGGACGAAATTGAACCCATCAGACAAGAAGTAAAAAAGCTCCAAGCCCAAGGTGTTGATATTTTGATTGCTCTTGGACACTCCGGGTTTAGTACAGATAAGAGAATAGCTGCTGAAGTTGATGGTTTAGATTTAGTTATTGGAGGACATACTAATACTTTTCTTTACACTGGTAAACAATCAGATATAGAAGTACCTGAAGGTTTATATCCTACTGTGGTCACTCAGAAAAGTGGCAGAAAAGTTTATGTAGTCCAAGCATATGCATATACAAAATACCTTGGTGATCTTACCATTGATTTTGATTCTAAAGGAGAAATACAAAAAATTATGGGAAATCCAATTTTAGTTAATAGTAGTATCGCCCAAGCTCAAGATATTCTCGATGAACTAGATAAGTGGAGACCAGCTATTGATAATTTAACTCATACTGAAGTGGGATACACCAAAGTTCTTTTACAAGGTAATTCTAAAGAATGTAGAAGACAAGAATGTAATCTAGGAAATCTTATAGCTGACACTATGGTTGAATATGTAAGTAGCATAATTAGTTATTTTATTTTAATATTAACTTGTTTTTAATATGACGCACTTTTTAAGAGAAATACTTGTCATGAAATATTTACATTCATATACTGAAATATAGATATTTTTATTCTCATCAGTATTTATGTAATGTACATGGTGATAAATTTATAGGTTGAGATATTTATTAATTAGTTTAAATTTCCATAACAAAAATAAAATGTTGAATTATTTGAAAATTTTCCTCCTCCGCATTGTTTTATAAGCTGTTGACATTCGAAAAGCTTATTCACTATTTTTTCAAGTTTTTATTTAATTTTAGGTAGCCAAAGAGTATGGTGGCTCTGATGGTTGGACTGATGCTGCAGTTGCTATTTTTAATAGTGGATCTATTAGAACATCAATAGACAAAACGTCAAATGTTTCTGTAAGAAAAATAATGTTTTTCAATCTATTTTTACAATATTCACATATGTTTTAATATTAACGTGTGTTTTAATCTTGTGCCAGGTACTGATGAGTGATATATTAGCAGTATTACCTTTTAATAATGTAATTGGAAAAGTTAACTTGACTGGCAAACAATTGCTAGAAATATTAGAATTCAATGTTGATAGTCTGGAAGATAGTCCTGCTGTTGATCTGAAAGGAAAATTTTTACAAGTTTCAGGAATTCAGGTAGAATGAATTTTCTTTTAAATAATTTTATTCATTCCAGCATTTTTTATTTAAATTTATATTGCATATATCGTGATTGCATCAGTTAATTATCGATCATTATGTCAATAAGTTACATACTTATTGTATAAAATAATTACAGTAGCGAGTTTAATCAGACGTAATCATGAATACATCAATGACTCTATTTATTAATTGATGTAAGAATTTATAGCCTAGACATTGATTGAATAATTTTTTAAAACTAACTAATTAATACATGAAAAACACACATACACTTATATTATTGTCATACTTTCTATTTTCGCAGCATGTATTTGTTCTCTCTTTACTTTCCCTTTAAAACAGAACAGTTAAAAATAATAATCTGATCTTAACTTATTTACTTTTATTACATAAAAGAATTACGTATTTGCTGAAAAGTATCAACTTTATTCCATATCTGATTGTTTTAATCTTCATTAATGATAATTTATTATTCAGCTGTATATATCTATCATTAGTTGAAGAAATTTTTCACAAATGATTAAATATTTTTTCCTTCCAGGTTGTCTATAATTTATTGAAACCAGTTGGATCAAGAGTAGCCTCTGTACTTATTCGTTGTGCCAAGTGTCGAGTTCCAGAATATGAAAAGTTAGAAGTAAATAATACTTATACAATTATTATATCTGACTTTCTTCACGGTGGTGGAGATGGTTTTGATATGCTCAGAAATCATCCATGGACCATAACTGGTAAAAATTATTTATCAACTATTACGAACAATTGAAAATTAAGAAATTTATATAAAATCTTTGCAATAATTATTTTAGGAATAACAACAGATCAAACATTAGTAGAGTATTTCAAGCAAAAGAGTCCAGTATATCCGGGAGTAGAATGGAGAATAAGATTTGATAATAAACAGGATAACAGTACTACTGGTAGTGCAAGTGGTCTTTATTTATCAAAAGCTGTTATAGTTTTAATAGCTTTTTTTTTCATTTCTATTTGAATAAAATTTTGTACTAATTTGAATTAGTAATTAATCAAGGACTAATCTTAGAAATTTATAACAAATGTACTATTTTTACGTAGATATAATGTGTTAACTGACTGATACAAAGTCTGTTTTCTGTAATAAAAATTATTTTTACAAATATTTGTTAATCAAAATAATTAGAATTTTTCATTGTCTTCCAACGAATACATAAATAGTTAACGTGACATGACATTTTTGTATTATCAAAATGTATTTAAACTTTAAAATTAACACTTAATTTTAAAATGATCAAAAAAACTTGTGTTCATTTCATTCTAAATAAGTTTAAAAGAATTTATGAAATATTACTGTCTTTAAAAACATGCTTTTCAAATTTAACTGTGTTCAGCGAATAGTACTTAGTTTATTATCTTTGTCATAAATATTTTTGCATGTACAATTTTTTGTGATAATTGAAGAAAAAGCTTAAATTTAAAGTTAAAACTTCTACAATGATAATGAACGAAAAAGATAAGTAAAAGTGAAGTATTTTAATAACAAATATTTTTTTATTTCTCAATATATTCAAAATTAAGGTTTTTGTTGATTTATATAACATTATTTTTAAAGATAAATGTCTCTCATTGTATATAAAAATATGTAAAGATTGAGTATCATGATATAAATTTACTCGATTATTACTAAATTACTTAATTATCTTCGCTTATCTTTTCTGCTTTCATAATTAGAAATATTATATGTTTGCACATGTACATATCATAAAATTTATAACTTTTATCATTATTTTCATTGGTTCTGAATAGTACTATTGAGTCTATTAAGAGATATTTTCATAAATAATTATCTTGGTTGTTATACAAACATGTTTACTCCAAAAATTTTTTAGAGTCAATATCATAAAAAAATTCATTTTTTTCAGTAGAGTATGATCTATTTTATCGATGCAACTTATTGGTATGAATCAAATGAGATTTCTTTATTGCCTACAAATACAAAAGAGTGGTTCAATGGTAAAAGTAAGAAGAGAAGGGGGCTTTTTATTAGAATTTCATGACTATTCACACCTTCTATCTGGTCACCTTTAATCTATATAACCTTGACAAATGTTGTAAAGGCCATTGTCCTGAGAAACTTTCAACACCATTTATGGTAATATGAATCAAATTAGAATTTTATTGCATATCTTAAAACCTATATTTTTTCCTTCATCATTAAAAATATATCGTAATATATTGTTATGTAGTAAGTAATAAAAATCAGGATAACTCTAGACTAAACTAAACTATATGAAGATAATTAATTAAAAACATAAACTAAATTTTGAGGTATTTAATTAAATAAATAGAGAAATATTGTGCTATTTGTCTCAATCAAGAAACAAGTAAAAACAACAAAAATAAGTGTCAGTAATATATCTATGGCAATAGAAAACTTTTAAAGTAAATGACTATTATTTTGTTATCATCATTTAAAATTTGTCAATTGAAGAAATATGTCTTTAATTGTTAGAAATAATTGTAAGGATCATTTTTTATAAACTAGAATTAAATGTCAAAATGCAAGTTATTGTCTTCAAAATGAGATGTATTTCTAATTTTTCAATAAACTTTACAATGAGACATGAAAATATATGTACGCATCATCGAATTAAGAATCATTTTTAGTCATCACAAATAAATCATTTCTGATAATTATGATTTATGGTTCAATATGGAAAGACATTTTTTTCAAAATTCCATTGCGTATGACTCGAAGCGTAAAATACCCGTCACCTCGTTCAGAATAGCCACAATGTTTTTTAATATGTTGCGTAGTTATTACTAATGCTATTAAGAAAATTTATGGAAGAGGAAATTGATAAGAATAGGGAAGTAAAAGATTCCGTTTATTACTTTTTCAACTCTTAAATTTTAATAATTACGTATTTCCCCGGCTTCCGTTTTTTTAAATACCATAGCGTCATCATGGAATTTTTTTTCCATTAATTGCAAAAATCTTTCATACGTGACAAATTTATTTTATCATTAATTAATTTTAATAACAAATTGTTATAATTTTTAATGGATAATTATTACTTGAATCAGATGACAGGTAAACTGTACAAAGAAATTAAATAAAACAAATATTTATTAACCAAGGATAAAATATTTCATATTAGTATCAGACGCAATCGCATCAATATCAGCTCAATAAGAATTGAAAAGTCGGTATATAATTGAGCTTACCCAAACGTTTAATCGTCAGTTCATTCTTGTCGCTTGACCTAAGAGTATAACAAGATACTCCAGGTAACAAGCAGTTCACAAAATATTTATTGATATTTTATTTTTACTATAAACAATTTTACTGTTAAAAAATAAACATGATTTTAAATGCAACTATCCGATTATTAGTATTTTTTATTCTGGTCACAAATATTTGTACATATAGAATTCGGCGTGATGATGATACAAAATGGACCCTTCGAGTTCTTCATACCAATGATATGCATGCAAGGTAATCAATTTATTTACAATTAATAAAATAAAATCCATTCCAAGTGTCTTTCATTTTAATAAATAATTAATAATTATTCTGTTCATAAATAATTACCTGCCTTATTAATAATTGAAACGTTTTTATATAATAACAAATAACATAAAATTATATTTCTATTTAAATTTATTCAATACACACATAAATTTCTCCAATAAAATGGTGATTTTTCATTTATTGGATAATTACTCAATTTCTTTATCGTACTCATTTTCTTTTTATTTTTTTTCTTTGCTAAAAAAGTTTTCTTTTTACTATAGTTACATTAGAAAAGGAATATTATGTTGTTTACTAATAAGTAATAAATTGTTGTTTATCATTACTGGTTTTATAAATACAAATTTATGATTATTATGGTCATTATCATTTATTTTATTAACTTCTTTTGTTAATAAACTTACCTTTTAACTACAATACAATAAAATTTATTCATAATTACAGATTTGAAGAAACATCAGCATTATCAGGAAGATGCTTACCAGAAGAAGCTCGGGCAAATAAATGTTATGGAGGGTTTGCAAGAATAGCAACCCTTGTCAGACAAGCAAGAAATTCAGGTGTCCCAACACTATTTTTGAATGCTGGTGATACTTTTTATGAAAGTGTATGGTTTACTGTACATAAATGGAAAATAGCATCAAAATTTTTAAATCTTCTTAAACCGGATGCCATAGTAAGTATTATTAATCATGATATGAGTTAATATTAATTAGTAACACAGAAGTTAATAAAAAAATCTTTTTTGCTTATCTTTTGAAGTCTTGAGCAAATAGTATAATTTATCCTTTCACTTTGAATACTCATAACAATTAAATAGATGATCATAAAAATATTTAATTATCTGGGAAGTGTTATAGAAGTGCAGCCTGTAAGATATGATCACTACTTTTTGCATTTAATGAGTCTTCGAGGTCGATTTAATAAATTTAATATTTAACTATTTTAAATTTATTACAAAGATTCTTCAATTATTTTATTTTATTATTCTCTATGATCATATAATTATATTGTTACATCTGTATTTATATTTTTCAATGATCGAGAAGATAATAAAAATGATTTAATTGATTTATTATAAATAAGCCGTTAAAATCCACTTAAATTAAAATACTAAAAAATCAATGTTTAAATTTAAACAATCAAAGTTTACTTTACATTACTTTCATTTAGTTGTTTGCAATCAAAAATTCAAATAACTGATGTTTTTACTTCTTACATTTTTTATTTAAAAAAATTCGAATGTAATTTTTTCAGTCACTAGGAAACCATGAGTTTGATGACGGACCACCGGATCTAGTTTCCTTTATCAAATATGCCAAATATCCAATAGTCACTTGCAATCTTGATCTATCTAAGGAATTTGCCCTGGCAGCAGCCAATCTAAAAAAAAGTGTGGTTCTTGATGTTAAGGGCAAAAAAATTGGAATAATTGGATATCTAACTCCTACGACACCGTCTATTTCCGATGGTGGTAAAGTCATTTTTTTGGACGAAATTGAACCCATCAGACAAGAAGTAAAAAAGCTCCAAGCCCAAGGTGTTGATATTTTGATTGCTCTTGGACATTCAGGGTTTAATACAGATAAGAGAATAGCTGCTGAAGTTGATGGTTTAGATTTAGTTATTGGAGGACATACTAATACTTTTCTTTACACTGGTAAACAACCAGATATAGAAGTACCTGATGGTGTTTACCCTACTGTAGTTACTCAGAAAAGTGGTAGAAAAGTTTATGTAGTCCAAGCATATGCATATACAAAATACCTTGGTGATCTTACCATTGATTTTGATTCTAAAGGAGAAATACAAAAAATTATGGGAAATCCAATTTTAGTTGATAGTAGTATCGCCCAAGCTCAAGATATTCTCGATGAACTAGATAAGTGGAGACCAGCTATTGATAATTTAACTCATACTGAAGTGGGATACACCAAAGTATTTTTACTAGGCAACTATAGAGAGTGTCGAAGACGAGAATGCAATCTTGGAAACCTCATTGCTGACTCTATGGTCGAATACGTAAGTAAAATTATCAATTGATGATATAAAAAACTTATTTTCATAATAAAACATAAACATGCATTTCATTTGATAAATATTTTCAAAAAATATATTTTCATGTACAAAAATCATTCAAATAAATTATAATACATTTATTTTCTCGAATGCGATCCTATTTCAAGTATAAAAAGTGATATACATAAACATTAGACAATCCTTTATGAGCGGAAATAATTGAGACGTTTAAATTAATTATTAGTTTGGTGTCAATTATATGAAATTGAAAATATGTCAATTGGAGCGTGCAATACTTATTATTAATTAATACGATAATAAACCATTTTCCTATTTTAGAATGCAAATAAGTACCACAACATTGATGGATGGACTGATGCCGCAATTGCTCTCCTTAACGGTGCATTTATTAGAACATCGATCAATAAACCTCCTGATTTTCCGGTAATATAATTAAATCATTAACCATTAAATAGTCGTTAAAACATCTATTGAGATAATAACAACCTGATAATTGACAATCATTAACATAGTTCCCTTTTACTTATTATATTACTTATGATTTTTCAGATAACAATGAGTGACGTATTAGCAATTCTGCCTTTCAATTCTGTCATTGGAAAAATTAACATAACAGGAAAACAACTCCTTGAAGCATTAGAGTTTAATGTATATACTTTAGAGTATAATGATACAACTAATCTCGAGCCAAGATTCATGCAACTTTCTGGAATCAAGGTAGAATTTGTTTTATGCTTCTCCCAAGTTTTTATATATTGATTCGTTGCATAATCTTTTTTTAAATATTCAGCACCATTATTATAATAATTAACTATTAATTACTGAATAATCGTGTGCAAATAATTTCATTAAAAAACTTTTTAAGAGTCTAAAACATCATTTTATTGGAATTACAATCATATGTTTTAAATAGAAGGCTTTTTTAATTATACGAAATTCACCAATGATTACATTTTAGGTAGTCTATAATTTATTTAAGCCACCTGGGTCAAGGGTGGTTTCCGTCCGAGTTCTTTGTGCGAAATGTCGAGTTCCAGTGTACGAGAAATTAAAGATGAATCAAATTTACACAGCCATTGTTCCAAAAACTCTGGGTACTGGTGGAATCGGTTTTAATATGTTTAAAGGACTTAAATGGATCTCATTAGGTAATACGCTATAGACTATTTTTTTTTTTTATAATTAATAATATGTAATGAATAATAATTTTTATTGCAGATATAACAGCTGATCAAGTGTTAGCAAAGTATTTGAAACATAGAAGTCCTGTTTATGTTGCAGAGGAGGGAAGAATAAAATATGAAAATATCAGAGAAATATCAACATCTAGTTCAAGTAATGTTTATCTATCAAGAGGATTGTTATCGTTGATACTTTTTCATTTATTTTTTTTATTGAATTGAACTAAATTTATTTTTTAATAGACCTACATAGAACATAAGTTTTTTTTATTAAACGACTATATTTTAGACGAGTTTTCTATTTTTTAGTTCAAAAAGTTTTTTTATTTGTTTATTAATATTTATAATTTTTCTGTTAATTATTTAATCGTTATTATTATATTAATCTATGATTAAATATTAACAAAAAAAAGCTAAGATTTGTTTAAAAAAATACTTTTAACGTTTTGTACTTGAGTTTTTCATATCACACTGAATGCAAATTTTGAATAAAATATATATTTTTTACAAAAAAAAGCTGAATAAAGTGATTTTAAAATAACTTCTCTTCACTCTAGTATGTAAAAAATAATAGATGAAACTTTTTTAATTTTTACTGACCTGAAAAAAAAACTAAAAATTCTCGGTTGCTAGCCAGATCTAATTAATTCGTCTTATTGAATAATTTGGACTATTTTTTAACTTAAAAATAATAGAATATTTTTTATTATACTCAGCACATTGATTCTAGCGTTTACGAAGCTCGGCTTTTGCCGTAGAAAAATTTTTTTTCGTTATCCGGCGCACATCAAGAATGAGATGGTTATAGAATAAGAAAAGTTAAAAGATATTCCACTGGTTTACAAGAAATTCTGCTAGAGGTCTGATTTAAATTTTGCATAAGTTTCTACGCGGTTTTTTTCTAATAATTACTATAATTATTTTAACAATTTATAAACAAATGATAAAATTTAGTAATTAATATGTTTTGGATCAATTAAACATAATTTTTATTATAGTAATTTAATTTCTTTTTTAATTAAAATCGATATAAAAGCAATGAATTGTTGACTTCTTGTAATAATTGACACCTGTTTTACCCAATAAAAAAATTACTTCGTTTTCGAGGCATTTTTTATAGACTTGCTAGAAGTAAATTTTTTATAGTTTATTAACTCGTCATCAATTAAATGAAGATCTTAAATTGTTATGTATCTGATATTGTTCATAATATAGGTCAACAAAATCTTGCTTCATGTGCGTTTAGACTGTGAAACGACTCAATTACCAGTGAGATAGAAAGAACTTATTTGTAAATCATGTCACTTTGGCGAGTTGTCATATCATCTCAAAGTAAAATAATATACAGTAATCATCCAAGGTATGGATTATTCTCTAGACATAATAAAAAAGACTCGATTATTACGAAGATATTAGATTTACTATCTTTCATTTTTGAGGTTAAATCAATAGAATCTTTAACAGTTTATCTAAAACGTGATTTGATTAAATGATTTAATTATTTCAATAGGGAAATTCTTTGGAAATACGTTTTCAAAACGAAAGGATCATTAGTTAACACAGTTAAACAAGAATTTTATTGTAATATAAAAAAATATAATGAAATAAGGCCAAAGCTCCAAAAAAAACTAACTTCCTCAATACATTTAGGACTTGGTGGACTAGGAGTATTTTCAACTTGCCTCTTTAAATGTCTCTCAAAACAAGCAAAATGTGAAGCTATTAATTTAGAATATGATATTAATGATTTACATGACAAGCAATTATCATCATTTAAATGGATCACCTTATTGAAGTATTTACTTCCTCACATTTGTTACTTGTTGGTAGCAATAACGGTGAGTTATATATAAATGATATATGATTATTATTAACAACGTTTAGAATCAAGTGTTAATTTTTATTGTTCAAATTTTATATTCTTTTATGCTGTTATGTTTACAGAGTGCATTTGTGGTTGCTATTTTAAATATTTGGATACCTCAAAGTGTTGGTCATGTTGTTAATGTTATAACCAAAGTTAGACAAGGAACCAATAATTATGATAATAATTTTTATACTAGTATTTTTCAACAACTTGCCGCTCCTGCATTTAGATTGGCTCGTATGTATTTAATTCAAGTACGTATATTAAGTTTCTTTCATAAAATAATCGTTAAAAAATTATTTCTGAATGGTCAATGCACAATTTTGGATTCTAGGCCTTTTTTACTTTTACTTACATTTATACTCTTTCTTGTGTTGGAGAAAGAGTAGCTATGCAACTACGTCAGGACTTATTTAAGTCTGTAATAATGCAGGACATTGAGTTTTTTGATAAGCATAGATCTGGTGAAATAATGAACCGATTAACAACTGACATTCAAGATTTTAAAAGTTCATTTAAAATGATAATATCTCGAGGGTTTAGAAGCTTAACACAAATTGTAGGATGTGTAATTTCTGTGATAATCATTTCACCACAACTTACAGGTGTTATGATATTATGTTTGCCAACAGTCATATTTATAGGTACTCTTATTGGTAGAAATTTGAGAAATTTATCTAATGAAGCACAAAGTCAAATTGCTAAATCTACTGCCGTTTGTGAAGAAGCCATTCAAAATATTCGAACGGTAAATTTTTATTTTATCATCTGTATTTTAATATACTATTCTATTTAACTTCTTAAGTTATCCACTTTTGTTAAAGGTTAGAGCTTTTGCTGCTGAAGAAAAAGAGTTAGAATCTTTTTCTAATGAGGTCGAATCCGCAGCAACATTATATGAAAGACTGGGTCTTGGAATCGGGCTGTTCCAAGCTGGAACCAATATATTTCTGAATAGTATCCTTCTTTCAACACTGTATTTTGGAGGTCACTTAATATCTAGTGGCCAATTATCTCCAGGTGACCTAATGGCTTTCTTGATGGCCACTCAAACGATCCAAAGATCATTGACGCAAATATCTGAGCTTTTTGGGACTTACGTAAAAGGCGCAAGTGCTGGCGTTCGAATATTTGAAGTGATTTGTACTTAATATCTTAATCAATATTGAATTAATTCAAATATCGTATCAATCAACTCTGAAATATTTTTTTCTTAATAGTACTTGGAGTTAAAACCTTCACCAATTATGACTGGGGGACTTAACATCGGAGATGAATTTGTTGAAAGCAATATCAAATTTGAGAATGTCACATTCAGCTATCCAACACGACCTGATGCTATTATTTTAAAAAATTTTAATTTAGACATCCCAGCTGGCAAAACTGTTGGTATTGTTGGTGCTAGTGGGCAAGGAAAATCAACAATTGCAGCTCTTTTAGAAAGGTGACATAATTTTACTATAATAATTAAACATTCATTTAAAAAATGAAAAATAATGCTAAACATAAAACTTTATTTTTCTCTCTTAGGATGTATGAAGTATCTAGTGGATCAATAAGTATTGGTGGTATAGACATAAAAACTTTAAACTCTAGCGATCTCAGACGTAAAGTTTTAGGATACATTGGTCAGGAACCAGTTTTATTTTCAACAAGTATTATGAATAACATCAGATATGGGAACGATAAGGCTTCTGATGATGATGTGAGATAAATTTTTTCAGTACATACAGTTGAAATTTATCTTAAAAATGTTGTAAATTATTATTTGATTTATCACTTATCAGGTTATTGAAGTAGCTAAAGAAGCCAATGCACACGAATTTATTGAAAGCTTTCCAGAGGGTTATTACACACAAGTTGGAGAGCGAGGTGCACAGCTTTCTGGTGGTCAAAAACAGCGAGTTGCAATTGCAAGAGCGTTGATAAAAAAACCGTCAATCTTAATATTAGACGAAGCTACAAGGTAATTAAAATATTTCTTTTAATTGCATGATTTCTGAAAATTTCGGCCTTTTATCAATTTATATATCGATTTTAGTGCCTTAGATTATGATAGTGAACGAATTGTACAAAAAGCTTTAGATCATGCCATGAAAGACAGAACCGTCCTGGTAATTGCCCACCGGTTAAGTACTATTAAAGATGCAGATATAATCGTTGTCTTAAAACATGGTGCAATTGTTGAAGTAAGTATTATGTAACCCCATTTACTTTTTTTATTTCTTGATAATTATTTATGTAATTTTTTATCAAAATTAATCGTCTAATAGATGGGCACACATACAGAATTAATTCAAAAACAAGGAGTATATTACAACTTAGTGAAGCAAGAAAAAGATAATGAAAATGAAATGTAAAATAGAAGTAAAAGAATGAAGTTAACTTAACAATTGTTTAAATAGAAATATATCAATTTAATATAATTTATATGATATTATAAATATACATATATATATATACATAAACTTATTTTGTATAGTAGAGATTCGTATTTTTCACAATTATTTCCATAATTTTACAATAATATCGTAATCTCTATCATAAAATACTTTAATTGATTTTTTAACCTTGTGATAAATTTGTTGTTTAACTCAATCTTCTTTAGTTACCAAAAAAGGTATTATATCATAGGTATTGAATCGAAGTCCAACCCTATAAAATCCAACTTGGCAAGAAATCCGGACGAGATTTGGATTAACAGGTATGCATTTGTCCATATAAAAGTTCGGCTAACACGTATAAAAGGTCTGTCTGTAAACACCCATTTACTTCGGACCTATCCTCTATGATTTCTTAAATAATATCTAAAAGAAAGCAAAAACATTTTTTAGACATCTCCTGGATATCATTCTGGTATCTCTTTTTTAGACATCATTTTATTTATCTAAAAATTAATCTATATCGCTATTTTTTTGATAAGTTTTTATAAAAAAAATAGTTAACTTTAAAAGGGTATAGAGTAGGCATAGAAAAGTTTTTTTTTCTAATTGGATCAAGACAGAGAGGATAGACCAATCTCTCTTCTCTGACTTAGATGATGACGTACTTGTATTAATGTATTGTAAAATATTTGTATGTCGCCATCTAATGACTATTAGACTAACGACAGTTTGTTAGTTAACAACGATTGCTTGACGATTAGATTGTTTATAGCAACGAGGGGAGAGTTTGTTTATCTCCAGTTTTTGACTGTGACCTGAGTTGACCGCACGGATTCTTACTTTTAATTAATTGCTGTCAATCATTAATAAACATTTTATTTATTTTCTAATTTTCCGAAGTTGTTATTGAGTCTTATTTTACATTTATTTTACAGTATGTATATTTTTTAGTGATGAAATATAAAGTTGTATGAAATTATATTAAAGAATATTGCTTACTTTAAAATATGTTAAAAACTTTTTCTTAGCAAATAGTTATAAACTTGGTGAAATCTAATACAGGCCTAAATCTTTTGACCACTAATTGAGTCGATTCGAATTTTCCACCATACTACCATCAAAACAATTGTAAACAGGCAGCGCTACAGTTGAATTTGTTCAACTGTAGCGCTGCCTGTTTACAAAGATTTGAGGTTAAAGTATTCATAAACAGCTGAAATTTCTAATTGTTTAAAATACATCGAAAACAACATTTAGTAATGTGTAAAATATTGTTATTATTCTTTAAAATTCGATATTAATAAGTTATTCTATTTTGACAAATAATAATGGACGATAATATAAGTAATATTTGTGTGGCTGAAATGTCAGAGAAATCACGAAAGATCAACACAAGATTTCATCCAAACCATGGCGAAAATATTATTCTTTATGATGATAATACTGTAGCTTATCGTAAAGCAAGTTTTGCAAATGCATTAACATTCAGTGAGAAACCTTTACAACCTGGAGAAATATTTCTTTTAGAAATTGAAAAGCATGAAAGAGGATGGAGTGGTCATATGAGATTTGGTTTGACACAAATTGATTTGAAAACTGTTGATAAAAATGGGTTACCCCAATATGCATTACCTCATTTAGTTGAAATGGGGTCTACTTGGGTATTTGCTATCACACAGAGCCCAAATATTTACTATAGTATTGATAGTAAGTGATATATGCATACTTTATAGATTAAAATTCCAAGTACTGGATAAAACATTTCTTATACTCAAATTAGAATTAAAAATAATTTTAACTAACCACATATTATTATTTCAGGTGGTGGGTTACCTCACCGAGAGAAGAAATTAATTACTGATGGAGTAACAGTACAAACTTCACGAGGAAGCATTCCATACACTTTGCTTAGGCCTAATACAGTTGGTCCATCACAAAACATATTACCTACAGAAACTGGCAGTCGTATTGGAGTCATGTATGTACCACAACCTGGTACAGATTTAGCAGAAATGCATTTTATTATTAATGGTGAGGACCAAGGAGCATGTGGAAAAGATATTCCTTATAAAGAAAAACCCATACATGCAGTTGTCGACGTGTACGGAACTACAAAACAAGTTAGAATTATTCAACTCTACGGTGGTGAGTTTCTTTTAAACATTGCATGATACATTAAACAATAGATTGATTATTAACTTCTTGTATCTTTTATAGTTTCCACGTTACAAAGTGCGTGTCGAGATGCTATCCTACAATACACAAAAAGAAATGCGGTAAATTCATTACCGTTACCACAAATGTTAAAGAAATTTTTATTGTATCAATCACAATGACATGAAAGCCAGTAATAATGCCATACTTCCTTTGCTTCAATATATTCAAGTGTAAAATAAAAAATCAGGCAGGTCCTTTTATCATAAATAAATTCATATACAAAAAAATAAGCTTAATTATCAATATTTAATCAATAATAAAAAAAAACTTATTGGTAATTCATTATCCAATATCTTTTTCAAAAAAATTTTGTAAATTATTGTATTTTGTAAGTTATATTTTATATTTATCTTTTTAATGTTTTTTAATCGATTAATACTTATAATTAATCATTGTAACTCATTAATTCACTATTTAAGAATAATAAGTTACCATAATAACGCCCATGTTTTATATTACTTTATTTTTCAAATAAATCAGAAAGTATCTAATTACGAAGAAATCTTTTTTATACCACTCAATTGTTTAAATTTAAAAAAATACTTTCGAATAAGAAATTTTAACAATTTCATTTATCAGGAACATGTAGTAAAACGATTAGCATAATAAAATACGTTAAAAAGACGATGAAAAATAAGAACCATCCCACAACAATAATAGTGTAGTTCCAAGAAGATTTATATGATTGAGTATCTGCATTGACAAGTTCACTTTGATCATCACCATCTTCTGCAATAATTGCAGATGCTTTCGAGTCAAGAACACTCCATAAAAGAATCTGTCCTGGCTTGCTAGTTACAACAAATAACATGTAAGAGTGAAGCCATGAAGGTGGTGAAGTCTTCAGCTCACTAAGTTTTTGAAGAAGACACGTTGCTATGAGAGCAATCGTCGAAAGTATAATTGAATTGTGATAAAAAATCACTAAAATAAAATAGAAAAACATTGTAAAATTCAAGAATTCTATTTATTAAAGTATTTAGTATATTTAACAAGTAGATTCATATAAAAAAACTTACTTATGTTAGGGATTGATGTACTGCTTAGTGGCGCTTGCCAATGAAGGCCTTGTAAACAGAAAAGATGAAAAAAAAAGTTAGTGCAAGCAACTAGAAGACGTTCTTTGGAACCTGGGTCAAACCATAGTGTTGTTAAAGTCATAACAACCATTACTAAAACAATAAAAAAGATATTGAAATTGTCGAAAAATGTATGAAAATAATCATTATTGATAATAAACGTACCACACATTGGAGTAATGTATACTCTCCAAAGTGCACTGTAAGCTCGTTCAACATTAAAATCGATAGAAACTGTTGAAAATTCAGTATCATTCTGATACAAAGATTTTCTTTTTTCAAAGCCGTAATTATCGGGATAAATTTTCCATTCAGGACTTGGATAAAAATGGATCATTACAATGGCAAATTTTTTCATGTTAAATGATATTTCATTATTATTGTGAGACCAAGAAGAAATTTGCAGACTACAATTTTGTTGATCAAAAGGCCAATATGTATAATCTGCAAGACATTTAAGTGCAAAAAGTACTGCTGGAACGCAAATAACATTTCCATCTTTGGAAAGAACACAATTTGTATAAGATACATCAGGTTGATATTCTCCATTGCCACTGATAAATAAATGAATATTAGAATTCGATATAACAACAAAGTAATCATATAAAAGTGTTTATTTTATAAATGTGTAGAAATTTTTTTAAATACAAATATAATTGTTATTATTTTAAACTTACGCGTTCTGAATTGAAAGATCGGGAGTCCAAATATCAGTACCAGGGACCCAAAGAGTATCAATATTATCAAAATCTTCTGGTTTCCATCTTAAATGTATATCTTTCCAGGACTGTAATATTTTATTTGATTGAAATAAAAAATATTAATTAATTTTATTAATAAATAAAAAAAATTTAACGGAAATCTGTATGTTATAAAAGGGTTTTTATAACGTACTTTATAAATAGTTTAAAAACTAAAACTTACAATATACACCCAAGAATGTAAATTCAAAGTGTGATGTGTATCATCCTAGACGAAATATTTTATGAAAGAAGAAAAAAATTATTAACGTTCATCATATTTTTAGATAAAATAGAACATAACTTCTGTTTAACTTACGAAATCTGCTAGCTTTGGAATGATAATAATACTGACATCAGTTTTATTTTTTTGACCATCAACAAGTGGCCTTACTTCAGGATCATAATCACAAAAAAGATGTCTTTTAAGACGGAGGCGAGGAAACTTCTCTTCAAGTAAATTACACGTTCTATCAGTGTAAACAAGACTCAAGGTTATGAGAAAAAATAGGAATACAAAAATATATTTAATAAATAACATGGTTGAAGAGTCTCGGAAGCAAATTAGTAACTGACGAATGCATCATGAAGTCGAAAAAACATTATCAAACGCCCCATGAAATTTGAGATTGCAGACATTTTAGATCCGACGCCCACTGATATTGTTTTTGTTTAAAATAGTAAAACATAATTTATTTTTTTTTATTTCCATAGTTGAATTATTGATAATAATTCCGATTGTTATTATAAATAACTACTGTATGATTAAGGGATTTGATGCTAAATAATTTTTATTCTTGTAGTTATTTAATTATTTAACATTGATCAAACTAGGCCAGAAAAGATAAGAGGAATTGACGATTGTTTTTAATTATAATGACAAGCGAATAATCAGTTTGCAAGAATATTAAATAATAAAGCCAAATTTCACATAAAATTTATAAATAAATATATTTTATCATTGACATACAAATAATAATCTAATTATATTACAAAATGTATTGATTAATTACTATCATGAACAAAAATACAAGTAATGCTAAAAAATATATCTTTCGAAAAAAGTATGATCAGAAGCTGGTAAAAGAACTATCAATAAAATAGCATAAGTTAAAGAGATTGTAACTAATGCTAGCCATTCTAATATATTAGCACATTCTATCCAAATATTATCTCTTTTATTACTTGTTTCTTCATTGTTTTCAGAATCACTAAGAATACGAGATTCTCTTCTATTTCCGAAATTTTTAACTCCAAGAAATTGGGTAATAGGACTGTTGAGAACAATTAAAACTGTAGAATAAATCCATTGTGGTGGTGGAACCTTAATTCCATAGATTTTTCTGAGCAAACATGTGAAGACGAATGTAAAAGCTGCAATTCCAAGTGATGATTCATAAAAGATCACTAAAAAGAGAATTCTTTTTATGATCTATTCGAATTATAATCAATAGAAATGACATAATTTTTTTTATATTTACGAATTTTAGGAGAACTGATGACTGCACTTGTTGGAAGGTACCAATGTAAATCAAATAGGCAAAGAATATGGCATATAAAACTAGTACTAGCTACTGCAATTCTCTCTATTGAGCAGGGGTCAAGCCATAAAGAAATTAATGAAAGTATCATAAGAACTACTGCTGGCGTAATATAAATTAAAGTATTTCTAGTTGGTTTTCTTTGGATTTCAACACTCAAGAAAACCATTGAATCCAATTCTGTGCGATATAATGATGAAGATTTGGTTAAATTTGATATTTTTACATTCCACTCATGACTTTCAATAAATTCATGCATTAAAATCTAAAAAAAAATCGACAATATTTGTTTATTTTTTTTTTTAAGTATAATCATGAAAATAAAGACTTACTCCTTCATTTCCAAATTCAAAATTAATTTCATCACTAAAGTGCATCCAAGATCCAAAATGAAGAGTACAATTGTGTTTATCATAAGGCCAATCAGCAAAATCAGCAGGACAATGAGTTGTATATACTTTAGCTATGGCACATTGAATAGTACCATTGCTTGATAAAATACAATCTGTTAAAGGAATAGCACTTTGATCTAAACTTAAATCTCCTCTAAAGAAAAACAAATAATTCAATTTTACTAACTGTTTATAGTTAAAATATTTATTATTCATCATATAAAACTTACGAATTAAAAACTGAAAAATCAGGAATCCAAATGTTGGAACTTTTTACATGAAAGATGTCAATGTGATCAAAATCGTCAGGGTTCCAATGGAGATGAACATCTTCCCAAGTCTGGAAGTTTATCAGAGTTTAAATTACCAATATTTCATAGTTTTATGTCAATTTATTTAATATAGTTTCATTTAAATTAAATATAGTTTTTAAAAAATTTTTAAGTACAATGAAAAATGAAAGTTCAATCAATTATTTACTTACAAGAATTAACCAAGTGTGAAAGTCTAAACTGTTGTCCCACTCATACTATAATTTTTGCATAAAAGAATTGGTAAAAAAAAGATATTTATTATATGCTTACATTTCTTAAATGTTAAAATAATACAACTTACAAATTCAATAAATTTAGGAATAAATTGAACTCCAATATTTAAAGTACTATGAGCATCGGTACTAGGACGGACATTGGTATCATAATCGCAAAATAAATGTCTTTTAAGTCTTAAAGATGAAGATTTACTTTCTATATCATTACAGGTAAATTCCAAACCTATTGATTTTCTATTATTGGTAAATAAAATAAAAACCAGAATAGTTAATTTGAACATGATTCTAATGAAGCATCACACTTCTAACTAACAAGCAGACACTTTTAAATGTTACCAAGAGATAATAAATCTACCAAACGCCCCATGAAATTAGATATGACTGTGAAATCTATAATGCTAGATTAATAACCAGTAATATAGATTTAATTAATCAGAAATTATTCTCGTAATTTTTCATCATCAGTTAGTGAATGGAATTAAAAAATAACTAACATTAAATAAGCAAGTTTGTTTATTTATACTCAATTACTTGATTTTAATGAAAAAAATGTTCGGGCTATGACTGAGAAACTCTTTTTTTTGTTCATCTTGGAAAAAATATTAAAATAATTAAAGTTATAGTGTTATAATAAATGAAATTTTATTCACATCTTCGTCTATGAATATTTTATACGGAAATGTTTAAAATCCATCCTTAAATTTAATAATTCATTTCTTTTTAGTTTTCAATGATGAAGGTAAATATTTATTGTATTGTCCTAATTTATCATTTTCATGTAAGCAGAGTATTTATTTTTCTTTATAACAGTCAGAAAAAACACAAAATTCGCTAAATGGAAAATATTTGTTAAAAATATAAATATCTTTTGTAAAAAAAAATAAGCATTGTTACAGTAAAATTACTTAAAAAGTTAAATGTTAATTAAAAAAAAATAATAAATACTAAAAGTAATAAAGTCGAATAAATTTCATTCAAAAACGAAATAATTAGCGCCACATTTATAAACAGTGGTGCCATCTGTATACATTGCAAATTAGTGAAAGAAATTTTTCGCACATGAGTACAATCTTTGAGAATTAATATTTTATGACTTAAATACGTCAGGCACGATAAGGAGTGTGAGCGGGCATGGATTCGTCATTAACTCGTTTCCGTCCTTCTGAAAAATTATCCGATTCGCACAAATTCATACACTCTATTTCTGTCGCGCGTGGGTGAATGAGGTTCTACAAAAACACGTCACGATAACTATTTTCGAACGTCCTTTCTGCGTTCCATCAGCCGTCGTCCATCGTCCTCGACACCTCTGAAAGAAGAGTAAGCCGAGGTTAGCTGGTGAGTTCTCGAAATATTCCCGAAAAATGATAAGACAACAGAGATAAAATTTCGAGAAATAATTAAATAGCTCATTAAAAAAAATAACAAAACTCAAAAGTTCCGCTGCAATAAAGTGTATTATCTAAATTTTTTAAATGCGATAAGCTCAAGAAATGTTAGTAAATTGATTTTATTTATGAAAAAGTAATGTCCAGTCAGTTATCTTGGACTATTTTAGAGTTTTCCCTTGTAAATTAGAAGTTTGTTTTCATTTTAAAAAACCGGTATATCAATGGTACAATTGTAATAAGAAAAAAGAGAAGGGGGATTGAGCGATGGTGGCTCAACCGCCAGAATTAGGAGAGGGGATTCGTACGCCGGCGAGCAAATTGTGTATGAGACTCGTGGCAGAGGGGTCAGTGTGAGAAAAGAACGACACAAATCGTTTTTCTGGGCTTGGCGGGTACGTTTCAAGTTTTAGGTAGTTGTCTACTCTTGTCTATTCGAAATTTTCTCTCTCATTTTTGTTCCCTGTAATATCGCCCCCTTTCAACCAACATCAGTTTCTCCCCCTCTTTTCATTCAATCGCCCTCGTGCCCTAGTATTCCATTGTCCATCTGTAAGTGCAATATCAGACGCTAACGAGATTCCGAGTCTTTCAAACAATTAGATAGCTGCGTAAACGTGATATTTTTTAAATTATTTCTATACATAACTGTCATTTAAATAAAAATTTAAATACTCAAGTACGATCTAATGAAGTTTTTTTTTACGAATTCGACAAATTATTATTATTATTTGATTTAAATTCAAGAAGTAATCAAGTGTCATTCCAAGTTTTGGTTTTGTCAAAGGAAGAAGACTGAACTACACGCGGAAGGATGAACGACATGGAAGCTTACGGTGACGGATACATGGAGCCTGAAGAAGAGTGGGAAAGGGAAGGATTACTCGACCCGGCCTGGGAGAAACAACAGAAAAAAGTGAGTGAAAGTTTTTTTTTATCAAAGGATTATTTGGTTGAAATTCGATTTTTATTCAACAAAAATCGCGGTTGAAAAATAATGATTACATGAGTTTTTTTTTATTACACCATTCTTTAAATACCTGTTTCGTTACGTACTGATGACCTTGACAAACGCGTGCCATTGTTTTTCTTTATAATTTCACAGCAAAAGCTTGAAGTGTAACTCGGTATCGTAAGGTATTTATTATTTGAGGATTCTGGTAAAGACATTTAGCTAATAGAGATAAGATATATATTTTATTAAGAAATTCTTGATATCATTGTCATGAATCTGTTTCACGGTCTTGAAAATGATTTTCAAATGTATGTAAAATTGTTGAGATTGCATTTCAGGTCAAGAACAAACCGACGAAAATGACGACAACGAGGGAGAATGAAATCTCAGAAGCCAAAATACTCAAAGACCATATCAAAAGTTTTGGCAACATAGTGAATTAGCTCGACTCCCCATGTCGACATTTCATCGAATTTTCGACTCAAACGATACGTACACACTTAAACAAGAAAGCCCTTCAACAAATATATTTTTGGACTTTAGAGCAAAAATAATCCTATGCTGAGTCAGATTTGTCGAGGTTACGAGCTTAAGATGAAATTTTTCTATTTTATTGTCACATAGTTTTAATAAATAATTTTTGTGATCAAGAATATTGTGATTGACACTTCAAAAGATTCGGTAAAAATCTTTGATGTAGGAAAATGCTGAAATACAACGAAAAGAATTTTCTTGAGTCATCGTAATTGCAATAGAATCATCAAGTACATTAATGAGTCAACTTTCAGCTGCAAGATATTAATTCAATCGTCTTTGATAATAGTACACATTGATAGTAATGAAATGAAAATTTTTAAAAAGTTGTCTATTTATAATCATCACAAAAGTTTAAATTAAGCTTGAAACAACTGACAAGAATATTACTTGAGTAAAATGATGTTAAAAAGTAATTATCGACCAGTTAATTACAAACATAACAAACAATATTTAGATAAGCGTTCATGTTGAAGTTTAAAAGAACCTTCGTAAATATTATATTCTTGACATTATCAGTTTTCTGAAGCATTCAAGTATGTTATAAAACTTGAAATATTCATTTTCTTTTTAATTTTCACAGAAACTTGGCTAATTAAAATCATTTTCATTGGCACTATCAAGACTAACTATTTTAATCACTTTAAAAGCGCATTAAGAAGAATAATATGCTTTAAATTAAAGCATCGAATGTCTCATAATACTTTAATAAGCTTAAAAAATAAATGGAAAGACGGATGAAAATTATTACTTATAAATAAATCCAAGATTCGAGACTGTATTGGCCTAAAAATACATACGAGGTCGACGATCCAATGGATATTTACTGAGAATTATATTAATAAGCTAAAGAAGCGATGAGATTTGAAAAAAAAAAATAGAATTTTAATCATTCGTTTGCATGACTTGCTTTATCAACAAATGAAATTGGTTTTTAATTAACTTTCCCATGCATTTTCAAGGTCACTGGCATACTCAATTATTGTCATCTATTATATTGTGATTGAGATGTGAAGGGCATACTGTTAGAGATTCGTCCAGAAAGACTTAACTTATGATGATGCGAGGATCGTTAACCTCTGATGGGAGCATGTTTAGGCCACGCGCCAACTCGGGTTGGAATCGGGTGACCCACTCTCTTAAGCTTCACAATGCAGTGACGATTGAGTAGAGATGATGATGTTGATGATGATAATGAAAGAGGTGGTAGATGATGAAGAAAAATATTCAACATCTCTTAAATGCCAAACTGATAAATATTCTAACTATTATTGTCTATTGTTATTGACTCATCAATTATTTCTAGTTAGTCTTTTAAAATAACGACTTTAAAAGTTATTGTCATGTTTCTATGCAAAATTTTTTTCGTTTCCGTTGCATTTTAGTTGAGTAAACTATGATTTAAACACTGGCTTCATAGCAGTTTAAGTTATTGCGTCATCAACGGCTTGTCTAAATGTGATGCCTATGTCTCACAAAAATATCTCTTCAGACCTCACTTACTCACTCAACCTGGGGCTAAAGGCTTGCGTAAACAAACTGATCAGAGAGTAAAGGATTATATATTCTGCTAAAGTTTATAATTTTGTCAACAATAATTACTTAAATAACCAAGTTGATGATGATGTTAAGCCAAAAAAGATGTTTTTTATTGATAAATTTCTAAGAAATATCTAGGAAACCGGAAGGGTGTGTACGAAAAGTAATTGTTTCCGTTTTGTCATATTGACTGGTTCATATAATAAAGTATTTGTCATTGGATTGTACGGAATTACTATGACGAAAGCATCGCAGAAAAAGAAAGACTTGGAGACTGGAAAATATTTAAGAGAGATAGAGTGAGAGGAAAAAAAAATATTGAGAAAGTCTGAAGATAAAACCGGCTGTGGTAAAACTCCGCTAGGCGAATGGCCTTAATTTTAAGCTAAGAAATCTTATGATAACCATGTGAGTGAAATTTATATCTTCATTTATTAATGAATTTTTGTAACTATTATGGCTTTAATCTATGAACTCATTACAGCTTGACATCATTTCTAATCGAACCAATTAGGAAACTATAAAAATCTGTATTAAAATATCTTACAGAGAAGAATTTAAAATATCACATAAACATTTTCAAGAATTATTTAATTACATGAAATAAACATGAAAAGAGTGCAGAAAAAGAAAATAAATTATCAGACGTCATGATTATACATCATCTTTATAAGTGCTTTTTACTATCGTTAAACAGCTGTTGAAGCACCTGCTACTTCCTAAATATGGTTTTTAAACAAAAGTACAAGTTACAATGAAATCAGGCTTCAAAATAACTGTAAAAAATTCAAGTAATTAATGAATCTCTGTGTTAATGAACTAAGAATGTAAATTATTAGCATATTTGTTGGTAACAGAGTGCAGTAGCGACAAAGACACAACAGATAAGCGTTCATGAAACAGTCAAGATGAGATCTGGGAGGTAGCAGAGCAGAGCAGAGCGTGCGGGAGGACTCTGAAGTTTTACAAATAGAACGTAGACCCGCGGGTTGGGGTAAGGGTGGGCTCATGTCCAATTTTGGATCGCGCGGGGCAAGTTTAAACCGTTCAGTATTAAGTTTCAAGCAATATTCCCTTGTCTAATACCAATTTCCATTGTATTAAAAGTATTTTTATAACTTGAAATCATTTTGCTAGACAGGCCATTAATTTCTCCACTTTTTCTTGTTTGAACTTTTTTTTTAATGAGTAACAGTGTCAAAGAATCAAATATTTTTATGAGTTTCTATGCTTTTAAACATTAACTATCTACTTGTTTATCTGAAATTGTTTTATTTTTATTGAAATTTCTGTCAGACGAAAATCAATTAAGGAAAAGAAACGACTTATTTATAACTTACACTTTAAAAGTTAAAAATGAGATGTTATTTGATTAAGTTGTATTTTTTTTACAAGAAAATAGTTAAATGTATTTATTTATCAATTCATTTGCTACTTTAAGAAAAACTTTCTTTGCGATAAAGTCGTTAAAGAGAAAAGAAAGTGTCAAATTTATGACATCTATAATCAGTAAATTCTTAAAAGTATTTTGAATACATTAAAACTACTTGCATCTATTCCCGTTAATTAATTACATTTGAAAAATTAACTAGTTGTATCTTTCTTAGTAAAAAGAGAACCAGGGCGCCACATATATATACATAAGTTTGTATATATAGTGTAGAAGGGATCGGGGTCGTTACTAAAATATACATTCAAGAGTGGCATTTAGAATCTAAAGTCTGAGATTATTATTTTTCCAACACCTACTATTATCTGAGATATCTAAAATATTACTAAATTATCTTTATGTGGAATCAACATTCATTGATAATATTTGCCAAAGGTAATAATAAATTTTTTAGTAATGATAATAATCATTTATCATGATAACATAGTCCAATTTGTCATGTGCTGAATGATTATAGGTAGAGTAATAATAATAATACTTAAAGTAATGATCGTACAAGCAAGAATGTAACACAGTTATAAAATCTATATACTTATGATAAAAAGAGCAGAAAGATAAGGTCAAGTATTGAGGCGACAATCCAAGCAGGAAATAGACCATGAATCGTCTCAACTTTCGTACATTTTGAAGTTTCAGCATTTTTTGATTGTGGAAATGTGCAGTCGTTGAATTTAATTTTATTCAAAGTAATATTTTTTGCATAAAAATTTTCTTTCTGAATTTATTAAAGAATATAAAAATTTTTTTTATACAATTTTAACAGCCTAAATATAACTCGAAAAAACATTGGAAAGATAATTTCATATCTGCTGAGTGCAAAAAGTAATTTTGAGTTTAATTCAAGTTCAGCAAAGTTGTAAAGAAAGAAATTTGCTTATAATAATGTTTTTACAGACATTCACAGCATGGTGCAATTCACATCTCCGAAAGGCTGGGACTTCGATAGAATCAATCGAAGACGACTTCAGAAATGGTCTGAAGCTTATGCTCTTGTTGGAGGTGATTTCGGGTGAAACATTACCGCGACCTGATCGTGGTAAGATGCGTTTCCATAAAATTGCAAACGTCAACAAAGCTTTAGATTATATTGCAAGCAAAGGAGTCAAATTAGTCTCCATTGGAGCCGAAGGTAGTTTTTAATACCTTTTAATAAGTCATTTATCTATCATCATTAACTTTTAATAAAAAATAACTTATTTTTGTAGAAATTGTTGATGGCAATTTAAAGATGACACTGGGTATGATCTGGACAATTATCCTTCGTTTCGCAATCCAGGATATCTCTGTGGAAGAAATGACTGCAAAAGAGGGTCTTTTATTATGGTGTCAACGAAAAACTGCACCTTACAAAAACGTCAACGTTCAAAACTTCCACTTATCTTTCAAAGATGGTCTTGCTTTTTGTGCACTTATTCATCGTCATCGTCCAGATCTCATTGACTACAATCGTCTAAGCAAAGATAATCCACTGGAGAATCTTAACACAGCCTTCGATGTTGCTGAAAAATACTTAGACATCCCACGCATGTTAGATCCAGATGGTAAGATAATGAATTATTTATTCCCTCTACCGTTATCACTATTATAAAATTTTTCGAACATTATTCAGTAAAAAACGGGCCTAACTGGAGTCATAATTTGTTTTAAAATAATATTTTATAAGAGTTCCGTTTCTAATTTATTACGATCAATAGATTTAATCAACACTCCTAAACCGGATGAAAGAGCCATCATGACCTACGTGTCCTGCTACTATCACGCTTTCCAGGGTGCTCAGCAGGTCAGCGCAGTGTCGAGTGTCATTTTGAATTGAATTAACCCCTAAATTAATTTTAATTTACCCCCTAATAATTAATTGAATAATTAATCGTGAATTACTTATAATTAACTTTTTGTTTTATTATATTAATTTATGATGTATTAATTATATTAACATAACATAATGTTGCTCTAACATGCATGGTTTTCAGTATTTTGGATTGTGATTTTTTTTAGATATGCGAAACACTGCAATGCCAGACGAAAGAGCAGTGATGACCTACGTTTCCTCATACTACCATTGCTTCAGTGGAGCACAAAAGGTGTGTGTTGCGTGAGTGACATTTACATGACTTTCAATGCGTGTCTATAAAAGAGAATAATTCTTTGTTGCTACTCGATCAGCTGCTGCATGAAGCATGTCAAATGATTTAATTTGATGATTGTTGACACGTACGTTTAATATGCAATGATAACTATATTAAAAAATTTTATTTTCATGAATTTTAGGCTGAAACTGCAGCAAACAGAATTTGCAAAGTCTTGAAAGTCAATCAAGAAAATGAACGCTTGATGGAAGAGTATGAAAGATTGGCCTCTGATTTATTGGAATGGATTCGACGAACTATGCCTTGGCTTGCTAGTCGACAAACGGATAATTCTCTTGCAGGATGTCAGAAAAAGCTTGAGGAGTATAGAACTTATCGTCGAAAACATAAGCCACCTCGTGTTGAGCAGAAAGCTAAGCTTGAGACAAATTTCAATACTCTTCAGACTAAGCTTAGGCTAAGCAACCGACCTGCTTACATGCCTACAGAGGGCAAAATGGTCTCGGATATTAATAAAGCTTGGAAAGGCTTAGAACTAGCAGAAAAATCCTTTGAAGAATGGCTACTTTCTGAAATGATGCGTTTAGAACGTTTAGAACATTTGGCACAGAAGTTTAAGCATAAAGCTGATGCCCATGAAGATTGGACAGCTGGTAAAGAGGAGATGTTAACTTCTCAACATTTCCGCCAATGCAAGCTTAATGAACTTAAGGCATTAAAGAAGAAACATGAAGCATTTGAGTCTGATCTCGCTGCTCATCAAGATCGCGTAGAACAGATTGCAGCTATAGCTCAAGAACTTAAGTAAGAATTCTTTTGAATAAAAAAATGAAGTAACAGATTCATTATCAAGGTTATTTCTTAATTCGATGTTTTAATTATGTAAATATTTATTTTAGTACTCTCGAATATCACGACAGCGCTTCTGTAAATGCTAGATGTCAACGTATTTGTGATCAGTGGGATCGTTTGGGAACTCTGACTCAACGTAGACGTCAAGCTCTTGATGAAGCTGAACGTATTCTTGAAAAAATTGATGTTCTTCATTTGGAATTTGCCAAGCGAGCTGCGGTAATAATTAACTTAATTTTTTTTACTAATTTTTTATTTTGTTATTTTCATATTATTTTGATAATTATTATTGTATTTAATAGCCCTTCAATAATTGGCTCGATGGAACACGAGAAGATCTTGTTGATATGTTTATTGTCCACACAATGGAAGAAATCCAAGGTCTTATGGATGCTCATGCAGCCTTCAAAGCAACTCTTGGTGAAGCTGATAAGGAATACAATGCTATTGTTGGTCTTGTGCGTGAAGTAGAATCCATTGTCAAGCAGTTCCAAATCCCTGGTGGTTTAGAAAATCCTTATACTACTTTGACAGCTCTTGATCTTACAAAAAAATGGAGCGATGTCAGGCAATTAGTACCACAACGTGATGGAACCCTTCAAGCTGAGTTACGTAAACAACAAAATAACGAACTTCTTCGAAGACAATTCGCTGAGAAAGCTAATGCCGTTGGACCATGGATTGAAAGACAACTTGATGCAGTTACTGCCATTGGCCTTGGACTACAAGGAACACTTGAAGATCAACTTCACCGTCTTAAAGAATACGAGCAAGCTGTCTATCAATACAAAGCCCATCTTGAAGAGCTTGAAAAGATTCACCAAATGGTTCAAGAAGGCATGATCTTTGAAAATCGGTATACTCAATACACAATGGAAACTTTACGTGTTGGTTGGGAACAGTTATTAACATCTATTAATCGTAATATCAATGAAGTCGAAAATCAAATTCTTACTCGTGATTCTAAGGGTATTACACAAGAGCAGCTTAATGAATTCCGAAGCAGTTTCAATCATTTCGATAAAAATCGAACGGGTCGATTAGCTCCTGAAGAGTTTAAATCATGCCTGGTATCGTTGGGTTACTCTATTGGCAAAGATCGTCAAGGAGATATTGATTTCCAACGTATTCTTGCTATCGTCGATCCCAATAATTCAGGATATGTACAGTTTGATGCTTTCCTAGACTTTATGACTCGAGAGTCTACAGATACTGATACTGCCGAACAAGTTATTGACAGTTTCCGTATTCTCGCTGGTGACAAGGTAAATTTTTGTTTAGATAGATTAAAAAAATTGATTATTAAAAACAATTATTTAACAAATTGATAATTTTTTTTTAGCCATACATCTTGGCTGATGAGTTAAGGAGAGAATTGCCACCAGATCAAGCGGAATACTGTATTCAACGAATGCCACCCTACAAAGGACCTAATGCTCAACCTGGAGCACTTGATTACCGCTCATTTTCAACGGCCCTTTATGGAGAATCTGATCTTTAAAGTATAAAGACTTTAAAAACCCATTAAGATCATTTTTACACATTTACATATCGACATAAACGTTGACAATTTCATTGATTTATAACAGAAAAAAATAGTTGAATTTAAAATCACTTCACCATGCATCGCTTCAATGCGTATTTTTAAGTACGCAAAAAGCTTCCATACGTCTAAAAATATTACCGTATGATGAATAAAATCATACCGATACATACGAATATTAGTCAATAACGAGCGCCTATTGAAGAATATAATCAATGCCATATTTGAGCCAAATATTTTTAATTGGTTTTGATAATTTTTTGAGAGAATCAATTAATTTCTATTATAACAAATTCTTTTAACATTTTTAAGATACATCAGTCTAATACGAGACTGAAAAAAAATATTAATGATATATAATGATAAATTTCATTAAGAAATATAAATCAAATCAATTCGATAATTTTTATTATAAAAAGTTTAAATGTGCTCGATAATCGAAATACGATATTTTTTTACATTTATTAGTAAAAAAAAACGGCATAAGAAAAAGTATACAAATAAAATGATTTTATTTAAAAAAATATTATAGTGGTTAATATAACGTATTTTATAAATCTTATATATCAAAATAATTATATTAAAGACAGTTGATTGTCTCTAGAGAAAAAGGAATGAAACAAATTTATTTATTTATTTGATTTATTTATTTGCCGATAATGAAGAATATAAAAGTCAATCTTGACAACGTAAACGAATGAAAAATAAAACTTTTTTTTTCTTTCGCAAACTATTTATTTTTATAATTATTTTTCAAAGCGAATGACTATCGAATCAGCTTTATACAAGCGTCACGTCTCGAAGTATATTTACAAAATATCCAAACTCGATCAACTATCAATCCATTAATTGTCATTTATATAATGCATTAATGATTTGTTTCCGACCTAGAATCATGTTGCAGCAAAAATGAATTTCCCATCAACAATGTATTATGGAAAATATTGAAATGAATGAAAATGAAAGTCAGATCAATTAATCATGTATCAGTCACAACACATTTACAATCTGTGAAAAGAGTGTTTTTGTTTGGCTTGTTGAAGCTTAATGCTTTTTTTAAAAAATAAATCTACTATCCTTAATGTCATCTCAAATGTCATATTGTTACATACCATCTTCTTCCTTTCAATTCCCAAGAAATGAAAAAGTGACGTTATCAAATAACACGTTCAAACGATAAATAAAGAAAGATGGAAACTAATAATAAAAATTAAAATTTACGTTTAGTTGAAGAAATAAAATACGTAATTTCAAGTCACTCATACTTCGCATACGCACGCACAATCGCATTAATATCATCTCTAAGTTTACATTAATATTACTGTAATTATATACAAATACATACGTATATATTATATATTATATAAATATTATATATTTTAATTTAAACACTTCTTCATTTACCATATTACATTAATTAATTTAACGGACATAATTTGAAAATATTAATATTTATTAAATATTATTATTTTCCTCTTAGTTCATTTGCATTCTTCTGTACCAAGATTTGTGAAATGCAAGTAATTAATTAAGGTATTGATGTAATTTAGAACAAGAAATATCGAAAGAATAAAATATTTGGAAAAAATTGATAAAATCATTGACTTTTTATTTCATCGAATAAATTATAAATATTTATTTTTTTTATATATTTAAAATATATTTTTAATTTTCAAGAAAATACAAATAAAATATGTAAGTTTTTATAGATATTAATAAAAAATGTTTTCTTAATGAGATATTAAAATACTATCAAGTAAAAATAAATGATCAGAGTCTAAAACTAAAATCTTAAAATAGAAATACAAGTTACATAGCATACCACAGTAAAAATGGAATAGATCATGTGTTTGAAAGTCCTATGATGGTCATGAAGGATAAAATTCTCGTGATATAAGCCCAATACATAAGTAATAGAAAGAGATCTCCACTGTTGCAGTTCATGTAATCTCTCATTACAAAAGTGTATTTTTCATCAAATGACTCATTTAAAATTATTATAACCGCAGTTATCTACAATTGGGAATCGTTTTTTGAAGCACCTTGAAATATCACAATTACCTTCAATTAATTATACAAATTTGAAGCCAATGATTAATATAGAGTATGTGTGAAAGAATCAGTTAATTTTTAATTATTTTATCTCATTAGTTATTTACATTGAATCTGTGAAATCCAAAAAAAAAAAATACAGTTTACAAACATTTTTCTCCCTGGCGCCACCTAAGTTTTATTCCTTTAATAAAGCTCTGTGACAGTCCAGTTTTGTGCGCAGTTGATTTTTAAAGTAATGTCGCAATAAAAGTGTGTAACTGTGTATTTAGAGGTGTTTAGGTCAGTTTCACAGAGATAATACATACAACAAGTGATACAAGTATTACTTAATAATAATAAATTCACTATATTAGCGCAAAATTATCTTGAAATTCCACAGTGCAATGTATTGTTACTGATCCACTGCCAGAATAAAATACCTTTAATGTTCTGATGAAATACGTCATTTTGTTGACGAAAATCATAACAAAAACTTGCATTGATGTAAATATGAATTTTAGCTAAAATTTGACTCTTTAAAGTAAAATAAAATAATTAAGTGTTCATGGTTATTTATTGTTGCTGATTCTATCAAATCATTAAGGATTTACTAGTAAAGACAAAGAAAAATTAATATAAAAATTATCTTCCAACTTTTCAAATAAATAACTGAAAATGAGCACCTTAGAGCAATATTCCCGTGATTCATCCCTTTGGAAAGGATATAAATCAGATCCAAACAGCCCTGCTATTATGCAAAGTCTCGATAGTTTAACAACAAGTAATAAAGATATGTACAGTTCACCTTTTGGGCCTCCATCAAACTATGGAAACTTATCCATTAATGGAATATCTTCTTTAAATGAAACTATAAAGCAAAATTCTACTATTTCTACTGAAGTATCTCATAGTTTTTTATTAATTGATGGTCAGGAATATTTAAAAGTTACTAATGTTGAACAGTTTATTGAAAAATTGGGATGTAATGATAAAAACTTGAAGGTCAAAGTTGTTTCCATTTTCGGAAATACTGGAGATGGAAAAAGTCATACATTAAACCAGACTTTTTTCAATGGACGAGAAGTATTTAAAACTTCAAGTGAACAAAGCTCTTGTACTCTAGGAGTATGGGCATCTTTTGATCCAAGACTTGGAATCATCTGTTTGGATACTGAAGGATTACTTGGAGTCACGATTCATGAAAATGAACGAACTAGGTTACTTTTGAAGGTCTTGGCGGTTTCTGACATTGTCATTTATCGCACCCGATCTGAAAGACTTCACAAAGACTTATTTACATTCCTTGGTGCAGCTTCCCGAGCTTATAGTCTGCATTTTCAAAATGCATTGCAAGCGCTCAGCAGGAGAGAGGGTGCATCAAGTACTTCTTGTACACTTGGTCCCAGTGTTATTGTGTTCCACGAGACTCGACATACTCGGCCATTAATAAACAGTAATCATTTTTATTCGATTTTTTTTCATTTATGTGTCAATGATAACCAGATGTTTTTTACAACTTAATTTGAACAGTGAGATATTAACAAACCAATGTAAATGTTTATCTTTTATAATTAAACTTAAATTCAATAATAGTTTATATTTAATTATGTTTTTAATTTGGCTAATTATACATTTTTTTTAATTCAAAAATTGTAAAAACCAATCTAGTTAAAAAATTTTATGAAACAATCATTAATACATTACATAAATCTTAATTTTAGACACATCAGAAAGTGCTGAAGACATTCTACGAAATCGTTTTACCCAAATGAGGCTAGAAATTGATGCATTCAGCTCGATAAAATATGTAGGAGTCCAAACTTCAAGCCCACCGACCAATTACATTCCTCTTCGTATTGCCATTCAAAATGAATTGGATAATACAACTGTTAGATCCGCTAGAAAACCTCATCACGTTTATGATACACTTAAAACTCTAAATGACAAATTTTCTGGTGAAATAGAAAGCGATTCTAATGTTTTATTTTCCGATCAGTATTTTACTTGTCCTGTCAAGTGTAGAAGTTGTGACAGTAGATGTCGAAATAGCATGGGTCATCTGCGGGAAGGTATTCCTCATCATACTGATTCCAGGTAAATAAATTTCATGTAAATATTTAAATTAGAAATTTATCATTATTTTTAATTTAATAGATGCCGATATCAACATCAGTATGAAAATCTCGTTTATATTTGCAAAAAATGCCATGCAAATGGTAGTGAAACGATTGTTTCAAGCCGAACATTACCTCAAAATGATAACAGTTGGTACGGACTTGCTAAATATGCATGGTCTGGATATGTCATCGAGTGTCCAAGATGTGGAGAAATTTATAGAAGTCGACAGTATTGGTATGGAAATAAGAGTCCTGAAGATGCTGCTGTTCGAACAGAGATTACTCATGTTTGGAATATTGTAAATATACGTTATCAATTTATTTATTATTTTCCATTTCCGATAAAAATTTTTTTATCCATTAATTCTGAATCTACATTTAATAAACTTAAGAAATTAATACGAAAATTTTATTGAACATTCAACTACTTGTGAAATATTCATAACGTTAAATAATATGTTTTTTAGCCGAATACCGGGCTATCGAACCAAAACGCTGCACAGAAAATCATTGACGGAGTGTCCTATATAACAGAAGCTGTAGCAAATGTATCTATCCAACCGACAAAGGCTATAACTGCTTGGGTAGCTGATCAAGTAGCGCCCACTTATTGGCGTCCCAATAATGAAATTAAGCATTGTCATCAATGCAAGAAATTATTTGATATTAGTGATACAAAACACCACTGCCGTGCCTGTGGAGAAGGCTTCTGTGCTAAATGCTCTTCAAATACTAAACCTGTACCTTCTAGAAATTGGTTTACTCCGGTTAGAGTCTGTGATGATTGTTATGATAAAGATCCTAATTCTAATGAAGTAATGATAAATCCTTCTGAAGATGTTAGCGTTCGAAAAGTTAGTGAGCAGGTTGTTTCAACGTTAAGTGCTGTTGGAACTGTTCTAACATATTCTAAATGTAAGACTTTTTTTAAATTATCAGTTGTTATTTAAAAAAAAAAAACGTTATTTACTTATTAGCGATTTTTATTTTGCAGCTTTAATCAAGGATTCTGTCAGACCATCATATTGGGTACCTGATTCAGAACTAATTAATTGTTGTGTTTGCAAAAAAAAATTTTCAGATACTTTGCCTTTTCATCATTGTAGAAATTGCGGACGTGGAGTTTGTCAGGGATGCTCAGAGCATCGAAAACCGGTACCAAAACGAGGTTGGGAGAACTCCGTTCGTGTTTGTGATTCCTGCGTGAAACTTGATTAAATAAAATTAATTAATCTACAGTTCTATTATTAACTTATTCAAATTAAGGAAAAGAATGTTTCTAAAAAGTATAAGTCAATTTTCATCGTTTTTGTGAAAATAAGAATTTTATAGAAATATCGTAATTAGAATAATTGATTGTAAAAAAATTTTTTTTTTTTTGGAAACAGAGTTTCATTAGCTCAAAACTAAAATTAATTGAAAAAATGGGCAGTGCCATAATCAGGATTTATTTTTATATAAAATCACCTAGGAACAATAAAAAAACCCTTTTCGAATGTTTCTATTGGTTTTTTGTTAAAAATAACTCAATATGCAGTATATATATATTCTATATTCTATAATTATTAATAATAAGGGAATAATAAATTGACGTAATAATCTCCTTACTACAGTAAAGACTCTTTATTCTTTTATAAATAAATACGATCAAGAAAACACTCGGCTGTGAATTAACTATCGAATGCGCATTTTCAATAAAACTGAATGTAATTTCATTAAATAAACACAAACATAGGCATAAACAAAATAAAAATAAATTCAAGTTACATTCCGTTCTCTATATATTTTATTTGTTGCGCTTTGATTTATAAATTTCAATAAAAGTATAATATAATTAATTGTTTTTTATTACAATACTCCTTTCCTTACAAAATAGCCTTGAATTTTTTTGAGTGGTTTTTTCATAAAACTTATTATTCAAAATCTTTGATAAGATATTGCTAAATAATTTTATATTTCAATGACATTTTCCGATTTGTTAATAAGTTCAAATTAAAATATTTCGCGCTTTTGCTACACTAGATTATCAACGCATGCGTAATATAATGGACGACACTGTACACTTTGTAAACGCAGACTATTGTGACGTTACTAAATTTCTATGACGTCGCAACATGGAGTACCGATCAGCTGGGTGTTGTGTAGTGTGTGCCTGCAATGCTCTTCACTGTAAAATTTGTTAAGGACATCTTCTGTCGTCGTGAACATGTAAGTGTATTGTTGTTAAAAGTTACTAAAAAAAATAGGTGATGTGACGTGCTCGTGTTTTTCAAATAATTATAATAATTAACAAAAATTTAAATATCAACAGAAATAAACGTGGAAACACATAACTCTAGTTCATGTGCTCCATGGCCCACTTGGGCTTTTATCGCTTTTCTTCTATCTCTCCAGATATTTTTTTCCATTAATAAATTTTTTTTTCAATACTCCATCCCATGATCTACTAATAAATCATAGACAGAAGTAAAACTATTACTTGTGACGTGATAAAGTGGGCCAAGAAAATTAAGTAAATATGGTTAGGAGTCGTATTCAATTCGACTGTAAAAGAAAATTGAAATTCTAGAATGTCGTGATATAAATTAACAAAAAATTGTCATTTAATATAGATATTTTAATTCTTTAACATGCGGTTCGCGTCCTCGTAGCCGTGTGCAAGTGATGCCGTCGTAGCCATTTTCATGGTTGCTCGAGTTTCGTAATCATTATCAACTCCATATTTGAATTCAACAAGTAACGCAGTCTCGTTTATTAAAAATGTTTTTAAGCCTATAAAAATTTATTAACAATATAAAATTTATGGTATACTAAAACATCTAATTTCAAATTTTTTAATTATTCTAGTTCGATTCAAAATTATTTAAAAATATTCACAAAAATCTGGTTTATCATTCTAGACTTCAAGTGTGTTTAATAAACATTCAATCACGTGACTAGTATCTTTTCCTACAAGTGCTGTGCATCGTCCACTAACTAATTCTTTACACTAATTAATATAACATTATCGTGGTTATTTTGTAAATCATTTTTGTAATTTAAAGTACTTAAAAAATTACGACGCCATCTTTTTTTTAATAAAATGATCTAGTTTTTTCATAAAAAAATAAAGCATAACCTAACTCTTTAGAATTCACTGAAAAAAGAATATAAAAATATTTTAATCTTGAAAATTTGTTCCTATCATTATAATTATTAGTAAGAATTTATATCACAGCATTACAACTGTTCTAAATTTTTATCCACCATTTTGTCGCCTCATTAGATGATAAACAAATGACGCAATTGGTGCGCCGGGTTTGAGACTATCGTTCATAAGTTACTACGTCGACATGTGAATAATTAGGCAATTTTTTATTTCAATAATTATCATACCATAACTACTCATAAGATTTATGTAAAATCATTAAAAACGTTGTTATCTGTTGCTAAGACATTGATAAAACAATCAAGTAATAGCACTTTGAAAGAGTCTGAGTTGGGGGTGTTGCTAAGGCACCACGGAGCCAATTGATGGTTGCTTGGCAACAGCATCTTACTAGCTTTTATGGCCGCCGTGGCGAGCGTAGCTATCGATGACGCTCTCTTTTGATTGGTGTCTTCTTCAACGGCGATGCATTTTTTCCTTACACGAGTGGAGATAATAATTGCGCCAATTTAAGTCGACATCAGTTCAAAAAGAATTGTGTAAAATGACAAATTCCCTACTGTTCATGAATAATTGAAGAAGAGACTAATTACAACTTGATAACTAATTTTTCGGTGAGAAGTTGAGAACTTTCGTACCTACTACAGGGGTAAAATTTAGGGTAAGACCTTCGGAGACACAATTTTATAGAATACTAGATAGTGATAAGTACGGTTTCCATGACAACACTTTGACACGCATACGGCTTTTCCTAGAGAACGCAAGGGAGAAAAACGATGGAACAGATAGAAGAAATCAACAGTAGTTCTCGCATCGTTACACAGTGTCTTACTATTGCTATTTCTGACGACGCGGCTACAACGACGATTTTTTTCTCATGGACGCATCGTGGCTTATATTTAGACAAGAACTTAACTGAAATTAGACGTTTGTGTGAAGAAAAAGAGGAGAAACGCGTGCCGATGAAATCTGAGGTGGCAACTTCCTTCTTTCCATTTTCTTCATCATTCCCATTACAATTGTTTTTTTTTTCTTTTTAAAAATATCATGTGGATTTTATTTTTAATTTTATCACTTTACTATTTTTAGTTTAATCAATAATTAATTGATGTGTAATTTTTACTTTCAGTGATTGAAAATTTTAACTAAGAGAGTAATTATCAAAGAAATATCCAAAATTGCATCATAATAATGGCACCAGACAGGCCCGATGCATCGGGTGTAGAAACTGCGTGTGGTTTAACCGTTACACGTGCCTACAGTATCGATGACACCGTACTAACGCTTAAAGAAGCAGATAACGCTAGCACGTTTTCTGACAAGACCAATACTGGCGCGATCGACGTCGCTGTCCCAGATGCAGTCAACAGTCCACCGGTTGCCAAAAGTCCAAGTGAATTCGCGAGTACAATAACAACGAAACAAAATCAATCTGATGATGACCTTACTAACCTTGCATGGTTACATCAACAAAATCTCCTTAAAGGACTTGAAATTTCTAGTCCTACCAAAAGCATTAAAGAAGAAAATATAATTAATAATAACAACAATAATAATAATAATAATATTTGTGATGATAGTACAGAACTATCTGAGAACACCAATTCTATTTCCAGTTTAGATGATAACTATTTTTCAGGTAAATTTATAGAAATTTTGTAATTACATTGCTAATAATATTCCTATTGTTTATATTTCATATTATTTTTCAGAGAGTAATGGAAAAATTGGATCCGTGGTATCAGGGAAAACATGTCAAGGTTATCAAAGTCCCGGTAAAAATTATGAAAAATCTAGTGGATTCTTTCAGGACTCGGGAAAAATTGCATACATTACAACACAACAAAGTAATCAAGTGAAGATATCATTGAACAACAATAATCTACCAGTTTCAAATCGTAACAAACATCCTACGCATATACCTTACGATCCTCATTTGCATAGAAATACCAAACCTCCGTACTCATTTTCCTGTTTGATCTTCATGGCCATTGAGGATAGTCCAATGAAAGCTCTACCAGTGAAGGAAGTCTACGCTTGGATTTTGGATCACTTTCCTTACTTTAGGAATGCACCAACCGGTTGGAAAAATTCCGTCAGGCATAATCTTAGCTTAAACAAGTGTTTTAGAAAAGTTGAAAAAGCTCCGGTAATTAAACAACTTCACTTTACTTTGATTATATTTATGAAATTTAATCAAATATTTATTAACATTATCATTTTCAGAATTTGGGAAAAGGTTCTCTTTGGATGGTAGATGATCAATATCGTCCAAATCTTATGCAAGCGTTATCGCGAGCACCTTTTCCTCCTCCTACTGGTCAAAATCTTTCTTCTCCTGAAAAAATACCTAAGAAAAATACCAATACGCGACTTCCTGATCCTGTTTTATTTCCTTATTTATCTAAAAGACTTGCTTCAAGTAACATAACTGAAAGTCCCGAACAAGAGTTTGATAGTGATGTTGACGCTGCTGCAGCCGCTATGCTTTCCTTTAAACACGGACCTATTATTCTTAATCATAACAAAGGTATATCAAATTAAATATTTCATGTACCATGTCAATCACTTAATTATTACTAAACAATTATTATTTAACTTTAGATCGAAAACGAAAATGTAACATAGAACAAGAAAAATTGGTCCCAGTAATAACACGGAGTTCTAGTGAGGATCATACATATAGTTGTATAACATCAATAAAAACTGAAGGGTATGATTTTTAATAATAAAATAATGAATATAATCTTTAAATAATAATTATGAAATTTTAATAAACTTATTTACAGTAGATCATCAAGCTTAACTCCTGATGATACCAGTACAGATGCAGACGAACGACGTAAAATAGCTGAAGGGGCTGATGCTTTGCTCAACCTTGCAGACGTTGCTCTTAGTCACAATAGCACGTCTTGTACACATTACACCGAGGATATTAAACCAAATATCAATGAGTTATCTACAATAAATCACTTGCCAAAATTACCAACTGTGCAAGGAACCCAATCAAAATCTAAGCGACGTACTACCCCAAGCGATTACGCAAGTCTGCCTGATAAACGACGTAAACGTTGGCGAGAATGGAGCGAGAGTAACAGGTATCTCAAACAAATTAGGGGTTAATAACGAATGTTCGTCTGTCCTTTTTATAATTAATTGCAGTAATTAATAATCAGCCATAAACCAACATAAAAAAGTGGCCAAAGTTATATTTTCAAAAAAAAAAAAAAAACAAGTGAAAAAAAACGAAAATAAACTATAAAAGCAACTATAACAACGGAAAAATTAGAAACAAAGTAAATAAAAGTGATATTTTATTTAAAAAAGGAGATTAGTGATGAGAATCATTGTTAAAAAAAAATATTTTTGAACATCTTTAAAACAAAAGATTCAATTATTGTATGAATCAAATATAATAAGCTAAATTTTGTATAAATACTAGACAATAACTTAATTATTTATATTGAAATTTGAAGACGTTTGCCGTACAATAATTAATATTCAAAGTAAAAATAAAATAATTTTGTCAAATTGTAGATAAATTATATTTGTATATAGATAGTAACAACTTTGAAATAATTTTTTTGCGTGCGGTAAATGTCTTGTACTATATTGGCTTTATTAAATTATTTTTTAAATGTGAGTAGTTTAAAGTACAAACCGTTACTCAAAAAATTTTAGATAAAAAATATAATTTAAAAAAAAAACAAAATGTTAAAAAAGCTTGATCTTCTATACAAAGAGCGGATTATTATTTGAATCATAGTAATCGAATCTTTTTTATAAAAAGACACGAAAATGGAAATGGAAACGATCGTACTGAATTACAAGCAATAATAATAAAAGATTAATAACAATTATCAATTCTTAATTAGTGAATAAAAAAAGTGACCGTGAACCGATCAAAAGTTGAACTGAAAGAGAGTTAATTCGTAAATAGTACGCAGAACTACAAAATTTTTAGTAATGTTAAGAAGAAATTATACATATTAATTAATAGAGAGTTTAATTAATGGAAATAGAGTTCTATATTAGTTTTCTTCTGTAGATATGTATAGATAGATATATTATATATAAACACAATTGATTCGAATAGAGAGATGAAATTAATATATTTAACGATGATAATAATAAAGAAATCTAACTAAAGTAAAATAACATAGATAAATATAAAATTCATTAACTGTATTTTATTTGTACATAATAAATACAGTTAAGTAATACAGTTAATATAGATTCAAATAATAATTAAGAAAAAGTGAATATAAAAGAAAAAAAATTGAAATTATCATCAAATATGAAAATGAATACATACAAAAACAAATGCAATGAATAATCGATAATTTTTTGCCTTTTTCTACTCTATTCGTTTAGTATAGCTTTTGAAAATAATTGTGAGCTGCGTTGCACTTTGTAATAAAAGTAGTTTTCATCTCAGTGAGCTCTCGCTCCTCTCATTGCCGGTTTCTGAATTCGTTCCGGCACATTTGTCACTTACCTTTTATGTTTCAAACTTATTCATAGTGATTGTAACATAACACGAAAAAAAATAAACAAATCAAAGAGAAATATTATCTAAATACAATGAAGAAAAGAAAAAGAGGAAAAAAATTAAGATAGAAGCCGGTAGAAGAGAAGAGTGTAGCCAGAAATTTTTAGCGACGTACTTCACGCATCGTAATTCTATATATACTGTACAGAAAAATGATGAAGCAAAAGAGTGAAAAGAGAGAAAGAAAGTAGAAGAGAGCGAGAGCGAGAGAGAGAGAAAGAGAGAGAATAAGTGCGATAGCAAGAAAAAAATGGTATATTTTTACAGGGCTTTGCCCGTGTGATATGAAAAAGCTCTTCCTAACTAGTTCGCTGATGTACAGTTAATTAAATTAAAACAAGAAAGAAAGATGATATTGTTTAAGTTTTATTAAAAATGATTGAATAATTGCACCAAGTTAAATATCAAACACATCACAGATTCTAACAGATTCTGTTATTTATTTTTTAAAATTACATATTAATTTACAAGCATAATTTTATTTTTATTGATATTAAAATTTATTCAGGTATTTTATTTAAATTGGATATAAACCAAAATAGATAAATTGTTGATTTTTATCACTATTATTATTAATATTATTATTAGCTATAACATAATATTAGTTTTTATTATAAATATCATTATGATACATTTTTTTAAAGTTTTATTGACGAAGCATTCTTTAACTGTTTTTTCTTTTGCTATTGTAAAACTTTTGTTTGATTATCATCATGGGGATTTATTTATAAATTAATCAATAAATTAAGCGATTTATTATCAATTAATAATAAAACTAATTAAAAAAAAGAGTAGATCTCAGTGATACAGCGAATTATGTATTCACAGGTAAAAATATATTTTCCAAGACATGACTGTTACAATGACGCATAAAAATTGACAATTCATTAATTTATTTTAATTTTTTTATATTCGCTGCAACTGATGATCTATTCTTCCATGTAGCTTATTCTAAACTATTTGAGTAGAAAGTTTTACCATTCGTATCTCAAACGCGTATGGTAAGCTATTTATTATAAAAAGAAATATTCAAATATAGGCAGCAGTAGTAAAACTTATAAGTAAATTGTCAGCAGTCAACATTGATAAAACAAAAAGGAGATAACACAAAACATCAATTATTAATAAAAATAACATAATACATAAATGCAAATACTAAACCACAAACTAATAAGCAATATACCTGATATCGAATGAAATACTCTAGTCGGCCCAGTCTAGATACTTTATGAGCAATTCATACGCGTTGTAAATTGAAAACTTTAACATGCGATCAAGATTCAAGAGATGTGAAAAAAATGCGAAAAGAATACTTATATATGAAGAAAAATGTATATAAGAAAATGTGAAAGAGAATGATAAACTAAGTGATACACCTAGCCACGGACAATCAAAATGCCACATCGTGTTTCATTTGTTTCAGTTGCATGACATTGTGCCAAATCAATACAAAAATAATGAAAATTTTCGGAACGAAATAATAATATCAGTTAATTAATTTTTATTACTAAATATTTATAGTGTATACGTGTTATATATAATTTATAAATACATATATATTATATGTATATAATATATATGTACATTGTGAAAATCCTAATTTTGTTGGCGTACTTTATTATTATTCTTATAATTACTATCAATATACAAATTATGTTATTCATTTAAAAAAACAAATCACAATGTAAAATGTTTGTTAAGTTTTTGGCCTTGCTTATATACATTTGAGTGTAATAATTTTAGCCTGTAATTACAGATGAAACTTTATCTAAACTATACTTGAATTATTCATAAATTTGTTATTATTATTATTATCATTAATAACTCATTTTTATAATTATCTTCCTATTTATTTATTATTAACGAAAATTTATTTGATTAATGTTATGATTGTTAAAATTATACATATTTTATGTATGATTATTTTTTAATAATTCTTTTTATACACATTTATTAGTGTAGCGATAAGTTTTCATTCAAAATTCGTATTCTGGCGCCTGCATTCATCTTTCCCTTCCTAATAAAAAAATTGAAAGTCATACATTAGCACCACGTGCGAAAAATTTCGCATTAATTCGCCAATGTCTTTCTCATACCTTCTGAGCAATGACTGACTGTAGAGGAATTTCTTCTTGAATAGTTCCAATCGCAAATTTTTTAAGCCTAAGCTGTATTTAAAAAAGTCTACTTGGAAAATACAATTTCTAAGTGTAATTTTATTATTATGCTTTGTCATCAGATGAAGATGTTCTGTTTTGTTCACATAGCCAACATATTAATTTTTACCATGTTGTCGCCAAAAATGAACTTTTTTCGTAACTTTCAGGATAGAAAAAAAATTAAATTTTATTATCTAAAATTAGATTTTTTTTAAATAGAGTCTAGACTCAAAAAAATTGGAGATGAGAAACTTGATTTAAGTGAAATAATTTCTCCACAGTCGGTAATAACTCCGAAGGTATGGGAAAAGCACTAGTGAAGCTGAGAAATATACAATATGCAACATAATGTCAAATGTTCTATGGCCGTGAGAAATATTTTATAGGTAAAGTGAGAATGTCGTATGGCCATAGATGAGTCGTGTGTGTGCGCAAGAGATCCATTGATTATCAGTCAGAGATAACAAGATGCACTACCTCTCAGATCATCGTCTGTTTATCATCTTAAGAGAAAGAAATTGTGAGTAGTTAAACCGAGCTAAAGTATTAGAACCACGAAGACGATAAGAAAAAAAAGAAGTTAAAGAGAATCAACGAGTAATGGGAAGATGGTGAAGGAGTACTACGGTCACTGGCATGGGTTCGCAATCGCTGGAAGTATTGAGACAAGGCGTTTGGGCGAGCTTGACAGGAGGCTGGTTTTACGATCCACATCTCGATATATTTTCCAATACATTTCATTTATATGTGTGGCTCTTTTTACTATGTTTGCCCTTCACAATTTATCTGGTAAGTCATTCTCATTAATATGCCATTCTCTCTTTAGTAATTAACATTCTCTTGATAATTAATCGACCTAGAAAATTACTGTTTCTACTCTGAAATTAATTTTTTGATTTTTTCTTATAGTTCTTTCCTCCAACGTTTTACGTTTGGTTGGCATACTGCGCATCTATAGTGACGCTATTTGGCACAATAAAATGTGTGAATCATGCGCTTCATTGTGTTTACGATACCAGCGAATATTTGGAAGAACCAGGCCCATGTGTAAGTCAAAAGAAATCAGAAAGCGAGAAGAAACGTGCGTCTCGTAGTAAATGTCATGAGCGGTGTTTAGATCAAGCAGATCTTGGCATTGAATTACAAGTATTAAATGGTAAACAAATAATTATTCAACAATTCTTTATACAGTTTAATAGTGCTTCTTATTCATATGTTTATCTGTTTACTTTTTTAGGAAAAACTGATACACCACCCGTAGAATGTTCCTCAAGAAATTCATACATCGAACCAAGTGCAGATGCTGATAGCATAACTTCAGAATATAATCGTGATAAACTGAGTTCAACGATAGATTTAAAAGTTGAAATTCATCGAAAAAATAGTTCCGAAAGTTCTGAAGAAGCACAGCAATTAAATAAACAAACAGCAACAGCTATAAACGTACATGAAGCTGAATTAGCTACAGCTCAAGAGCATGAACCAAGACTGAAAATTAAAATTGACGGTAGTACAATAAATAAGCATTAATCACGATAAAAATAATAAATATAACATTCATATGTACTTAATTGTAGATTGGCGATTAACACATCAAACTTGTAGACTTAAAATAAAAGATCGTCCTGGAGCACGAAAACTTTGTAGACATGCATCAGAAGATTCTCAGAGTCGTCATGCAAATCAAGGAACATTAGGAAAGACAGGCTCTGAAAGTCGTATTAAACAAACAAGTTCTTTAGAACTAGAACAGCATGGTGAGGATTTTCCATATTGGAAATCCAATCAAAGTGTTCGGAGACTCGCTTCCAATTCTACACCAATGGAAACTCATCTGAATACAGATCATCCGCAAAGTTTAGAAACTATCTCAAAGAAAAAAGATTTGGATAAAATTAAAATGCCATCACATCCTCAATCATTAGAAGTGAAGAACTTGATATTAAATGTTTTCTTTTATCATATTAATCAAAAAATATTTATTTATAATAAATATTTTCTAGGTTATTGCCAAAAAACTCCATCAACAATTGGTGCATCCTCAAAGTTTAGAGACGATCGGTGCAGCTGGTAAAAATACTGGATCTTCAGATGACAATAATTTACCACTTCATCCGCAAAGTTTAGAAACGATCAATACAAAAAAGGTGGATACTATAATTAACTAATATATTAAATATTTATATAAGTCATTGGTAGCATATATTTTATTATTTTCTAGATTTTACCACAAAATACATTAAAGCGTAATCAACTAATATTATTACCTTATCTAAGCTATGGATCTGAGATAGTTCATCCAATAGCTGAACAAAGTGACGAGCAATTTGCTAATGAAAGTGCAGGTGGATATTGTCATCGTGATTCATATAATCCCTTGTTAACAAGAAAAACTGTAGGCGACTCTAGTACCTGTTCTAATCGTGATCGAAGTTTAAGTGCTGGAGGTTTTGATAATAGATTTTCTAGGTAAAGTAATCATCATAAATAAATAAATAAAGTAATTTTAGCAATAATCTTCCAACAGTAATTCACTCTTTCATTTGGTGTAGATTCAATGGGGATGTAGTAGCCATAGACAATGATTCAGCTAATTCTCGAGAAGCACTTTTAGAGGAAGGAATGTCAACATTCAAAAGACGATTTAGCAATGCAAGTGCCAGTAGCCATGAACTTTCTGATAATGAAAGACGAAAAGAAGCACCAGAAAATGGTAAAAAAGCTGACGATCCATTAAATACTGGTAGTATTGTTGGAATTGATTGGTTGTTTGAAAATGGAGATTGTCCTGCTGAATCTTGGACAAACAAAAGTAAGTAAACAGTAATCTTTAATTTAAAATAATTATGGACAGTGAAAAATCCGAAATTAATTTTTTTTATGATGACAAAGAAAAGTAATATCAAAAGTCCCGTGACCGCGGGAACTGAATAGCTAATCGTTAGTTTAGTAAAATCTATGTACCATATTTTATCGATTCATGCTGCCAGTTTTTTGGACATTCGCTTGTTCTGATGATACGGATACGTCAGAGAGTCTACAAACGACTAGTACTGATTGTAAGTTATTTTTGACAATAGCGAGTCCCGGTCCAATTTGGTAGCAAGTCCTAATTAAATTAGGATCAACTGGAATATAAGAATAGAAAAAAAAATTATGTATAATCGAACACTTGAATAATTTTCGTATATTTTTTTACAGATTATCACTCAAAAGAGCCGGATTCCGAGTCTTCAAGTACAACAACATTAAGTATTGATAATGAAATAAGAAAAACTCTTCTCCCAAGTTCGAATGCAACAGACAACAAACGTCATCAAGGTGCAATTCCAAAGCAAAACCGTCCAAAAGCATGTACAGATGTATTAAACAATGTCAACTGTTTGTCTGAAGCTACTACAAGTAAATCACGAAAAACACTGGAATCTCGTAGAGATCGTGATAGAAAACAATTAAATGAATGTAACCAATTTGAACAAACTAGCTCAAACAACGAATTAAGTACACTTCTTGCTAATCAAGCACCTCCTTCACTCCCTATTTTGTTAAAATCTGATGCTCGAACTAGTGGATCAATTGTTCCTAATTCTACTGGAACTGTCAGGCTTACTGCACCTAATATTTCAAAGGGAAATCATCCACCAAGAAAATTAAAACGTCAACGAGTATGTAGAAGAACTAGACGTGATGAAAATTTAGAAGTTTTAACAGCACTTGAAGGATTGATATCAAATGGAGACTATCATCTAGCTACAAATCATAATGATACAAGTGAAGGTGCAATTCATTACTTTCGTGATGATAATGGAAGATGGCTTACCTACACATTTGATGAAAAGAGTTCAGGAGTAGCAACAACAGCATCAATTCTACCTAGTTCAAATGATAAATTCTTGAATTCCTTATTACTACATCAACGCAGTCAAAATGGTCTTCTCGATCCACATTGTTTGGGCGATTCTCTTAGCAATAGTTACAGCAGTCTCTCTTTGAATTCTGCGGGGTTAACATTAATCATTGATACTCCTCCAGTATTATCTAGTCCTGCTGCAAATAATCAAACAAAAACTCAAAATTCTTTACCAGCAAATATGGTTTCAACCAACATTAGAACCTCCAATGTATTTGATCCAGGTATGCTTTTTGAAAGAGATTTTTTCTTTCGAATGAGAACTACTCGTAACTGTCGAATTCATCATTTACTTGAAAATATTAATGTTAATTCTCAACCAGCAGAGAATCAGAACCAAATGTCGGTTCTGCCACTACCGAATCACCAAGAATCCGATATGAACAACAGTTTATCATGGAACAGATTCATCGACGGATTGGATGGCTCAAATGATTCTAAATCTAAACCTACGAGACATTATTACAAATGGAAAATTGGAAAGCTTCCTCATATAAAAGTTCGATTTGATCGGCTTTCATTACTTGCTCTGTTAGATAGAAATTTAACTATCATAGAGACGATAATATCAACATTTTTAGCAGTAGCAGTAGCTGGTCTGGGCCTCTTATTACTGCAACAAGGATTTTATCGTGATATTTTTGCTTTTCTCTTCTGTTTTGTTACGGCTGGATGTCAGTACTCACTATTAAAATCAGTTCAACCTGATGCAGCATCACCAACACATGGATTCAACCGAATTATTGTCTTTTCTCGACCAGTTTATTTCATTATCGTCTCAAGTATCATCCTTATTCTCAATGAATCTTTGCACAACTTTAAGAATTCAGATTTTCGAGTCTACGGTCTACGAGTGGCTGACTATGACACAATAAGTCAAGTGAGAAATGTGTTGTTAATATTTTTACTAATGTTTCCCATTATTTTTTCTCTTGGACTTTTTCCCCAGATTAATACGTTTCTTATGTATATCTGTGAACACTTGGATATTCATATATTTGGAGGAACAGCAACAACATCATTAGTTTCATCGATTTATAGTTTATCGAGAAGTGTTATAACTGTAGCAATTCTCTACGGTTTTGCTTACGGAGCTTTAACAGAACCAAAATCTTCCCAACACATACTTTTTTCTATATTCGCTGGATTACTTGTATCTATTTCTTATCACTTGAGTAGATCCTCATCAGATCCTTCAGTTATTTGGGACATTGTAAAGACAAATTTGTGGCCACCAGAAATGTACCTTGAAGAAATGGAGGCAAAAGTTATCGAGAATACATCAAGACAAGATACATCAACAACGATCTACAAAGATACTAAAGTAAAACCATCCGGACGAAAAAAAGATGTTAAAATAAAAATTGGAGAACAAATTTCTGATGCAGAATTAGTGGATCCACTACCACAAAAATTGAGATCAACTGTCAAAGCTAGATTAAAAAATGATTTAATAGTTTGTATTGTTATTGGTGTTCTATCATTTACTATTCATTGTTCGACAGTTTTCACGACTCTTCAACCAGAATTAAATCCTGTATTATGGGGAATCGTCAGCTGTTTAGGATTTCTATTGCATTATATTGTGCCGCAACTAAGAAAACAACTTCCGTGGTTATGTCTAGCAAGACCAGTGTTAAGGAGTCATGAACATGCTCAATTCGAAGTTCGTGAGCCTGTAAAAATTATGTGGTATGAAAAAGTTTATGTTTGTTTATGTTTTATAGAAAGGAACATACTTTACCCACTTGTCTTCCTCGGCGCTCTAACTGAGTGTTCATCGAAAATCGTTGAAAAATTCGGTGAAAGTGTCGGTGCATTAATAATTGTTATTTGTGGACTAAAATCATTACGATCTGCTTATGCAGATCCATCATCTCGTTATTTAGTGTTAGTGTTTTCAGTACTATTTTTTAGAATTGACTATAAAAATTTAAGTGAAACGTTTCTCGTTGATTATTTTATAGCTGGAATTATTTTTGCAAAAGTCTATGAACTTTTGTTAAAAATTCGTTTCATAGTAACGTATATAGCTCCATGGCAAGTAACATGGGGAAGTGCATTTCATGCATTTGCACAACCATTTTCAGTTCCTCATTCAGCAATGCTTTTTCTTCAAGCTACGATCTCAGCAATTCTCAGTACTCCACTTAACCCATTGCTTGGAAGTGCGATATTCATTTGCTCATACGTGAGACCAATTAAATTTTGGGAGCGTGACTACAAAACTCGTAGAGTTGATAATTCAAACACAAGAATGTCATCACATTTAGAACGAAATCTTGGAGCTGATGATAATAATCTAAATTCAATTTTTTACGAACAATTAACTCGATCTCTTCAGCACAGTCTTTATGGAGATTTAGCTCTTGGACGATGGGGTAACGTAGAACAAGGAGACTGTTTTCTTCTAGCTTCAGACTATCTTAATTGTCTTGTTCACGTTGTTCAACTTGCTAACGGATTAGTAACTTTTCAATTACGTGGTCTAGAGTTCAAAGGAACATATTGTCAACAAAGAGAAGTAGAAGCAATTACAGAAAACATTGAAGAAAACGATAATTGTTGTTGCTGTGAAATGGGTCATTTCTCCAATGTCTTAAGTATGAATGCAGCCTTTGGACAACGATGGTTAGCTTGGGAAGTAGCCAGTGCTAAATATGTTCTTGAAGGATATTCGATATCCGACAATTCTGCTGGATCTATGTTACAGGTTTTTGATTTTCGTAAAGTTCTTCTCACTTATTATGTAAAAAGTATAGTTTTTTATGTAATTAAATCACCGAAATTAAAACAATGGTTAGACAATACAGACATTACTGATGCTCTAAAGCCAACACTTGAGAAAAACTTTGTTGATTTAGATCCCGTCTTTAATATGAACGTCGATGAAGATTTTGATTTTCGTGCCAGTGGTATATCAAGAAGTAGTTTTTGCAATGTATACCTTGATTGGATTCAATTTTGTGCTGTGAAAGTTGATAAAACTCTTGAAAGAACTCGTGACTCTCCTCTTGTGTCTTTATGTCTTGCATTGAGTCTTTTAGGGAGACGAGTCCTTGGAGCCGCGTCTCATACCACAGTTTCAAGTGTGGAATTTTTTCTTTATGGATTACATGCTCTATTTAAAGGAGACTTTAGAATTACATCAGTGCGTGATGAATGGGTGTTACATGATGTAGATTTACTTCGCAGTGTTGTTGCAAAAGGAGTAAGAATGGCGCTAAAACTTCATCAGGATCATTTTATGAGCCCAGAACAATATGAAGATGTTTCCGCTTTATTTGAAGCTATTGATAATCATGATCGACATCTTGTGATTAGTCATGAAGCAGATCCTTTGTGGAGAAATGCCATTTTAAATGGAGCAACAAGTTTATTAGCTTTGAGACATGTTGTAGATGAAGGTGTTAATGATTATAAAATAATTATGTTAAACAAACGTTTTTTAAGCTTTCGTGTAATAAAAATGAATCGAGAATGTGTCCGCGGACTATGGGCTGGACAACAACAAGAGTTAATCTACTTAAGAAATCGCAATGCGGAAAGAGGATCAATACAAAATGCAAAACAAGCCTTAAGAAATATTATTAATAGTTCTTGTGATCAACCTATTGGATACCCAATTTATGTTTCACCTCTTACTACTAGTTATGCTGAAAGTAATGAACAACTGTGTTCTATTATTGGAGGACCACTTAGTTTAAATACCATCAAAGATAATGTTCTTAAGTTGTGGAGAAAGTGAGAATTTTTATTATATTTATATTTTATTTTTAATTCTATCTTCACTGAGTATAAATATTTTTCTTCTTGCAGAGTTAGAAGACGATGTGGTCAGGGATGCTCTTCAGGAGGAACTGGATCTCAAGATGATGGGGGTTTTGGTAATGATGGAGTTTATGCTATGACTACTTACAATATTCATTCAGGTAAATATTAAAAACAGGGCTTTTTTTTATAAGATCGACATTATTTTCCAAGTTTATGTCATTATTTTTAAAATTTAATTAATTATGCAGGATACAGCCAATCAGGTCATAACACCTCTGGGTCTCAATCTATGGATTCTGGATGTCAAATTGGAGGATCAGCAGGTCGTGGGTCATTAGGAAGAGCTAATACTGGCTCTTTAGGAGGTAATAGAGGTTCTTTGGCGTCAGTTGGTAAACCAACAAGTTCAACATTAGCAAGTCTTGCTGGGTTACTGAGTAATAATGACATCAAAACAGAATCTAAATGTGAAACAAGTTTTTCTGGAAAAGTAGATAAAGAAGAAATATCTCAGCGTGTAAGAATAATGGATCCAAATCAAGTTTATGATGCCATTAATCTTGGAAGACGTATTGATGTTATTTGGCCCGATGAGAAGATGAGACAACAAGGTGGTAGAACTGGTTGGCAACATTGGGTGCCTGAAAGAGGAATGGAAGGCTGTGTTGTACATCGATGGTTCCCTAATCATCGTGATCCTAATCGTCGTTCTCATGTCGATAAAGTTATACTTCTTGTAAAAATTGATGATAAATATGTCCCGATAGCAGAGCAAGGTGTAAGAGACTTAGGTGCGGAAGTTTAGAATCATTTTTAAAGAGTGTATTGTTTATCTAATATTCTTTTTACCTTTGATGAGGTCATGTACAGAAAGTTTTGTGATGATTATTCGTGAAAAACGTTGTTAAAGTGCAACGTCTCAAGCGTTTTACGAGATTACAGCACATCGAAAGCTGTTCTCGATGTTATACCAAACATATTGTACTATATTGTGTATTATAATATTTATGTTATTAGAAATGAATGGAATTTCATATTGAGATTGTTACTAAACGATATAAAAACGTCTTTGTAAATAATTGAAATTTTTCTATCATCGTCATTATGTTTAAGGCGAAGAAAAGAAAAAAAAATATTTTTCTTAAGAAAATATGAAAATATGACGATCATAGGAATTATTGATTGAAAAAAAAGAATTAAAATCGAACGCGATTATCAATTTGTAAATAACGTTATTCGTGTTTTTCTACATTTTGTTACATTTTTTTTAAAAAGGACTATGCATTAAAAATAAGCTGTAAATAGCCAAATACTTATGTAAACAATTAAAGAGGTTAATATAGTATCTAAATTATATATGTTGATGGGAGCAATCGCTCAAGAAATAATTGACAAAACCTTCTAACGAAAGAAGGACATATCTATCATACCAGACGCTTATACATTAATTTCATTATAAGTTAAAATCATTATCATTATTATAGTAATCAAATACCAATTGAATTTTTATTAATGATTACAAATTACAATCATCATTGTGTTTTTATGGGGCCGAATCAAATCTAAATAATCCATTTATTAAAAATATTTTTGTTGGCTTTTTTATATCACTTTGACAATAGTTCAATTGCATTGTTATTTTTCTGTTTACTTAATTTTTAATTTACATATCCACTGATTATTATATAGATAATTGTAAGGGCCGTTTGTTCGTTATTTACGGCAATGATTATCCGTTTATTTATATATATAATCAGTGAATCACAATATTGCCTTATCATGGTGTTTTAAATAACACCTGACTGATGATAAAAACAAAAAAACTTAGCTAGTCTTTAAATTACTGGCAAGAACACTTTAAAAGCCAGTTTTAAGGTATTCTGAGACAAATTGTTGCTGCATTTTTTTAATTAACAGGGAGACACAGTCAAGTGGCCAAACAATCATGGTTACTCGGTCGGCCTATTCTCTCCTGTATGATTATGTATGTTTCTAAATAATACAAAATGAATAAAAATACTTATAGTGAATGTGACATAAATAAAAAGACTTAACTATTAAAAATTTGTGCAATCTGTTACTTATTTGTTACGAGAGCTTTTTAACAGTACATCGATAACAGTTTTTATTGGATACTACAAAATAACTTTTAAGAAATGAAATATTCTGTTACGATACTTGAACGCTTACGAATACATGAAGATTTTAAAAATATAGTCAAAAGTGTACAGGTGTAAATCAGAGAGTAGATTAACCAAATATGTAATAATATTGTAATATTATTTAATAATAAAATAAATTTTAGTACAATATAAAACAGGATTAGTTTGTAACTATGCATTATATTGTTGAATAATAATTGATCAATAACAACGAATTAATAATATGATGCGGCCCCTTTTTTTGTTCGAATGAATTAATATTTTTATTCAACTACAAGAATTTTGGCAGTCAGAAATATAATAATATTTATCTTTTTTTTCCAACTAACAAAGATAACGGTTTTCGATCTGAAATGGAATATAATATTTATCAAAGCAGTTGACTTTATTTCCATTAAAAATTCTCAATTTAATTATTTATTCAATTAGCTAATGCTGAATTTTGATATTAATAACTTTTATTTAATGAATTTCTATCGATTATTAATTCATTACAATCCTTATTCAAATGAACATTTTTTCTAGTTCTGAGAAAAATCAAACATTGTTTTAAATATTCTTTTGTAATTGTAGATAATTAATTGTACTAAAAAATTAATAATTTTGTTTCATTCTTTTATATTTTATTTTACAAATATAAATATACAGAAAACTCTAATCATAGCGTCTGAGAGAGGTTTTACATTAAATGAAATAACAAGAAATATTCGAGTGAAAATTAAAATTTTAGTCTCAATATATATTGGCATAAGTAATAAAAAAAAACACTCAGTCAATCTTCATGATAGTACAATAACTTAAGAAATTTACATTCATATAAAAATCATTGTTACTAAGTCATTGAGGCAACTTTTAAGAACTCTGATCTGTTGTATCAGATATCGTATTAGTCAATTTTTTTATTAAATTATCTATCATCGTGGCATCGACTAACCCAATAAATTTATCGACCACTAACCCATTGGAAACTGCAATAACAGCAGGTACAGCTTTAACTTCAAAGGTATGTACTAGTTCAGGGTTTCTTTCAACATCTATTATAGCAAGATTGAGATCGGACATAGGTCCAATGAGCTCTTCAAGCTTTGGCGTTAAAATTTTACAAGGATCACACCATTCCGCATGAAAATTCACTATTACTGGCAATTTGCTATTCATTACTTTAGTTATAAATTCATTATTGTCTGTTATTTCAAATTTTTTGTTATATCTACTTATTAGCGAAATATTTCGTGCAGATAATTTAAAAATATTACGAAAGTTATACAACATTTTAGCTAAATGTTTGTTAAATACAATAATTTCTAAATGGCAAGCCAACAATAGGCCTGAAAACTTTTTACAATAAAATAATATATTACTTAAAAATGATTAGTTTAGGAACTAATGGACCCAATTGACAATCTTTCGAGGTATTTGAGTTTCTATTAACTCGTACTTGACATATCCAAATACAGCAATGAGTGAAGAACCAGCTAGGATAATAAGAAGTATGACTCTCCAGATAAAGAGCTGATCGTACGGCTGGAATAATAACAAAAAATATTAAAATTATATTGATAAAAATATTTAATTTCTCAATATATTCTTACCTTTTCTTGATAAGGAGTTGGAAATTCAGAGCTTCTTGGTACACTTATTAATATTATAGTGATTATGGCAGCAACTAACACAGCAACAATACCAATTCTTCTATTGATTCTAAGCGACAATGTCAAAATTAAAGCTGCTGATAACCATAAAACCAGGATAACAAAGAGACCAACTCCAATTCCAAGTATAAGAGTTGTCATCACCTCAAACATTCAGTAAGCTTTACATGAGTTTACATAATCACTCGTTTTTATTACGAATAAAATATTTATAAAAATAGATTTGACATTTTCATTAATAATTTGTTATAATACCTTTCCACAATATCTAAAGTTCGGACTTTAGTAAAAGTTTCTATCAATTATTAATCTCATGAGAGTAAAAATTTGGAGATTAGGAAATTTTGTTTCGTCATGAATAAATATATATTTATAAAATTTATTCAAAATTATATTAATCAAAAAATGGTTGTTTTATGAATTCATAATTAACGATTAAATATGCTCAACAAACAAAATTGTTCGTTCACTTTTCTGATAATTAATATTACGAAAATAAAATTAAATAAAGAACTTAGAATATTTTATTTCTGCTTTAGTAAAAAAAATTTTTCACTTATCCAAAAAGATAAAATAAACCCTTTATGGGAGAAAAGATAAACGTCTCACGTCCCTCTGACCAGGGAATTATTATTATTATTATTGGATGACAACAGTCTTGGTGTATTCAACTAACAAGAAAGGAATGTTTATCATTTTCCTATGGTACAACTACTTTCGACACTAGCACTGCAGTCGGCTTACATATGACGATAGTTTTGTTTACTCCAATTTTGTGACAGATACTATATGTGTGTATGTACATGTTAAAAATTGTTATACATACATAACACGTAGTAATGTACATTATCTTTTTCAAAAGTACATTTAGAGAGAAGTCTTCTCTCTGGTACACGTAACTTTTACTGTAATTAAAAGCCCATTTGCCAACGTGTACGATAAGTTGGATTCAAAATTTTGATAAAACATTTAGAACAACCTTTTTTTGCGTCAATTTTCTATTTTAATAAAATTATATTTTAATATAAATTGAAAGCTACTTACCAAGATGACTGTAAAAATTAAAGTAAAGGATAAACTGGAAGATGATATTTTGGATTTAAGTTTTTGTGATTTGCGTGAAGTTCCAATTAAAGAAATTGTAATATTTACTGAAAATACGTTTTATAAATTATTATATGATCCTTAAATAATATTAATAATTATTTTACTGTAAATTTTAGGCACCAATTAAAAAAGCATCTCAGTTGGATTTGTCAAACAATCAATTAGTTTCATTACCGGTAAGTTCAAAATCATCGATGACAGCTTATTTTTGTTTATATTTTCTTTAAATATAAATAATGTAATTAATTGAAAGTAATAAATAATCGTTTACTCAATAAATGTTTTAGAATTCAATCATCACTCTAAGTCATATTGTAAAGCTCGTTCTCAGTAAAAATATGTTAACTGAAATACCAGAAAATATTGGAGAAATGCGTCAATTGAGACATTTAGATCTTTATAGTAATCAGGTATATTTATGTATACAATGAAATTATAAAATTTGATTCAATATAAATAATCTATTTTATATTTTATTATTTTGTTTATAGATTAGTAGGCTCCCATTAAGTATGGCTGAATTAAAAAATCTTAAATGGTTAGATCTCAAGGATAATCCTCTAACATCAGCTGTAGCAAGTGTTGCTGGACCTTGTAGTAATAGCAATGAGTGTAAAGCTTGTGCTCGTAATATTGTATCGTACTTAATACGTATAAAACAGTCAATTGAAGATGAAAAATTAAAACGAACTACCGTAAATAATACAAACGAAGGAGCAGTAAAAAAAGAAAGTAAAAAGAAAAAAAAGAAAAATCTTGATAAAGGAGATAGTGCAAAAAGTACGGATAAAGTATCCGAGGCATTAATTGCCGAAAAATTAGCAACTGTAGGGGCTTCTGATGAAAAAAAAAATGAGGTAAAAAACTATCTTAAAAATTCGGAACACTCAAATAATAGAAAAATATGTAGTCTACTTGGTAAAATTTTTTATTCAACAATTTTATCAATTTTAATTGCAATATTGTTCATACCATTAGCATTAATATTATTGCCTAAGTATGATCAGTCGCTTTCAAATGATTTGATGTCTTACTTACAAACTCAAACAAATTTACCTGCGAAACATTATCAGGAAATAGGTATAAAGAAGTTCAATGAAATTTTAGAACAGATACTAATAATATTTGACAATTTAAAAATATTAACTATAGACTATTATGAAAAAATTATCAGCAACTTTAAATAGATAACTTTTTCACAGTTACAATAATAAAATTAATTGAATATTCCTGGAAATGCTGATATACAATCAGCTATTGAAATTTTATTCGAAAAATTTTTGACTTCGAAAATAATCAATTGACATTCGTAGATAAGCTAAAAATTATTTTATTGACTTTGATGTAATTTTATGAAAATTTAATTATTTTCACCTATTCACGTAAACAATAGAATAAACAAGTGGAATGATAGTCCAGGAGAATTTTTGTTCTTTCTAATGAAAGATGAAAATCGCCACCAAGTGGCTCAAAGAAATATTTTAAATAATGTGTAATAATAATATTAGTTCGAAATTTATTAAAAATTTTATTACATTCTATCATATAAATATAAATATATTAAAATCATAACATATATACAATAAAAAAACGTTTTATATTAATTATTGACAAGAGATTTATTGACTTCCGATTAAATTAGCCTATTAAACAAAGATTATCATAACTATATATATATATGAGCTTTTAATTTTACCACAAGTTTTACAACATATTCGTTTTATTATATTTCATTAAAATTGACCATTTTTGTTTATTTTCTTCCACTTGCAAATCGATTCCAAGCTTTGCTAACATTTGACAGTGTTTTTTCCGATGAAGAATTAGAGCATGCAGAGTCTCTTCGTCTTGCCCGGAAGTCAACAAGTATTGCGACGTCATCGTAAAGTTCTTCAGTTGGCGCGACTCCTAATTGACCTCCAGAGTCAATTGGATCTTGCGGCCGTGGAACCTGATAATGTTCTACATCATTTTCAAGTTCTTTAGGCTTAAAGCTCGACTCATTCATGACTGTTGATGAATTTTTCGCTCTTGTGAATTCATTATTAAGACTCGGTGATTCAACAATACAACTTCCAACACTTATATTATGAGTTTTCAAATCTAAATCGTTTCGTAATGCTTCAATATCATCATATAATTCTTCAATATTTTCTTTTGATTTGAAATTATCAATGGTTGGAGGTTTTACGTATAAAGGACGTGGAGGAGGGGGACATGTATACTCTGGCATTGTTCCCATAATTAAATTGTTATTCTTGGCACTAGAAAGCTCAGAGACATCATCATAAGTGGGTAGTTCCTGGCTTATTTCACTTTGAATCGGAATAATCTCTTTTGCAGAATTTTTCTTGTTTTTTTCTTTTTTCGTGGAATCCTTTTTATTCCTCATACGACCTAAGAATGATTTTTTTCTTGGAGATTCTTTTTTTACATTATCAACAACCACTTCTTTGTCATCATATGTTATCGATTTAGGTTCTTCATGGGTACTTTCCTGCAGTGAAATATTATTATCTACTATATGAATATCGTCGTAAGTATCAGTATGTGAATTACGTTTAGAAAAATCTTTTTTCTTTTTTGATTTATCGTCTTTCTTCTTCTTAGCTTCTGCAACATCATCGTAAGTCTCTACTTCCACCTGTTTGCCGTTTTTCATTGCTTGTTCATGTTTTTTCAAATTCTCGTAAGTACCTGATGGTTGTTTGAGGTCTTCTATATCGTAGTAAATTCCATCTTTGTCATATCCATCATCCATAGTGTTAAAAGAAAATGCTGGTTCATGATTCTGAGGAAGAGATGGAAGTCTTCGCGGTGTTTGAGCCAAGAACGGTATTCTTGCTGGTAATGGTGGAGCTTCTAATATCTTTTTCTTATCTGAAGAACTTAAAATATGTTTTGATCTCAATTGAATGCCATCTTCATTATTTTTCTTATTATTTTCTATTTCTTTAATATTTAAAATTTTTTCATGATCAGCATCACCAATATCTTGGTATCGTTCTTCAGCTGTGAATGATGTATTTTTTTCATGAATTGATGTAATTTCTTTGATTAATCCATTTGTACTCTTTCTTACGGAATCTATAGATCCTACTTTATTTATTATTGCTATCCACTGCTCCGCTTCCTTTGGATGTTTGGCTATAAATTGATAAGTTTTATCACCGAGACAAAAAATTTCAAATGCAGGCTTGTTACGGTCTAGATCGCGAGATATTACATCTGTCACAGGGCGAGCAGAATAACCACGTATTGAAATCACTTCTGCTGGATGTTTATCATGTTTTGTGTTATAGATTAATAAATGACGTCCTACGAGACCTGTAATCAAACAAAAATTCTTGTGATAACAGGAAAAAAATAAAAAGAAACAAACAATTTAATTCAATAGAATCTTACCAATCCAACACTCTCGAAGTTGATCAAATAATTGAAAACCAAATAGTTTACGTTCTTCTTTTTGAAATAAAATACCACATTTATTCATATTTAAATGACATTTGCCAACACATTTCTTAAGACATTTACATTCACACATGATTTTAGTCTGCTCAGCAGAAAAGTTTCGATAGGTAGCTTTTAATTTTTCTTCCTCTATATTTTGTTCTGTTGTGTGTGTTAGTTCTTCTTGGAAACACTCATATTCATCTTGAGAAATTTTTGGAGTACATGGATTATCAGAGTCAATATACTCAGTTAAATGAGTATCATTGCTGTTTGCAGATTTAGACTTAACCAAAAGCAATCCTTTGCCTTTTCCGGCATTCATGTCAAGGTATGGTTCAGGCGAGGCCGATCGTTGACCCATTGCAACCAAGCTACACTTAGATCGACGCAATAAATTTGAACGATCATTTTCCAACGCTTCCGGAAGATTTACTTCCTCTGAGAGAGATTCCAAGAAGTTTACTAGATCTAAAAAAACATTATTTTATGCAGAAAATATAATTGATTTAAACATGTTTTTTTTTAATAAAAAAATTATCTTTGAATATTTAAACCAATGTTTTAATTTATTAAGTTATTTTTTAATATCAAAGATAAATATAGTACTGATTAATTTAGAGGAAAATTGCTTAGAAGACTTTCTCTAGCTAGTAAGGAAAAATATCAACTACACATTTTTTACTAAATATTTTCTTACCATTTAAAACATCCACAAGATCAGACTCAATCCCCATAATTTTATTTTGCATCAATAATTTATCTCATTGATAATCTGATTAAACAAACACAAATCTTTTATCTTGTTCCACACTTATCCACATCATTATGTTCATCAAGTGACGTTTAGAGTATTTATCATCAATGCATCACCAATGTGGTATTTGCAATACAATGATATAGTAACTACACCATTACATATACTCACTTAATAAAAACAAGACTAATCAGTAATTTGATATTTATATGAAAAAAATCACAGGATGTTTCAATCGTATAGCAGGATGTAAAACGATAATTTCTTATTCTATCTTAGAGTTGATTTCATTCAGCAGGAAAGATGATGATTATATAGAACGTAATGTACTTTTTTAAAATTTAATTCACATAAATTTATGTAAAAATTCTATTTCTTCATTTTTATTAATTGAAAGAATAAAATTCATAAATACAAGAAGAGGCGTAATCCTAACGCCTCCAGTTTTTCAACTAAATTCATCAAGTTTTCAAATAAGTGACTTATCGTGTTTTTTTTTATATTAATTTATTCCTCTTAGTTTTTCACTTTGTTTCCATTTTTTCCAATAATATATCTCATGTAGTTTATGTTTAATAATATAAGTACTCTCGATATATTGCATGAATATCGGTCTCCACTGTATGCATAATTTTTCTTGATTTTGATATGATTAGAATGAACTTTATAAGAGATTGACAAATTTTTAAAAGTTGTTAAAAAGTTAAATTAAAAATGCAGATATTTTGAGACACTAAACAGTGAATACACTTTTAAAACCGCTGACTTGGACACAAGTAGTAAGCAATGCAACACGCGAAAGGCGTATGAAGTCTCTGAAAAAGGTCGTGTTGCCTCAGCTGCCTCGACTCCCGCAGAGACGTTGTACGACTCAACATAAGTACAGCTTGTCACATCACTACATTATCCATCAGCATAACACGCAAGGTTCCCTCTCCTCAGTTTCACAGTTCACTCTTCATGACTTCTAATCCTTTACTTCTTACATTGACGCTGACTCACTCACTTTTAATTCATGTCAATTATTATCATGACTTTTTACTCTTTTCTCGACTTAATAGTTAATCACATTACAACCTGTTAGATTCGATTAATGATGCCACTGATGAATTAATTGATGATAAAAAATGTGAAATATCAAATAATAATTCAAGTGATAAACATTTACAATATGAACTAGATTATAGATACATTATTATCATTAGATACTTATTAATAAATACATTTTCTAAACAAAAAAATATTAGAATTAGTGTGAAAAATTAAATTTAAATAACTTTACACATAAAAAAATCAATAAACTTTCTACAGTGGTACAATTTTAAATAAATGTATCACTTTAGAGGTATTAAATACTTTTGGATTACTATTTTACTACCATGAATATTCCAGAAGATATTTCTACCGAAATGGAAACTCGTTCACATCGTCACGCGATTCTGTCACTTGAGATGGGTGATCAAGGAATTCCCGACCGCATTTCGTATCTTTAATCGATTGCCAAAAGAAGAAAAAAATCCAAAAATTCTTAAAAGCTTGATAAATAAGATAAGTATAAAAGAAATTCCGAATCAATGTTTGGTAGTTTTATGATTTTTTTTATTAATTCTGTTGCAATACTTACAAATAATTACATATTAATGTTGGTAAGATTCAGGAAATATTATTTTTTGGATCTTTGTAGCATATAACACTTTTTTTGTCCAAGGATCAGTATGAAAAATACGAAATTTACAGGTTTCACATTTTGCGGCGTGGATTAAAAAGCTAGCAGATTGTTCCCACCATTTTCTAAGATCTTGTCGCCGAGTTTCTTGAACTTGGATATCACTAGATTTTTCATCTCTTGCTACTCGTGAGCTATATTTTGGACATGAGAGTTTAACATGTGGTGTTAAAGATTCTTCAGTGTAATTATTATCCACTGACTGCCTCGAAGCTGCCCTATTTTCAACTTTAAGCGTCGAAGCATGTGTAGGCGCAGAAATTCGATCTAATTGAATACTTTTTTTCTTTTTTTTCTTTTTTTTTTCGATAGACAACTCATTTTTAGATGGAGTCGACTCCTCTTTCATTTGTGGTTTGGGTTCATTAGGCTTAGCATTCAAATCTCCAAAAAGACCTTTAGATTCAGCCACTTTAATCATAAATAATGAATTAAATTGCATCATTTCTTTTCGTCGTACAACTCCAAGATAGCATCCATCCTCTATCATAGCATCCGTAGTTTTTTTCTGTTTTTTAATATTTTTAACGTCTTTAGAGTCTTCAATGTCATCGGAAACTTTAGAATCCAAATCGAAAATACTTTCTATCTCAAATAAATCACTATCAGGTACAGAAACTTGGTTAACATTTGTTATCTCTTCTTCATTATCTCCATGCTCATCTCCAGAACTTTTAACTCTAGATTCTAATCCTGACCGTTTTCCAGCTCTTGATGATCCTCTACCACTCTTTGGACTAGTTTCTTTTCCGGGCGATTTTTTTTTTGGCTTTGAAAAAATTTTTAAGAGCTCATTAAATATTTGTATTTTTTGAGCCATAAAATCTAATTATAAGCTTACCATATTTTCTCTGTTATATTTATCAACTGCCATTTTATTTGCATATTCAACAACTTGATGAAGCATTTCTACAGTTTCAGAAGGTAAAGTACTATGAGCTTCATAAATAAGTAATTGAACATTTGGTCTCGTTAAAGCATATTTTAGACATGTCATTTGGCCAGCTAAAAGCTCTCGTGGGCGTTCTAATTGTGATCGATCATCTAAATTTGTTAAAGATTCTAATAACACTGTATCTCCACCTCTTGCCACTATTAAATCAACAATATTCCTTAGTCCAGTATAAGAACAAGGTGGTGTTGCTAAAACAACTGTTGCTCGTTCTAACTCTTCAAACCTTGGAGCTTGAATATAACTTGAAAATTAAAACAATTTAAAAGGAGCTAATACCAATACATATTTTTTGTTTAATTAACATACCTTTCAGAAAAAATTTTACATTGCTTATCAGTAATTCCTAAGTCTTTAAGATAAGCTTCGTATTCTTGTTTCCGTGATTCTGCTCCAAAAGCTAAAAGTCTCCCAGCTTCTTCAATATCTATGAGTAACCCTGCAAGATAACCAATATGACGAGGTGCTATTGTGTGAGTTAAAACCACAGGGCCACAGAGATGACCAACACGAATTGCTTTAGTTAAAGCTGCTGCCCCAAGACACAATGATCTTTCCTTTATTAGTTTTAAATTGATGGATTAATTATCCTTTGAAATGATAAATTATCAACATATGGTTTTGTCTTACCAAAAAAACAAACTTATGTTTTTGGACCAACTCTGACTTGGCAAGTTGTTCTCTTAGTTTTTCATGAAGTAAAATTATTTTTGGACACACAGGATCAAAAGCATAATTATTTTCTTGTAACTTTTTCCAATTAAAAGATATTTCAAGTCCAAGCTTGGACATCTCCTCAATAAAATCAGATTTTTTTGGTATTTTTATCGTATTTACCCATCCTGTTGCTATTGCTTGTTCATATGTCCAGTTTATTCCTTCATTTCTCAAATGTACTGGTAATAAGTTGTCTAATTTAATGAAAAAAATGATCATTCATTTATTGGTTTTTTATTAAAATAAATAATACCTTACCTAAAGTAAAAGCTGCTCCGCCAATTCGAAGTCTAGAAACACTTGCAGCGAGTTTGGTTTTCATTTTAATCAAAGCTTCTTCAATATCAAACAATGCCGCAGCTTGAAACATTTTCCTCCTAATTTCTGTCACTGATACATGAACAGGGTTAGTGAATTTTTTTCCTAACATATCATACAAAAGTAACCAAACATTTCTTTCTCGATCTCTTAGTTGCGGATATCGATTCCAAAATCCAGCATCATTAAGAGTTTGATTTAAAATTTGTTTATCTAATAATATGAATTAATTTGATTGGTAAAATGTAATTAATAATTTTAAAAATTAATATCTCACATCTTAAAACGTCATAAACGAGACCAAAAACTCGACGCATTTCAGCTTCATCAGCATAATCTGTCTTCAGTGGCAATGTTTCCCCTTGTAAGACCTTAGCTGCTAAAATTATGTCATCTAATCTCCAACCAGGTTCGACATACGATTCAGTTATTGAATTTTTTGAACTTTCAGTATGCATTGATGGTACAAAAATATTTTTATCAACTTTTTCGTCTACAATTTCTCCTTCAACTCCTCTATCATTTGCAATTGGTTCCCATTCCCAAGGAATTTCATCTTCTAATGATAATATCTTAGTATCATCTAGTTTTATATTAATTTTTGAATTACTTAATTCTTTTCTAAAAATATAAAAATGATTAAATCAAGCATTCATGATAAGAATGAAAAAAATTAACAAATTCTCTTATTACTTAATAATATTACTCACTCTCGTTCTACAGCTTCAGCATCAAATTCTCTCTGCAAATCAACTAGTCGGTAATAAACTTGATGCCTCCATTCTTCATTACTTGGTAAAATAAGTTCGTCGAGCTCTTTAGATCGTAATTCTTCGTCTGCATGTTCAACAGAGTCCTTCCAGCTCGCCAACATGACTTTAAAGACTTTGGAGTATGCTCCAAAAAGACTAATCTTCCTTGGAGTGAATGTACTATCATTTTCTTCAACATTTTCTTTTTTATTACTCGATGGGCTCATTGATTCCTTAAAAGACCAATATATTTTTGAATTATTTTCTCTATATTATCAATCTAATATATGATCAGTCTATCAATAAATATAAATCGTTTAATTTCGTGAAATTATTCAAATAAGTGAATTATGATAAGTAGCATTGTGAGGTCTTGATCGTATTGAAAGTTGAAAAGAAACTAACGTTCAATTCTTGGTAGTCTTTCAACTCGATTTACCAGCATCGCGTGTTAGAGAAATATCTTATATCACGGTTTTGTATTTTCATAGCAAATAACGATTTCATAGATACGAATATCGTAGCTTTGTTATCTTTATTCATCATTCTTCAATCTCAGATCCTTAATCTTCAGTATTCTGTTTTTATGATTAACATTTTAATGCAAAAAAGACTGCAATTTGTGAATAAGAACTTATCAACTTTATCATGATCAGTCACGATACATTGAGATCCTTTAATCGATGAATTTGTTTTATTATATTTTTGTCCATGCTATTGTATTAATAAATTTATATACAACATAATACCCAATAATAATAATAGGAAATTGTTTGAAATTGATTCAAATTAATGTTCATAAAAATATTCAATTTATTTATATCTTGAGTTTTAAATGTTCATTACCAACAATTTAAATGTAGCGATATATAATGATTGGTCGATACAATAGAAATATTTTGGTAACGTATCAACGAATTCATCTTATCATATGAAACATTGTTTTGGTGATAATTTTTAAAATGGAGTCAATTGGTAAAAAATCTTTTATTTTTATCTGTTGATTGAATTATTTATTTACTTTAAATTCATTATCTTTCATTATAAAAACTGCAATACGCTTATTTATGCGCATGATGATTTTATTTATTGTTTTTGTATATTTATAACCTGTATACTGATTCAATAGTAAATACGTTAAACAGTAGCAAATTTTTTAAGACTGGATGGCGCCAAACGACAGTCGTGACTTTTATGTAAATACATTATCGATTGGGTGCGTAGGAAAATCGTGCGCGTGGTCACCGCACTTCTTAATTCATTCATCATTTTATTTTCATTAATAAAAAATACAGAAAAATATAAAATTTAATACAGTAAATCTAAGCAAAAGAGGTAAAAAATCAAAAAATATCCACACTAAAAGAATATTTTTATTCATTTTTACACTGATTGGTCTAATAATTGTTCACAATTAAAAAATAACCAGTTGAATGGATATGTTGATAGAAAAGACATATTTCTATAAGGAATATAATGTTCTAATGACTGACACACAGAAGATGAGTAAAAAAATAATCTTTTCTTGGTACACTTATCCATCGAGCTCGGAGCTTTTTCTTCATTGATATGTATATAGATAATGTTATAAAATTGATTGTATATTTAGTGCCGGATGTCAAATGAATGATTAGAATGAGGTAATATCTGAAAGACATCATTGTTAAAGTCTACTCAGGATATCACTGGGTTGTAATCACGTGTATGAGTGCGCGCGAAAATATATTCAGCTAATGGAGATCAATAATAAGGTATTTAATGCCGTTGTCGGTGAAGTGTGAGTGGACAAGAGCGCTGTGCGGTGTACAGTAGAGACGTTTGTGGTGCCATCTGTATTGTCAATGTTGTTGGGCAGCAGCAGGAGCAGCAGCAGCGTAATGGAGCCGTGAGGCATTTTGTCTGTGCTAACGACACACTATCGTTTTCTTGTGAATTTTCGCGGACGATGCAGATTTAACTTACCCGCTTTCTCCATGTCCAACGTGACGCGCAGTGAGTGCAATATTTCTATCAATAAAACTTACATCAAACCCGAGAGTTTGCGACAAGACAATGTTTACATGATCTCGAGGATGGGGGCAACCTCTTGTGATTTTTGTCGCATCCTCACGTTCCACCGGGATATCCCGGCGTCATTATGTTTTTCTAACTATTCAAAATCATCTCCTGCACTTATTTCCATAGTTGCACTATTGTTTTGTACATTTTCAAACACATTTTTTATAACCTCTCTTGTTTCTTACAGCTGAGTCTGCCACAGTCAGTGCCACAGTGGTTAATAATCATCACCTTCATTGCAATCCAGAATATTGAGGGTGAACGTACCGTCTATTTGACGGATATCAACAATACACATGCTGCTAAATTCTTACAATCAATCAATGGTGATTATTTAGGTATTTTTTTTTCTTCCTTACACTTGTGCTCATTACAAAGACATCATTTCTTGAATTGCCATCACCGACTACTATAAACAATTTATAACAAAACTCAGAGCCACTGTGACAAGTGTGCATGGAGTGATGAATGCCAAAATCAGTTAAATAATAACGAACATGTGATTGATATTATTTTAAAGTGATAAATGATGAATTGAGTAGAAAAATTATCATGTTTACGTCAAGCTTTAGTGATTTTTTTAATACATCTATTAGAATTAAAGTTAATTTATTGTTCAATTAAATCATTATTATGCTTTCAATAAAATATCAATAAAAAATTTCATATTTCGAATCGATTGCTGCAAATATTAATGAGATATTCAACAATTGAGTGATTTTACTGAATTAAAAAGAGCAATTATTCAAAATATTATAAACATTTCGTTATAACAATCTTTTTTTAATGTTTTTCTTTTAGAAATTTAACAATAAAAATGAAATATTTGATACTTTTTCTTGTAACTATAAAAATTTATGTTTATAGGATAAATTTAGTCATCAGTAATGTGGAAAATTGAAATTTAAGACAAATTATTCGTTTTTTAATTATAATTTGGTGTTAAATTATTCAAAAGTGAGTAATAGTGATCACAATCTACACTTTTTCGGTTTTTTGAAAAAATTGATTGTTATTTAAAATAGATATAACCATTTCAGAATATAGTTGGAAAAAAGAATCTCAATGGAATATTTTCCAAAATATTTTTATCATAAAGTTTTGAGAATTATTGACTCCTTATTGATTTTTGGAATCAAACAATTTATTATAATACTCTTGCATATAAATGCATTAATGCATATGACAATATAAAAATAATGATGAAATATAAATGATATTATAATTTATTTGCATTATAAAGAGCACACGTGTTATACATATTATATATACCTTAGATTAGTTTCTAAATTTTATTAATGAATTAATTATGTTTCAGAATTAAGTAGTGCTAAATTTTTAACAAATAATAAATTATATGGACAGCTATGTAGTGAGTACAAAATCAAATATGACATTATAATAGAAAAATAAGAATAGTATTAAAAATATTTATTTTTTAGGGTACACATAGATTACCTACATGTGCCTACATACCTCTAGATAACTTGGCGTAGTAGTAATGGCACAACGAGGCAAGCGAATCAACAAAAACGATAATGATTTGGCTTCGTGCCCGGGAGCGATTAAAAGACGCAAATGCAGACTGGGCCCAACAGCCACGGGTGTTTCGGCTGTGGTGTCAGCTTTGGGGCCCTCCGAAGAGGAAGAAACGATGGCGGCATCATCGAGTCAAGGTGGTGGAGCTTCTTGGACTCCAAGACCACTTGGACATAGTGATATCAAAATATCAAGCATATATAATCGCTCGACGGCCGAAGCACCAGCTGAATTATTTCGCAAAGACCTGATTAGCGCCATGAAACTGCCAGACAGTGAACCACTCAGTCCTAATGAGTACTGGGTTATCACTGATCAGTGGAAACAAGAGTGGGAACGAGGTGTTCAGGTACCTGTAAATCCTGATTCCCTTCCAGAACCTGTCGTGACCATTACCCAGCCACCTAATGCTAAACTTAATGGTGATTTTAAATTGTAAGTCATTCAGAAAAGGTTTTAAAAATTTCAAATTATACTAGTTTTTTTAAAAAATATCTTTCTATTTTGTAGACCGAAAAAATTCATCAGAATATCCCGAGATGATTACTTTAATCCCGAAGAACACCACCTAAGTGCGACACCAAGTAGAGCAGAGAAAGCTTGTGCTTATGATCTCGATGACACTGATATTGCATGGTTAGATGTATTAAATGGAGAAAGAGCTCAGGTAAGATCTAACATGATTATTACTAATAAATATACTAAAATGAGTTGATAAAAATTAATGTTTAAATATTTCAATTTAGGCTGGACAGCTAGCAATATCAGAGTCTCAGTTAGAAAGAGTCATAGAAGAGCTTGAAGTACGGTGTTGGGAAAGGATACAGACGATTGTGAAAAATGAAGAAGGTTTAGGGATTGAATATGATGAGAATGTTATTTGTGATGTGTGCAGATCACCGGACTCTGAGGAGGGTAATGAAATGGTTTTCTGCGATTTTTGTAATATATGCGTTCATCAAGCTTGTTATGGTATTACATCAATACCCGATGGTTCTTGGTTATGTCGAACTTGCTCTCTAAGTCAGCGACCAGATTGCGTGTTGTGTCCGAATAAAGGTGGAGCCATGAAGTGTACGCGTAGCGGACAAAAGTGGGCTCACGTTTCTTGTGCTCTTTGGATACCTGAGGTAAGCATCGGTTGTGTAGAAAGGATGGAACCAATTACAAAAATATCCAGTATTCCACAGAGCCGATGGGCTCTTATTTGTGTACTGTGCCGTGAACGTGTTGGTGCTTGCATTCAATGCAGTATAAAAACGTGTAAAACAGCGTACCATGTGACGTGTGCATTCAAATATGGATTAGAAATGAAAGCAATTATTGAAGATGATATGGCCGATGATGGTGTTAAATTGAGATCGTACTGTCAAAAGCACAGTAGAACAAATACAAAGGATAAAGTCGGTGTTGGAGGGTCAAGTACCGGTGACAAAGCTGCTTCAGACTCTGAAGATGGTGAATCAAGAAAGCGTAAGCGTAAAGATATGACATCTGAAGAGAAAAATCAGGCAAGAGCAGCTAAATTACAAGAAATAGAAGCAGAATTTGATAAGCACGTTAGCTTAAAAGACATCACGTCTCAGCAATTAGATGTTGACACTGATGCTATTATTTACATATATAATTATTGGAAATTAAAACGACGAGCTGGTCACAATAAGCCACTTCTTGCTCCTCGTTGCGGTGAACTTTCAAGTGCTGGTGCACGTGCTCAGGGTCAAGCTGCGGATCTGGAGAAGATGAGAACTTTTGTACAGTTACGTCAAGATCTAGAACGTGTTAGAAATCTTTGTTATATGGTAAACAGGCGGGAAAAACTTTGTAGAACATTTTTAAAGCTTCGCGAACAAACATTTCATAAACAAGCATTGGTTTTATCTGGACCACCACTTCCACCAACTGCTGCAGCGGCTGTTGCTGAAGCTAATCATGGTCCATCTATATATGATCGTTTATACTCTCATTCTGATGCCGAAGATCATACTCAAAACTTTGATACAATAGTTGCTAGAATTGCAGGTATCAAATCACCTACTCCAATTTCTAGTGATGAGAAGAAGAAGCCTCAGCCTGATTTTAACGGTGCATCGAACAAGAAACTCTATTTTAATGGCTCAGTAAGAAGGAAAGGACTTTGTAGTAGTGATTTATCGTCTTTAAGTAGTAGTGAAGTGGATACAGCGAAACCAACAGTGACAGTAAAATCAACTAGGACTACAATCAACAGAGGGGGCTCGAATAATAAAACCAAGGTGAAAATTGAAAGTGAATCGAGTACAGAAGATGAAGTTGTTGTTATTAAAACATCCACAAAAATTTCGAGACGTAGAACTAAAAAGGCCAGTGCACCAAATCGACCTAGGCCTTGTAGTAGTGACAGTGATAAGCACGGAGGAACTGCTACTAAATCTCGAACTCTTGAACACATGGAGAGGGAACTTGGAAGTGCTTCAGGTAGCGATGATAGCGATGAATTATTCTCGTTGAATACTAGTTCAAGTACACGAGTTGGTTCCCTTGCGGCTGCAGCCATTTATTCTGATACTGATTCAGATTCTCAGGAACGCACATCGGTCTCTGCACCGTTTATTAGTAAAGCAGCTGTAAAGGAATTTTCTGCTGCAGATATTTCGAAAAATTCTTCAAAGACTTTTGGAAAAGAATCTAAAGATGAATCAGTGGCTGAAGTTAGTAATAAAGAAAATGTTAAAACAAAGAAAAAAGAAAAAGAATATATTCCATCAGCTTTAATTGTTCCTCAAAGGCAAGCAGCAAAGAAAGCTTCTGAAATCATGCAAAGGTCTCAAAACAAAAAAGAAATAGTTCCAGAATCATCGGAACCTTTAAAATCTCCTATAGAAGATAATAAGAATATTAAACAGAAAGAAAAGCCTATAGCAAAGAAACAAAAAGAACCAAAAGGGTCTAAAGAATCGAAAAATAATGATATTTATGATTTTGACAAAGATTTTGGCGATGGTACTGAAATTTTGGCTTATGTTCCTCAAAGACAGGCTGCTAAGAAAGCTGCAGAACACATCAAAAGTGGTCTTGGTACCAAATCTATTGCGCCAGAGCCTGAAGTTGTTGAATCGAAAGCTAAAAAAGATTATTCTGAAAATAAAGTTAAGAAAGAGATTAGTAAAAAAGAAGAGGTACCTAAGAAAAGTCTTTCTGAAAGCAAAACTTCGTCCAGTACTAACAGTGATTCTAGTAGTAGCAATAGTTGTTCAAGCTCTTCGGATTCTAGCAGTGATTCTGATGATGTCAAAAGTCCTACTCAAAGATCACCTAAGAAAAAGAATCAGTCATCATCTACAACATCCTCTGAAAGTGATACAAGTAATAATTCAAATAAAGTATCATCGAATAAGCGACAAAACAGTAGTAGAACGACAACAACCGCTACAACGACAAGTGATGATGCTGCGGAAAGTGCGGATAAAAAGACGATGGCGGCTGGACGGAAACTCAAAAAGCTGCCTGATAAGAAGCTTAAAACTTCCGACGGGCGGCATGGATCTGAGTTTCCACCGCCGCCTACTGAGAGAAAAGAACCAAGTCGAACCTCAGTGTCTAAAGATCCAAACCAATCGCGGCAATCAATCACTAAGAAGACAGATCAAAGATCAAACAATTCCTCAAGCAAAAAGCTACTTCAACAACAGCAACAACAACAACAGCCAAGAGTCCACCAGCAAACAACCAGTTCTCACCAAGATCTGCTCAGTGGGTCTAGAGATAATGATGGGCCACGAAATATATCTAGGGTCAAACCCGTTAAAAAGACCCAACCCGTCAAATCTCAAGCCCAAGCTCAGCAACGAGAATCACAGCAGCAACAGCAGTCCAGCGGAAAATGTAAAAAAGAGGAAGAAATTAGCACACCAACGAAAATCAAAGTTGATACACGTAAACGAAAATCAAGTGAGGTCCAGCAAAAGGAAGATAAAACCAACAAAAATGTTACTCCGGTCAGGAAAAATGATAAGAGGATAGAAAAACAAGTTAAAGAAAAGGAAACTGTTGAAAATTCTGCTGGAAAACCTGTAGAGCTTGAGAAAATTGTACATTCTGTTGACATTAAACCAGCAACTGAAGAAGTCTCACATCTGATAAATGAATCCAATAAACAGTCTCAATTAGGCTCACCTAAGAATGATGATAAAAAGAAGAAGGGACAAAGTAATAAAAGTCCAATGCATTTATTGTTGTTGGAAGAAGAAATCAAGCAGCGAAGAGCTGAACGAGAGAGCCCCAAGAAGTCTTCAAAAAGTCTAGATAAATTCTTAGAGAAGCATCTTGACAAACACTTTAAAGCTAAATCTGAAAAAGAAGTTAATGATCAACAAGTTGAAAAAGAAACAACGAGGCATGATAATAAACTTAATCAAGCTAATGAGGAACATAAAAATCATACTAATAAAGAGACGTCACTTCCTTGGGCTGATAAAAGTGATGTTTTACCCGAAAAAGAAATTGAAAAAGCACCAGAGGACTCTGAAATAAGAAAGAAAGAGAATAAATTTGAATCTACTGGATTTCAATCAGTATCATCACCTCGTTCAGCAGTTCCCATTGAGAAAGAAGCTGAGGACAGTGGGTTTCACAAGCCTCAAGTGGTATCTGGAAAAACTGTTAATGAGTCAAGGCAAGACAAAGATAATCATAAGCGTAAAAAGTCGATTAATAGATCAATTTTTTCTCCACAACATGGACAATCGAAGGATCCAAGTGTTTCAGAACTATTTGATTTTGATCAAGTTATATTGAATGACGACATGGTTAACGATGATGGTTTTAGCATCCCAAGAGATCCTGAAGAACGTCAAGTACCTCTTTCTTTTTCGTTTAATAATGAACTTTGGTTTAAAGAAGATACAAAAGAAGATAGTGCTCGGGATACTCTTAATCTTGTAGAAAAACTTCGTATGGAATTGTCTAAAAAATCCAATTCTAATCAAAGTGATATGGAGCTTACTTCTCATGAGGAGCCTGTGAAAAAGGAAGAATTTTTGTCTAATAAATCTGTACAAATCAGGAAAGAGATTAAATCACAGCAGATTCAAGAATTAGCGTTACCGGAACTAGAAGAAAAGAGTATAACTCAAGATGAACCTACTCCAGAGGTTTCTAAAAATCATACGATAGAAGAGAAGAGAAAGTCATGCTATTCTAGCAACAGTGACGCTTATGTGCCTTATTCCAATGAGGATTTGGCTGTGGGTAAAGTAGCAATTGCTGAAAGAGCTAAGTTAGACCGAGCAGAAGCTGATGAACGTTGGGTACCACCAAGCATTGATAATTTCAATCCAAATGACGTTCAACATATTAATCATTTGATGGAGAGTCAAAATCATCGTTATACAGGTCATCCATTTCCCAACGATATTTCTTCAGTTATGCATGATAACAATACTGACACCTTGGTTCATCCTCAAATAAATATTAATATGCCTGATCAATATCAGCTTATGCAGCAACAGCACGCAATTATACGAGCGCACATGGATCCACCTCACTCTGTTGAATCTAGACCACTTCAATCTATAGCTCTAATAAATCAGCAAGCATTACCAGGTGCTCTGGTTGACGAAATACCACCTATGGAGATGATTAACAGGCATTTAATGACTTCTTTGCCTAATGTTGAAGAAGATCAACAAAATGCTGATATCGATCGCGGTTTAGAAAAGGATGATGGTTCTTCAGATTTGAGACAAGATTATCCACAGTGTGGATCGCCTTATAATGATATAAATAACGTCCGTCAAGACACAAGATGGGCTGAAAGTCAAGTGCTTCCATCAAGACGGTCCACATCTTCATCAATCACATCAGCATCATCTACCGAAGAACATACAACAATGCCGCCATATAAAAACATTTCTTCTCTACCATTTCCTCCAGGATCATTGGAAACAGGCCCATACAATCCGTTCACAGAGTCTAATGCTTATGCTCGACCTGTATCACTTTTTCCACCAGTATCTTGTGCAGCGTCTCTTCCCTATCCATCCCCAGGCACTGGCATGTTTCCTACAGTTTTTGGTGCACCTTTCCCTACACCTCAAAATCTTCTACCACATGTTCCTAAGCCTTTAGAAGATGCATTAAGTATTCAAGCTTCTCCTTGTACAGCTGCTTTTACATCTTCATCACATAATATGGCATTGACTGCTGCCATGGTTTCTCCAACGAAAATTCCAACACCTCCCCCAGCTCAGCCAATTCTTCCTCCGGTTAGTCAACAAGAACATACTTCAGAAGCAACATTAGAGCCAATTCAAACCCAGACTAGTTCACCAGTATTACCAATGGTATTTTCAAACAGCAACATGTCAGAAACTCCACAAGTAACTGAAGCTCCTGTTGAAGATGTACAAGAAGATGTAAATACTTCAGATCAAAAAATAAATCAACCTGGAAAGAAGAGTCCATCAAAACCAACAAGAACTTCTGCCAGGGTGACGTCTCTTCAAGGCAAATCGCCTGGAAAATCGCCAAGACAAGAAGCTCCTAAGTCAGTAACAGCATCAAGACCCCGAGGAAGAGGAAGTAAAAGTGCTCAACAAGGCTACAGAAGTCGAGGAAGAGGTAGAGGACGAGGACGAGGAAGAAGCAATCAAAATTCACATGGAGCTATAGCTAATTTTAGTAATACAATTTATAGTGATGATTCTATTCAGAATAAACTTGTTGGGACTGTTTATGACTTTGATTCTGACGAAGATTCAACAAATGAAACCAATATTGCTGATCTTAAAACCATGCGAGAGCGAAAAAAATCTACAGATGTGAGTGAAAAAAGAGAAGCTCCACTGTCAAAGGATAATATGCAGTCATTATCGAGCCCATCGATACAAAAAATGAAATATGATGATAAGAAATTATCTTCACCTCTTCAGGAAACCGCCAATCTCAGTGAATCCAAGGGAATATCAGATCAAACATTTACCAATACTGTTCTACCTCTTCTACCTGGTCCTGTCGATATGAGAACCTACAATTCTACAGTAGAGGGTCAAACATCTTCTTTGCACTCTCAAACTTTTGCTAATCATCTTCTCAATTTAACAGGCGATTCGACAGTTTCAACACGAGATATTGAAGATGCGCTTGCAGATTTTCAGTCTGGTTTAACAGCAAAGCCGGATATCTTAAATGCAAAAGCGAGTGATCCAAATGACTCCAGCATTGAAATCTCTGGAGCTAATGTAAGCGATATGACCAAAATGTCATTGAGTGATTCTAGAAATCAGTTAAAAGTAAAGATAAAAGGTCCATTCTTAGATGCTAATTATGTAGCAGCTTCCTCTGTGCCTCCACTTGCTCAACAAGCACCGTCAATTATTCCTCCATCAGCAACAAGTGCCGCTGTAGCTTCAGGAACATCAAATTTGAGAAGAATGAGGAAGAAAGAATTATTAAGACAGTATTGTTCCCAAGATATGAACATGGCAGATCCTACAATGGGAAATATCCCATCAGCACCAATAAATATACCTCCTATCAATAGAACTGTGATTACAATTCCAAAAGCAATTGCTTCAATGACAAGTATACCAACCAGAGAAGATTATAAAGCAGTAGTGGATCAGGCAAATTTAGAAAAGAAAAGAAGAAAAGAAAGAGGTGGTGGTGGCTTTACTGAAACTGGTGAAGAGGAAACATCTGACAAGAGAAGAATGTTTAGAATTACTACTGACAGAAGAAGAGGGAGACAACCTAAAACTCAGCCTCCTGCAACAGCGAATAGCGCACCTCCTAAACTAAAAATCAAAATAGGTAACAATATAATGGGTCAAGAAGAGGGCAGTGTGCAAGAAGATAGATCTAGAATAAGGCCGCCAAAAAAGAGGCTAAGTAGTATACAAAATAAGCCGAGTATCGAAGAGCTTAAGAGAGAAAGTATGAAGTTTAGAAAAATGATTATGGCTGGGTTTGATAATGATGATGTTGTTTCGGAGAAAAGTAAAAAAGATAAGAATGGAAAAAAAAGAAAAAAACAAAAAGGAAAAGAAGGAAGAGTTCAGATTCTTGACGGTGGTACTTCTACAACTAAATTAATTATTAGACTAAGTAAAAGCAATGCTTCTGCTAATGATTTATCCAGCGAAGCATCGGGAAGTGCTCCAAATGACCGAGTAAGTCAATCTGAAGAGAGTGCAGAATCTAGGGTCGGTCCACCGATAACAGAAGCTTCTAAAGAAGACGTTTCTTATCCTTCAGATATAAATACAAGTGAGAAACAACCAGTAGATCAAAATACCTGTGTTAATCCATCTGTAGACAATATTAGGTCAGCTAAATTAACACCAATTCGATTAAAATTAACACGTTGTCATGAAGGATATGAATTGAAAGCTCCTGCGACGAATGTTACTGAAAAGAATGTTGACAAAAATAATTCCGGGGAGAACGTGGAGCAAAACCAAGGGAAAGGAAGTAATAGCAATGAGAGAATTGAGGATATTAGACAGGATTCACATGACAATGGAAAAGAGAAGCCTTCCAAGCAAGAGGATATTGATATTCTCAGTCAAACCACTGCAGCTCACACTTCACCCAGTTGTCCACCTGCACCTCTTCCCCAAGGATGCCAAGTTAGGTGATAATTAATTTTAATTGTATAAATACAGTAATTAATGGCCCTTTACTAGATTTATATCGTCAAATTTTAGTTTAATGTATATATTATACATATATTATATATATATATATATGTCTGCCTAATGTATATACAATTATTATAGTATATTATTATTATTTTTACTATTAATAAGTAACGATCAATTATTGATAATGATTAATGATTTATTAATGCCCAGAAATGTACGATAAAAATGAATTTAAATGTTGAAAGAATTTACGAACGTACACTCATATGACTCACTTGAAAGTGGAAACATTCGCTTTTTTTTTATTTTTCTTCATCTTTATAATGTACATTATAATTATAATTACATATGTAAATGATCTGAGGGTGAAGTGAAACGTCACAAAGTGCCCAAATAATTCACCATAATTAGTTTAGTATTGTGCATTTTTTGAGACTAAGACAAATGAATGTAGTTGGTCATATTGAGATGTCTGTTTTTACACTGAAGAATTAATGATTTGATTAAACAACAATATTCGATATTTGAATAATTTTTTTAAAAATATATTATTTATTTATTAAGATAATTTTAATTTTTTTATGTAAAAAAATTTATGTTATTCAAACTAAAATAATTTTTAAGAAGGAATGAAATTTTTGCAATTGTTTTGGAAGAAAGTTTATTTTTATTTTATTATTTTTTGCAGTGAAATTCAATTTTTTGCATTAATGAAATTTGTACACATTATTGTAGTTACTGCGAAGACAATGTAAAAATATTTTTTTAAGTATTTTTTTGTTGCAATACAATAAAATAAAATTATAAAAATTTTATTGCATGTTAGAATTTTCTTATAAAAATCATTATTTTTCAGTGTATATATTTTTAAATACTTGGTCAAAAAGAACTTGATCAATCATTTTTCACATTTCTGAATTTTCCAGGAAAATTGATCTCATTTTTGTATACATAAATTTTAAATATTAACACTTAGTCTATGTTATTTCTGATAATTTTTACATTTGCAGTGTTAATATATTGAAGAAGTATCAAATTTGAGATAATTTATCCTATTACAACTCTCTGTTATCCTGTTTTTACATGTGTACATTAATGTAGACTTAAAATGAAGTAATTAACATTTTTTGCTTAATCACAAATATTTTGGCAACTGCTTTGAATATTATAAAAACAAAAATCAAAATGAATAAAATGAAGTTAATTAATCATCATAATAATTGTTACTTTTTTTGGAGATTTTAAAATGATGACATGTGTAAATTTTTTTTGACCAGTATATCTAAAAAAATACAATTAATGTGAAAATGTAATTTGTATGATGACAATTGTGAGAGAAAATTATTAACGCAATCATTAGTTTATATTACATTAAATTAAATTATTGTAACAACTATCTAAACAACAACTGCTCAATAACGATTCATACATTAGTCAGATGTCATAAAAATTGAATTTTGATTCTTGTACAAAAAAACAAATAAACTAATTACCGTGAAAAAAATTTTTTTTAAAAAATGGAATAATAAAAGAAAAATAAAATACTTAAAAAAATCATGAAATTATATTTAAATATTGGTTTTATTTGAAAAACATTAATAAAAATTAAAGTCAAACTTTTAAAACGTTTTGAAAATTTATCAAATAATCAGGGCGTTTTTAATCATAAAATTTGTATAAAAATAAATAAAAATAAATAGGGGTGTTGATAAAATATTCGCATTGTTGTACGAAAATTTATGAATACTTTTATGGAGATGAGTGAGTGAAAAAATTATTGAACAAGAATTAATTCTGACAATATGAAAATTACATGAAGTTAACCAGCTTGTGAAGATAAAAGAAATTGTCCAGCCATTATTTCTAAATGGGCCATGGTTTTAAAAACTTGTAATATTTCTAAAAAATGAACTTTTATTTAGCAATTGTTTATAAAAAAAATCTTATGATTTCATAATATTTTAAACTAGGTTTTTATGGTAAAATTATTTTATATTATTCATAAATATTATTATGAGTTTATTTGATTTCATACATAAGATATAAATATTAATAACACACATTGATAAACAGGATAACAATTAGTTTATTATTTGAAAAAAATTGTTTATTAGTTTATGTCAATCTTCATTTACGTACTAAATACTCACAGCTGAGATAACTACGATCGTGCCATGATCTACAAATGTTAAAATATATGATTGAAAAAAAAAATGAATTAATTATTGTTCATAAGAGATGTGAATGAATGTATAGAAACTAAAAGAAATCTATTATCTTGATTTTTACCTTGCAGTCTTCAAAATACACATTAAAAAAATATGAATGAATTTGTAAATAATATTAATATTTTCTTATTTTCACAATTATTTGATGTTGCGTTAAATACCAAGAACAAAATTATGAAATAGTACAGAATGATTTGAACAATTTAACATTAAGTTATAATCTATTATTTGTTTTATAATAACGGCTGTGCAAACCGTATCGATTTTTATCTTCCAAAATGTATTCACAATTCAGTCTTGCACCAGTCTATAATTAAATAAAAAATAATTAATTAAATAAATGAATAATGACAAGATAGATAAAAAAAAGAGATGATACATGTGACAGAATTAGCATATCTTCCATTAAGCTTATTTTTATAGTTTCATAGTGATTAAACAAAAAAACGTTGTTAGATAATACAGTTTAGAAAGCATTGAAATAACCCATTTGTTTATTGGAAAATAAATTAATAAATAAAATAATATTGATAAATAATGAATCAATAAATAATTGTAATCATAATAACGATAATGATAATATTATTATTAATTATAAAAATTGAATTAATTCAAATACTAATAATTCTAGTTATAATGCTAATAATTGATTCAATGACCAGCAAAAAATGTAAGAATTATTATTCAAGCACCAAAGATTGTTCCACGAATTTTTCGAAGCAATCTGAAAATTAAATAATGGCAATATTGCAACAAAATTCTGTACAAATTAATTAATGCGCCGACAAGAAGAATGGCATTAGCCATCTGTCTCTTATTAAGAAATCTTTATAGCAAACTACTTTTTTGTTTTTTTTTAATCTGAATAGTTTTTTTTATAACTATAAAATAACGAACGATAAGAAAAAAATTAAATTAATAATAAAGGATCCTTGAATAATCCTTTTAAAACCCCGTTAATTGTATCCTATATAGTAATAAAACATAATTGTAAATAATTATTGCCAGTGATAAGAAGAGTTTTAAGAGCCTGTATATTGTAATATAGATAAATTGATTAAATATATAAAAATAACGTATTTAGATCATTAAAAATTGTTTCTTATTAATGAAAATAAATAATAAAGTAAATAAATGGAATAGTACATACGTCGCTATTAAAGTATAATAAAAATGATAAAGAGATAGAGTTAAAAGTGAAAAATGATCATGATCATTAATAACATTTAGTTATTTGTACATAGTGTACGAGAAGTTGGTCTTGTAAGATAAAAAATAAGGTGTTTTAATGTGCACATAGCCGCATCATTGTCAATAATCATATTATTACGACTAATAATAATTACAGTTTTTAAAAAAATAAAACTACTCTTGAATATTTACTTTTTTCATCTACTCTTCCTTATATACTACTTTACATTACAAGTTCTTTTTATTTTTTATAATGAAATATTTGCTTATTTTATTTTTATTTTATTCCTCGATCAAATTTTAAAATTTTTATCAAACCTTCAATAATGTCATTTCAAATTCATTTCTTTCGCGCCTTTTATTTTTATGACGCATACAAATTTAACTGCGCATGTCTCAATTTGTGAACGGTCATCACCGCATCTAAAGCCATAGTTTCATGGATATAGCACATCAAGACAGCACATTTTCGGCTTCTTTTGTAAATTTTATTATTAAGGTAATTATACTTAATAAATTCACTATAAAATGTGTACAATATGTAAAATATCCCGTTAATCTTCGTCTTTATTAGTATAAATATATATTTTCATCAGATTTAATTAAAATCATTTGTAAGAGCAAGCATGAATGCTGTTTACCACGTTAAAGCTTTAGAAATGGCCGCTATTATGCTTGCAAATTTATTTCTATGATGTTAAAGTTACTAACAAATATTTTAAGAATAAAATTATTGAAATTTTCACATTAAAATAATATATTTTTTTTTTTAGAGTATCGAAGAATAATCATTGAAAATTTTATTTATCTATAAACTGTGACGATGGAGCCGGAATCACGACGAAAGGGTCCAAGGAGCCCCAGTGCTGATTCTGATGACTCCTCTCATAGGAGAAGATCTCGAAAATACGATAGAGATCGATCGCCTTCTCCTCGAAGACCAAGATACAGAAGATCGAGGTCAAGAGACAGAAGATCAGATTCAAGAGAACGACGTAGAAAAGAATCAAATCGTGCTCCAGATTGGAATAAACCAACACCTCAAAATCAATCACAGCCTACAACCAACGCCGGACCTGGATATGTTCCTCCAGTTCATAATCAATATCAGGTACTTGTAACGCTTTTTTCCGATGAATTATTAACAGATTTCTTTATTAATGCGTTGATTTACCATGCTAAACTACAATTCTTCTAGGCACCACCACCTCCTAATACAAGTCAACCACCACCACCCATACAGCCGTATAATCAAGGCTACAACTATAACTACAATTATAATCAGGGATATGACTACGGGTATCAGCAACCAACTGGTTATCGAAGTGTGAGTTTTTTTCTGTGTTCTTGCTCATAGTTTTAAACCTCTTTATCTACAAGAATTACATTTTATGATATTCAACGTGTTGATAAATGCAAAAACTTTTTTTTTTATTTACATAAGTTGATCAAATTTCTCAGAAAGCGTTTTTAGTGAGTTAAAGTACATTTTTTTGTACAATTTTTTAAATAATCGATTGTTACATCGTTAATACTTGATCATTTTCGCGATTTTTTTCTCCACTTGAAGTAAGTATACAAAACCCGGTTGTTTATATGAGACAAATTGATGGTCAAAAATTTGAAAGTGACTTTAAAAGGTAAGAAGAATTAAAGGTTTTTTTTTATATTTAGAATCGATTTTTATTTAGGATTAAAATAAAATTTCTAGGATTATCCACCACCTAATTGGCAAGGAGGTCAAGTTCCTTACAATAATCAACCAACTCAACCACCACCTGCAATGGCTCCGACACCTGAAGCTCCACGGCCTGTAGAACCAGCTCCTCCTGATTTCGGAGCTGTTTCCAGACCTGAAGATGCTAAAAAAGAAGGTTTGTACTCTTTGATGAAATAGAATTATCTATGAAAATGTTTTGCATCAAAAAAACAATTATTTATTTGTCATTAAATTTTAAATAGCAATTGCAGCAGAAATGAAACAACAACAAGCTACTCTATCAAAACAACGCGAGGAGTATGTTAAAAAGACCATGACTTTGCAGCGAGAGTTGGAAATTTTACGTCAACAGTGTGATGAAATAGGAAAAGAAGGTGGACGTGAAAATAATCGAATAGTTAAAGAAAATCAGAAACTTCAGGTAAATAATCAAATATTATTGTTAACATTATTAATATTTTATTACATAAATAAGGTCTTGATTTGTAAAAATAAAAATCCCACTAACATTTAATTTCAGGTTGAAATTCAAACTAAAATGAAATCAATCCATAATGTTATTGATATGCTAACGGGAATAATTGGTGATAAAGCAACAGTAGATGAATTGAAGAATAAATTCAAATCTGATTTACCATTAAAACGATCACGAAGTCCCAAAGAAGAATTTCCTAAAGCCAAAGTTATGGAGTCTCCAGATAAATCATCTGGTTCAGATACTGAGAGAGATAGTAAAAATGATCGGAAATCATCACGTATTGCTGACGAAGATAAGCCAATTTATAATTTCGTACATTATGATCCTGAAATGCATTGGTGCAAAGTCTGCGATATTTTTCCTAAAACAGCTAAAGAATATTTAAACCATCTTCATTCAAATGAACACAAAGAAGCTTGTTTGGTGAGTCATATGTTATTAGTACTTATATCTAATCTAAGAAATTCAAAGTATTTTATTAAATTAACTATTTAAGTAAATGTATATAATATTTATTAAATCTAAAAGAAAAAATTTTATCTATAATGAAGCAAACAAACGGTGAGAATTAATCTAAGCAAAAATGTTCAAATAAATTTTTATAATTGTCAATTATTATGTTTGAATGCGAACTCAATTAAAGCAATGTATCATTATATTCTATTTTATATCTAGGAACGCAAGATTGTGGATATGCCATGGCACAAACGCAACGGCGAGGGAACTGAAAAAGAAGTACCGTATTATCCTGGTCTACCAACAAAAAGGACACCAATAAAAGGTATGAACTTTTTTTAATGAATCTTTACTAATTAGTATACAAATTCCGTAGCTTGTGCACTGACACTTTGTTGTCTGGTATGTATTGAAAAAACCTGCAGTCTACAGATTTGGATTGCTTAAAAATTTTTTTCGATATTAACTTTGAAATAATTTTTTTATTCATGCCTCCACCTGCTTTTTTTACTATATTTTTCTCTAAACCTACAAGTGAAATTTTTTTTATTGAACTATTTAATGATCTTTTTCAACGGAGTGATGAGAAATTTTTAAGCAATGGATGTAATAAAAAAAATTGTGCTCTTACTGAAGAAGAATTTGAGCAATAGAAAGGATGGTCCACAATGATTTAAAAATTATCCAGAGAATCAATTATTTATTTACAGTGAATTAATACCTCACTTTTTCTATGACGATTATTAAGAGCTACAAAAAGTGAAACAGAATTGTTTATCATGCTGTTTCTTATGTGAGTTTTTATTTTTTTCCATATTGATTGAATAACTGTGACGATAAGTGATTTATTGGCTGTGATAGCAATGACAAATAAAGAATGTGAATTATTTAATTATAATGTGTTAATGTTGAAAACCAATGGGTTTATGATAAAAAATATTCTACAGCTCTATGTAAAATATGTCGTAATTGTCTGGTCGTCGAACCCCGAAGAACATTGGATACATTCAGCTACAAAAAATTATTACTTAAAAAATAATGATTTAATTAGTTAACCTAACTGAATAATTTATCTATTTATTTTATCGACTATCAGCCAAATGCAGTATATTAAGCAAATATTTTAAAAAATGTTGAATATTATTTTGTAATTTATTCTATGTATAAATTGTTGTGATATGTTAATAATAAATAAAATGTTACAGTAACTTTCCCTTATCCTCATTGCAGACTTGCAGATTTCGTCAAAGGATTGATTTTAAATTGCCGTCTTATTTCTCAGTCATCTTTTAATGTACTATCTTTGTTTTCAGTGACTTGAATGTATCGAGGCTGAACACAAGGTCATTCTTTATGAACTTATGAATATTTGTCTGTTTCAAAGAGTGAATTTATTAATTTGGCTTTATTTTTGGGTTATAGGATTGCAATTCTTCAGCCCGGCTACTGCTTGGTATTGTAAACTCTGCGACTCCTGGATAGGTGATCTGCACTGTGCGAGTCTTCATCTTAAGTCAAAACGTCACTCTGAAAATTATTCTGTACGTTTTATTTTTTTATTTAATCATTGAAAGTAAAAATATAGCTATTTACCATTCAAATAATTATTTAAATTTACAGCGATTCGTGGATCAAAATCCACACTGGGAAACTGATTGGATGGCTGATCGTGAGAAAGCTTTTTCTGAAGAACGCCAAAAGCAAATGCAGATGGAACTTCAAAAGCAGAAAGAGGATGAGCCTTCAACAAAGCCTAAAAAATCAAAAAAATCAAAGAAGAATAAAAAAAAATCAAAAAAACGAAAAAACAAAAGTAGCAACAGTGATAGTACTAGTGATTCTGACAATTCTGAATCCGAATCTGATCAAGATACATCTAAAAGTATTCGTGTAGCAATGAGAAACAAAATGAAATCTTCAACTCAAGCTATTTTAAATGAAGAAATCGATTACCATGGTATTAAACTTAAAGGGCACTGGGTTACCGGAAATAAATCCTTAAATCCAGAAGCTCCATCACAAGAGAACGATGACCGTCAGTTATTAAATTCAATTAGAGATAAATTAAAAGCTAAACAGGAAGAAGAAATGAAAAGTCGAAGAATAAGTTCTGATCAAATGCAAGTTGAACCAGAAGATGATAAATATGCACACAAACCTGATCTTGGTGTTGAAGCTTGGGGTCCAAAAGAACCTCCTAAATCATTTTGGATCAAAAAAGACGAAGAGAAGCAACCAATAGCTACAAAACAAGTAGACATTCCAAAACCTGAAGAAATGCCAAAACCTCATATGGGTTTTTGGACAAAACAACAAGTAAATATGACTGTAAAACCTCATGAAAAATCATCCGATAAAGAAGATGATCGTGATCGTGATCGTGATCGACATAAAGATGATCGTGACAGAAAGTATGACCGAAGAGATGACAAGTATCATAGCAGATATGATAATTATGATAGACGACGAGGACGAGATAGGGATCGTGACAGAGATCGTGATTATTATGACGATCGAAGAAAAGATCGTAGAGGAGATGATTCTCCACGCCGTGATAGAGGATGGAGAGATAGTCCAAAGAGGGGTTATGATAAGTACAAAGATAGAAGAGATGACGAATCGAATGATGAATCGAAGTATGATAAAAAATCGAATGACTCAAAAACAAAAAAAGGTCAGGCTCCAATGAAGAAACAGACTCCACAATCCAATAAGGGAAAACTTCCATTTATTGGACGATTACCTCTATTCAAAAAAAAGGGCGATGATCTTAAAGGAGGAGAAAAAGACATTACACCTTTGCCTTACACACAAAGTAAGTTTGAAGATACTCCTAAGGTTCCAAGTGAAATAATTAATCCGCCAGGCGTAGTTCACATCACAAAATTAGCTACTCCAGTAACAATGAATAACTCAGTGCCCCCCGCAAAAACACAGCAGTCTATGAAAATTCTTGTTGCTCCACCACCACCAGTTTTGAATTCCAACGCATCGAAAACAAGTGCAGTCCCAGCACCAGCTACTGGAGTTGTTGATATGGAAATTGAGGATCAATCTGAAGATACAATAATTGAAGAGCCTACAACTGAAAGTGCAGTACCTAAATCTGAAACTACAGAAAATTCTAATTCTAAAATTGAAGCTCCTTCGGTTACAACTGGAGCTGATACTGCAAATACTAATGTTTTTGCTCCAAGTCGACCTCCACCTTTCATTCCTACTAATCCACCACCATTTGTTCAAAATCCTCCTCGATATCCAGTGCGACCACCAACGGTTACAATGTCTACTTATACACATCCACCGCCAATGCAAACAGCATATGTTCAAGCCCCAACTCCAATGCCTCCGATGATACCGATGGAGACGCCAATTATAGATGGAACAGAAGTTGTTCCAGAACCTGAAAAACGTTCGACGGACCCAAGCACTCCACTTCCAGAAGATTTACAAGAAGCTTTAAATATAATTTTCCCTAAAGATGAAGCAGAAGCTAAAAAAGAGGCTCAATTGGACAATCATATAATGTATGCCACGATGTATAGTAGCATGCTTGGATGTGTTGGATATGGGCCTGAATATATGGATCAACCTCCACCGGAAATAACACAAGCTGATACCGAAACTGATACACAACCTGGACCTGATGATCTAAAAATGCTTGGTATTGACGAAGGCGATACAATATTTTAATAAACTGTTTTTCTTGCATCAGTAGAGTATTACAAAGTAGTTTTTTGAAATAAGAACTCAAATCATTAAAAATGATATGTTTGATTGATCGTAAATAGTTTAATGAAAGTGAGGTACGATAAAAAAAAAATTACTATGGGTGATGTAATGATTTCATTAGATACATTGTAACACTCCAATTTTAATTATTAATATTGTAATATCCAAAATGGGTATATGCATAAAAAATACAAAAATTAATTATGTGTGCAGTTATTTATTTCCATTACAAGTTATTTTTTGATAAATAGATGTAACATCCATTTTATATTTGTAAAATTTTAAATGCTTTTAACTTTTTTAGGCTGCTTTTAGGTCAATAGATAATAAATTAAAGCATCAAATATAATCCATTTTACATTTACATTACATATCAATTGTGAATTACGTCCAACAGGTATACATATATAAATTGACATGGATTTAAATTTCCCAATTATTACAGAAAACTATAGATTACACTCAAATATACAGATAATAATTAACAATAGGCACTCCCACTTTTTTCCTTATTATAAACAAATGCATTTTGATAATTAAATTTAATTTTTTTTCTTATTTCTTATAAATTTATTTATTAAGTTGTGTAAGTTTTGATAGATTTAATATAATTTTTATTTATAATTAAAAACAGCATATTAATTATGAATAATATATTATTCGTTATTTGTTGATGACTTAAATTATTACCGATCAATTATTAAAGCTCAAATATAACAAATCATTTTAATATATCAATTTAAGTTACAGTTGATTGTACAGTTGCGTTTTTCTTTAATTAGAACTTTTTGAAAAGTAAAATAGTTTTTTTAATTACGTGACTAATTAAAATTATTTTTAAACCTATAACTTACAGCTACTTACAATTAATGTGTTATTATGAAATAGTTGATCATTAATACAAGATTAATGATGATAATAAATTAGTATAATGTTTCCTGATTTAATTAAGGCCTGAAAGTATTGATATACAATGGAGAAATGTGTTATCAGTTATTTTATATCAGTTTATCACAATGTCTGTTCTATACCTTAATTCATGGAAAATGTTTTCGAAATAGATAAATATGTAGTTCACTTTAGTAATTTATGTAATTTAATTATTGGTAAATTAATTCATTAATTAATATTAATGGCACGCTTACGATACAATTTATAAAATTGATCGAAATATTTGACATAGATCTTAAGGCTGTTGTATCTTGCTTCACTATTGATAAAAAATGTTTTATCAATTTTTTAAATTATCAGTCTACATCTGGAATGATCTATTAAAATATCTCTAATTTAACTATTAAAATTTACACAATCAGGAATGCTATTAAAGAAATTTCAACATTAACATAATATTAATTGTAACACATATTTCTTGGTTGATATCTCAGTTTTTTATCATTATAGAAGAGTAATTAGATCTGAAGAACTAAACCTGCACTGGAAATGTTATCTCCACCTCCAGCAGTCTGACTTGCTTCAGTGCAAACAAGTACTGGAGCCACACAAATTTCTACTGTATATTCCGTTGTGTTTGCTTTCAATATTTCATCCCAACAAGAAACTGGATTCTCTATATCCAGTGGTATTCTTTTCCCTGAGACTTTAGATGTCGTAAAACTTTCATCCATTATTAAAGCTGCTTTATTGACATCAATCTGTAATATTAAAATAATAATTCCTCAATGTTTTAAATAATAAAATAATAAATTTTTAAAAATATATCTCAAATTTTTTTATTTGAAAGGCATTCAATCGCAATCATATACCAAAATGAAGTTGCTGATGATGTTTTAAATAATGAAATACTTTGCGTGATAAAATTGAAATATTTACTGTTAATATTTGATTCCTTTTAATTTGTGTTTATTTTTACTATAATCAATTAATTAAATATTTTCAACTTACGATAGACGTTCCACAAACGTGACGATGAGCAACAAGGGATGCTTTAGCAGCAGCAGCCATAGTGTTTTTCCATTTGGAATTTTTTACAGTTAAAATAGCTTGATATGCTAAAGTATGGACATGAATCCTTGTTAAATCTCGCGCATGTTTAACATGCATACTTTTTGTACGTATAAGTTTAAACAAAACTCTCATATAATCAAGAATAGTAGCAACTCTTGGTGTAGAATCAGCCACGAATGAAACATTCCCATAGTTTATGGAATGATATAAATTAGCAACTTCTTGCTCATTCATTCCTAGGCTGTCAGCAAATGGTAAAACCTTGGTTTGGAGTTCAACCAGTAAATCTTTTTCTACAAATGATGCCATTTCAAAATGAATTTTTGTCGTTGGTGCTTGATTAATCATTTGATTCATTATTTTGTCAATTCTTGCACTTCTGATTCCTTTTAAAAAAAAAATAGGAAGTTGAACATTATACTAATGTTAACGAGTGATATGTTTAAAATTGAATAAAATTGATAAAAACTAATTTACCTTTACCAAATGGATAACTGTCCATCATTTGAATACCACTTACTACAAATAGATCAGGCTTATATTCTGGCAGTAAATTATCGAAATATTCTAATGAGCTAATCGTTGGGTTATTGGCATCATTATGAATTATAAATCTATTAGCACGAGGAGTAGTGTAAGGACCCCATTTTTCTCCTCGTTTATATTCTAAAATTAAATGCACATCATCCCTATCAGCGTCACCACCGACAATCTGAATACTATCAGGGATCATTATCTTTAAAGATCGAGTCATTTTTGAAGCTAATAATACATCGCAGCCTTCTTTGGCAAATCTCATTGCCATTATTGGAGCATTTCCACCGATGGCTGAATAAGATGATGGAAATGATTTAGCTTTTTTTACTAATTCATCAAAAAGTTTCTCATTGTTCATATATCGTCTGAAACGAATTAAAAAATTAATAGTATTATTAAATGTAATATAGTTTAGTTTGAGATTGTCGCAAAACAGGTTGTTAATGTTAAAAAAAATTTTTTATTCAATACCGGTTGTGTTTCACAATTAAAACTGTATGAATCTAAGTAAATGTGTTTAAATACATAGCTTGAAGTTATTATTAACATTATTAAAATTTTAAAGAAATATACAATGAAAAGAAAGCTCGAAGGCCATATGATATTACCGATTCAAAGTCGTAAAATATTATTTTGATGTTGAAATCATTAAATTTGAATGAAAAATACTAGTCTATGTAAAAAAAATATAATTACTTACTCAGAAGCAGCTCCATGTCTAAAATAATACGCAAAACTTTTCATCAACTCTTCGTATGTGCTGATTTCGTCAAAATGTTCTGGAGGTTCAATCTCTGAAGAGTAGTGTAATAAATATTTTGCTTCAATGAAAACATCAGTACATGCTCCATAACCTATTGCTACTTTCGGTCGCACTTTAATCTCATTTTTTGTTTCAATATTTTCTAAACCGTGAAGTACTCTTGTGACTCGAATTTGTAATTCATCATTATTATGTCTAAAAAATAATGCAATTAAAACTACTAAAATCGTTAAAAAAGTCCCGAATTTCAATTGTTTGGATGCCATAGTCATGGTTTAATTTTTATATTCTATTTATTGTAAACTTGTTTTCCTATTCTAACAGCAACTATGATAAACTAATGACGGTTAGAAATGAAATGAACAGTATTAACACTAATGATCTGAATTTTAATAAATTAGTTTACTGATTCTGACGTTTATGAACTCGGCATCCCTACCAAGGAAGAAGATATTTCTTCCATCTAGAAGTGAGGAAACAAATAATTACGTTTATCCATTTTTATAAATTATCAACAAACAGTAATTATTGACTCAATTCAATGTGCGCAATTGATTTGCGCATGTTGTTGATTTTAACCTTAATATTTTTAAAATTTTTAAAAAATAATTTATAAATAATTGGTTACCATTAATAGTATTGATTCATCGATAATTGTTTTGATCGATAATAATTTTCTTACTTATAATTATCATAAAGTTATCGTTCATTTTGTTACAAATGTTATTTTTTCAAAAATTAATTTATAATTATATTTTAAATAAATAAATAATTTATTTATCAGTTTTCAATGTATTGTGTCATTACAATCTCATCATTATTATATTGTTTTGTTACATCTTTATCAGTAAGCAAAACAGGAATTAAAATTTCAAATAGCATATTTTTAGCTTATTTCAGAAATAGTTTTAGGTTATAATTCATACAAGTTTTGCTTTAATTGTTATCAATGACGAATGAAATTTTTCACAGTCGTAAGAGTGTATTCTAATATCAACTAATAATTAATGACAAATAACATTTTTATAAAAAATATTGTAAATCAACACAGATGACACAATTTAGTAGAATGATTGTTTTTAGTAAATTGTTACGAAGAGTAGATTATATTAAAAAAATCAATATGTGCTCCAAAAATATTTTTTATTTACTAAAATCAAATACATCGAATGTTAAGAATTTTAACATAGTAAGAATTTATCATACATCAGTTTATAAATCAAATGTGAATGTTTTTAAGAATGCAACATCCAAAGATCTTCAAAAATTACCTAAAACAATTAATAAATCAGAATTAAAAAGATTATTTGAATTAGCGAAACCTGAACGATGGAAACTCATGACTGCAATAGGTTTTTTAATAGTTTCATCAACAGTTACAATGGCTGTACCTTTTTGTGTAGGAAAAATTATAGATGTAATATATGTCGAAGATAAAAATAAAACGAAAGAGAACTTAAATCGTTTCTGTCTTATTTTATTCGGAGTATCTATGATTGGTGGCTTATGCAATTTTGGAAGAATATATTTTATGTCAACTTCAGGTTATAGAATTACTCAAAACTTAAGGAAGAAAGCTTATTCAGCTATTCTTAGTCAAGAAGCTGGAATGTTTGATAAAATGAGTACTGGAGAATTAGTGGGAAGATTAACAGGTAAAATAATATTTTATTTTTTATTTATTTTTCCTTACTGTTTACTTTTCAAAAATAATTAAGTCGTATGCACATTACTAATTACTCTAAATTTTTTTAGGTGATGCGCAATTAGTCAGTGCTGCAGTAACTAGCAATATCTCTGATGGTCTTCGTTCTTCCATTACAACAATAGTTGGTACTTCAATGATGTTCTACACTTCTCCTCCACTAGCTTTGGTGGGCTTGTCGATTGTGCCAATTATTGCAGGATTAATTATCACTTATGGCCGGATTGTTAGAAAAATATCAAAAGACGTGCAAAATAGTCTTGCAGTTTTGAATACCACCGCAGAAGAAAAAATTAGCAACATTCGAACTGTAAAAGCTTTTGCTCAAGAACAAAATGAGATTAAGCGGTATTGTTTAAAGTTAAATGATTTATTAAATTTATGTTATAAAGAAAGCTATTATCGAGGAATGTTTTTTGGATTATTTGGATTCTCTGGAAATGCCATTGTTATATCTGTTTTATATTACGGTGGATTTATGTTATCAGACTCTTCAATAACTATTGGAAATTTAAGTGCTTTTTTGATGTATGCAGGATACATTGGGATTTCATTAACTGGAATATCAAAATTCTATTCAGAATTAAATCGAGCTCTTGGAGCAAGTACAAGGCTCTTTGAGTTAATTGAACGTAAGCCTAAAATTCCTTTTGAAGGTGGAAAAATTTTAGACAGACCTCTGACTGGAGACATTATTTTCCAAAATATCAACTTCGCCTATCCAACAAGAGAAGGCAATTTGATTTTGAAGGACTTTTCACTTCACTTAAGTTCATGTTCAATAAATGCAATAGTTGGACCATCCGGTTCCGGAAAATCAACAATAGCTCTATTACTTTTAAGACTTTACGATCCAATTTCCGGAGACATTCTACTAGATGGTAATGATATGAAGATTCTTAATCCGTTATGGATAAAATTACAAATTGGATTTGTAGCGCAGGAACCGATTTTATTTAATGGAACAATTAGAGAAAATATAAGTTATGGAACAAATGAAGTGAATAATAACGATATTATTGAAGCTGCAAGGATTGCTAATGTATTAGAGTTTACTGAAAAAATGACCGATGGATTAAATACAATAGTCGGCGAAAGAGGAGTTACTTTAAGTGGAGGACAACGTCAAAGGATTGCAATAGCTAGAGCTTTAATCAAAGTAAGTAAAGCAATCATTATTTCACATGTGATAAATAATAATTAATGATGGTCGAGAATAAAATAATTATTGTTACAGAATCCAAAAATTTTAATTTTGGATGAAGCAACAAGTGCATTGGACGCTGAAAGTGAAAATTACGTGCAAGAAGCTTTAGAACGAGCTACTAAGGGCCGCACAGTTTTGATTATTGCCCATCGATTAAGTACAATTAAAAATGCAGATAAAATAGCGGTGCTTGATCAAGGTCGAGTAATTGAAACAGGAAATTATACAGATTTAATGCAAATTGAAAATGGATTATTTAGAAGATTAATTAAGTATCAAACATTTAGTTAGAAAGAATAATTAGTTTATTCTATTTCCTAATTTATATAAATTTTATTGGTAGAGCAAAAAATATAAACAATATTTATATTAATTATCAGTTACCTTTTATTTACTTTTTTGTTTTAAATGGATTATGTAAGAATTGAGTGTTTGATAATAAATTATTTTGTTAATTCTATTGATTTTTTTGGTATTAATTGATAATTTATTATCGATAAGCATTGTCAACTATTATATAAGGTCAATAAATTATTGTAACAGCTATTTTTATAATAATCTGTATATATTTTTCTATAAAATAATATACACAGCTACCTTAAATTATAACATTACGCTTACTACTTTTAGCTCGTTTCAAAATTGATCATGAAATTAAAATGAATGTGTACCCCGTGAATACCAATTTTTGTTTATTATACACTGTAATGTAGTTTTTCAAATATGTCGATTCTTTCATTGATCAGTTCGCGTATGAACTTTTTTCTATTGCTTTTAATTATTATTTTTACAATTAAAATAATTTGTTCCAATGAACATTACATAAAATCAATACAGCATCAATCGAATAATTTCGTAGAGGCAGAAACCGTATAATTTATGTTATATAATTAAGTCACATCTTGAAACATATCATTCATTTATAGGCAGTGTCATTAATCATTATGAAATTGGAAAAAACTTTTAAGCCACTGACAATATTCATTTTAATCCATTTCAGTAGCACGATTGACAGAGATATGATATATGATTAATACAAGAACATTTTCCAAAAAAACAAAAATTTCATTTTAATGTAAATTAATAAATCATTATAATTACATCAATAAATACGAAATAATTGAAAATATTATAGTCCATTAAGGCATTAATAATTTAGAAATAACCACAAACACAATAAACTGCAGGATACATATCGGTAAATTAATTGAAAAAATTAGTAAATTATTAGTATTAATAATTGTAATATATATATATTCATAAACCAACATTAATGATAAATTTGTCATTGTTTGTTTTTCTTTTATTTGTCAGGGCTTGAAAACCGCGATAAAAAAATAAGTCATGATTTAATTTCATTGTTTTTATTAACTTCTCAATTCTCCACTTTCTTCTTCCATCGGCTCATCTTGTTGAAACACTGGCATTACCTCTTCATTATCTACATCCATTGATTCCGTTGGTTCGTCTTTTTCCATCGGGGTAATACTTGTTGTTTCTGAATGTTCAGATGAAATTTCATTTTTTAAATTATCATTTTTTACTTCTAAGTTTTCTCCACTTGTATTTTCAATATTATTTTCTTCTAAAAGTTGGGGCTCTTCTTCATTCTTTGGACAACTATCAATTTTATTCATTACTGTAGTAGTTGTTGATGTATCATCTCTAGGTTCTTCAATAATTGGAATTGGGTCCGGAACTAATGTATTATTAAATTTAGTATCGTCGTCCATAGCTTCTTCAATAATTACATTACTGCTATGTTCATCCGACTTAGAATTTTCGTGAGAATTTTCATTAAATGGTTCTATTACTGGTTCTTCAACTATAGGTTTCGGTATGTCGTCTGCTGAGCTAGATAAAGAAAAATCTTCAGTACTTTCTTCATTAGATTCTTTTAAAGTCTCTGAATCACTTGACGAAGTAGAAACATTTTCGGAAATATTTTCTGCTGGATTTTCTATTTGAGTATCATTGACTTTACATTCAGATACACTTGGTTCATTACAATTTTTATCTATATCGTCATTCAATTGCTTAGTAGATGAATTAATCGATTCATCTACCACTAAACTTTCTTCATTATTACACTCTATTGATGAATAATTTTCACTATCTTCCTTTTCAATTGGTTCTGATACATTATTATCTAATTTAACTCGTTTCTCAGGAGTCTCTAGTTCTAAATTATTATCAACGGAACAATCGATTTCTTTTTCGTTCGGATGAATTTTTTCTTGATCTTCTTTATTAGCTTCTATATCATTATGCGTTAAATTTTCTTTAACATTATTAATTTCTGGATAATAACTTGAAGATTTTTCTTCCACTTTGCCAAAATCTTTTGATTGGAACGTAGTCTGTAATTTTCGGCCGCTATTATTTTCAGATTCATCATTCTCTGATTCTAAAGACGGCTGAGAGCTTGTATCTTCATTAATTATCGCTTCAGGAACTTCATTAACAATACCTGAAACTTCTTCCGAATTGGCATTTACAATATTGCTATTACAAAGTATTGATGTCTCGACAGGAGGCGTTGAAAGAACCGGAGAATTTGACATTTCATGTGCTGCAATAAAATTAGATACTGATATATCAAGTCTAGATGATGTTGACTGATCCTTGTCATTAATAACAGACAAATTTTCATCAGTATTGGCATTTTTCGATAATTTATTAGATGGTAGAACAGTTTCTACTAAAGGAACATCATTCTCTACCGATGGAAGTGATACTGTTGATTCTGTAGTGCAGTCTTTAACCCAAGATTCCATTTCAACTTCATGAGCAGACTCTGTATTTGGTGTTTCTTCATCAATTGATCCATTAATCATACTATCTCCATTCTCATTTCTTCTAGCTGCTAGTCCAGGTTCTTTTGTAGATACTACCAGTATGTTTTTTTCAATAGCTCGCATAAATTTATCGACACGATTATATTGTTTACGTGGTGCCGTTAATAATTCACATATCCTTTGGACCGTAAAGGGTGCACTAGGGAAAGATTCCAAAAGTTCAAGTAGATTACACTTCATTATGTCATAATTAAAGTGCTCCAAATTAGGACTTGATGCTAGATCAAGAGCTGGACAATTTTCATAGAAATCAGTCATCACTTTGACTAATTTTTCACGGAATAATGGTTTTATCAAAGACCATTGGTAAACAGGATCACCTGTCTTCGCAACAAAACAAAGATAATCCTCCAACTCACGCGGAATCTCTGACGGCCGCATTTTAGAAAACTCATCGAGTGCTTGTAAAACTTCTTCTGGATTATCCATCTTCACTATTCTTTTTATAACCTTACCCCCTCCACCCGTAAATCAATTGAATTGTAAAATTTTTGTAATAATAATAGATAAATGAGCACAAAACAATTTTCTCAAACGGGTTGTCTACTGAACGCAAACACACCGCAAGCCAGTCCGGCAAACGGTTACGTTAGAAAGTCAAACGAATAAAATTAGCTGCAAGTCATGTCAGGTTGGCAAACAACTCCAAGTAGCGCGAAATTTAAACTTCAAAAATTTTTTATAATCGTGTTGATGATTGAATTGAAACAGAACATTTGATAACATTCAGTAAATGAACAATGTTGTTGACATTCATTATTTATTAAATAAATCATTGAAATGATTAGAAAAAAGTTGCTGACAAAATCAAATTTTATTAATGACAGTTCATTATTGAATTCACATTTATACCATAATGACTTGATGAAATATGCATAAATAGTTATCAAGGATTTATATATCAATAATGGCAAAGTGATTGTGTATAATTTCAAAGAAGATTAAATAATTTTTTGCAATTATAGGAGGAAGACCAATATACAGTAAATAATTATAAAAAACAATTTTTTTTTTTTTTGATTTTTAAATTATAAAGGTACGCATGCATTGAAGATGTAAGTACTTGAAGCACGCAATTCGAATATTTTTACTGATTGTAAGTTATTAGGGCATAAAACGATGATGAAAAAACTATAAATGATCGGAATGTCCATAATACAAAAACGAAATGCATACAAGGTAAACTTCGCACATAAAAATAAAGCTAAAATATTAAACTAATGACATAAAAAATTGATAAATTTGTCAAACAATGGATTAAATAATTCGTTAATGAACAATTTCAACAATTAAGAGTATCACAAAAAATAATTAATGAATAAATATTACACGCAGCAACGAGCCTTTTTAAAAATGTACAAAGTTTTTTTCAGGTCTACGTTTGTTTAGCGCCAATGAACATTTATGACTTATATAAATCTATGCGATCTCTATTTTCAGATCATTCTTAAATATTCACCCTTATTTTTATAATTAATTTCACCTAAAAATAAAATGTATTAACAATTATAAAATAAATGTTTGATTTGATGAAAAACTGATACGCCGTGGTGATCAACATCCGCAGAAAATTTCGTGCAATTTTCAACTATCACTCCATTTAATTATTATCTGTATCTTTAGTACTTAACACTTATCATAAACCAAACGAGTAATTACTGAACAATTACTCTGACTAGATTTTGTATCTTCTTCAATTATTCGTTTTTTGACTTAAGGGTATTTGTTGCATTCGTTATGCCTTCATTTCCACCTTGTCGAATTTTAGCTTGTTGTCGCAATTGTGCACGTTTTAAGCTAGTCATTAATTGACTTGATTGATAGAGCCAACTTGCCTGAAAGTAATTTTTTTTTACTTGTTCTGCACAAGCATTAAAATAATTGCTCTAACATTAACTTATGTAGCCAGTATTTTACTTTTTTACATTATTAGAAAAAAAAGAAATTATACATACCACCATTATCATACAGTTCATTAAAATTGGTACCGAAAATACTATTGATATGAATAAGCCCTTGGAATCGAAATATTGTTGTCTTGAAAAGGCCCTAGAAAATTTTTAATTAATTTAGTTAAGTTAAAAACGCACAATAATAAAATAAATAGGCTACATGAATAAGAGATAACTTACATCCAATTGCTTGCGGCGGCTTCATTTATACTTTCAGAAAAATAAACTAAAAGTACTAAAAAATAAATAAATTTTATTCATTGTAGTTATTATAAAGAGATATATCGTATTCATTATTTAAATAAATATTAAAAGAGAATTGTTCAAATCAACACTTACGAAGTACAAGAAATAATAAAATTTGGAAGTTTGCATGATTTCTCGTCATTAAGGCAGTCATAGTCACTGCTATATGAAATGCTAGTAAAATTGCTAGCCATGGATCTTTCCATTCAATCTGTAACAATTTCAATAATCCTATATTCAAATAATTTATCAATTCACTTTAATATTATACTCGGTACTAGAGTTTATTTGATTTTACTTTATTTTATATTTTCGAAGTATCAACTATCATTGGCTGTTTTACATTAATTTCTGAAAATTCTAATTATTTTTATTGTTTTATGATACAAAATATACAAATGGTTTTTAACTATAAGAAGACATACTGATACATTTGATCATCTTAATCATAAATCGATGCGTGACATCATCATATCATCATTAATAGAACGAAAGGCATGGCACTTTCGAAAACATATACAAAAAGTAAAGAATATTTTTTGAAGAAATTGTAACATGTAACAAAAGGACTAAATCTTTTCATAAATATTGATTTATTTTTAGTAAATAATGCGGTTGTTTGATTCGAAATATAACCTGCATAATGCATAACCTGTTAAATTAGGCACTTGATATCAAGTATTTCTGATAATAATAAAAATTACAATTTAAGGCAACTTACACTTTGAAGAAATGGCCAGACACCATCTATTGTATCTGTTGCAATAAAATCAGAACTCGACATTTGTTTAATTTTTTTGAATCTGTGATTTTAATATATTTTTGATTGATAATAAATGTTGAAAATGCACTCATCAAAATGTATCGTCATTTACTCAACTAATACTACTATGAAAACTCACTGATACTGCGCACTGACACACATAATTATTTAAATATCGAAACCACTCTCAAGCAGAGAGAGAAGTCTTTTCTCTGTCTCAAGAATGATATCAACAAAAAAGACACCGTTATTATTTTCAGTAGATAATGAATAATTAATCTGTTTTTTTTTTATATCTCCCTCAAATGTTAACTATTTTTTCCTTATTTTTAGGGAAAAAATCAACGTATTCCTGTACTCAAAAGATATAAAGGAGACTAGCACTATCTTTGTTTGAGGGAAAAAAGCTGTCAGCTTTCTAACCTAAAAATTTTTATGATGTCAACATACATTGACATCATAAAAATTAGTTTAGCCATGCAAACAAAAAAGACATCTTACCTGAGTGTAAGGCACTGTCGCTTACAGCTCGGGTAGTAATGCACTCACGTAAAAAATGCCTTTTTTTGTTCCCTTAGTTAACAACATGTTTTTAAACTCTAAAATATACATAAAAAAGTTAATTAATGAATTTAAAATTATTTCGACATAAATTATATCCAAATAAAAGTTAGTCAATAATAAAGCATGATAAAATGATTAGAATTTTTTATTGCTCAGAATCAATAGATAAAAAATTTTCTACAATCTATTATCTATAAATAAAAAAGTTAATCTCTAGTTGCATGTACATAAATTTCTCTCAGTAATGTACATTTTTTTTATATTTATTTTCTGTTTGAATACATTTTCACTATTGGTATGTAAAACCATTAAAAATCTCCAACATTAATAATTTTTTTAAGATTAAAAATTAGTACACTTGATTATTTCAACAAATATATCATCCATTAAAATTATGTTGAATTTTTTGTATTCTTTATCCAAAAATAATCATGATTAATGTAGAAATATAGATTTGAATTAGAAGATTTGTTAAGTATTTAATTTAGATTCATTGTTCGATGGTCTCGCTGGTATACCAAGGTATGCAAGGCGTCGCCAACGAAGATCATCGGGATCTGGAGTTGTTGGAGCTGTCACACACTCTAAACTTAATTGTAAGGCTTTTCTCAACTCATCATCTTCATCTTCTTCCTCTTTCTTTGACGTATTTCCTCTACCACCATTCACATCTAACCTCATTGTTAATTGCTCATTCGTTTCATCTTCATCAACATCTTGAAGCGATAATTCTAATGCTCTCTGTAAATTAGCAGCATCTTCATCATTCGAATCATCTTCTAGCACTATGGGGATAATTCGCTCTTTAGGTCCATTAGAAGGGGGATTTGAACTAGTAGAACTCCATGAAGAGGAAGGTACTTTTACTCTCTCTAATGCTGATACAGCCTGTTGTATTTTAGCCTGCTCATCTTCTTCAGCCGTACCTAATCTATACCCTACAGAATCAAATTTCTTAGGTACTTGAGAGATTGATTTTGATTTCGAAGTAGCAGAAACTGGATTTTTGAGTAAAATATCATCAGCAGGACATGGTGGTAAATCTCCAATAACAATAAAAATGGAGTAACCTAATAATTAAGAATTTTATCAATTTTATATCAAATATTATATTTATGTAATAAAAAAATGTTGAGTTGATCCATTTTATAATATCGAATTTACCTTCTTGAATCAGCTGCGCAAGATACATAGCTAAATAAGTGTCCGATAAGAGCTGTGGACCACTTAGAATAGAATTCAAATTAAACCATTGATTACCAATTTTTCTAATTGTAAACCAGTGACCTTTATAATTGCATATATAAGCCCGCATTTGTCTATAAAAAAAATAATAAATATATTCTCTAGTTAAGACATTGGGTATTTTTAAGTAATTTACTATTGGTGAAAGATGGAATAACGTACGAAGGATTATTTTGTGCTGTAAGTGCTGTTGGTTCAGTACTATTGTAGGGAATTAGCTCCAGTCCCCATACTTTCAATGCACTGCTTATCACTTGTACCGAAAAGTATCCACTATCGTCCATATTTTCTGATGGTTGCTAATATTGTACATGAAAAAGACAATCTGCCCTATATTAAGGTTGTATAAAGTTAAATCCAAACGAAGTACCTCTAAGAATTGTCTATAATCTTCGGAATCAACTCCTGACTCTGCCATTCTTATCCTTTCTTCTTCATCCATTTGTTGAGCCAAGTTAGCTAAATCAACAGCATTGAAGTATGGTCCTTGAAGAAGAGCATTCAAACAATGTTGTGCACAAAGATAACCCTCTTGCTATAATAATATTAAGTTATTTATTGTTTTACAAATTTTTATAAACAATTTCTAGCTAATACGAAATTAATGAATATTTGTTTTACCTTTTCGTGAAATATACTCTCCATTTTTCGTTTTAATATAAAACTTCCAATAGACAATTCGCCAACAGTCACGTTCACCCAATTAGATTTCACAAATGTATAGCCATTCGAACAAACGTCATTCGTAAAAATATTTATTTGTGAATTCAATGATGAATGTAAACACCAAAAATCACAAATTTAAGATTTTCTACTCCATTTACTAATGTCTGTTGCACTAACAGAAACTAAAAAAACAACTAGTGATTCAATCTACGCACCATTTTTAGAAAGGTGACTAATACTCCCTCTAACTTTTATGATGATACAAGAACTATTATGTTACGTAACTCTATATTATCGATTGACTATGAATGATCATAGACATATGTATTACGCATAAAGGAGGCAAGCCAATCAGAAATGAGATGTCCCGGAAGAAAGAGATAAAAAATAACTGTATCGTTTCTATCCTTTTTTAAATAAACGGAATTTTCAAATTTTTGTAACTTTTTCCATTTTTTTTTGAAAAAATTAACTTATTTTGACTAATCGAGACAACTATTTAATTTTATTAATTACAGCAAAAAATGCCAAAAATATGTGTAATTTGTAAAAAAGAACCTATTCCGTATGATGATAGTCGAAGTTTTGACAAACAAGAAATGTGTTTTTTTTATATTTTAAATAATATTTAAAATTATATTGAATCAATTATCAAAACTGCATCTTATTATTACTTTTTATAATACGTATAAACTATTTCTTGATCGGTCGATTTTCTATGGATGATGTGTTAAAGCAGGAATGGATGATTGCTATCGCGAGAACTTCTATTTCGCCAAATTCATATGTTTGTAGTGATCATTTTACAAATGAGTCGTATCATCAGACTAATGAATACACGACTTTAAAACGATTATTATCAAATGCAATTCGTAATATAATAAAAAATCCAGAAGTACCATTAGACAGTACTATTACAGTTGCTGAATCAACTAATAAAGATGATCTTAATAGTCAATCTGGATACAGTGATATTAAAATCGAAATCAACAAACGGAAAAAGTTTTTATTTTAATCCTTACCTTTTATATCTCAATAATATCAACTAAGTTTCTGTCAAAGTCAATTTACTAAATTTTATTATATTTTTTCAGACCTTATCCTTTCACATTTAAAGATTTGACGAACAAGAAATTTCGTTTCAAAAATAGTGTTCAAACAGAATCCATCGAAAGAAAAGATTTCATTTATTTCTGATACAGCATGGGAACGATTCCTCAAATTAATGATTTATAAAAATAATCAAATAGCAGTTGTTCGTAACAAATATTTAAGAAAAAAAAAAAATTGAGAATTTAACGATAATAATTGAGAAATTAAAGATGAAAAATTTTGTAGCTGTTCATATTTACAGGTTTTTAAATAATATTTGCCATGAAAGGTCCTATTTTTCATAATAAGTCTGATAGTATAAAATGGGAATTTATAGAAAAATTAAATAATAAACAATATGCTGAAGGATTACACTGTGCATGCAAAATTAAAAATAGACATGTAAATTTTCATAATGAAAAAATGAAAGTTTTCCTTGCATAGCAAGTGTTAAGTTCAAGTGCTTCAGCAGTACTAAACAGCATTGTATGAATTGCATATTTGAATTTTCGGAACGTTATGTGAATTTTTGATTCATGTCAAATAACAAAAAATTTTGATTAGATGAGTAAAAACTTTATTTATATTTAACACTCTTCAATAAAATCTCCCATATCACTTACTTTAGGTGGAATTGTAAATCTGTTCATTAAATTATTGATATAATTCAAATCTAGCTGATAAGACAATAAAATCATTGAGAGATACATTGTTGTATCTTTTTTTGATAATAAAGATTCAATATTTGAGTCTACTAATCCAAGCCTAAAACAATGAAATGTTTTGATTTTTTAGTATAATAAAGCTTTCATTTTCTTAATTAATTATGTTTAACTTACATTTTTATAATTAAAAGAGATACTAGAGTCCATTCAGCGGTTTTAAAAACAATATTATTTGCTGTAAGATTAAATGTGCTGATTAATGTCTTTACTAATGACATACGTTTAGCAGTATACAGATATTCTGTTTGATTTGAACCGGTTAATGTTCGTAATACATCTGGTAATCTGTAACATTAATTTTTTCGAATTTTATCCGAAGTCATTTCACTGATTGTATTATAATAAATCAACAAAGTGATAATACTTACATTTTGTTGAGCTTATCAAGAACAATTCTTCTACGAAGAGCATTTGGAGTACGAGCATCTGTGAGAGGAATAATAGTACCTGATTCTTGATCGTTTTCTTCTTTATCGAAATTTTCTGCAGGAATTTCTGTTTCCAGTTGTCCACTATAAAAAGCTCGAACCTAAAACATTTATTTATTGCAATCATATCCTTAAATAAATACTTCTGATTTATTCATTTTATTTGAAAAAATAATAAATATCATTTACTTTGATTTCTAATTCTTTCGCTTGCTCTTTAAGAGTAGCATAGTGTGGTGCCGGTTTTAGATTTTCCGATATAGCTGATGTTTCTTGTTCTTCATCATCATCTTCAAATTGGAGCCGATCAAGTTTTCTACATAATGCATTATATTTATCATTGAACTCTCTTTTTTTAATCATTTCATTTGTCTCGGTTTTTTTACCAAATAGAAAATTGTAAGTGTCTTTTGTAACCCATTCATTAAAGCATCTCTCAAGTCGCGTTGATAATTTTTCAGTAAAAATAACTGGTTTTTGTACAGGCTTTTTCTTTCTGATTTTTTCTTCAGGAACTATTGTCTTTCCTATTGGTTTTTGTGAAGTAAAATTTAATTGTTTATCATTAACAGTTGAAATGATAGGCTCTAAAATTGTATTCGCTTTTTTAGCATCAGAAATTATTGTTGAGAAATTTTCTATTGATTTATTTGACTCAGACGATGCAACATCAGAATCTTTTTTAGGAAACTCTTGATTATATTCATTTTTATTAGTCATTTCATTTATATCATCATTGTTCATTGAATTTTTTTCTGTATCTATGTTGTTTTTTAAAATAAGTTGTTTATCTTGGCTTCTAGAACTAATTTCATCAATTTCATTTTTCGAACTCATTCGTCTAATTTTAGATACTTGATTTTTAGTCGTAACTCTTGTATTATTTTCTACATTATCATTACTACTTCCCTGCTCACTTTCTTCTTTTGTTGGTATATCATCAATATCAACAGGTAAATCTATACCTGTAATATTAATTTCTATACCAGGAGGACTATTTGCCCTTTTCTTACGTTTATCTAGTAAAGTAAATTTTGGAATTTCTTCTTCAGCTCTCAACCAAAGCGGACTCGTAAGCATCTGCATCAATAGATGATTCATGGCAGAATAACAAGTAAAACTACAAAAATTTTTCATCTTCTCCACATCATAAACTTTATTTTTCAAAGTTGAAATATGATATTTTTTGTTCACCACTTTTATTAGTTCATTATCACATAGAACATATCCACAAATTTTTTCTATAGCTCTTTCGTCAGCAACATCTTCTAAATGAGAACGATTGATTTGCCCTAGCTATGAAATTTACAATTAATTTTCTTAAGAGGAAGATATTTCTTAAGATAAAGATAGATTAATAAATAATACTTACAGCTTCTGTCATCCATTTAACATCAACTGAAGGTTCTATCAATCTTTTAACAATTTGAAGTGCTTTGGCTTCACATTCAGCTTTTTTTTTGAGCAGAATAGCCATAGGCATATTTCTAAAATAATTGACAATATTTATTTTTACTTTTAAATGATTAAAAGATTTAAATTCACCCTAATAAACTTACTTGACAGCTTTTATTCTGTGAGCTCGATTTACACGAGCTTTTCTTGCCTTAGTAGCATTCATGTTTTTAAATATTTATGATTAAAGTAATAAATCACTATTAATAATAATACATACAAGCAATTATTTTATTAACTTGATTTTTGTGTTTTAAATAATAATGATTTTTTGTCTATTTCAATGTTGTCATGATGCAATTGATTGTCAGAAGTATTGTGAGGTTATGAAAAAGAGGGCATGACAGTAGAAAATGCGCGGTGTACTGTTTTGCCAATAATAAATTTTACTCTAATCGTCATATTTAGCATTTAAATTATTTGGATTGAATCCAGAATAACAGTTAATATGTCTTTAATAAAAATACTTTGGGAAAGTGCATTTAGTCCACGTTTATTTAAATATCATGAAACTTCTTGGGTGAGTGGTGGTGGAGTAATGTTCTCTTTGAATAACTTTCTATCGTTCCTTCCAGTAAAAAGGTTACAATTAATTTATTTATTTTCAGAAAACATATGAACCAAATAGCTTCGAACGATGGGGCGATCATGTAATTACTTCAGTAAGTATTGAATGATTGTAAAAACCTTTCAAATATTTATTAAATTATATCCATTAGTTTACAGCAATATGGTCAATAAGTCTTTATGCTCTTCCTTTTATTGCAACATTTATGTACCGTCGAAGTTATTCATTAGCTGAAAATGCCTACACTTTTTCTAAATTGATTGCCGGTGCTGGAGTACTTTTGATTGCATCTCTAGCAATGAGAGGATATGCTAGAGCTAATAATCCTACATACGTCAAGTTTCTTAAAACTTTAAATAAAGCTAGACAAGCTTACAATTATGAATCAAAGCAAGATCTTCTTAAGTACGATTTCGAATTTTGGGCTTGGCCTAAAGATTTCGAAGTAGTTTCATTGGACAGGTAATATGTTTTTTATTATTTTTTATGTAAGACATAAGAATGAAGATCTTAATTTAAATTTTATACAACTAGACCGGATGGAAGGAAAAGAATTGTGTTGCAGAAAAGCTTCAATAGGTCAACAAGTGGAAGTGGGAAAAATTTAATATTTGCTGTACCTTGTAAACTAGTGTCTTATATTATTGCCAATACAGTTGCATTAAAATTAATGTATCCTGGCAGTATGACACTCATTAATATGGCGATGAGTAAGTTATCTCGATTATTAGAATTTGAAGATTAGTAAAGACTGATTTCAAAACTTTCTTACAGAATCTGCAATGCTTCAAGGGAGAATTGACCTTTTAGATCTTGGTGGACAGAGATCTAAACTTTTAACTTTTAACAAAAATGAAATTGACACTATGTTCATTGATCGACGTCACAAGTAATGTAAAACATGAATAACTTATTAATCAAGGATAATCGATTCTTATGACTGAATAGATAACTATTTACTAGGTCATCGAATGGTCACATTCTTGTTATAACATGTGAAGGAAATTGTGGTTTTTATGAAACCGGAGCAATGTCAACTCCATTAAATAAGGGATATTCTGTTTTGGGGTGGAATCATCCAGGATTTGGCGGAAGTACAGTAAGTATAATTGTATATAATACAATCAAGTAAATAAACTCATATCATTTGACATACTAGGGGTCACCATTTCCCGATGCTGAAATCGATGCAATTGAAGCAGTTATGAGATTTGCTATCGAAAAATTAGGTTTCCCAGAAGAAAGGATTATTGTTTATGGCTGGAGCATTGGTGGTTTTACTGCAACTTGGGCTGCAATGAATAATGAAGGAATTAATGGTTTAATTCTTGATGCAACTTTTGATGACGTCCTTCCTTTAGCTGTTGCTCGAATGCCCACAACTATTGATAGTCTCGTTCGGATGGTCATCAGAGAATATTTAAACCTGAATGTTGCTGAACAATTAAAAAGGTACAATATCCCTTGGAAATAATGAATGCAGAATTGTATAATTGTCTATATTGAAATTAGGTATAATGGTCGTATTTTATTAATACGACGTACAGATGATGAAATAATGTGTACACCAACCAATAGTTTATCGGACAATCGAGCAAATGCTTTACTTAAAAAGTTACTGATGCATCGTTATCCAGTTTTGTTTGCGGATTGTCGTGAAAGTTTAGAAATATTATCAAAATATCTAGAAAGTCCTCATGATTCTAGTGATAATTCTACAAAGTCTCTTGCTTCAAGAACCGAAAGTAAGTGGGAAGAAATTAAAAACAATAAATTATTAAATGATACTAATCATCATTTTTCAGGACTTTTTTCTAATGCGAAACCATTAAATGAGAGTCTATGTATAGAAATAATAAAAAATAATCTGGAGAAAAATAATAAATTAGAATATCCATCAACTTTAGGGGAAAATTGTGATTCTGAAACAAAACAACAACTTATTATTTACCTGGTATGTATTGTATGTTATTGATTATAAAGGAATATCTAACAATTTAATTTTTTTTTCAGGCAAATAAGTATATGGAAGATCAAGTGTCACAACATTGTACTCCACTCATTAATAAACTTTTTCATCCAGGATGGGATCCTCGAAGTTTGATACAAACGAAAACAACATAATAAATTAAACTAACTACATGTGGTGTGTGATACTTTTAATCAAAGAAGGTTATTTTATCTTCACATTTGTTCTGAGTGTCTTGATGCAAAACTGAATGTTTATCCACAAAGAAATTTTTTTCTTGTTGGACAACTAGCTAATAAAGTTTTGATATCTGTCTGTGGTGATGAAAATTGCTAAAAATTGAATATTTATTATAATTATAATTTTTTTGTTACAATTATGTATATATAAAAAAATAACAAAGATAAATTTAGAGTTTAATATTTTGAAATTTGAGACAATATTCGTGATATCGAGTTATCAATGAATCATTATTACTTTAATTTCTTAATACGTAAAAAGTGCCGCGCAGCAGTTTATAAACTAATTATTGAAAATAAATATAAATCTTTGTGATATTAACACCGTCGTATCCACAGTAAAAATAGTGTTTTAATTGATTTAATTATTTGCAGTATTATATTACAAGTTTTTATCCAAAATCGATTTCAAAGATGTTTTCACTTCCTGGAATGGATCGATAACTTTCTTCTTAGTTGGAAAAGATCTTTCAATAAACACTTTAAGAACAGTCCTTGTCAATGCTGGAAAGTAATTTTGCTGACTTACATTTTCAAGAGCTTTAAAGCAACCTTCTAAATTCCAGTCAACTTTTTCTGCTTTTTTATTTTCACCCTATGAAAAAATTTATTTCAGTAATGATATTTGAATTTTTTTGCTAAAAGATTATTTAATTTTCCATAATTGTTTTCATAACTTACTTTGATGAGTCCCAAGTGTACTAGAAGATTATTATTTATGTATGACATTCGATCATTAGTTGACGCGTAAGAAAATAATTGTGAATATAAAAGGTCTGTTAATTTTTCAGCTTCTATTCGAACATCACAATATCCACTTCCACATAAAGATGAAACTTTCATTATAACAGGCAATAGTTCATCAATATATTGGAACGAATCACCTTTATCATTTTCGTAGCTACGATTCTGAAAAAATATGATTGATTATAGATAATTAATACATAAATTTTTAGTGAATTAACTTACTTTTACATATTCTATAAGCTTTGTAATTTTGTCTCCTTCCACTAGAAGGAGATTTTCTCCAGTTGGATATTTAATAAATTCTTTAACATCAATTGGATTTTTCGGCTTAGGAATATTTAGTACTCCATTAGCTGTGTTGTGCTGTTTTACCATTACTTTACTTTCATCTTCCTCGTTTTCTTCACCATCATCTTCATCGCTTTCTTCATCATCATCATCGTCATCTTCATCTGCTGTATCTGTTTCTTCTGAATCACTTGCTTCGTCACATGTTGCATCCTCATCCAATGTTCCCAAAGAGTCAATCTTATCACTGTTTGTTAACATTTCTTTTAAAGTTGTTCTACCAGACTCTCCAAAAGCGTTACCATCCAACTGTAGACTCATTAATTGTGTTTTGTCAGCCATAGCACGAGCTAAATAATCTACTGCTTTCGTACGAATTTCATTAAACGTTAAGTTAAGCTCTATTAATGATAGATGATTTCCTTCAATTCCTAACGCCTCTGCAATAAGCATAGCTCCTTTAGTTTTCAACAAACAATCACCAAGATTTAAACTTTCGAGGTCTGGAAAATTCGGAAGGACTTCTGCAAGTGCTTGTGCACCTTTTGGACCAACTGTATTATCATTTAAATTTAGAATTTTTAAGCCTGGATTAGCAGAGAGCCCACAGGCCAAAGCTGCTACTCCTGTATGATAAATACCATTTTGTGGCATAACAACCTCCTCGAGTGTTCCAAGTTTTTCAAAAACAGCAGCAAGAGCTGTTGCACCATCATCTTCCAAACGATTTCGTCCAGCAATGAAGACTTTTAATCCTAATGGTTTTCCTTCTTTCGAACTATTAGCATGACAATCAAGCAATGCTTTTGCTAACATTTTTCCTCCTGTTATTCCCAAGCCGTTATTGTTCAGGCATAATTGTTGAAGAGTGTAGCACGTACTAGAACTTAAAAGAGTAGCTAAACCCTGAATTCCAATAGGTCCAAATGCATTATCACTTAGATCTAATTGAACTAATCGAGCACCAGCAGTATTCAATCCAACTCCAAGAGATTCTAAAGCCCGAGGAATTTCTGTTTTCATTCTTCCAGTAAACATATCTTTCCATAAAGCTCTTTTTAAATTACTTCCATGACTACTGAGTACTTTTGATATGGCTTCGGCAGCATCTGGACCTAAAGTATTTCCTTCCAGATCAAAATAATCCAAGCTAGGACATTTTTTAATTGCTTCACAAACTTGCTTAGCTAGAAATATAATTGACATTATTTAAAGTAGGTGACAAATATTAAGAAACGAACAATTGTCATTGAAAATAATTACCATCTTCTTCGGAATTGAGTTTCAACGATTTTCCAGAAAATGAAACGCCGGTTTCATTACTTTTAGAGTTATTAGCCTCATTTAGCTGTTCTTGAATATCCGCCAAATTGAATGACATCTTTTTAAACTTTTAAAACCACTTATATAAACAACACTTAAAAATTATTTATGAACAAATGATAAGTTACTCAAAAAATCAGATAACTTCTATGACTTTTCCTTTATCATGCAACCATAAATCCGTTGTAAATACAATACGATACAACCACGTTATGAGGCGGGAAATTTCTAGTAAACTGAACATGCAGTTTTCGTTTTACTCGTATACCTATGTATGTATATGTTTGATTTTATGGTTAAAAACTTTTTTTTTCTAAATATTATATTTTTGATAAATTATTATACAAAAAAACCTCTTCAATTAATTATATTTCTAATAATTTTATATTTTTATCATATATAAATTAACAAATAATACCAAATTAGATTAATTTTGCAAAATATTTTTTGTTTCAAATTAATTATTAGATCATTTTATAACAATAATTATTCGATTTTTTTGTCGATTAAGTTGTCATACTTGTTTTTATTTTAAACATAGCAAACTTCAGAATTGTTAAATCTAGTGACATCTATCGTTTTAAAATTAAGTAATGTCTACTGCTCATATTTTTCATCAAGTGTATTGCGTATAAAGTTAGAAAAAAATATTTTTATTTATGGTTATAAAAGTGTGTAGTTAATGTTAGAAAAACAGGATATATCTTTTTTAATATCTAGTTTATATAGTTTCACTATTCTTTGAATAGAATTGTCGAATGATTATTTAGTGTACAGTTTTAATAAATTGCTATTCACTCTGATTGTGATTCCAGCCATTTCATGTATTCAACGTTTTTAACATTCAATAGCATTAAATGTTACAAAATGTTTAAAAATGTTCACTCACATATATTTAAATAATCCTATTTATTTTAATCTTCGATAAATACACCATCATCTTTAGAATAATCCAAGGTATATGTACAAAACATTCTTAGCCTTTTGCAATTATTAAAAAAGAGTGCATCAGCTGGTTTATTTCTCAGCTAATCTATCATCATTTTGATAAATAATACAAAATCTGATTATATTTATTATGCTTAGATGAAAATTCGTTTATTTAATCAGTCCTTGGACCTTGAAACTTGTACAGGTGTCAATAAGATAATGTTTTTTTCTTTTGTTTTAAGTAATCGTAAGCATGACTCAATTGCTTTTATTTTATTCTAATACGAAAGTTAATGTACTTAGCCAGTTTATTAATGAGCAATTTGATTTTTTTTAAATTAAAATTTTGTTCTAATTTTTAGTTATGTCTTAATCATGTAATGTTCAATTTTTAGTTGATTTTTAAATGATAATTGTCTAATAATTAAATTTATTTTACAGATGTCAATGTATTTTATCACTGAAATCAAGATTTCACCTTGACTCAATATTTATTAAACAGGGAAATTTTTTCTGTTTTCGTAAGTATAAAATTGTGATTTTCAATTTAAATAAATATTTAAAATTGAAAACTGGGTAAATGAGAATTCAAAAGGGTAAGAAAGTAGCTGAAAATGATCTCAGATTAGAAAGAGAGAAACATTTTCCAAGTCTTGGTTTAGACATTCTAATTTTAGCACAGAGCAGACTTTATATTCTTACAATATATCCAAGTAGTCCGGTACCGAAAGAAGTTTTAGGCTTCTTCCTCTGGGTTATAGATCTTACTTTTATTTTCTACTCTTATTATGGCTCAGTGCCAAGTTTCATTTATCTAAAAATGACTGATTCATTTTTGTAGAAAAATTTGATAAATTTTTAATAAACTAGTAAAGAACTTTAATTACTTTTGTTGTTAAGTAATAACTAATAAATAAGTGATATATACATATATATATATATAAATATATATATAATACGAATATTAAGTAAAGATTAGGAATATATGAAATTATTTATTTTTAATAGTTTTTTTTTTTAAATTGTGTAGACAATGGTGGTAGTAGCTGACGAAGTTGTTGGCGATGCTGCCCATGATTTGCCAATATGTAATACTACTAAAGAGAGCGATGGATTTAAGCCAGTATTTGGTGAGTTTTTTTACATTTATTTATGTTAATTTTAATTACAGTAATTGTAGATAACAAAAAAATTATTTGATTTCCATAGTTTCTATAGACTATTATAATCGTAAACGATCATCTTTTGAGTCCGACTATTTTACATCTATCATTATAATTCTTGCTGGTAAAAAAATTCTACATGGCAGTTTGGAAAGTGATACTGTTTTTGGAGGAAAAAAAGGTTTAATAGTTGGAACTGAGGTAACCGTACGTCAACTAATAGATATTGTCTCATGCTGTGACAAGTATCATCCTCCTCTAGAAGCTTTTCAACTTTTCATACAAATTGACAAGGAAGTTAAGATTCCTTTGAATTATAAACATAATCAAACTCTTGAGAATATTGGCATAGATCTTACTACATTGGATACATTTCATATAGAATGTGTAAAAAAAGATGAATATAGTGATGATATGAAAGAACCTTATGTAGAAAATATGATTCAACTTCAATTAGATAATTCATATTGTGTAAGTCCAACTAAAATTTCAATGTCTTTTTTTGTAAGAGAAACAACGAGAGTTAGTGAACTTTTTAATAGTATATCAGATTTGCATAAATATTTACCCTATGAACCAAATTCATTGGAGCTGAGCTCAGGTTACATCAAAATGTCTACCTCTGATGGTCACAGTACAATGGCAGAAATGGGTTTTAATTTTAGTAAGTTTGACGTTTATCGTTTAAGAATAACAAAAGGAAATCTCGATGAAATCGTTAAAATTAAAGACCCAAGTCGTGCTAGGTGTTATTTAGAAAAAGAAAACTTATTATTAGGTCATTCATCAAACAGTGAAGAAGAAAATGAAGAACTTGAATACACATTTTCATATAAGAAATCTACTGAAAATTATGAGCCTGAAGTAAAACCAGATAATGCTTATGTAGGGCTTGTAAACCAAGCAATGACATGTTACCTGAATAGCCTTCTTCAAGCACTTTATATGACTCCTGAATTCCGTAATGCTTTGTACAATTGGGAATACGTTGAAGGCTCAGAGAAAGATGAATCTAATAGTATTCCATATCAATTGCAGAAACTTTTTTTGAATCTTCAAACTTCAACGAAAAATGCTGTTGAAACAACAGCTTTGACAAAAAGTTTTGGATGGGATTCTACAGAAGCATGGCAACAACATGATATTCAAGAATTATGTCGAGTGATGCTCGATTCTCTCGAACAAAAATTCAGATATACTGAACAAGCTGACTTAATAAATCGTTTGTATGAAGGAAAAATGATTGATTATGTCAAGTGCTTGGAGTGTAAAATGGAAAAGTCTCGAGAAGATACTTTTTTGGATATACCCCTACCCGTTAAAACATTTGGTAGTAATGTTGCTTATAATAGTGTTGAAGAGGCCCTTCGTGCGTTTGTTCAACCAGAAACACTTGAAGGCGTCAATCAGTATTTTTGTGAAACGTGTAATAAAAAATGTAATGCTCATAAAGGACTAAAATTCACCAAATTTCCTTATCTTTTGACTTTACATCTCAAAAGATTTGATTTTGATTATAACACTTTTCACAGAATTAAACTCAATGATAAAGTTACATTTCCTGATATTTTGAATTTAAATTCATTTATCAAATCGAAAGATAATCAACAAGAATCTCTATTATTAGAAGATGATAGCACAAGTGAAATCAAAGTAGATGAAAATTCTACAATCGATAATGATAATGTAGATGATGGTCTACCTTGTGACAATGGAATTTCATCAAGTGAAGCTACAAATTCGAGTAGCGAACAAAATGATGATGATGGAATCGATGTAAGTCATTGTCCATCAACATCAAGCACTCATAGCCCAGAGAATGAACACAATCAAACTAATAATGAATATTGTACAGGTCCATATCAGTATGAATTATTTTCTATAATGATTCACAGTGGTGGTGCTAGTGGTGGTCATTACTATGCTTACATTAAAGATTTTAAAACACAAAAATGGTTATGCTTCAATGACCAAAGTGTTACCTCAATTACTCGAGATGATATTCAAAAAACCTATGGTGGTGGACCCAGTAGAGCGTATTACAATGGAGCTTACAGTAGTAGTACAAATGCCTATATGTTGATGTATAGACAAATTGATCCAGAGAGAAACACTTTACCTATGAATATCGAAGATTTTCCAACCCATCTACAGGAAGTCTTAAAAAAAATGAGAGAACAAGAGAAAAAAAATAAGAAAAAGAATACCAATCTTCATAGTTTAAAAATTTTCTTCCATCATCCCATTGAAAAAAAATTAGCGAAAGCATTGATACTTGTATTAATTGATGAAACATTGGCAGGAATCACAGAAAAAGCTTATAAACAGTTTAAACTTGATGGGGTTGTGGATCTTGATCAATGTCGTTTGGTTGTTTACAGTCCATATAATGATGTCATTACCTATAGTTTAGAGAAATTTGAAGACGGTCGTTTTAGTGACTTATTATGGCATTTTTGTAATTCAAATTCAGAAAAGCGTATCACTTCTCACAGTTTTATGTTAGAAATTAAGAGAAAGGATGAAAAATTTAAAGTATATCTTCCTTCTGAAATTACTACTAAAGTCTTCCTTATAAATGTAGCAACCAAAAAAATTGAAGATGGGCCGATAAATATTCGTGTTGATCCATTTCTTACAGTTTCAGAATACAAAAAAGTACTTAGTGAACATTTAAGTATATCTCTTTGGCAAATGCAGGTGGTAGTTTTAAAAAGTACATCAGAAGTACAATTATTAGAACATGATTATGACAAACTTGATAAGCTAGGTTTCACTAGTGGATGCAAAGTTTTTGTTGCGACTAAAATTGACATCAATAACTCTAAATCATTCAATGAATCAACGCTCAAACAATTAGTAGATATTTTTGAAAATGTTGTTATGTTAAATGTGCAATTACCGGAAGTAAAAAGTGAAATATTGGATGAATTAAATATACCTTCATTAGAAAATAAACTTAAAGAACAACAAGAAGAAAATAACTTTACAGTTACTGAGGCTCCAGAAACTTATGTTAATGGCGAATCGACAATAAAAGCGGAAAAATCACATGATATTGTTGATGGAATACCAATAAGATCTACTGAAGATCTTTCATCCGTTTCAAATAATGGACCAACTGAAAGTGAAGAATGTCAAGAACAAAGTAATAGTGAAGACAGTAGTCTCAGTGATAGTGATAAAACGTTAGTTGGTAATGCTTCTGAGGATGATGATTATTGTTTGGCCTATGTCATTAATAAATTTGTTGATTTAAATTCGAAAATGTGGAGTATTGATATCAATGAAGAATACTTTTTTCAAGCCAGAAGTATACCAGATGCACCGAATTATATTCAAATATTTGTTGATACTCGTATAAATATGCAATTATTAAAGAAATATTTGGAACCATTTGTTAAAGTTCCGGCAGAGTATTTCAGTATTGACCGAGATAGCGATAGCATCTATAGTGAATTAAAACAAATTTTAAAAACTATTAAAGATGGAGAAAAACTTGTTGTCAAACTTGGTCGAGTACTGCGAGACAATGAATTTAAAGTTCGCTTTTTCCGATTTGGCTTAGATTCAACAAGATGCTTAATGACTAAGGGGTATGTTTGTGATTGGGTAATTTCAACAAATGATACTGTTGCAGAAGTAAAGGCACAAATTTTGACAGAATTTGAAAAAAATCACGGTATTAAAATACCTTATAAAAGTTGTCTTTTGAGGAAAGTCAAAGAAGATGAACCATGGATAGTATTGCACGATAAACAGAAAATTAAAGAATGTAATATTGAACCTTATGATGAATTAATTATTCAAGAAAATGAAACTGCAGAAGTAATGAGTCCAAAAAAAATTATCATTGCAATTAGGCTGTTCCAAGAAGATGGTCCCTTCCAAGAAATTATAATTAATTCTCCACCTGTGATTGAAGAACTTAGAGAGAAGGTAATAAAATAAATTAAAAATTTCCTTTAGCTATTTACATAAAAATATTAGTACTTGAAGTAATTAGGACCATTTTTTTAGATTGCTGAAATTGCAAATGCTCCAATAGAAGAAATAGAAGTGAAAAAAGGTGCATGGGTAATAGACTTATGCACTGATTATGATCCAACAGAAAAATGGACTCCAGCAACAGATGATGTTTGGCCAATAGCATTTGAAGATGGTGTTGTCATAATGTACAGGTTTGTATTAATACAATAATTTTTAGTTGTTATTTCATAAAGAAACAAGTTTTTTATTTAAATAATTTCATGAATTTTTTTATAACAGATTTAAAGGTGATTCTTCAAATGGAGAAAAAAAATTTTCTCAAAGAAGCTACAAGAGACTTTACATTAATTCCAATCATCTTGGAACAAGAATAAGGAATATGGGAGTAGGTCGGGTTCCTACACCAGATAATACACATCGAGCTCCCACATCAGATCATACACATCGGGTTCCTGCATCAGATCATCGACGTAGAGAACGAGCACTTAAAATTTATGTGGATCATAAATGATCGAACAGCGAAATGCATGACAATCAGCTAGTGGAGAGCTGATGTTCTAGGTAGTAATTTTACTAAAATAAACGGGACAAATATAATCAATAAAAAATACAGATATTTTTGGTGTCTGGTCTGAGACTAAAATTGTGAGCACAAGTTCACATCTATATTTATCGATTTATCTTTAAATTTTGTATAAATGGAAACGAAAAAGATTTAACTGCTACATAGTTTCTCTACTCATTCACGTACATACTTTGAAATGTAAATGTTTTTAAATAATTCATATTATCGAAAACACTATAATTAACCATAAAAACATCATACAAAATTATGTCATTCTATTATTTCGAAAGCTTAATGAATGTAAGCTAAAATCATTGTCAAATATTCTTATCTTGCATTTACTTTGCAATTATGCTATACATGATCATTTAATCAATCAATTGAGCTTACATTACTAATTACAAACAAAAACTGGGAAGTTGAAAAAATATAGAACAATTTAATTTAACGAAAGAAAAAGTAATAAGAATTAAGACTAAATTAATTATTTATGTAGAAAACAATAATAAAGTTATCTATACTGAAAAAAAAATTTTTTAAAATAAATAAATAAATGAAGATAAACAGTATATTTGCTCGGATTAAAATAAGAGGCCGAAAATGATCAAATAGTTTTTTTTGAATAAATAATATAGCTGTAAAAGAAATTATATTTATGATAATGGTAACGTAAATACAATTGGAATGACTGAATTTATCGTTGATTATATGAAGTGTGTCGAGCAAGAAAAATTAGATTATAAATAACATTTATATTTTTTTTTACGCCAATTAATGTGCTAAATTATTTTCGCACTAAAAAATGTGGTGTAGAGCTTTAGAATTCAATGTTTTACAATATTCATCCTCTTCTCAAATTTAGCATTATTCAATCATATTCTGCATATCTAATGTAAATAACTCATTTTACATTGTACAATTATTTCTTTATTATATCCTATTCACTTTTTTTATTGTTTTATTTTAAGATCAATGAATCATTGATAATATATTTTGAAAGTAATCTTAAAATGTAAACAATAAGTTATACATATACATTTGTTTTTTTTCTATCAAATCATTTGTCTTAAATGTGCGCTTATGTTTTTTTTCTTAACACTTACATAAATAAAGAATCAAATAATCATAAAAAAAATGATTATATTGTAAGTTTTCTCGAGTGTGTGCATATATTTATTTGATTGTATTTAATTATCAAGATATTAATTAATATTAGAGTTAAAGGAATATTTAATTTATCAAGTGAAAGAACAATGGTTTAATTTGTTGTGAGAAATTATATTTTATTGTATGTACAGATACTTTTTTCTTTTTTTTCAAACTCATTTACATAAAACAAAAAATGTGTTTAAATATCGAAAGTAATTACATAAAACATAAAAATATCTATGTAATGTCTTCACATTTATGGATCATAAACATACTCTACTTTTAGTGAATCTTTGCTTCTTATAGCTTACTGTGTATTTATTTTTTTATGGCATTATACACTGCTATCAGTTCATTTTATTTTAAAAGTTTACGTAATTGCAGTTATATTGTTGATATTAAATATAAATTATATTGTTTATTATAAATTTTTGTTCGATTTAAATAGACAACAGTACGTTTAAAAATCATAAAATTATTTTGAGGCTTGCACTTTTTGTAATAAAAATATTGACTTTTGCCAAAAAAAGCTCTGATATTTGTGTACATAAAAAGTTCTATACAGCCACTAATTTAATGACTACTTTCTTTGATAAAACTATTCTATTCTTCCTTTCATTCATCCGTGCATACATACAAGTACAGTTATTTTTAACACATATACACACAAATTATTTTACTTTAGAAAATAATACATAAAATATGTACAAGTTTTTCACATCCCTACTTTGTACATGATTAGATTTTTTGGAATAAAAGATTTACTGGACATTGTAAGCTGATAAAAATCAAACGCACTGTAAAATATTATGAAAGACTATAGAGCCGCTTGGAGGGTTAATATATTTTAATAGCTTTAAAAATTGTTACAACACTGATGCGTGAGTTTAACGAAAGAAAAAACAAAATGTAAAAAAGAACAATGAAGAAAAGGAATAAAGGTATACGGGGGTCGCCACCACATATCTTGATATCTTACAGTTCGATCTCTCGCTTTGGCCGCCCGTATATTTACATGTATAATTTATATACCCTGGCACAAAACGCAAAGAGGCTAAGGGCGGGATATGTGAGGCTGAATGTAGCAAAACACTAGGGAGATCGTACCACCTTCTTTATGGTGAGTCCATTATGCCTTTCCTCTTGAAAATCTTTGGAGAATCTCAATTTGTGGCTCTTCCAATTTTCGCAAATCTTTAAGTTAAATATTTTTGCAACTTGTTTTATTAACAACGATATGAATCATTTTAAATTATAATTATATATAGACACCACATTCATCATATGTACTTTACTTTACAACATTTACTCAACAACTCACATAATATAAATTATATTAATTTAGACTGAACAAAAATATACACATTGTAGTACATACAGGACATTTAGATTATCCGTTTTTTTAATTATTATACTTTGATATTCAAGATATTTGACTTTTCTTTCACAATTTACACCTATTAAATTAACTTATTAATTAAATTTATATCCACAGAATTTTATACACATCTTCAGACTATTAAAATACACTAAAAGTTTATTATTTGCATTTTTTGCAATCATTAACTACGAAAATACTTATCTCTGGGAACAGCCTAAGAAGTGTTGCTGATTCTCACATATCCGATATCTCTAATTAGACATCTGAAAATCCGATAAGCTGCTGTGTCACGGAATACCTCTGTGGTCGATAAGCTCTGTGCTTATAGTACGCGTCGAAAGTAAAAGAAAATAAAAAATCAACAAGACAAGTAAAAGAGATATAGGTAGAGGGTAGAGAAACTCGTGGGATTTTTTTCGGCAAAATAATGTAGCTCAGAAAGCCACCGCCCTCTCTTCTCCACCTTTACCTCCTTCCTCTTTCCTTCATCTCTTTCTCCGCATTGTGACCGCGAGGGCACAATTAATTACTGCGTGGCTGCAAGGTACCAAGCATTGTTGCATCTGTTGCGCTTGGCAATCCCGTACGTTCCCTTGCTGTTCACCATATCGGCATTCGCACACTCGCAAGCTCAACACAAACACCCATCAGAGTAACAGTGTACACCCGGAGTATGTCGTACCGAGACTTCTTCAACCGCTAATAAATTAAATTGCGTGTAAGTATAGTCGTTCATTCAATGTGTGTGCGTTTATACTCATAGTCAACTGTTGTTCAACTAACTATGTGGTGCATCTAAGACTTACTAGCATGGATACTTAAGATCATTAATGATGTCCGGAGGGAGTTACCGGAACCAACTACTTTTTTTACCAGTATATTCTTTTTTGAACTCATCTCAGTACCATTAAGCATTTAAGTACGCTACAAAACTTTTAAATTGAACCATTTTTTAAACTTAAACTGATAAAGATCAAATAAGAATATAAATATAAATTGCCATATTTTCGTGGCGTTTTTTTCTGTTAGTTTTTTTTATTTTCAAATTAAAACGAAAAATTGAAATAATCGGCATTTTATATTGGTATTATTACTTTTGTTGCGTGCACCACGAAAAGATTTTTAAGATTCGTACAAGCATTGAATAAAGACTATACTATACACGAATGAAAAAACAGAAGAGAGAAAGGAATAAGAGAAGACATGTTCCTCACGGGCACAAACGTTGAATTACGAAACACCTGTTCCACGAAATAACTTCATCTACTGTGCATTCGTACTTTGAAATTCGGTTAGGCCCTTTAGCTCTTGGCGCTCTTTCTCTTTGTAAAGAGATAAAGAAAGAAAAGAAACAAAAAAGTTGAAAAAAAAGAGTTGCTTAAAATTACTCTTAATTCTCTGGTCGACCGGTTGAAGCAAATATAAAACTTGATATCGACCCTGAAAAGTGGCGATCGTTGAATTAAAAAAGGTCAGATGTATGGATGTGGGTGAATGGAAAGAGTCGATGAGATTTTCGAACGATTAGATGGTAGATTACAAAAGTATAGCGGCACGTCGATTGTGTTCCACTTGACTCAAGAAGGCTGGAGCGTCCGGGCACTGTTACACTGTCGTTCCTTCGAGTATATTATTACCAAAGGTGGCGATATTATGTGTCTATTAGGTTCGAATGAGTGTTCGTTGATGCGTAACATTCGAAATAGCCTTTTGAAAATTTAAGTCGACATTAACAAGTACAGAAGGTGTCGTGGCTGAAATTTTTCCCACTATTTTATTTCGTTCTCTAAATAAGTATAACCATAAGAAATGATCATTTAGACTAGTCTTCAAGTCGTACTCTTGACGATTTGAGGACTGGTTTGAGACAGTACTTGTCTAACAAGCGTCTCCCACAGCCTGCTTTTCTCTTTCATCTTCAGATCTCTATCTGGCGTGAATAGCTTCCACTGGTAGTCATTAATGTCACCAGAATCATTCAACTAGCCTTGTGAAATTCTCACTGTTGAGAATGTAATCAAATGTAATCGGACGGAGTTGTCGTTTCATTTATAGCTGCCAACCGGTATTGTGGTGGTTCTTGATTCACCTGGTGACATGATGATATTGTACTGTGTGTGTTAGGAGGTAACGTTACTCCTGAAGAATGTTGTTGATTTGCCGAGTTTGAACTCAAGTCACTGTAATACGCACTACTAGGTGCACTACTAAGAAACTGGCCATCAAGTTCTACATCACTTCCCGTGTAACCTGTATTCTGGTAAGACGGGTTTACATCACTTGCCGAGCTATTTCTTAATCCTTGAAGATGATGGTGATGATGATGATGATTTTGATGGTTTTGGTGACGGCTCAATGATAATGGTGTCGTGGGCCCATTCTCATACATTTCGTAGTCAGGTTCTTGCAGCCTACAACAATAATATTATACCATGATTAATTGCACGTTCATATAAAGTACATGTATCATTAAAAAATACCCAGAATTGTTAGAATGAAGAATAGTTACCTTTGATTATTTCTCCTCTCTTTTATCGCCCCACTCTGACTATCTTCACTATACCTCCGATGTAATCTGGCTGCATCAAGTTCGTGATATTCATCCTCTTCTTCTTCTTCATCACCGGGAGTAGTCGCTCGCCCACCATAAGTTGAACTGCCTCTCAATTGTAACTGAAGATCACTAGCATAACTTGCAGTTTGAGAATCCAGTTCTGCATACAACGCTTCGTCTGTTTGCATGTGGGTGTAATGATTTTCTACAGGAAGATTCATGGCACAGCGATGCGGTGGAAGACTTAAGGGGGTTGCAACTACCCCCGCAGTACCACCACCTCTTCTTGATCCAAGCCAAGACCAAACGTTGTGACCTGAATAATATAAATAGCATGCTTTACAACGATTATTAACGTGTTAGATTGTTAAAATATTTTGAAACAATTTTTAAGAAATATCATAAAGTGGAAGATTATAAAGTAATGGAGAAAAAAAATAATTGAAAAGTGTTAATGAGAAGTCAAGTGGAGTAACAAAAAATATGAACTAAAATGGTTCATAATAAAAGTTTTCATGAGAATCAACATGTTATCAATGTATTTTAATTATATAAAACTTACCAGGAGCTGGTGTACAATCATGATACGGTGGTAATTTATCAAGCTCTAACGGCGGTCGTTCGGGAATTACAGAAACTCCTCCAGCAACTCCAACAACTCCAGATCCAACTGGTTCTTGTGGATTTGGATCTTCAACACCAACTCCACAACAACTCGCTAAAAAATAAAGATTAAATCATGTTAAAATTAGCCATGAATTTTTTTGGACAATTTTTCTGGTTGTTGAGAAGATCAATAACACATGGGGGAGTAGTTGCAAAGAAGGAAATTAGGTTGTATTTTTTCTAATGTAGGTGTGGTTACTCAAATTTCACTTTGTCATATTTTTCAACGGTTAAACTGATCCCTCTTTTGATCATGAGACAAAAATATCCGTGGTACATGTTGAAGGGGTTTGGTCTGAACGAAAGAGTCGCGGTGAGTGAAACCTCGATATGAAGCTCCTGAAGTGGCAGGTGAGGGTCGAATTCTTGAGACAACTACTAGTTTTCTATACATTTATACGAGTGTTATGAAGTACATATAAAATTAATAAATATGTGTTGGTTGAATATCCCAATGGCATTATGACATGAGCACGCATATATGAAGAGAAAGGGCGCCTCCCTAGCTTCTTTTCCTTCACCATCTCGCCGTCTCTTTATTGTGCTCCCGTCATCGAGCCATCATGTGGATCGTCCCGGATGAGATTTTGTGGATCAGAGGAACCGACTTAGAATGCGAAAAGAACGTGATTATAAACATTTTTTTATAGGATGAATTTTTTTATATTAGATCAAGAAGGGAATTTTTTTAATCTTAAATTAGAACGTTCCAATTATTTTTCGAAGCAAGTTAACCCTCGATGTCCTGAGATCCTTTACGAGTATTCCAGTATGTTCAGCAGTGCGTAAACTTTTTTAAACGAGAAAAAGACGTGAATAAACAGCAGATAAAGAGAGAAAGAGAGATGCTGATTGCGTCATGGATGGGATAATCGGATTATTTCGTCCAACTCACAGTTATAAACGACGACCCCTCAAGCATGTCTCTTCTCATTTCTTCTTTTCTCTGCTTTCCTATTCTTGATGTCGCTCTCTATTGTAGTCTCAGCCTAACTGACATCGAGATCAGAATTTTGAGCGACATACACGTGGCTTTATACTTCAGATATATATTTTGATCAATACAGAATGTCCATCAACGCTTTGTCAAACTGATTATTTGTCGTTCCTTTAGCTTAAAGACTTTAAGACCGAAGTTTACATTGTGACAAAATTCAACCTTTCAATTCAATACATATCTAATCTAAAGAATAATGAACTCTATTTGTTATTGTATTGTAGAAAAAAAATTTTAAAAAGCAAGAAAAATATTAAATACATTGCCTATGGATCAATGTCATTGACAATCATTTTGAAGAATACTATTATTCTGAAAAATACGGTTAGATTTCATTTTCCTAAGTGAAAGAAAAGCTTTTTTGATTTACATAATTCGATATGGGGAAAATTAAAAGATTTATAGCCCCTTGAAGAGAAATATTTTAAGGTGTTTCTAGATGTAAAGCAAAATTAAAATTCTTGTAGAATTAGTAAAGATCTTTCAATAGATTTCATTTTAAATGAGGAAAAAGAACCATTTATTTTCAAAAACATTTAAGAGAGAATAATTGAAGATTTACTGGATGACATAGCACGCGAGAAGAGCGTAAGACGCGCGTGGGGCACGAGAGACAGAAGGAAGATCGGTTGGTACGAGTGTCGGATAATTAATTCGGCTGACCCCCGATCTTAATGCTGCTTGGGAGAGCTCAGTAGCAGCAATAGCATCAGCAGTAAGGGAGAAAGCTTTGGCGTCAGTCTTGGAGAACGCTGTGATCGTATCAGCTCTACGGTCGATTTCAAATCGGAAAGTTAATTAGACGCGTTTGACTGTTCTCCTTGTCGCCCGTTCAGTTCACGTTTCTCTCTTTTTCAAATGTATCGTTGGCCTTCTCACTTGGTCTTTCTCTCACTTCAGCAGGTTCCTCGTCTGTCTTTTCTATAGGGTAGCCCAAGAGTCGAGATCCCGTCGCTTTCATTACGTGAACTAATTAAACGCCAATCGATCCTTCGACCCTCATGTTTTCGATTACCGCTGATGCAGTCTATGTATTCAGCTTCTTCTTCTTCTTCGTTGGTTCTTTCGTACGTGTGCTCGACGCGACGGCGACACTCTATTTGGCGCCGACATATCCGGATGTGGTTGCCTAGTTCGTGACACCCTCAAGTAGATACCGCAACTAAGCCATTAAATCATTTGTAAATTTTTTTACTGACTGTGCAAATTTTTTGATTTATTGTTTGTTTGCTTAAACAAGTATTACTCAGACATGACAGACTTTCATTCTCAAGAGGACTTTTCGAGTATCTGACTGTCCTTTATTTCTAACCAAAAATGTTATGTGTTAATGATTTATTTATTTTAGAAGGGTCTAAGAGGTAACAAAAAAAACTTGAAACTATTATAAAATGAATAGTTCATTTTAGTAAATGAGATAAAAAAAAAAATAAAGAAAACAATGACATTATTCACTCGAAATTCTATCATTTCTCCGTAAAATAATCTGATTTATCTCTTCTGACCAGGTTCTCTTCCATGACATTTGGTACAGTAGATTCTATGTAGTCGACGTAAAGTACCTCGTATGTCTCGAGGACAAACATAGAGATAGCCATCGGATCATTATCGATAGTTATATGAAGGATCGAGATGTTAGTTAATTGGGAATTGAAGACGGAGCACACATTAAAATTGTAGTATGTTTATAGAAGAACAGGTATTGAGACTGTGTGAAAGATGACTTGATATCAAGTGTATACTCTGAGAAAAGGATTAAGTTTATAATTGATCATCATATTTATTTGTTGCTGAGTTTTAATGAAATGATCAAATAGTAATAAATATTTAACTTATTATCACTTCGTTTTCTTTTAATGAACACTTAAATGAATTAAATGATTTCTTGAGTAACATCAATTACTAATAATCACAAGTGTTTAATAAATTTAATTGATCTTTATTATTAAATAAAATCACTTAATATTCAACTCAATGGTGATTGTTATTAATCCATTAATATAATCCTTTTCTCAGTTTGTATAACTTGGTTATTATAAAGGAATCAATTCCTCACCTCTCCCGCCAGCAGTTTTAATTCTGCAACAAACAGAACAAAAAAAAAGAGACATTAATATCATTGATTGTTATACTAAATCGAAGTTTGAAAATAACTTTTACTCACCTCCTACAGTGAAGAAGTGTAACCATAATGACAGCTCCAATAGCAGCTGATAAAAGAGACACAATAATTAAGGTAAGGACCCATCCAAACTCTCCAGGAGCTTCTGAAATCAATAATTAATGCAATAAATTAAATAACTGAGTGACTTTTAAATTGGTACAGGTGCAAATTTATTATAATCATATGTATTATCAAGTGGCAGTGAACAAGCGGAAATGTCTGGGATTCTTGACAATTTGAATGTACATATACACGATTTAGTTGTCTTTCTTTGTCTACCTTTGTGAATGGTTCTCGGCTAATTGCGATCAGGAAGAGAGAAAAGAAAGTTGAAAGACAAGATCATGCAACCACCCACGTATTTGATTCTTGATACAAGCCACGGTATGGCTAATTATCCCGAACCACGAATTGCCTCAAACGCACCACCCACCGCCTCCACGATTTCTTATTTTATCTACCTTCATTCTATCGTCCAACATCTCTTCTTTTTACACCCCACGGAGACCTCAGTGGATCCGGGAACAAAGAGAAATGATTCAAAAAAACTGATCAAGACGAATGAATTTAAACATCTTCGACATGTAAAATGTAATCTAGATTGAATGAGAACGGGTTCGATAGCTACTAAGTGGTTTAAAAAAATTGACAAAGGATTTAATTCACTGATGCGTACGTTTGAATTAACAACTACATGACGTGGATTGCGTAGCTGTGAGAGCAAGAAGAATGAGAGTACAAGTATGGAGAGAAACAAATAGAAAACAGCTACGTACGACAGGAAAATGTACGTCTCTCATCATCAGTCAGACCAACTGACTGACAAGAACATAACAGCTTGCACTGTACCTGTTTCAATGATAAGATTTTAACACTAAACTTATCGATCATCTTTCCTGCCAAGAGGAGCCAACACTCAAATCTGTTCAGCTCATGCAGAGATCAACAACGCTTGTTAGAACTCATGTGAACTGAGGTGATTGCCCGAGGGCGTTAAAAATCGGTATTCCTTCACAGTGTGAAAACACAACGTAACATGATCATTGGGCTTAAAGTTTGACCAGTAGGTAACTACGTGTCAAAAACCTGATTGTCTCGTTGGATTTGCTGTCTTGACAGATAATAAATTACCAATTTCCATTAGACACATTTGGGAATGGTGTACAGTTGAAGAGTTAATAATAAAAGGAGAAAAAAAAATAAATAATCTAGTAGATAGATTTAGTTTTGTAGAAAGGTATAGAGATGTTATCTTTACACACCAAACGAGTGGACGATCGTTAATAATCCGCATGTCTTCTGAAATAGCTAACAGCAACTAACTGTTTTAGTCAATGTTTAATGTTTTAAAAGCAAGCTTGACCTCATAATTTTGTGAACAAGCTTATTTGTAAATCAATTAAAATAAAAATCCCAGATAATCAATGCTGTCTGAGTTAATTAACTAACATAATTTATTGTTTTATATAAAAATCTAAATGATTTTATCACTAGACATGAATTTCACTCATTATAAACGTTCAAAAAACGTTCCTCAGCCAGTTTAACTTGAGCACAAAAATGTTTAGTTGTCGTATAAAATCATGTCCTCGGTTATATACTTTCTCATTCTTCAACAAGTATGTATGATACTTATGTGTACAGAGACAACCCAATTCTGCTGGTTCACTTCATCTGTCCTGATGCATGATCTAGTCAGCCAACCATGTGCAAGAGTCTTTGATATAACTTGTCCCCATTGAGATTTGTAGATATATAAAAAATCTAGAGTATACGTGCATGTTGTCAGTCGACTTTATCTTTCTGTGTTACTCATCGACAACTGCAACTTATTCGTGAGTTTTTTTATACTCTCTTTTTGGGTCTCCTGAACATTCAGGATTTATTTTAGACTCCAGACAATACCTATAGTAGCACCTGCACTACTGGATTCTGCTGGCTGAACAATTAAGATTGTGATTTAGATGAGTCATCAATATGATCTAAGTCTCCAAATCATCTGCTACTTGTTGATCGTTTAGGCGAATAAAAACTACAGTTGGACTAGTATAAAGAATTCTCTTCATATGCTATTGAATCTTTTGAATGTCAATGCTAATATTCAAGATAAATTTTGATCAATAAATACATATACCATTCAATCATTTTTTATTTTAATCTCAGATCTCATAATTGCATGAGCTAGAAAACTCGACATACCTAAAAGATTGATATCTTAGACTTCTTATAATAAATGAAGAAAAATAGTAATGATAACAATTAATATTCGAGATTAAAGAATCTTGAGAGATTGATGAACAAACATTTTATTGTTAATGATGTAATGTTCTTATAATAAATAACTTCGAAAAAGTAAATGATTTTTATGATTGATAAAAAAGTCTTTCATAACTTTTATAAATGTTGGTAAAATTGATAAATGATCATAGTAATAATTAAAATATCATTATACATTAATAAAATTACATAATGAAATTGATTTTATAAAGTTATTTTTTTTTTTAATAAAATCTGTACTTATAAATCATTCAAAGGCTTTATTTATAAAATACTATTATTAAATCATTCAGAATATTCTAACTTGACATCTTGATTGAGAGTATCTTCTTAATCCTACCAAAAATCTATATATATTTTGAAGAATAATCTTTTTCTCGACTGATAATTTGTAAGATTCCCCTTAATAATTGATAATTGTTTTCTTTGTCCGTGTCTCATAAATGAATTCATCCGAAGGACTCTGGGATTTAGTCACCAGCAGCGACAAGTCAATCGTTGTCTGGCACGCGATAGAAACCGGCTTTACCTAGAAAATATATAACCTGTTGTGTGTCCTGAGGACCCAATAGAGCGTAGCACAAATGTGTCACAAATATCTAGGGTATAAGAATGCTGGTAACACTTGGAGTTTTTTTCTTCTCCAGTTTCTTATCCAAAACAGGGATGTCGATCGTTCTGCTTCACTGCGATGACATTTCGATCAATCGATTTCCTTGGGCACAAGTACCGATAACTTGCGTGACTCGTCATCATGAGTATCAAAGGACCAAAAGAAGATCTATCAAAGAGTTCTCACGCAGACGATCTTGACGGTGGAGTTATCCGTCATCCAATCTACTGATTATGTCGATGAAGAGGTGTGGTATGGCTTGACGGAAATAGTTACATTTATATTATAGATGTCTGGCATTCTTTTCTTGATGAGAAGCCATTTAAAGTGGTCTTTGAAAAATGTAATTAATGTACTCTGCAAAGGCAGTAATAATCTCCAGTTGAAATCATACAGTAATTGTCTGGCTATTAGTGATTACTGTAGTGAAAGTTTAATTTCAGTTGTGTATCGATGGTATTTTTTTTCTATTTCAGCATTGCTGAAGAAATACATTTGATGATGCAAGAGAATAAACGAGGGACTTGAAATTTTTAGCAAATTTACGCGGTGAACCAAGTGTTTTTGGATATATTGCTATCACCCAGTAGCATCTCGCGCACGCAATCGTATCCGTGACGTTCACGCACGTGTGGTTCTCCCTCTTTATCCCTTGGTTTCTTATTTTCTCTTGAGTTTATACCGATAAATCCAGAAGACCCTTGAGATTCGTTTGGAGATTATATATTCTTTCGCGGAGGTTTATATATACATCTATGTATACATATATAATAAATACATCCATGGATTATGTACATACATGTAGTTCGAATAGAGTCGCGTGTAGAAATAAGAGGAAGCTGTATAGAGAAGCCAAGTGATGTTGAAAAAAATTCGGAGACAAAAAGAGAGACAGGAGTTGCAAAAAGAGTCAACAAGTCTATGTATTCAACTTCTTACTATATATTTTTTGATCTCGTTCAGACTGGCTACGAAAGATGAGTGAAAAAAAAATAACACGAATACAGGCGCGAAAGAAAAAGACGACAGAGAGGTGCAATAAAGAAAAGAAATAATAACGAGGAGATAAAAGGTGGAAGAGAGCTCGTTACTACGTTCCAGAGGGGCTGCTGTTTCATTTTTTTTTCTTTGCGCCTGGAGTGTGTTTCTGTAACGATATACAAGCTTCAGCAAATCCAAGATAAGATGTGAGACACACGGAGAGCAAATTTTTTCACGCATTTTGAATTAGTATAGGTATATATGGATTTTTCACACTACAGTTTTATGTATATTCTATGTATAGAGTTTTATTACATTTATATAGAAATAGTATATTTTTCATCTTTACAAAAGATATATAATCATTTTAGAAAGCTCTAGAGATCATCTTTGAAGATTGCAATCCCGTTAACTATCTGCTTGCTGTATATTCCTGCAACAACTCTGCTTTATATATTTTCTCATGTATAAATGTGAGAAATGAGAAGACGCCGAGTGTGATCGCGTAATTATTCCACTGGTACAAGCAAGTGAGAAGTGACGCGATGATTACTACTTCTCGCTTGGGGAGTAATCGTACACAGCAACCCTCTTGCACTTTCCTCGTCTTGGATTTATTTCATCGGTAATTTTCTTATTTATAACACGAAGACTCCATCAATTTTACCAGTCTTTTGCCCTGCCTTTAAAAGGAATGAAACCAAGCCAGTGATAAGAAATTGGCCAGTCGGTCTAATGTACCTGGATGCTGATAAATTTCTTTGCAATCTGTAGTTAATGATTATATATTTTATGAATGGGTTTAAACATCGTAATAATATTGAAAATTAAATTTAACTTAACGTTTAATCGTTTGAATAATTTACTCAATCTTTTTTTTTATATAAATTTCTCAAATTCTTCAAACAGTGAAGAATTTAAAGAAGCGTTAAAAAATGTTTAAGTTCTGTTTTCAGTTAAAATAAATATGTAGAGTTTTTTTTAACGATTCAAGATATTCCTACCAATATTTTAGTAATTACATAAATAAAAATCATCAATTTTAATGAGAAAAATATTTTTTAATCTACAACTCTATTTATATATATATATATATATATATATATATATATATATATATATATATATATATATATATATATATAAAAAATATATCAAAAATACCCAAAAGTAAAAAAAAACCAAAGCAAAGATTTTCAATATTGTAATAAATTTTTTTTATTGTAAAAATAAAGTTTTTTTGTTCAATATTGTAGCCAGCGGCCAATGATTATAATCATGACTATAAACGGTCCAATTAAAATAGAGAACATTTTTTGAAAAACTTTCAAATATTCCTCATAAAATCTGGTCGCTGCCAATCACGAACCTGAAGAAGATTTGTTTAATGGTGGCAGCCATTTTGAAGTAATGAGACATCAGAGTTGTTGAAGGATTGTTTGGCATGCAGACAGATGCGGGCTATGAAGAACAGTGAGAAAAGAAAGGTAAATCTAAAGAAGGCGTGAGGTAAAAAGTCTGTAGGAGGGGCTGCGAACAAGCGGAAACCCCTTGCCAACGTATTTTGGAGCATCAGCCATGTTGGCTGAACGTCAGCTTATTGGTCGACTTAAACCGGATGTAATACCCCACCAATGTCCCTAACAAACCGCCTTCCGTTGTTATTATTTATTCGTGATTATTATCACATACCTACTACTTCTACACTATCACATTTAATTTTTAATTCTTTTTCTACATTTTATAATCAGGTATTTTATTTTTTGCCCCTCTGGCTTTTAGTCAGTCCCTTGATCTAAAAGTCTTAATGAGAGGTGAAAATTAATGAAGACATTACAAAGACAATGTGATAATATATTCTGAATAATTATATCAATATCATTAATTATAATTTACCCTGTGAAAACAAAATATTATAATATAAAGGTATTGTGCATAAATAAATTTTAATTAAACGGAAACAAAGACCAAGCAAAACACTACTATGATGGATTATTGTAGATACAGTTGTTTGCTAAGTACAGGAAGACATTTTGACAGCTTTAATGCTTTTTCAAATAAATGTAACAGTAATCTGGATGGTTGTTATTTGAACACATGGAAAACCAGCTTGAATATCAGTCTGAAAAGATCACAGGAATTTCCGGTATTTTGATATAAGTCATAAGAAAGATAAAACCATCAAAATGGTCATCAACGCTAAAAGGATATTTATGGAGTTTTCGTGTAATCTTACTCACCTAGAGTACCATCGAGTGAAAAAGATGAATGTCTGTCATTTCGAAGTGCCCAGGTACACAAATCGCAGGTCGTCAGTCCATCTGTGGCTATTCTTTCCTCAGGAAGAAATGGAGGTCTTGGAGGTGGTGGTACAAAACTTCCTATCACTGCCCACAATGAATCAACATCGTTATTGGAATAATATAATAATTCTTCTTCAGCAACTCCAGCAAACCAGTCCATGTCGTTGGCATTTGGGCTAACTGGTGGGCTTGATGTTGATGAACTTGCTACTGTCATCTAAAAAAAATTAGACAAATAATGATGTTAGTTGATGATGACAGTTGGACGATATGTTCTTACAGCTAAAGTGCTAAATTCTTGATATGTTGAATTTTAACATGCGAACAGCACGTTTACATAAACATCATACACAAGTATGATGAAAAGTTTGAAAAGTTCCAGTGTGACTTGAAAGTTGAATATTTTTTTCACAATGCGCCATCCGGTCCTGAATAAACATACGCGTCTAATGGAGCAGCTCGAATAGACAGGGTCGAGGGTTCTTGTTCTTCGTGGGTTGACTTGTAATGCATGTTTTGGGAAATGATGTAGACAAACAGAAAAGCGAATAAAAAAAGGACAGAAGGCGCCAACTATGTATGGAGGTATTATAGACTTTTGAAACTGCTTAAACATTCAGATGAGAGATATTTTACATTTCACGTTGAAAGAAGAAAGAGCAAAGTCAAGTGAATGATGTGCTGCTTACTTCTCTTATTTTATAAAGACAAAAAGCTATGCTTTTACTCCAACTACAAACATGACGAACCTGACAGGAACAAATGTATATTCTTTCCTAAGAAATGAACGTTTATCATTTTATTTTTTGGCTTTCAACATTTTTAATAGCTTGTTCATCGGTTGACTTAATTTAGGTAAATATTGACTAGAATTTTTTGGGCTCAACAATGCACTTAATGAAAATGACAAGAAAATTGATATCATGAAAAGGAAGTGGTTACTTCATCAATATTTATATTAAATAAAAGAATAATTTTGAAGGAGATTTCAAAAGAAATTTTTTATAATTATTTCCAGTGTGAGTCAGTTGGTCAATCAGGATTGTTAATAGCATTAGAATGGCTGCAACTTTTAATAAAAATATGCTTGATGTTTACGTTTTCTTTAGAATAGTATATCTTTTAGTGACTTGCGAATTAATTATTTTCAAGTTTCTTTCATCCTGATTTATTTCTTTATATTTTTTTCATGACGTTGATGCCGATGCAGGCACCTAAATAAAATCAGAATAAAAAAAGAACTTGCGAAGAAGAGGAAAAAACGTGAAAAAGCAATTTTTACACTGAATTTTACAATGGTTGGCATTGGCCAGCTTAATTACCATGATATCAGCGTAATTAAAGCTCTGTTGTTACCGGGGCCTCCAAAGTTTTCTCTTCCTCATCTTCATGACTTTGCGGATTTTAGATTTCTTCATGGATAGATATCGTTATATATATACCTCCGTCAAATTTTTCCAATGGTTCGGTCATTAATGGAGACGCCCCGTGGATTCATTTAATCGATTATCGCCATTGGCAACACGTGTCATTCAATTCACTCTACATATTCTTCTCATTAATACAACTATTTTGAATAATACTAGAGATAATCAGTTTTAGATTTTATCTTAACATAATTTCTTAAAAATTCATTGATTGGAATTTCTTTTGTGAGTTACTATTCATTTGGTTTTTATGTACTGAGGAGTAAGATTATCAAAGGTTTATTTATCCTTTCATTTTTTAATAAATTTTTTTCTATTTCAATAATTTATTTATTTATTATGATCAATTAATTATTCACATAAATATTTTTTCTTATTTTATGTGATCATTTGATTCTTTTATCTATTCACTTAATAGAAAAAATTGAACATAGAAATTTTTTTTCTGAAAGCAATAAAATTTTTTATTTCGTGGTTTTGATGCTGATAATTTCGGGAAAAATTGGTAAAAACAGGAAAATTAATAAAAGACACGCCGTCCAACATAACAGTGGTTACTAGTTTTCATGGTTAGATATATATTTTAATAATTCGTTATGTTACAACAGAAATGGTATGGTCGAGTCAACGTTGACTGGTTATATGGACTTTCCTGAAAAGGCAGTCGTTTAGTAATGTATAAAATTTTTTATTCCCAAATCAATTGTTCACAGAACAAAATAAGAAAAAAGTGAAGAATAAGCAGTTAAGAGAAATATTTTGACATTTGTGATTGACACAAAATTACACAAATAAATTTTCCACGTATCCCAAAAAGATTTGATGGGTTTTGAAATACAAACGAGAAGAATTGGTGAGTGAAGTTTGAAGTTTTTTATGCGTTTGGGTCGATGATTTTACAGACACACAGATACACTCGACAGCAAAGAGAAACAACCTTACATTATTATATACATACAAGGAAGGCCAAAACAGCTTGGTGAATTTTTGATTTGCGACGTCTAGTCGATGAGATATAACAAGAACCTTTATTCACGCTTTCTCCTCTCTCATCTTCATACTACTTACACCCCTCGTCGTTATCCCGGAGGGTAGTCTCTACTCGTTATAATTATTACGTGTTGGCATTTACGATCCTTAACCTCGATGTTTCGTCTTGCGTATCGCTTGTCCCTTTCTTTCGCACCCTCTTCAATCATCCTTTTCTCTTTTCTTTGCCGATCTAGCCTATCATCAAGCGCTCCTTGACTCCATGTCGAAGTAACAGAATTATTTTACGAAGAATGACGGCTTGATATTATAACAACAGTCAATTTATATCCCATAATTTCTTTTATCATTTTTTCTCCAGATAAATAATGGCGACGTTCTCCGAGAAGAATAAATAATAAACAATCATAAATTAAGTGTCCAAATAATTACATCTACACCAGCTACAGATTTGGGAAAATAAACGAATAATTTATTGGTATAGAATGTAGGTAAAAATAACGAAACGTTGGCTGTTGAAATTTAAGTATTCGTGTGTATGTGCGTGTGTGTCGCAAAGCATTTGCAATTCCGACACATTTGGTCGGCGGGTTAAAGGAAATCAAGTGTAAGGGAAAGAGAAAGGCAAACAAGTAAAAGAGAGTAAATATACATCAAGGAAGAGACTTTTGAAATCCAGGGTTCAGAATACCAAACGTGATTCCCGGAAAGTATCAGCCATCTTGGCCCTGTTTAAAATCTTTTCTCGAGCTCTTCGTCTTCGTCTTCTCGTCACCGGTGTTCCACCAAACCCGATTCTCTTGTAGCCTTAAAACTCACTGTTACTACCTCTTGCTCTTCACCTTCACCCCATCTTTCAGTCTCTCATTCGCCCTGTCGTGCTTTGCTTTGCCATTCGGGTTTGGGGGTCGTTAAAAGGATGGGTTTGAGCAGTCCAGGCCGTATATAATGGATAATTGACAGCCGTACCGGCCGCCGTTTGCTTTGCATGGACATTGAATTCGCGTGGACGGGTCCAGGGCTTGACTCACGCGCATAAGCATCGACACTGTCGAACTTGTTTTAGAATGGAACGAAATAAAACGATAAAAAGAAAACTATGCGAGAATGGAGATGATTATTGAGAGTGAAAATTCTTTTCGGCCATAACTTTATCAGCTGGCTTTGTTATGTGTTTCATTGTTTGAGATACCAGTCGATAAAAAGACGAATTCTTCCTGCAACACATTTTTCAGTTTTTTTTTATCATTTAGATTAATTTAAATTGAATCGGAAGCCCAACTTTAAATGCATTTTATTTAAATGTATTTCAATTTTTTTAAATGAAATTTTGAAATAAATTCTTCATTTGACTTCCAATTAAACATTATTGATGATATTAATTCAGCTAGTTTTTATATAAATATTTTTAAATCATATTTTTTTATTATGATGTATAAAAATAACTATCTCTCCTATAAATAAAATAACTGATTAAGGAGGAAAAAATGTAAATTTTTATTGAAAAGTTTGAAAATAAAGTTATCAAGTGCTTTTAAAGAAACTTTAAAATTAAAACGGATGTTTGAATGAAAGAAAAAGAAAATAAAAAGTCAGATTAGTTACTTTTTATCATCGAAAAATGATAATATTAATGAGTTGGTCAGATTCCTTCTCCCTTTTCAACTCTTGAATAACACTCAACTACTCAAATAATTGTGCCCATAATCACCCTACTTTCTTCAAAACATTAATTAACAATCGATAAAGCTTTCGATTTCCGATAAGAATAATTAGGTAACAAGGTAACAGGGATTAAAATGATATTTTGAGTAAATAATTGAGCCATCACAATGTGTGTACCTGTTTAAATTGAGGAATCAACAAAATCATCGAGTTTTAGCCTAAAGGAGTGAAGAGTTAACGCACCTGCGGCTAGTTTTGCTAACGACTCTCTCAATTTGTGTGTTGCCCCTTAGTTGTTTTTTCTTCATCTATATCTTCTCTAACTCGTGTACCGTCTCAAGATTTTGAAACAAATGCCGCCTTTAATTTTAGCATTTTCGAAAAGGTCAGCAGGTGTACGTTTCCATTAATATCTCTTTCGCCATCTCGTCGTCTCTCTTTTCTGCTATAAGGATCATGGAGGGTTTCTGCGAAGTCAGAGAGAGGCCCGGCGGGAGAAAAAAAAATTAACTCGTCAAAAAGGTACATTCTCGAACGCCTGGAGAGTTGGGCCTATTATCCATCGTATTGTCTATCTTCTTTTTAGCGCTAGAAACCAAAACTATGCCTTATGGTTTATTATAAATACCTTTTTGAATAAAGAAAAAAAAATATTAAAAGAAACACATCGACCATATGTTTTAACTTATCTTTCCATTAAAAATATTTCTACACATTTATTTTTCATGCCTCCATCATCCTATTTACTTAAAAACACTTTTATTTCACACGATGATAAAACTACTCATATAATTCTTATTAACACTAAGTGTAAGTAACCTATTGATAGTCAACTTAATTTACGGTACGAGTAAAGTTAAAAGATGTGGAAGAGAGGACATAAACCGGTGACCACCAAATCATCCAGTCGGTTTCCTTTCACGCAGGTGAGGTCTGATGCCAGCTCCAAGCTCTGTGGTCTCTTTTACTTCTCAACTATAATGACTCAATCCGCGATCTACCTTTTACCCCTTCTACCAGTCATTTCGTCCACTGTATAACTACCCTTCTTCTATCTTCTCGTGTCATCGTTCTTTTTATATCACTTTTTTTTCCTCTTCCGTTCATCCTGTCTGATGCTATTTTACTCTCATCA